TAGTAATCCGTAATAACGAATTAATAATCCGTAATAACGAATTACACAATATGTAACATATATACTTGCAGTGGCGCTAATGGGCTTTCGTATGTACGTGCATATACATGTATATGTTTATTCAGCGGCCAGTGCCAAACACAGGTCGACTAATTCGTTATGACTCTACAGAAATTCATGAAAAAAGATACAATAACAAACTGTTGGAGAAGGGTCCCAATTAATGCTTGGGAATTATTTTGATAAGCACTACTGTGCTTTGAAATTTTCTGTACTGTAATTTATTATACCTCCATATAAATTACAAGAAATATTGATTATATGCATTTAATTCAAACGTAACTAATAATACAAATTAAAGCACGATAAGTTTGGCAAAACGGACACGTAAAACATTCCAAAATTGTAATCAGCCTGTACATAATAGGGAAAAATACACAACAAATATTATATTAAAACGAAACACTACCAGGCTAGATTATCAACGCTAAGCCACTGAATGACTTGATCAAGTCTAATCCAGCCCCGCACGGCGCCCTCGTGTGATACGAAACCCATTTTTCTTCGGATATTTCTGCTGATGCAGCGTTCGACCTGTGGCGTTTGAGAAATAACATCGACCGCGGATGTATGTCTTGGCGGTGTGGCAGGTAATTCTGTCCCCCCCCCCCCCGGTAAATGTGTTGTCCCCCCCCCCCCCCCCCCCCCCCCCCGGACAAATTTACCGGTTTGTGACCCGGTAAATCTGTCCGGGGGGACACATTTACCTAGGTAGATCTGTCCCCCTCCCTGGTAAATATGTCCCCCTGCCCAACGTTGAAAGTGTCCCCCCTGGAAATGTGTCCCCGTGCAAGTATCACCCATGCGATGATACGAGTCGTGTTCGTGAGCGCGCATCACCGCAAGTACATGCTGCAAGATTTGTGGCAGCGTTTATCGCATATGTGTACATAATGTGTATCCCGCTACACAAAGGAAATTCATCCAATAGGAAATTTCGTTACGCGCTACGATGGGAACGCAGACCAATCCAAGTAGGCGTTATATCAATGAGGCGTCCACCGTAGAATAGGGCTACACCGTACTCCGAATCGATCGAAACATTGTGTGCACATTTCACATCTAAGAAAGAGACCAAAAAGTTAATTTTTGTCATCTTCATGAAGGGCAGACTAAAGAGTAAAAAATGTATACCCTGCAGAGTGAATTCATGAAAACAATATAGAGAACTGGCCTTCTGCGTTGCAAAACTAGGGGGACAAAAAAACCCGGGAGGGGGCAGAATTACCTGAAGGGGGACAGAATTAACGGGCCGGGGAGGACACTTTTACCGAGGTAATTCTGTCCCCCCGGACACTTGTAACGGTGCACAGAATTACCGTCCACACCGGCCAGACAAAAAAAAACCACTTCGTGCTGAGTGAAATTATACTGGTATAATGTCCGCCTGTTCAAAATACGGTACATCATTCTGTAATCTAGTAATCTATAATCTTCGAATTTTAACAGCGCCCCTATTGAAATATGGTACCAGCTCCTTTGACCTCTTCTGGACCCGTGGTCTCCGATATTTAATTTCATAGTCTCCATCACTCATGCACGGTACGCGGTAAACCCATTTAGTTGAGCAAAGCAGCTGACCTGAATGGTATCGTATTCGGACCTATAGGAAAACGGCTGTATTATCCGCGGTACTTAACTTGCTCTTGTTTTATTGCCGAATTATTAATTATAAGGAAGTTTTTTTATTGGCTGTTGCCTGTTCCAGAATTGTCAAAGATGGATTCAGTGGCACTACAAGTTGATGACTTCTTCCCAGTTACACTGCGAGACTCTATATCCATGCGCCCATTTAGAGAAGATGACGCCGAGCCTTATTTCCGCGCTGTGTACAAAAACAGAAACGTCCTAGGCGAGTATTTGGCCTTGCCTGCCAATATGGCCACCGTCCACCACGCTTCGGAACTCATCAAACTTTACCAGGAACAGGAGAAGAATGCCACATTTATCAATTGTGGGATTTTCAAAGAAAAAAGACGTGTAAACGAACCTTTTGTCGAAGAGGTAATTGGAGGCTTGAGGTTGAAGAATATAAACATCCTAACTAAAATGGCAGAACTGGGATATTGGCTCGCGGAAGATTACACTGGTTCTGGCCTGTGCACTCTGGCCTGCAAGAACTTAATTGAATATGGTCGGTGTATTGGGATACAACAGATTGAAATTCAGACTGCACCGAAAAACCTGAAGAGTCAGGCAGTAGCCCATCGGCTTGGATTTCAGAAACTCCCTGGAGTAATCGAGACTGCAGAAATTTTCAACGGTGTCCCCTATTCATATTTTGTTTTTGAACTACGACTGCCAGAGACAGATTCCAGCTCTAATTGAACATCCCAAGTATGGTAACAACTGGCTGCTTGATCTTGATGATAAAAAAAAAACACTATTGATGTTTATGTTTAATTGTTCTTTTAAATTTATTTAAGTTTTATTTTATTTCTTTGAACTCTTGATTAAAATCTAGTTGCACTTAGTGGTTTATTCGTACATTTTATTGGGTTTATAGTTAAATTAAATTTTTTTTAAAGATATAAAATGACATCAAAGTATTTTTTTCGGACAAAGGACATATCATTTTGGTGAAAAGCTCAGAGTTCGAAAACTAGTTTAGAGCTGTTGTTTGGTTGGGGCAATTCTGCTGTAAATGCAGTATTATTTTGTTTTATAAGAATTAATTAAGTTTTGTCTATGTTAAACATGCATGTTTCCATGGCATTATCTTCTTATCGTGAAAGTAAGTTGCCAATTAATCAATTAAATGTATGCATGTTTCTTTGTCAAATAATATATATTTTGAAGAAAAATGAGAAAACTCATTATCGTGATCTGCCAAGAAACAACACATATGAAAGCTAAAGAAAAGTCAACTACAATGTAAGTTTTCAGTAGTTTAAATTTCTTGTTTGTTGAAATAGTTCATTAGTATATTTGATATTTCTAACTGAACAATCGAGGTTAATTTAGGCATCACACACATCAACACTACTGCAGTAACAGACACGACAAGGAGTACAAAGTAGGGGCCTACAGTTCTCTAATCACCAAACATAGATATACATACGTACCATTGTAGCGTTTTCAGATTATCAATTCTTAATTATCAATTCGTCTTAATTTTTAGTTAATTATCACACTTTAATTATCAATGTTCCTTTTGAACTTTTTAATGATTAATTCTCCTGAACGCATTACTCATCGTTTTCCTTGTATACACATACACCCACACAGTGCCTATGCAATGTGTAGTCCCTATACTTTGATACAGAGCAAATGACCTTCACTGCCCACACACAAGTCATTGGTCAGTTTCTTAGCACAACCAAGTTACTTTCAAGATCATTGTTTTAAGGAACTTTATTACTCATTCCTAGTCATTTTTTCTGAGACTCAAGGAAACCACGATATGACTAAGTTTCCCAATTCTTAAGTATTTCTTATTCCCAAGACTTCCTGTTTCCACTAGTATATAAGTCCTGCTCCACTAGCAGTTCCTCATTCTGTTTCAATTCTGTTTCAATTACATTTCTATTCTAGTCTATTTCAGTTCATTCAATTTAATCCTTGTCTCAGTTCACTTTAACCAGTTCAATCAATCAATGTGTATTAAAATATTGTTGTGGAATAAACAGTCACGGTAAACACAGTCCTCAACCAAAGAATTGTGTATCGACTCATCCATTCCCCAAACACCATCTACTGTATACAGCTTTTGCGTCCTCGGATCAGTTCTGCATTATGAAGCCCGGGAAGGGACAGGTGGATTTTTTTTGGGTGTAATTTGCTAATTCGTTCCCACGAATTACTAATTCGTGCGCACGAATTGCTAATTCGTTCGCACGAATTGCTATTTCGTTCCCACGAATTGCTAATTCGTTCCCACGAATTGCTAATTCGGTCCCACGACTTGCTAATTCGTTCCCACGAATTGCTAATTCGTTCCCACGAATTGCTAATTCGGTCCCACGAATTGCTAATTCGGTCCCACGAATGGCTAATTCGTTCCCACGAATTACTAACGCGTTCCCGGATTCACGAGTTAGCAATTCGTTCCCACGAATTACAGTAGGAAATCGTGCGAACGAAATAGCAATTCGTGGGAAACGAATTAGCAATTCGTGGGAAACGAAATAGCAATTCGTGCGAACGTCGAACGAAATAGCAATTCGTGCGAACGAATTAGTAATTCGTGAGAACGAGTTATTAGCAGTTCGTGGGAACGAGTTAGCAATTCGTGGGAACGAATTAGCAAATTACAAAAAAAAAATCCACCCTGTCCCTTATCGAGCTTCATACATGACAGGTGTTAGCATGAAGTTAGGTTTTATGAAATACGGACTCATTGGTGGTATTGCGCATGCTCATGCATAGATAATTAGGAGAGGGACCGGTCACGTGAAAGGGTTTACCCAATACAAGGGGAAAAGAGTCCGATTTTCATACGAGTCCGATTTTCATATGACACCTCCAGCATGAATCATTTTAGGTTTAATGAAATACGGACTCATTGGTGGTATTGCGCATGCTCATGCATAGATAATTAGGAGAGGGACCGAATTGCTAATTCGTTCGCACGAATTGCTATTTCGTTCCCACGAATTGCTAATTCGTTCCCACTCATTGGTGGTATTGCGCATGCTCATGCATAGATAATTAGGAGACGGACCGGTCACGTGAGAGGGTTTAACTAATAAAAGGGAAAAGAGTCCGATTTTCATACGAGTCTGATTTTCATATGACACCGCCCCCCAGAACTGAAGTTTAACCCTTGTTACGCCCCTTCCAAATAATGTGCAAAAATAGCAGGGGACGCCCCTTTTTCAACACCTTGGGTACCAGTCGATTACACATACAAAACTGCCCGGTTGCACTGGGCACCAGACTACAAAATCAAGATGGCGGCGCCCGTAAAGTTTACTAATCGAGTGCGGCCGCGCCGTAGTGCGGTGTCCAAATCAGGGAGCACATGTGACTGAGTGCACATTTAACATCCCTGCGGAAGATTTGAACTTTTAGGAGCACTTCTAAGAAGAACTGAAGAAGCAACAGAAACAGGTATTTTATGAGCAAAGTGCATGTGTGCACACGGCATACGCAACAACAGCGTACGCATTCCGCATTGACAGTTTTCTCATTTTAAGCTCCAGTCTGTAGTTAGATTGTTCCAACTTTGTCTAAGATGGAATCGGTGACATCACATGTCGACGAATTCTTCCCAATCGCTCTGCGAGACTCCATATCCATGCGCCCATTGAGAGTAAATGACGCCGAGCTTTTTTTCTGCGCTTTGGACAAAAACAGAGACTTCTTCGGCAAGTTTTTGCCCTTTGTCGCCGACACGACCGCTGTCCACCACACTTTGGAATTTATCAAACTTTCCCAGGAACAGGAGAAGAATGCAACCGGTCTAACTTGTGGGATCTTCAAAGAACACGGGTCTGAAAACCAACCTGTTGCTGAAGAGGCAATTGGAGCTGTGGGGCTGAAGGAAATAAACCTTCAAACTAAGAAGGCAGAATTGGGTTATTGGCTGGCAGAAGACTACAATGGTTCTGGCCTGTGCACTCTGGCCTGCAAGAACTTAATTGAACATGGTCAGACTATCGGGATACAACAGTTTGTCATTTACACAGCGGAGAATAACTTCAAGAGTCAGGCAGTAGCCCGTCGGCTTGGATTTCAGAAACTCCCTGGGATAATCGAGAATGCAGAAGTTGTCAATGGTGTCTCCGTTTCACATTTAGTTTTTGAACTAAGACTGCCAGAGACATTACAGCACTAATTGAATGTTCCCTAGGTATGGTGCCAACTGGCCTGCTGATCTTGATGATGAAAAAACATTTAGTTTTTCTGTTAATGTTTGATTTTTCATAAACATTTCTTAGCGAGTTATTTTATTAATTTGTATTTCTCTTTGTGGTTTGTGTATAAATCCGCATGTATTTGGTTTATAATTTAGTTTTTGTTTAATTTTTTTTTACATGTAAAATGACATCAAAATAAATGTTCAAATGAACCACAATGGGAAACTGACTAGGGGAATTGTAAAAATTGTTGAAAAGTTGAACAAAGACATTGACTGGAGCGGGGCTTGAACGGACGACCTCTGGCTAACCGTTCTGGTGCTCTACCAACTGAATGAGCTGTCCAACTTGCGGTTCCCCAATTCGTCAATTCATCAATATCTTGGATACTGACGAATTGGGGAACCACCAACATAGGGCACTGGAATGGCAATGGGGCGGTTGTAGGTTCAAATTCCACTCCAGTCGATTTCTGTGTTCAAATTTTCAACAATTACTGTTTTTGTTATTTTGTTTTCTTCAAAAGAATGCAACACATAACCTAACTTGTATACAATGTATACTGGCATTTAGCCAGTTGTGCATGGTTTTTCCTATATATTTTGGTGAAATTTTATGTAAAATGTGATGACGGTTGGGACGTTCCGACGGACAAAAACAAAGGTATAAGAAACCCAAAGAACAGTCAACAATATTCAATTCTTCACAGTAGTTTTAATCTTCTTGTTAGTTGTAATAGTTTAGTATTAGTGTAGTTCAGCATCGTACACGACTGACATTACTGGATGATGCTACTAAGATGATTATTAAACCAAACTCACACAAAAGAAGTACTAACAAACTTTTGAATAATAGCATTTTTCATTATAAACATACTTAACGAAATATTTGAATGAGATTGTCATGAAATAAAATAATGGGCTGACGAAATTTTAGCAAAGAGTCATTGAAGTAAGTACAGTTATCTTACCATATATACACATAAAATCTAATATATACAGCTTTTGCGTCCTCAGATCAGTTCTCCAACATTGTTGGTGAGTTATTAGCATAACACTTTCATTTCACATTTTATTTTTTTCATACCTTAAAAAGTCGTTTCTAATCTTTTTTTCTAATCAAAGTTAAGATTTTAGCCACTTCTTTTTAATTTACAATTGTAAAGAAAGTTATATTAAATGTAAGCTTTGAAAACATCTACATGTATTGTACAAATGCTAGTTTATTGCTCAGTGTTTCAAAGGATATCGGATTCCAACGTGAAAAAAGTGATATTTTGTTTGAAAGTCATGAAAGGCACAGTGGTGTCATACTCATACGTATGTGTGTATACTTTAATATATAATGTGCAAAAGGAGACAGAACAGTGCAAAATCTATTCGCCATTTCTACATATGTACATTTTCTTTTTTTGCCCCAAAAAAGCAAAGTTGGGCATTAAACACAAATCCACATATTTCATATCAGGATTAGTGAACTTATACACTGTAGTTGCTATAGTCATTTTTTTTTATCCCCAATATGAATGAAGCAGTATTAGGTTAATATTGCTTTTCATAACACAAAACTATTTATAGATTTCAGCCTGGCAGGCAAATTTGTCCCTGAAGTCAATTGATTTGTCAAAGCAAATAAGAATAAACATCTCATACAAATTTAGTTGAATACACAATTCAAAAAATTTGTTTACATAGAAAGTGAACTAACACAAGAAATATGGGAAAATGCCCCCAAAGCTACAAATATTTTCAAATAAGAATGAGTCTCTCGTCAAATTCAGCAAGCTATTTCTAATAAAATGTGGATGAATAAGAATACATTATTAACATTGTTCACCAAAATATGAAATCAAAATATAAAAATAAAATCACGGCCGAAACATCTCCTTCCAAGGCAGGGTACTTTCACATGGCCAAGGAAATTATTTAGTTTGAAATTTTCACTTTCTACAAAAATAAGTCCTACAAATGGTATCATGCAAATAATCACACCTCTTAGTGCAGATTTGATCAAAGAAGTTCAAGGAAAGACTCGCAAAAAAAAAAGGACCTCACAGTTACTTCTGAAAGAACTCCCGTAACCAAATCCTGGTGTCTCTTGTACACAAACAAAAATCTTGAAATGCATAGCTATTTACAACTTGCCTATTAAAAATAAAATACTACCAAATCTTTGTGCCTCCCCGAAAGAAACTATGATAGTTGATTGATATACTCCTATTGGATCTGTGCTTGACATATTGAGGGCGCTGTCAAAGCCTCAACCCAACAGCCAATCCAGGCTACATGGAGGGCATACACTGGCTTCCATGTCAGAATAAACCGAGTAGTAACCAATTAGAAGTACATGTACGTTCAAAGTCCCATAATATTATCACACAAGACTGAATTGGATGGCACTAGCACTAAAGCCAAGAGAAGGCAAAAACACATTTACAAAGGACGGAATCACAGTATTTTGGTATATATACCTGTTTGCAATACTACTGCCTACAACCTCTCATACACAATACCGCAATGAACCCACCGCATCTGAGAGATGAACAGATTGTCTCTGAGCAAACCTGGAGTATCTGATCTACTTGTCTGAGGCGCTGAACGCATTCAAGACATCCAGAAGCATGTCCACATCATCTGCTGCATCTTTGAATGAAAGCTGGAGAATGGGCGAGGAAGACAACAGTTCACGAGGAGTTACTTGTCTGATATAACTTTGCCAGTGTGTGATTCAATAATGAAGTTTGTATAAAGATTTTCGATGCCAACTGATCACAAGTCCCTCACAAGTAAATCAAAAAGTCAGGTTGGAAGTGAAAGGGGATTGACAATAATAAGGAGTGCCTTTGTCACAGCTCATTTGCATAGCTAATGAATTGACTTGAGACTAGATGACTTTATGTGATGGACTTGTGATGGACTTGTGATGGACTTGTGATGGACTTGTGATGGACTTGTGATGGACTTGTGGTGGACTAATAAGTCTTGTGATGGATTTTTGACGGACTTGTGAAAGACTTGTGATGGACTTGTGATGTACTTGTGATCGATTTGTGATGGACTTGTGATGTACTTATGGTGGATTTATGGATTTATCTCAATCACAACACTGCCACTGGTAAAACCATTTCCTACTTGCTGTTTATTTGAATAAAACTAACATCATTCGGTTTCAAAGTAAAAATGCGGTTAGGGAATAAATATCATTGTACTACACTATTGGACTCTTTGCCTTTTTACAAAGGACCCGTTGTTAAGTTTTACTTTGACTTACCTCCTTTTTCACCGCCTTGTTCTGTTTTTCTAGATATCCCAGGACAGCAGGCAGTTCAGCTTCGAACACATCCAGCTTAGCGCCAGCAACGTCTGCGCTGTCGTCTGATCGTCCGCTGGATTCAGCCCGGGACGAGACGTTGTTGAGAAGTTCCTCACGTACTCCTTCCAAGAACAGTGCGCCCTCGATGTAACCAAACTATGACAGGTAAGAATTAAATGCCATGGTAAAGTATGATAAACTTTCATTTAGCCGGCCTCCTCAGGAAAACCCACCCATCTTGTTATGGATGCTAGGCACAAGCAACCCTAGCAGAGAAATGAAGAAATATCACTGTCATTGTAAAAGCTACTAATAATTTTCCGCAATCTGTAAAAGCTCACCTCGCTTACAAACAGCTCGGCCTGTGCTACCGTCCTCGGAAACCCATCGATCACAAACCCGTCGGCCGAGGCATTGGTCTTCACCTCCTCTTGCATGACTTTGAATAGAACCTCCTGAGGCACCAGACTGCCGGCCTGGATGACTTGAGCAGCCTCTTTGCTCTCTGGGGTGTCAAGCTCAGAGAAAGCCCTCAAGAGTTCACCAGCGGAGAGGTGGACCAGCTTGTACTGGGCGGCCATTTTCTTGGCGACTTCTTTCTTGCCAGAGCCAGGGCCACCTAGATGTTAAAAAAAAATCATGAAGTAAAAAAAAATTCAAAATTGGACACCTTCCATGAGATTACGTTGCGAGCGAGCTCTCATTACCTCAATGTTTCCATTACTGTAGCTGAAATTAAAATTCTATGATGACAAACATTTCAGAACTCACCAATGACAAAAATGAACCTCTGTTGTTTGGCCGAGCTGGCAGCCTCGATACCGCGCTCCTTTAAGGCATCTTTCACAACAGAGAACACGCTGTCAGGATCGGTTTCAGCTGATACCTATTCCAAACAATAAAACAGTGTCAGAAAATCTCACTCAGTTGTCACTCAAGAGTACTTATTTCTTACAAATATCAAATAGTTTTTACCTCATCAGCATACTGTGATGCTCTTCCCTAACAATAACTGGTTTAAAGGACGCGTTTATGAATAACTTTAGGTAATCCTTAAAAAATTCAAAACTTCTTACGGTGATAATCTTGTTCTTCTGTTGATAGTGGTCCACCACCGGCGTTGTAGCATTATGGAATGTGGTCAGTCTCTTCTTGATGGTTTCTTCGTTGTCATCCACTCGTCCGCTTGTCTCAGCACGCTTCAGAAGCCTTGTTGTCATCGTTTCATCGGAGACCTCAAAGTACAGGGCACAGGTACATTCTGCGATCTACAACAACCCCAAAGAAGAAATTACGTTGAGTCATATTGTTTTGTGGTTGCATTTTGAAACTTCAAAACAATCTTTAAGAACTTAACTCGATTATTGGTGGCAAAAAAAATCGACCATACCTGTTTCTCAAATTCTATTCCTTGCTGAACCTCTCGTGGGTAGCCATCGATCAAATAGCCAGTGGATGTATCAGCCTTGGCCATCATGTGCTCCTTCAATAACTCCAGCACTGTCTCCTGAAATACATAAATAAGATGAATAAACAGAATTGTAAGATGATTAGTAATCCTAAATAAAATAAGCCACATAGCAGACCAGAACTACGATACATCCAAAGAACAAAAAGTAAAACTGGCAGCGGCATAACTGGGGGGGGGGGGGGGGGAGATGGGGTTCAACTCGAGGCATGCGCATCCACAACGCCACCAACTAGAATTTTGGGAAGGCAAAACGATTTTTGAGTTGTTAATAACTGACTGAGTGCACCCTTCAGAAAAGATAGGCCCAAACTGCCCCCCTGCAAATTGGACACCAGTTATTCCACTGCTAAGTGCTACATATTTAAAAATTCACATACCTGTGGGACAAGGTCCCCAGCCTCCATAATAGCTGTTAACCTTTGACCTCTCTCTGACCCTGACTTGACCTCTGCCCTCAAGAGGTCACCAGATGACAGGTGTGTGAATCCATAGGTGTCTACAAGCTTCTCACACTGTGTTCCCTTGCCGGACCCTGGCCCTCCAATGACAAAGATGATCTTACACTTCTTGAGCTTCTCGGCTACAGAAACAAAAAGAACACATTTTCTGGTTATTTATTTTGAAACAATACTTGATCACTAAAAAGACTAAAACAAGTATCTATCTTAATGGTCTGATATTCTGCTTCACAGCACTTCTTGTTTCCCAGCCAAAATTAAAACACTAAGAACAAAAATGACTTTGATCAAATAAACTTCTTTTCAATTCAATCTTTAAATGCGTGATTTTCTTGTTTTGCCACCAGGCTTATAACAGCAACTGGTCGGTTAAATATATGAATTTCTACAAACTTTTTCATCAAGCTTTTTTTACCTGAATTCTGAGACTCGATACCGCGCTCCTTCAAAGCATCTTTCACACATGAGAACACACTGTCAGGATCTGTTTCAGCTGATACCTGTTATGGACAACGAAACAATTAATGAGAATTTACAAAAGTTATCACAGAAAGAACATAATTTACAGATTATGCAGAAAATTGGTTTTATAGTGAAAGTTTGCTTTACCAAAAACTGATTGGTGTAAGATGTTGGTGGACTTTGCAAGGATAGGGTTCTGGGCGTAATCAACACATGTAAATTTATAACTGCTGTAAGCACTCATACTTTTATACTCACAACCACTACACAATCAATTGTACAAACTCAAAAGCCACTTGAGCACATCAAAATTGTACTTTGGATCAGTTTTTATATGAGAATTGAACAAATCTTGTTTAGTTGAGCATACCTTGATAATCTTGTTCTTCTGTTGATAGTGGTCCACCACTGGTGTTGTAGCATTATGGAATGTCGTCAGTCTCTTCTTGATGGTTTCTTCGTTGTCATCCACTCGTCCGCTTGTCTCAGCACGCTTCAGGAGCCTTGTTGTCATCGTTTCATCGGAGACCTCAAAGTACAGGGCACAAGTGCATTCTGCGAACTACAACAACCCCAGAAACAATAATGGTAAGCCAAGTCAAATTTCATATGCAAATTTCATATTACAAATGCATTATGACGCACAAGTTGTATTAAGTCGCTGCAGTCTTTAACAACATTATTTCAGTCTATAACATACCTGTTTCTCGAACTCAATTCCTTGCTGAACCTCTCGTGGGTAGCCGTCGATCAAATAACCAGTGGACGTATCAGCCTTGGCCAACATGTGCTCCTTCAATAACTCCAGCACTGTCTCCTGAAAATTGAGAAATATGAACAGCAAAATATAATAAGTGATAAGAATTCTGAGAATGATAATCAGCAAAATATTATATAAAGTCTGCTATGAATATTCTGCTGAAATGCATAATTAATCAATAATAACATGCATTTTCTTGAGCCAAAAATGAAAAAGTGCAAATACTAACCTGTGGGACAAGGTCACCAGCCTCCATAATAGCTGTTAACCTTTGACCTCTCTCTGACCCTGACTTGACCTCTGCCCTCAAGAGGTCACCAGATGACAGGTGTGTGAATCCATAGGTGTCCACAAGCTTCTCACACTGTGTTCCCTTGCCGGACCCGGGTCCTCCAATGACAAAGATGATCTTGCACTTCTTCAGCTTCTCAGCTAAACAATCCCCAAAAACAAACACACAAATCATGAATAGCCTTATGTCCAAGCTGAGACAAGATTGAACATTGATTGTGGATTTGTAAGCAAAATCCAGTGCATCTATATGATGTGTCTATAGACGAATCTGAGCACGTGATCAATGTCTACTCATAAGGCCCCCTTCAATGGAGAAACCACTGTGCATGCTATTGTACAAATCAACTGCCCGTGATGGGTCATATGAACAATAGCTAGCACAATGCTTTCACCATTAAAGGGGGCCTTTGTCATAGAAGCGATAGCGTGCTCACAGAACTCTGTGCTTACAATCACTATTTTGTGCTAACCGCGCCAGCAGACAAATTCTGTGCTAACCCTGTCAGCACAGAATCCTGAGTTATGGGATGTACGCGTGGAAGCCACATTCCTTGCTAACCCGTGACATACGCTTACCACAAGCAGGGAACAGTTCTTGTACCAAATTGGCAGAAATATTAGATTTACTGATTTCTTAGTTAAAAATCTGACCTACCAGCGTCTTCATCTGGAACTCTTCCCTTGTCTCCAGTTATGTTAGCCTCTTCTGAGGTGATAGGTTCCTCGGTTACTGTAAGAAAATAATAAACAGGCAGAAATTAATACTTCGATAAAATAAATGCTATATATGACTGCAGAAATGAACATACCTATCACGGACAACGAAACAATTAATGAGAATTTACAAAAGTTATCACACATTGGCAGAGATATTAGATTTACCGATTTCTTAGTTAAAAATCGGACCTACCAGCGTCTTCATCTGGAACTCTTCCCTTGTCTCCAGTTATGTAAGCTTCTTCCGAGGTGATAGGTTCCTCAGTTACTGTATGAAAATAATAAACAGGCAGAAATTAATACTTTGATAAAATAAATGCTGTATATGACTGCAGAAATAAACAGCCAAACAGGTTAACAGTTTCCTGCTGTAGTTGAAACAACTGATCTGCTAATGGAATTAAAGTCTCTCAAACAGTTTAATTAATTGGTTTCAAAAGTCTATTCTACGGTATACAGCAGGCAAGTCTAGTACTGAATTGGTCATTGACATCACTCTGTGAAAAATACAATTCAGTCATCAATCTCCAGCCGGACGCAAGGTTAACTATGAGCAAGTTCGGTCGCAAAGTATTGTTAACCATAGTTTGACTATTAAACTTGACTCGAACTAAGGATGGTAGGACTACTCTAGTGACTATATGGGACTGCACCGTTGCACGGTTGCATTGTTGGTTACCAGTAGCTGTGCGCTATTGTTTGACAGGAGGAGTTCGTGCATTGCTATGTGTGCTCAGGCGTAGGTTACATCACAACTCCACTAACCGACTAAATCATGGCCCTCAACCGAGCTTAATGAATAATGATATCAGGACTTACCGATAGGCTGATCTGAAGGCTGGGACTCTGGCTTGTCTTTATCTTCTGGTGTTCCTGTTGATACAGCACAAAAATCACGTCTTAAGAGGTAAGCAATGCAACAATCGGTGAAACACGTAGAGACAGGGAGATTTTGGAAATCATTTCTGACAATAATAATCCTGACCACTTACAAAGTTCCAAAATCTGGCAAGAATGATACTCATGCTACAAGTTACAAGAATTCCAAACCCAAAAATGCCAATTCCTACCTTCTTCAATCTTATTGAACATGTCCATCATTGCCACGCCTTCAGCACCAAGAGCTGCCTTCTGATGATGACAAGAAATTTGGAAATAAAGACAATTATAATTTTCAATTCTTTGAATGGATCGGAAGAAATGAGTCTCAAGAACAAAAGACAGGTCACGTAGTCTTGACAATCTGTCACAATTTTCACTGAATCGACCTGCGGTCTGCTTACAACAATCCAGTTTCCTTTTTTCTTTCAAACTCAAAATCTCACCTCTTCTGCCATCTTGTCTACGATGCTCTTCTCTGCACTATCTTCTTTCCTCTCATCATCTGAATCATCAGAAATAGATTTATCTTATTAATCTCGTCATCTTACGAATTCAAACTTTTTCCAAAATCTATGTCTGTCACAAGTCTGTGGTTCAAGTTGCAATTTTGTGTTAACCCAATACACTGATTACGTTGCATTTGTACTCACTGAAGAATCAATGAAACCAAAGGGTTAACTTACCTCCAGCAAGGTGGTTAACAGCTGACATGATTCCCGACGTTTCAGAAACGACAGCTTCTTCCTGTGGATACAAATGATAGTGAAATGATGGCTCTGCCAGCAAACCTGTGACAAACTGTCAGAGATAAGCGCTGTTGACCTCGAGTGGTTGAATGGGAATCCAGGGCAACAAAATGAAGCTGTTCTTGGGAATGTGGGTTGTATTAATCTTGAGCAGGGGTTGCAGGAAAAACAAAAACAATTTTCATTTTTAAAGTATCCCTTTCAATTTGAGAAACAAATCAGTTTCGGCCATTGGAATGGAGTAAAGTTTCAACTGAAAGAAGCTGAACAAACTTTTCTGTTGAACAATTTTGCTGTGAGAATTTGAATTTAACTAAAAAATTAAAAAGCTGTACACAGTGGTTAGAATTTAACATAATTTGTGAATTTGGAGTATAGAATTACATGGAGTATAGGATTCTTTCCGAAAACCAAGTTCCTTGAGTGTTTTATTCAATTCCGGCCATTTTTGGCTGAAGCGAAACAATTAATGTCCTATTACTGCTGTGACAACTCTGTTTTCTTCATGCAACTTCAGTCTTCAACGTTACCTCTTCTGCTGCCTCGGGTTTGTCCTTCTTGTCTGTTTCAGTCTTCTCTCCAGTTTGGATCGGGGGAAGCGGCTTTGACATTGTATCCTTTCCTACTTGTTCACCTGATGAAGAAATAACAGAAAATGCACCTTATTTGCAAACGACTGACGGCCGATATTGTGCTTAATACAAAGGCATCAATGCAGTTTTTAAATTTATTGATTAGCATGAACGCTCAAAAAAGACTATGAAAAGTCACATTGTGAAATATAGTTTATCTGTTGACTCACTATTATCTGAAGCATCCTGCGTGAAGAACCGGGAATCAAACAAGTTTGCCACATCGTAGAAAACCTCCTCCACATCACGATCACAGTTGACCTAGCCAACCAAAAATCAATCAAACAGTTTGCACTAAGAAAGACTAAGCTGAGCGATTATGTAATTGTTTGATAGCACCACGTTTTGTTGAAATCAATCTTGCAATCTTGTAAGAAATCTATCTTCACGAGGACTGAAGCAGAATAGAATTATTTGAGATATGATCAACATACCTGATGCAAGACCCCTTTCTGTTGGAAGTAGTCCATAATAACCGGTACGCTGCTGCTAAAGTTTGCCAGCCTGTTGGTAATTCCTACGTCTGTATCGTCAGACCGGCCACTGGTATCCTTGCGCTTTTCCAGGCGAAATCTGAGGCGTGTCTCATCGCACATCAGATATAACACCAGATCAACTGCTCCAAACTAAGGGAATATACGAAATTGATTATAAATACACACAAATTTCAGAAAGCATTATAAGACTTTCTAACTATCATGCATGGCACACTGCGGCCTAATAATAGCTGTCTGTAAAAATTTGACCCTATAGAATGGTGTGACAGAAACCATAGTATCACATTACTTTGAGTGATGATACAATGTACATACATTTAATACTGACCTGTTTCTCAAATGCCTGCACATGTTCCATACCCCGGGGGAACCCCTCTATGATAAATCCCTGGATGTCTGACAGTTTCTGCACCTTACTGCTAATCTTGGCTTGCACCAACTCAAAGGCTGTTTCCTGCAGTTTTGGGGAAAAAATAGACTGATTGTTAGAAACCATCCACTAGAATTTGTTGCTATTGTCAATGAGAACATCATTTCAAGGTACGTGTCACAAAGTGGTTACCAATAAAAAACATGTTCCTCAAACTTGCTTTCTCAGTAAATCTCTTAAGAGTTGATTTTATTTCAGATATGATAACAAAAAATATGTGCAAAGCAAAGTTTTACTGAGAAACAAGCACAAGCAATTTCACAAGGGTTTTCAGGCCCTATCTGATTCTGTGGGCTTTCCCCAGAACATTCTTCTGGGCTTTTCCTCCCACCTCTAAAATTGTAATTTCTTCTCATTGTCTTCTCTCTATAGGTCTCATCAGGCTTGCGAGCCACAGTGCCCAGGGCGCTTTTGAGGAATCCTTGGTTTCATTACCAAATAAATAAACAATATAATGTACTTGCCATTTTTGGCTCATGACTCATTTTTATTAAGCAAATGTTCTCAATGCTTAGCAGATCTGTCTTTAATTACAACTTACATGAGGCACCTGTTGTCCGTTCAGCACTGCATCAGCCAGCATCTTCCACTTGTCCTCAGTGTACTTCTTAATCTTTCTCCTCAGCATATGACCCACTGAGATGTGGACATAGCCATTGTATCGATCAGTCAGCCGCTTACAATGCTCACTCTTACTACTGCCTGGCCCACCTGTTGGAAAAAGTTTCAAGGTAAGCCTAAATAATGGTTTTCATTTTTAGAGGTTAAACTTTATCATAGTATTTGATCATGGCACACCTTGTAAAAAGTAACTCTCAACTGAAATGTTTTTTCCTACCAATTATGAATGGTCAATGTATTTAGTGCTGTGTGTCCCATAACTGCTTGTCTCATGGCCAATATTTTGTCTCAAAATATCAAACATGGGATAATTTTCACAAAAGGGGCAATTCTTACTTTAAACTAAGCTGACAACAATTGTAGTGTATGACTTTTGCGATTAATGACAAATTTGTTTTGCTCTTAAAAGGTCCATGCGATTAATTTTTCTTAGGAACACATTTTGTGCAACTTTCTTCTCCTCTTAAATGTATGAAAACTATTTGACATCCGTTTTTGGTTTATTTCATTGAAAAGTGCACTTCTTTTCATTTTGCTCATTGGCTTGCTGCCAAAGACAAGAAATTCTATGACAGCAAAATATCCAGAATTCTAGCAAGTTTTTGTGCTGAAATAACTGTAACATTGAGGTTTCTGCCCAGAGTGACATCACAGTTTTGCCCATGAATATGGAAACTTGCACTAGCATAAAAAGCAAAATTGAAAATAAGGTTAAATGGGACACAGGTCCATTTTAAAGGATTGCATTGAAAAAAATTACATTGCATAAAGCATTTAAATTGTGTAAAGTATGATTCAAGGGCCAAAGCTAAAAATTTGAGCGAGGAGCCAAATTCTCTCTGGTTCATGGTGTTAAGTCTCAATGTAAAAGCTGTCAAAGTTCTCACCAATGACAAAGATGAACCTAGTGTGTGGTGGAGGGATGCCTTGCTTAGAGGCCGTAGCTGCCCCTGGGGATGTAGCGATGGGGGGTAGGGCGCTAGAACGCTTCATCTCCAATGGTACCTCTGTCAATGCAATGAAACAACAGGAAATCATTGTTATGCTTTGGGGTGACAAGATAACAATTCCATCAAAAAATTTAACTTATACCAAAATCCTTCTCAAATCAGCCTCTGTGTTTGAAGTAACGATCAAGACTTTATGGGAAAATGTCCATTTACTATCAAACAAGGTTATATCCTGGCTGCTGATTGGTTAAAATATGCCATCATGTCATTTTAGTAAGTATTTGAATCACAACACTCCATCCCATACCTGTCGTGAAAGTTGGCTCCCTATCTAGTACAGGGGCATCTTGGGATTGAATTGGGGGCAAGGGAGCTTGACCTTTCGCCCCATCAACAAACGTGTTCCAGCGGACGGCCTCGCTCTTGTTGTCTTTAATCTTGCCCAGGCATTCCAGCATGTAGTCCACGTGATTGCCTGGTTTGTGGTACATCAGCCCAGTCATGAGACTCTGCAATGACGAAATTCAATGAACTATGAAGTATCCCACCAAACTTACTACCTTACTAACGTAAGCATGCAATTAAAAAAACCATAAAAAACACAATTTATTCTACTTGAAAAATAAATATTTTTATTTATTTTATTTTCAATTTAGCCTTTTTTTTCTCCATCTTTTAAAATCCATAAAGGCTACTAATTCTGCAGACTGGGACCGTGAGTGCATAAAAACGTGCAAAATTGCTACTGACGTTTTTTTACTCACCATTTGGCTAATTAATGCCCACACAACACAAACATCAAAATGATAAAGTTGCAAGCATGTCATCTGCGAAATTTGAGACTTTAAATCCAATTTTAAGGCAAGGTTTTGGCAGTTCAAAACCACCCACGTCAACCTCCATGCTCTGGAAATGGGTGTGTGATTCCCAATGTATTCTGGGTAGGTGTAGGAAGAGCCTTGCAGCTTACTTGTTTTTTAATCAATGGCCAAATGAACATAGCGCCCTCTGCTAAAAAATGAAACATTTTGCATTCACTCAGAACAAGAGGGCGCTGTTTTATCTACATGATAAAAATGTTATAGCTGAGGAGTCTTTTTGCACAATGCATTGCAGTACACATCAATGTGATGTCTCACGTATGGATTTCGATAACTCTCTGCAAAATTAGAATTAAAAGCTGAAATTTTGGTGATGCAATGCTCACAACAGCAACTTTGCGAGGCAGAAGTTTCAGGGATTATTGAAGAAACTGTAGTGAGTAAGAAGCTTGCAAATTTGATTCACACTGGTTTTATCATGCAGCACAAAGTTTTGCACGATATGGATACCTTAAGTTTTGGGACTCTCATACACAGTATTGAGAGTCCCAAATTTTCGGACTACTAATTCTGGGGTTTCGTGGCTTGGTTTATTACTAATACATGTAATACTATCATAACAAATTAAGATCTTCTATTTTCCAAATATGCCAAACAAGAAATCAAAAGCTAAGGATAGTCTTTCATCAGTTCCCAAAAATTACCTGTCATAACTCATAAGATAATTTTACACATGATCCGCCTATCAATTTGTCCGGAAATTGGGCAACATTTTCCAAAATAAAGTTTTAACGAAAAACCACCCCTTCTTACCTCAAATAACTGGGGAATCTCCCGCTTTGACAAGTACGTTTTGGTGTCGTCCTTGGACGTCATGGTGCAATCGCAATGGTTCCTTTCCTCTGATGAAGTATCAGGCCAATTTTTGGCCCGTGTTTTCTGCGAGTACTTTTCTCTTTACCAATCACACAACAGGTGAGCCACTTATCTGTGTGCAGTCGTCATGTACGTTTCTAGGCAAACAACATTTCGCCAGGCCATTGACTTATTAGCGCTGGTTCCGTTGTTGTTATTGATGTGCTTTACGTACGGCGTGCGCGGGCCGAGTACCAGGAAAAGCTAAGCGCAGGCAGACAGCAAACAAACGGTATAGGTGTGAACGGTGGCCAAAAACGGACATTAAAGTCGCAGGGAATTTTATTGAACGGCGGTGAAAGTAAATAAGTAAATGAACATGTCATTTAATTGAGTGAACTTATTACAGGGAAAATAATGTTCAAATTTACACCTGAAGGATTAATTCCACTTTTAAACTTCAATGTGATGAAAGACACAATCATGGCATATATCAATTAATCTATCAGAGCGGATCTTCAAGAAACGGGGGGGGGGGGGGGGGGGGGGGGGGGGGTCTATTAGGATCGCCAAAGGCCCCATTAAGGGGTCCAGGGGTATTTTGAAATCTGCGTCGATTTCTCCTGCATTCTAACGCAATTCAATAAACTTAGGAATTTTAGCAATCCATTTACGAGGTATTATTTTGGCCCCATTTTACTAGTTTCTTAACATCAATCAGCCGCTGCACTGGAGGGGGGGGGGGTGGTAGGGTAACCCCAATCCCCCTCTAGATCTGCTGTTTTATAAGCTATTGTAGTGTTTCAAAGAATCAAAGTATGAACTGAAACCTAAAAGGCTGTGCTTTGAGGTTGCACCAACCAGACAATTCGGGAAGGTGATAGTAATGTACATGTGTAATTTAAGTCCATTTGAAGTCTCTTTTCTGATTCTTTTCAGTCGCTTAATGAGATCAAGGGTTGGAGCACCTTTTCCCATCCAGGATTAATCTTTCCTTTTTTTTCAAACTACATGGACATCAAACTAGTGATATGTTTTTGGGTCAAGATGGAAGAGTTGAACTAGACAACTTCACTAACACAGCTCACACAAAAATGTCCAGAAATTAAACTGTATTTCATTGTTTTTATTTACATTTACTTTGAAAATTGCAAACTTGCTAAAATGGGGCTGCAACAAGTTTCTGAAACTGTGGTTTTTATTGTTTAAATGGAATACAATACTTGGATCAATACCATATTATGAACTTACAAGCTAAGAAGAACTGGCTAAAAACAAAACCTGATCCATATAAATAGGGTGAATTGAAGTATCACCAGCGTATCATTCAAGTATCAATGGCACAAGCTTGTCTGTATAATAAACATTCTTGATGTATGCTGAAATGGGTTGGTTGCAAGTGTCGCCTTCTACTTTCCATACATCATGTGTAACAGGTAGAAAGTTTAAAAGCGCTTCAGTAATATCTCTGCAGGTCTTGACCAAAAATAGTCTTATGCACAAACACTAGTACAAACTGTCCTACACATGTGGTACCCAAGCATAATAACTGATCCTTAGTTGTTAGTAGGATTGAATGTGGGTTTATAAAACATACAATTTACTTGTTTAAGCAAAATGTATTGGCCAGTCTGCTGTACAAAGAAACATCCACCACACCAATCCTTGATCACAGCCAAGGTCACTGATGATTGAATTTCCATGCATCTAAGTGGCCCTCCTGTAGTTCATCATAGCAGTGAATGTAGAAGCTGGTTTATGTGGAACAGTCCTCGTACTTAACTATTTCACCCTAATGCTATAAAGGTGCGAAGTCATCTCTCTGTAAAACAGACAAAGAAAACAAAGATGTTAAGTTATTGAGAAAAACAAGCTTTTTACAGAAACAAAACAGACTTAGTACTACAAGTACTTAGACCTTGCCAATATACTTAAATAAATAAATGGGATGCCATATAACAGCTGTCCAAGTCCCAAATCTGTCAAATGTCCAAGTCGCAAATCTTCATATTTTAGGTATAAAAACCAGTGCATACTTTTAGAACACTTTAAATGTAAATGTAGGTGAAAAATTCATTTATAAAAACCATGTTGGATCTGCACTGCTTGTTTCCTGGAATTAGGTAAATCATCATTCAATCAATATGAAGTGAGACTTTCTTACCATTTCATTGTAAGTGGTGACATGCTGCCGAATCTTGGAAGTGTCGGTCCACGTCACGAAGTCCTCCAAATTCCTGTTATTCCAAAATATTAAAAAAGAAAATCAACAACATACTTGCTTGTGTAGGCATCTTCAAACAAAGTTGTAGCGAAACCCTAGAAAGGTATTTTGATTGAAGTCTTTTAACCTGAACCCTCCTCAAAAATTCTCCAAAATCCTGCAGGATGTTTTGGAGGATTTTGGAGGAATGAGGCTGATTGGCAAAAAGTGCCGGTTGATTTTGGAGGATGTATTGTGTCGAGTTCGTTGGTTGAACCCTGCATTGTTTACATTTGGCCATGCATAACTGAGCTCCGCATTATGCCCAATATCATCCACACTGCTTCTGAATGTCATCACTCATCAGCACTGCCTCAACCCATTAACAGTGATTGTTGGAGGATTTTTAAGGATTGAGGCAATGGTAACCCCTCCACTGAACAAGTTCAAGAAATAATTTCGGAGAGTTGAGACTGAATCCAATTTTTACACATTGGCGATTGGAGGATTTTGCAGGATTGAGGATGGTTCCTTGTCAAAAGGCCAGAGGCGTTAGGGTTAAATGCCAAATTTTAAAGTGTGCATGAATACATTTGGGTGGGTTGGTCTTTCAAACCTAATTTAGCAATTTACAAACGTGTATGATTGCAGTGAGGACATAAAAACTTGGGCTTTATTGGCATTTAAAACTTAGTCCAATTGCCCCATTTTGCTTGTTCTTTACCTGGTTACGAGAAACGCTGGATCTAGTACAAGTTCAGGGCCAACTCTGATATCTGGTCATTGTGGTTAAAGAAAAAGTGCACGGTAAAATTATCAAATTACTGATTTCTGCTAGTACGAATTAATAATGGAACAAAATCAAATGACTGACATTCATGTAAGATGTTCCATCTTAGACTATTCCTGAATCCTTTGAATGCATAATTCAACAAAAATATACCAACTTGAAGGCAGAAAAGGATACGTCCTTGTTCTATAAACCTGACAGCATTGGCCACATCCTCCGCCATCTTTAACTTCACCATGACAACAGGTAAGCGTCTTCTACAGAATGACGATGCAGAGACTTTGTCGCAGAGTTCTAGGCTGCGCTTGGTTGGTATGATGCCCATGTTATACCTGTGAAAGGAAAAACAAGAGGAAATTACTGGTATATCAATGCCCAAGAACACTTATTTATATAAATCCAAAATGCAAGAAAGAATACATGTATAAACTATAAAGGCATAAGAATGAGCCTAGTACTTACAGTTTTTCGAGCATTTGTGACGTGCATTGTGTCCGATAAGGGTCCTTTGGATCCAGCTGCTTGATTTTATTGGCCAATGCTCGCACATGACGACTGAGTTTGTTGTATCTGAGAAATAAGCAGAAAGATTGCCCAAAGTTGATGTCTCTGTTGAATACAAACTTTTTAATTAATGACAAATATAACAGTTACACCCAGTTTTGGTCATAATTTACCATATGTCATGTGTGAACTATGATTTTGTTAGTATAGTAGGCTATGCATTTTGCTGAATGCTGAGTCATAATCATAAATGTCATAACAAGGGGAACATTTTCAAACAATATCTGAACTCGTACTCAACAGGGGTGTGAGTGACCACTGATAAAAATAGCTGAAAACAGCTGAAAAAGGTGTAAAAAAGCTGAATTTTGGAAATCTCCTATACTTTTGTACACAGCAAGTGAGGGAAAAAAGCTGAAATCCAACACACAAAAAAGCTGAAATCAGCTAAAAAGCTGAGATTTCACACCCCTGACTCAATAAACAGTGGCATCAGACAATGTCCGACATGTCAATTGTCAGAACTGACATGACTGATGAGAGCACTAGCATGACTACATTCCCTCCAACATACCCTATGTGCATGGTGTAATAGGATTCATGTACTTCACACATGTAATAACTGCGGGGAAAAGTTCCATACTCGGACGTCAATGTATCTGCTGCCAAACATATTAATTGTCACCTCACCTTGTCATTTGAACCAAGAGAAATCCAGGAAGCTGTGTTAAGGTGAAAAAAATTTACTCAAAATGTGTTTTTAGAGCACTTTTTGGATGCATACGTCGTGCAGAACTAACTTGAAGCAGCCGGTCAAAACTGATTGTAGTGGCTGAAAGACAGCGGTACGTTATACAAGTGACATCAACAACCATGACGTCGCATGAGCCTGCCAATGATAGTGCAATATGTCATTATGAATATTTATTTTCTCATGAATATTTAGTTTATTTCAATGGATACTTCAAATATGTCCAAAGATTGATTATTGCAACAGCGATCGTGCGCGGCCTAGCGGTTAAGAGTCTCGTGTATCAACCAAGCGCCAGAGGTTCGAATCCCGATGAAGTAACTGACTGATTAATAAATAGAAATTAAGGAAAGGAGAGGGTGAGAGTAGAGGAGGGAAAGTGGAGGAATAACCATTAAAGATGTAACTTTTGGCGCTAGAAAATTAATTGAAAAAAGTGACGTCCGAGTACGGAATTTTTCCGTAGTATAACTTATAACTAGTACCAAGTACCAATCATCAATCAATGTGATAGAAAAATACAATCTTAGTTCTTACTTCGTGTAGTCTTCTCTCTTCTGAATGTGGTATTTTCTCAGCACTTTCACCTCGTGCAAATTATTGTCGACTTCCCATGAGATAAAGTCAACCTTCTTCAAGAGTTTCTGTTCATGAAATTTAAGTTTCCTCATGATTACGACCAAAAAAACTCCAAAACTGGCAAAAGGAAAATACTGACTTGCACCGATTCACTGCACGTGCATGTTTTGATGTGCAACACAAAATAGGCTGGTTCCCTACCAAATAACATTACAAATACATTATCGACGTCTGGCACAGGAATTGGGTAGGGCGCCCTCATTCGTACAGATGAGGCAAAATAATGATTCACAGACGAGCATCGTTTTTAATGTTCTCTTAATTCATTTATCTTTGCATAAATCTTTGAACAACAAAAGGATGTTTTATAGGCGATTACCCCATTGTGGGTGGTAGCATAACGTTAACCTATTTGCAATTCTTTTGCTGGAAACGTTTGCTCAAGCGGACGTGTAAACTTCGCTTGACTGTTTTCCTTTTCTTCACCTTTTTTTCGAAGTGCCAGCGGCAAGGAAATTAATTTATATCTCGCCGTATTTCCAAAACTATTTGGTCTAGAAACATGGGGATTGTTGCATGTTGTTGGCTTGTTGCCCTACCATCCATCGTTCTATCCATTCAATTTTGTTTTCAAGAAAATATCACTTCTTAATACATTTACAATCAAATAAGCTTCGCCCCTGGCCTATGCACATGCTGGCCAAAAAGTTCAGTTATTTCTCACTGTGTCTCCAAAAAGTTGATTAAAAAAATTGGGGATTGGCGTATTGTTGCCCTACTTTCCAGCTTTTGCTTTTGTTAGATACCTTCACTAACAGATCTACACGCGGGATAGCTCACCGTATCTCCTAAACTTTTGATCTACAAAGTGGGGTTTTGTTGCATGTTGGCACTATATCCAGGTTTCCATCAATATTACATTTTTCAAGATACATAATCAACATTCGCTAACACGCCAAAAGATTTTTTTCTAGAATATTTTCATTAATGAAACTGGAAAGCACAGAGAGCGCAAACCTCCGCCAAGGCAAAGCAATTCCCCGCATAAATGGTGAAGAGTATACTTTAAAAAATCTTGTACTCGTACCAAGGACCACCCCTACAAAAAAAGGTATGTCCATAACTTTTTGAGTTATCTTGTTAACAGACAAACCAAGGAACCAACTAACAAACAAACGAACTAAATCTGATGAAAACTTCCTCAAGGATTCTACTGTGATGTTCACCGTTACTCAGATGAAAATTGAACGCGCGAACTGCGCACGCACTAGGACGACTGTTTATGACGTCATGCTCGATTCGGAGCGCGCATTTCAACCGTCGTCAAACTACTCCTGATTTTGTTTAGTTGCCGTTTTGGATTAGTTGCTTACAAATTTTTTTTTCGGACTGCTCAAGAATATCGTTTGTTTTTGCCAGCAAACTTGAGTCAGATCAATTTCTGACAATAATCCGGGGATATTAAAATTTTCCTCATCTTGTGCTGACGACACAATAGTATTGTCATCATGAAACTTTTCAAAGTAGTCGTCATGATGACATGCCTTGCGATGTGCAGTGCACATGCAGGTAAGGACATTATCCAAATCTTGCTGTACGTAGCTTTCTGAGTGTACAAGTAGAAACGGTTTATAGGAATCATTTCAGAAAACTTTGTTATTTTTTGCAATGATAAGAAATTAAATTCGACATTGTGAAGCGATTTACAATGTGTAGGCTTAGTTTCATAACAGAGCCTACCCTAAAACGTATTGTTCCGATGCAGTGGTAAACTCCCTGAATGGTGTGGGTCCCTCTTTTCTGTATTTCGAGTCGGCCCTGACAATAATGATATTTCTTGTGTCCATACTCGAATACTGGGTTTTTTTGGCCTTTTCTTCCATATCAAGGAAACTTTCCTGCTGTTCAGGCCTTCGAATGCCCGGCCGTGCAGGAGTACCAACGGTGCACCGCGTTCGCAACCGACTTCCTCCCAACCTTGGAAGAGCAATCCACAGCCAATGATGCAGTGGTCTTCATCATTGAGACCGTGCAGGGATGGTGGGCTGCATTCCTCGGAGTCACCAAGGATGAGCTTCAAGAAACCGATCAAATGACCGACTTCATCAACACCAGCCTCCCATCAGACACACCCATAGATCCTTGTTGTGATGATTACGATGAGAAAGATTTTGATTTCAATATCTGGATCCCTGGTGACCAGGAGCTTTCACCGGTGATTATCTCGACTCAGGTGCCTAACTGTGATCTTGAGATGAATCCACCATTACTCTATGAGATACCAGATGATGATGAACTTACGATGGATGAACTAGATCACGACAAACGTTTCAAAGAAATTGCAGCAAACCTGACCTATGATGTAATCGATGACGCCATGCCATTCCAACCACTCACCTACTGGCAAACCATCTCGGCTTTAGTGGACTGGTTCCTGACGCAACTTCTCATCAACACAGCTGCATCTGCACGGCTCCAAATCGAATCCCAATCTCCTTACTTTGGCACCATGCCAATGATGACGTCACCTGTGACGTCTGCTCCACGTGACTTCTTCACCATGGATCTTCGTGGTCAGATTCGTCCAGGGGAGGTTCCCATCGAGAAGCCTCCTCCGCCAGCCTGGGCTACTCGTACCGTCCGCCTTGCCTTTGTCTTCGTGTGTCTCTGCCTGCTGAGCCCTGTGTGTTTCACCGGAGACGAGCAGAAGGAAAAGGCCAGGCTAGCTAAGGCTTTTAAAAGCCGCAAAGGCAATCACCGCAGAAGCGGCCGCAGATATGCCGCTTATATGAACGCTAGAGGGCGCCAGTAAATACCTCAATACGATTTTCGGCACAGTTCGAGACAAGTAAAAGTCACAAGGAGACTAAACATGGAGACAAAAGTCAGAAATAAATAAAAAGAAGACTTAAAAATGGACTGACTAATCTGCCAATCGTCTTCTTTTCGACCTTTGAATGGAACCGCGGATGGACTTGATAAAGCGCCAGCAAAATCCAGTGAAAAAAAGATGAGGAAATAGACACTTTATTTGCCACTATTCACCGGAACTATTCACTATTCACCACTCATGATGGAAAGTGAATTTCTCGCTGTGCCGGAAAAAAAATCCAGAAAAGACTTTCAAATGGAAATTAAGTTAAAATCTCTGCCACAAATTTTTACTTAAATTCAGGCCAAGTAAAGCAAACTTCATAAATTCTTCTCACTAATTATTGGGTATTTTAAATTCATTATTGGAATGATTGGAAATAATTGAAATAATTTAATAGTGTCCGTATCTTCTGACAATTACCCATGATCAGTATTGTTGATTGGAAATAATCTTAGAAATAAGGAACATTAACTAAGCAATCTGAAGTAATTTCATACAAAAACATTTCCTACTTCTTTGAAAGAGTCATAATATTAATTATGCAATATCATTCTATAAACCCGTTGCCAAATCATGGAGTAAAACAGAAAACAAATAAAAATCAAATACATTTTAAATAATTTTGAGGCTGGCCTTTACTTTATGTTTGTCATGCTGTTTTTGAAGTGTCCCTGTTGCATCGTAAAATATTTTGGCATGGTATATGTTGGAATGATGTGAAAGGCATGACGCCGATTTCAGGCGCCCGTTTTGTGCGCATCGTGCATAATATATCCAATCTAACCATACATGCGCCAGAGCCTTATTCATTTTAAAAGCATATAGTGATGCATAATGCGACAGATTTGCCGACATCATTCACACTTCATTGGTAGTTTTGATGCCTTTTATCACCCAATTTAAAGCTGTGTTTTCACCCATACACTCTTCCCGCCCAGTTTACAAAAGTAGACGTCCTTCGATGTACTCAATACAAAATCACATCATCTGACATGGTATTAAGCTTATAGGTCACTACGCTCACGTTATCAAACGGATGCCTGTATTGCTCCTGATGTAACTGTAAACTTTACTCAGCGGCAATTTCACTTTTTGCTTGATCTTAATATCTCATGCCTGGTCAGTTGTTTGACTTAATAATTAGATCATAACAGCCATAGGTCTACTCAGTGTGTCGTCAATTTTCTTTACACATCATTCATGGGTGTAGACTTTCAGTTCCGACACAAGGTTCAACTAATTGGCCATTATTAAACGATGGGAAATATGTACGTGTAGAGTGAAGTGAGATTACATGTACACAAAATGTTATCTATGGACAAGATCCCCCAACTGTTCTTTTTGTCTCTACAAAAGACTCATTTGGTTTGAAAAAGTCTTTGAATTATCTTAATTATATTAAATTTAGGAAAACGTGGAATGAATAGCTTGCGATTATACATGTGTATCTTACTATAATTCCAGGAATCTCTGTCTGTCTGTCTGTCCGTCGATTATCTCCAGAACCGGGCACCGTATGAAGTTGAAAATCGGCGGGTATATTTTTCGGGACAACAGAATGTGCAGTGCAAAGTTTGAAGTTGTTTGGACCAGCGGTTCTCGAAAAAGCTGCAAAAAGCAGTATTTTCTGAGGTAAACGTGGCAGTATATAGCTTAGAACATAACACCCGTACGCACTGCCGTTCTTTTCAATTGTTTACGTCATGTTTAAGCTAAAGCGCGCGTGCTCAATATGACGCAAACAATGCAAAATGGACGGGCACGCGCATGTGCATTGCAGGGCGATACATTGTCCAGTATGGGTGAATACTAATGGATCAATGGGTGAATAGCACTGCATACCATGTTTCCGAATCTACACGGGCACATTATTTTTGAAGTCGACTGAGCGACCATTGTAGGTGGTCGAACTTCAAACTTGGCACAAACTTTGACGTAAGTGTGCCTTCAACCTGTGAAAACAACACCATTGAATAGCGTGCGTTGTTTGCACGAGCAGTTCTCAAAAACTCTGCAAGAGTATGCAACCTATACCAGCGGCAAAGCAATTTGCGTTTCCCGAACATGCACATTTTAGACGGGCACTGCACTAGTATTTATAAGTTACAAAACTTATACAGGCACTTTTTATATCGTATTGCTTTATCAAGCATTTCACTGACTATAGGTGATCTTTAAACTAACTTAACATGGATTCGCATTTGCTCTAAGTAGGTACTTTCTCTGCCGAATCCTTTATGTACAAATGACATTTTTAAGGGATTTTAGATCTTAGTTCAGTGTTCCCACACGTGCTTCATAATTCTTTGGGCATGTCAGATCTTGTCCGATAGGCTAAAAGACGCAGATTATTCATGTTGCACAACTTAAATCTTTTCATATTGGAAAAGTCTTTCTTAAAAACGTCAGCATCCACTCTTACTTTTTTGCCAAGGCAAAAAGAGGCTCAAAATTTAACAGGTTGTCTGTACTATTCAGAGCGTGGTTTCCGAAGCCCGAGTGCCCATTCATCAGTGTACAATCCAGGTCAAAAGACCGGGCCACAACCCTGAAAGAAACGAACGCGGACATTCCACCAGGGTCTGGCCCTGGTATGGCCCGCTGACAATAGCGGCGGAAGACCGCTCCACTATGAGGGGAGGTAGCGTTGGGTTGCGGGATGAGCAAAACGGGACGGTTGGGTGTGGTCAAAATAACGAGGAAATGGAGACAGTTGAGAGCATTTTGGGATGAGTTGATGGGCAACAATGTGTGAAATGCATAATTGTATTAAAAATGGTTGCAGGATGGATATATCATGATCATACATTTTACATACATTACTGCTTTCTCTCTATTTGTATCGATAAAATGAGTTTCAGCTGGTAAGTTTGATCATAGTTTTTGATGGACTTTTTTCTGAAGTGAGTCGTATTGCTCATGGGAAGTCTGATAAGAGAGTTGTAGTGTTTCCTCGAAAGTTGAGTAGATGTGCAAAGTAAAGGAAACACCTATTTTTCGAGTGAAGCGTCTTAACTTCGTTTGGAGAAGTTCTATGAAATGAGTGAAAAGTTCACGTACAGATTGGTTATGATTTTAAGACCAACGTAAGCCGACGAAATCTATGTTTAAATATCGGATTATCAAAGTGACACATCCATGTGGAAAAAGTGGTCAATTAAATTCGAATTTATCCCCTCCAGATCGTCCAACACTTCAAAAAAAGAACCCCCCTTTTCAACGAATGCAAACATTAAGACGCCGGTCCGCATTTAACTATGAATGAGAGGAGTGGGGCTTACGTAACTCTTTTTTCAGAGGGGGATAACAGTTACTGGTCCGTTCGGGAGGGGCTTTACATAGTGCCTTGAATTCGAGAAACCTTGTGGTATTCGTTGGGTACAAAACGTGGTCTTGGATCATTCGAGAGTTTGGGTGGTGTTCCGACGGTCAGTGCTGGTTTCTCTCCGTCCTTTCACCGAGATGGCGCCCACGAATTACGGCGTAGCTGCCCTGGCGGTAGTTTTGTTTTACGTAGCATCCTCAAGTTATGCCAAACCACTAACTCAGGTAGGAATACAGTGTGAAATATCCATTTTCGAAATTAAACTGCAGGAAGTAGCTTTCATTCCTTAATGGGCGGGGCATTGATAGGATAATATACGTGTTACACAAAATCAGGGGTCACGGATTGAGGTTTCATAAGTGTGGCGATTGTCGCTACATAATACTTGGCATATTTCTCAATATTTTAGTCTAACATAATTACGGTAAGCTTGAAAATAAATATTGTTCTTGCAGGATTGTGGCAAGGTGTCAAGCATATAATTATGTCTAATTTAGAACTTGTTTCGTGTGATATTCAAGGCCACACCCAAGTCACCGATCAATAAATAAGTGTGACGGTTAACCGTCGTGAGTAGATGAAATGTGATAAGTCTGGAAATAGGGTAACCATGTCATTTGCATAGATGCTTCAAGTGTACAAACATTGGTGGTAGAAAAAAAGTCAATCTGTTGGTCTATGCCTTTCACTTCGTTAATAAATTTGGATATTTACTGTTATTTTAAGACTTTGATTGACTAGTGAATTACATGCATTGCGTTGCGTGTTTCATACAGTTTAAGCTATGCATTGCAAACATTGATTTAAACGAGACTGACGAAAAGTCAAACATTTTGCGGTATATGATTGAAATTTTCAATTTTGAATTTTACTTTTGCAAATAATTTGGTGTTCTATATTGTTTTGGCTTTTTGTTTTTCTCTAAAATTGCACTTAATACGGTGTATTTGCATCGGTTGGGCAGAGGTTTAAATACTTATTGGTACACATTTTATTTCAACCTTATTCATATCAAAGTTTTGTAATGTCAAAAAAGTGGACTGTTGTGTAACATTATCTAAAGTTTTGTTCGTAATTGGTTTTTACAACTTGAAAACGATCTGACTTAATGTTGGATATCATGCATTTAAAAAGTACAACTTCAATTCTGTCTGGCTCATTGCTGAATTCTGAAACCTGCAAGCACCGGCGTGTTATTCAAGTCAAGCCTTGAAACTTTGAATCGGTCCATGAGAACTCACTAATATGATTCTTTAAGATGAAATGTAACATTACACATTTACCGTTGTCGATTTTCGCGTCATTGTTTTAGTCTTTCTGAGTCGATTTAAAGAGTTAATGTGACTTGTTCCTCAAACTTAAAATGTAAACAACTCTTTGTAGATTAATCGGGATCTTAAATCGACCGCCGATCCGATTCGGAAATACGTGGGCGTTGGCTGTCCTCGCCCGGCCGCAAAACCTGAATCACCGGTCACCATTCAACGTCCCTGCTCGCTGCTCCAATCGCTGCACCCCGAATTAGCGTAAGCAAGTCAGTCTGATGAATGGAGTCTTCAAGAAATCCTTGTGAATTGCCATGGAGCTTTTCATTCAAGAATGTTAGTTAGCACACAAATGCAGCTCTTGTATGCTAGAGACTGACTCAATGGGCGTCATTGTACCAGGGGGTCTTGACTGTAGATGTACATACAATGCTCCAGCGCAGGTTACGTATATTTAGATGTATGCGTTTTGCATAAGCTTAGCGAGGTAGTCGCCAATAGGCTAAGAATACACACACCAAAGTGGAGAAACCTTGATTCAGTTTTCAATATCAGTAAAATGTAATAAATGAAATGGTAAAAAGAATATGAAGTGACAGAAAAGCCTGCAAAAATTGTCTGTGAACTACAATCACTTTTGTGAAACTTTTTGTGTTGGCAAAGGCTCCGGCACTTGAAGAAGCTCTTAAAAAATCAGAATAAATCTCGTCCCCATTCGTATGCAAAACGGTGGTTTACTTGGCAAAAGCTTATAGGCCAGCTCCCCATAGATCGATCGGTGGAGTAGTATCCAAGACCTTGTTTAACACAAACCCCAATACTTATCATCCTCAAAAGCAGTACGAGTACGATGATGAGCGCCGAAACCAAAATATCCTCAATTACAACACCTATATGCAACAAACTCCCCCAGACATCAAGCAACCTTCAGTTTTAAATGTATCTTCAAATCGAAAATTTAAGACGTGGTTTTCAAATTGCAAATCAGAAACTTTTGGTCGTCAAAGTTATTCACAAGCTAATTCTTAGTTATTAGTTTTTGCTGTTAAACGTAATTGTATTTTGGCAGCAGCATGCATGGACAAAGTGCCGCTGTGCACTGCACTTTCGCGTAGGCCCCTACACATTAATGGCACCATTCCCGATGACCCATGCATTCAACCATGGCTGAATCACGCTTCACCGGCACCGAGCCACACCCGATCGCGAGTGGTACGCCGTGCGAGCCCCCTTTGTTTGGCCGTGTTTGTCCGGTCCTTGTCCGTAGTGTCCTGCCCCATCTCCGTAATCCGTGTTGAGTAAACGAATCGCCGGTCCGTAAATTCCATTCATTTGGAATTGTTAAGGCGCTTTGCTTGTGTGGGGCCGAGTGGTGTGATTTAATCACTCCGGGATATTGAATCGCACCGGAGGGAGCTAGTCCAACGGAAAAGACCGATTGAGTGATTCGAAGTTTAACCGTGCACACGATCATTTCAAGATTCCCCTCTTTTTTGTGAAGAAAAAGTGTAGTACATATAGGCCTATCCAGACCCACTAATTTTGGTTGTGTAAAAAGTTAATGGAAAGTCAAGAACATTTATTTCCTAGCAAAATAAGAAGTGTTTCTCAGTTTAGACATGTCTTTTCAACATATTGTGTTTGCAATGACTTATCTTTATTGGTCATATATCTTAAATGACTCTAATGAAGGTACGTTTTTAACCCAATTTACTAGAAAACGTGGTACATAATGAAATGCTGTCTAAGAAAACCGCACGTTTTACGCCGTTTTTGTTTTGTGATCTGTCGTATACAGTGTATTCATAGTACCAAAGTATCTCTATAGGTATAACGCCTGCAATCATTTTGAAACTTTCAAATGGCAAGTATCATAGTATAATACATGCGGTATCGTTATAACATTACATTAAAAGATAACATTACATTAAAAGTAAATCAAGTTATATCCTCTCATTGCAGAGTATGGAGCTGAGCGCTGCAGATCGTGTCCATTATTTCGGCCAAGCAGAAGGTTAGTAGCCTACAGTTCTCGTAAAATGAATGAAAGCGATTAAGCTTTGCCATGTCAACAGAACAGAAACGATCGAGTTGGTTTATTTCTCTCATTATTTTGCAGCTGTTCTTTTACCTTGGTCTATCATTATTAAAAAGCCAGTGCATCTAGATTTCAATTTTAACTATCGAAAGTTTTTGGTAATAAATTTGTTTCGTTCATATCACAATTTTAAACTGCACGAAATTTACGGCATGGCGTTTCTGAACCGCTTGTCAGCAGCGTACAGTGCAGCAATCGGTGAAAGAAATAAATGAGAAACCATGTCAAAGTATTATATTTCAAAAATACGGAGAAAAAAGACCAGTGTACAGTGAGAATTACAATATAATGAACACCTCTATGCGTCACCAGTTCAACTTCATGAAATCGATGGCCTAATTGCTTTTACACTAAACGATTCCTGGAAAGAAATTAAAGACTTAATCCTACGAACCTTAAACCATACCAGTAAGGTAAATCCTTGCCGTGGCAGACCCATTCCTCCACCTCTATGATGGCCCTTAATGAACCACTTGTCATAGATCACTGACATCCAGCGAATACCAATGATGTCCTTGTAAAAGCCATCGTCTATTGCTGTGGATATTTTCTCTATTGTTGCGTAAATCTCAAGGCGAAAAATAGTCTACTGTATGGTTTACAAATTGATGCTTCCGAAAATGACCTCCAAAGAATTAGGTTATAAAAATGGGTGCAATGCAAGTTTGATTTTGACTTTTGGGCCTATCCATAGAAATGAAAATGCGAGTGTGCGCATAATTATTATATCAAACTGATGCATGAAACAATAATAGCGCATATTAACCCTAACAGAACTCAACCCATCAAACCACAACGGCTTTTTTTGTTGGAATCTGTCCGGATGGGTACAGTTCCCCTAAACTTGACAGTCTTTACATTGGGTTGGTGCACCTTCAGAATCAGTCAAAAATATGTGTGTGCAGTTTCCCATATGGTGTTGGAATTTGCCAGGATGGGTATGGTCATTAGTACATCATGCTAGGGAGTTGGGGTTAGCCTTCAAAATTAACAATTGATGGAAACTTTTTTTCGGAGAACTAAACAAATTTTCTGCCGAATGTATAAACAATCTTTGAAAGTCGTTCTTCTACTCGCTAAACAGTGCAAGATTTTGAGCTGGTCTCGCCGCAAGTTTCCAAGAGGAGGCGACGGGGCAAGCACATCGAAGCTAAGAAGGTTGTCTTCGAAGCCTTCGATGAGAGATTCGATATTGCCCTTGAGCCCAAGGTGGGGCTAGTGGACGCAGGAACGCTGGTCCACGAAGTCGGCAAGGATGGGAAGACGGTGCTGAGTCAACCCAAGGAATACTGTCTGTATGTTGGCAAGTCATTGGACCATAAGGATTCCACTGTGTCCGCGAGTGACTGCGGCAACAAGGTATAATGATCGAGATTGGCCTTTATGGCTCTGGTAAATTTAAAGTCAGTTAGCGATTATACTTGAAACTTTGAAAATTATTGTTTTACAACAAGCGACTTTAAAAAGTAAATAAGTACTATTGCTATTTGGGTTTTATTGCAGATTATTCGATGTTAATTAAAATTACAAAATGAATACATTTTTTCGTTTTTTTGGTTTCCTTTTTGGGGCACATTTTCATTGGAAAAGTAATAAATAAATGTGGAAAAAAAAGTGGAGTGCATGGATCAAAGAAAAACTATCGTGCAGCAATTAATGTCTGTCACATTTGGAATGAACAATTATTTTAGAAGAATCTTCTATATTGATTGTATTTCCTTGATTAGCTGCAAGCATCGATCGCTACAGACAAGGCAGCGTTCCAGCTGCAACCGCTGAAGACTGAACACAAGGAAAAAGATGGTCCTACCCACATGGTTGTACGAAGGAGTGTCAACACTCAAGCATGCAACATGGACGGTCAGTATTTCGGCTCGAGGCGTTCGCCAATATTTATTCTTAAATGTCGAGACGCGCGCGCATTTTGGTAACCCCTATTGGTCAAAAGAGCATTAGTGTGCGCGTACCACCTGACCACGTGACGGCTCTCAACCAATAAGAATGGGTAAACCGTCTCAGGTATTTATGAATGAATTCAAATTGTTATTGCAGGACTATTGTTGATGTACCCTAACGTGGCGCGGCCCCTAACGTGGCGCGGCCCCTAACGTGGCGCACTTGGATTTTTCGCCGGTAGCGCCTACCTAGAGCAAAATTTTAAACTGAAATTTCACAGAAAGTGAAATTTCATCAAGTTCTAAACGGTCCTGTTCATAAATCGCGAGTTTATTTACCCGTAACAAAGTTTAAAGGAAAAGCTATTTTGGCGTGATTTTCCGATTTTTTTTCAAGTGCAAAGTGAACCCTTTGAAAATGCCCTGAAAAATAAGAAAATAATTTTCTGACAAACATTTGGCTGGGTATGTAAGTAAAGATATTAATTATTTATCAGAATTTATCAAGTTTACAGGAATTCGTAAGTGTTAATTTGGAATTTTCCAAGATTTATTCAAGTGCGCCACGTTAGGGAACACTCCGCCAATTTGTGCCCAATTTCCGGACACCACCGTTTTTGAATTTCGGATTAAATTTTATGAAACTGAAATTGTTCACAGAGGTTAAATAGCAAGCATTGATAAGGTAAAAGTACTAGTATTTCATTGCATGAATTTGAGGTTTGTCAACAAAGAGGTTTGGCAACACTACACGAGGAAAGTCGGGTAAGCTTCGAAGTGCGCCACGTTAGGGAACACGACTATATAGAATCGATCGTCTAAATGAAATTGCAAATCTACACGATGATCTTACAGACAAGGTTTTTTTTTCAAAGCTGGACTATCTGGCACTTACCTATTTGGTATCTTTTCTCTTTCCTTGCAGCTGAAAGATCCTTGGAGTCGACTATGTCCAGACGCAAGAGGTCTACAGCTGAACCGATTTACGTGGATGCTTCGGTTGTAGCAGACGATCTCATGTACAAAACCTACGGCAATGAAACCAATAACTACCTTCTTACCATTCTCAATCAGGTGAGACTCTGGTTGTAGTTGGTCACTGATATAAATCACGTGACTGCACGTTTAATATTGTGATTGGCTATTAAGTTACACAAGTGTCCTACAGTGACTGCCATTCGTCACTCATTTGACACGTGGGATCTTAATAAGGTTTGCTTATATTTCACAATGTGTGCGACAAAATATTTCTTTCAACAATTTTATTTAGAATTTCTCTAAAAAAATATTTTGTTTGTTTCATTTGTTTTACTCAGGTCGCTGAATTGCTGAAGGACCCTAGCCTTGATATCCAAGTCAATTTGAAAATCAGCAATATTAAGATCGTCAAGACGCCACAGGTAAAAAAAATGATTAGAAGTGAAATAGAAATCATGTTTTTGAAATGTTGATAACGATAAACGATGCACATGTTGACCAGGGGCAGTTTAAGGACACCGTACAATCTCACAAAATCTCATCTACCCATTAGACACTTGAGGGCGCTGTGCTTAATTTCATTGGAAAAATGCGGTTTCTTTGAAACTCGGCACACAAGTTGTCTTATCATTAAATTGCTTAATTTTTACGACTTTTATGTGCATTTAGCTGGATCTATCTTTATCAGAGGAGCTGGAAAAGTCCCTGGAGAGTTTCTGCTCTTGGCAGAAGAAAAGTGATTCCGACATTTCCATTCTTATCACAAGGTAATCTACGTTTTCATTAGTTTTTGCTTGAAATATTTACCTTCACTAGTTACGATATAGGCTGCAAAGTTAGGCATGATCTTTCCCAGTATGTAGAAAATAATCTAGATTAAAAGCCCAGTAACTTGTTAAATAAAGACAGGGGATATTTAGCTGCCCCAGCTTTCTTTTAACGAAGTGGCTATCGTTACGGCACTCGTTGTTTAGCGCCCTCTACGATATTTTTTTGATACGCACGCAGGTATATAATTATTTGTTTCTCCACGTTTTCTCGAGCAGTGCGCCAGCTGATAGAGGATAGGACTTTGCACCGCGAGGTTGCGGGTTCGAATCTCAGTTTTGCACTCGAATTTTTTTCCTTTTCTAACCTGAGGCTTTGGAGGATTTTTTTTTAAAGGGAAATAAAGTCCGAATTTCATAAAGTTCAAATTCACTTTTTTCCTTCTAATTTTATATTTTCTTGTCATGTTTTTTTATAAAAGTTGCCAGGTTGCAGTCTACCGTAACGATAGAAATTGGGAAATGCGTTACGGCTGCCGTAACAATAGCCACTGCGTTCTTTTAATAAATGGTATTTTGCCGGTTAAGAATTAATTAAGATGGCCATGGGCGGTGTGTGAGTTTTTTTGGGGGGGGGGGGAGGGAATTGAAAATGTCCTACCGGGGCAACTCTGAACCTTGTTCCTTGCCAACATTGTCGTTGTGACTTCAATCATATTCACGGGATTGGAATCAAACCATTTCACAATTTTGGACTTTTGTCCCTTGAAAAAAAAATCCTCCACTATCCAGAACCACGATTCAGAAAAAGAAAATGTAATAGGCCTAGGCCCTACTCCGTAATTAATGTTGGAGTCACTTTAAAACAGTAAAGAATTTTTAATTTTTGGGGAAAACAATTTCATAATGTCGCTAGCCGGAAGTTGAAGCAGAGACCTTTCACTCATGAAATACACGCGCTATCCATTCCACCACAGGTGCTGCACAAATGATGGAGGTAATTTAATACCTTTGATAATGTAATCCAATTGTTCTTGTATTTGAAAGGCGTGACTTGGTCTCTGGTGGCAACCATAAGGTGACTGGTAAGGCAGCTGATGTCGGTGGAGCATGTGACCCAAAGAGGCGTTGTCTGATTGGTCAGGATCACGGACCTAGCGGACTCATCTTTACACTGGCTCACGAGATTGGTCATAGGTAATGTAGCCAATAGATACAGATCTAAGTTGTCGCTGGCTGAGCCACATACCATTAAAGTTCAGTCAATTTCCAATTCGAAATAGGAATGAAGACTTGGGCGAGGCCCTAACTTAACGAAACAACCATAACTAAAACTGTGGAAGATGATTACAGTCCCCCAAACAGCACTGGAATTTAAATTGAAGACATTCCAATTCAAACATATTTCAAAGTTAAAACATCTTTTAAGTGTGTATAAAGCATTTTGCTCATCACACATGATCTAGCTTTTTGTCAGTGAAACTAACATGAAATAAGTTTTCTTTATTTGCAGTTTATTGTCTCGTGAACAATTCTCTGAATACTGTCAGATTACAATGCACCAGCAGTATATTTCAAGACTTTCTCATTCTTTGTTATATTGCATGAACAGCCTTGGTATGTACCATGACGGTGGACTGAGTGACTGCGCCAACAAGAAGAACATCATGGCTTCTGTCAACTCCGGAGGGCCTGAGGCCTTCCGCTGGTCTGAATGCAGCAACAATGACCTCCTCAACTTCCTAGCGTAAGTAACTGTCTTTGTTCAATGAACTCTTTATAGGTTGATGTCTGTCGCTAGTTAAGGATGAGTAGGTAAAGGGATCTCTTTTGATGATTCTTTATTTTATTGCAGTCGTCCAGAGTCTAAGTGCCTGAAGAACAAACCCAAGTCTCTACCTGACTACACTCCGTCATCCATCCCAATGCCTGGCTTTTATTTCAATGCTACTGAGCAGTGTGCCATGACTTACAATGCAAAGAGCACTGTCGCCTCCGAGGTTCTCAACAAAAAGGTGAGTGAAAAGTTTCATATTTGTGTAGATATGGACCGAAGTATTTGCTCTTGTATTCATTCCTCAAGTTGGAGAAACATTTAAGGCTTGTTTTATTAACATTAACTTGCATCTTTTAGGAGAAATTATTTTGTTCTTGTTTTTTGTTGTGTGTAGGAAATCTGCACAGCTCTTGTCTGCAAGAACGGCAACGGAATCCCAGAATCCACCAATGTTCCCCCCTTGGATGGAACTCGCTGTGGAACCAAGCGAGATGTAAGTTTTCAGTGCTCTGTGTTCGCAACATTGAGTAGATATTAGAAATAACCATAATTTGGGTGTCACAAGTTTGACCCTGATTGATTCTGGTTTTCCTAGTGGCAGACACTACTTAGATATATTATTTAAGTTCCAAGTTTGCAACTTTCAGATATTTTGACTAGTGTCGTTACAGCATACATTGCAAAAAACACTGCCACGAATTGCTATAAAAACAGAACCCTCGTACTCCGAAAGATGTCTGGTCAGACAGATGATATCATTTCTGTTTTAGTCACAATTTTATTGATTTAAAACCTTTTTACCCCCTCAGATTTGCATCCATGGAGAATGTCTGAAAGTCTACAGCACCATGGATTGTGATGGTGGCCCATGCATTCCATTGTAAGCTCTCAGAATCTTACACTGTTCTTTAGTTTTTCTTAGAGTAACTTTCGGCTGTCACAGGTTTGATTTATCAAGAGAGACCTCCGGCATCCTTAAAATCACTTCAATGTTCACTTAAAGAGAATATCTAACCTTACTGCTTGGTCGTTACTGCATGGATGAGCAGCTACACACTTAAAGGAAAGCCAAGATAAGCCTCCGATAGGCAAAAAAGCATCCTTTAAAGATTATCATTGCAAGTCTATGAGTTTGTATCTTCCATTACAAATACAAAATCTGGTGTACTGACAAATAACGCAGTCCAAGTGTAACAGTTTTGCCGACATGAAGTTGGAATTCAGTACAAATTGGCGTTATTGTTTAAGTTAAAGAAAACAATGTAGTGTATAGTGTTTTGGCATATTTCATGAAAACCCTTCATTGTTCCGTTTGCATATATTTTTGTTATAAACAAGTATAAGAAACCTAAAAATCAAATCAATCTTTAGACCATGGTGTCCTTTTGTATGCTTCATTTGTCCAACCATTTGATGATTTTCACCTGTTTGTTATTCACTGCAGCTGGCTTGCAGGCAGTTATACTTGTCAGAATTCCACTTCGTGCGTGGCGACCCGCTCGGTTCTCTGCGTCGAGGAACATGACGACGGTACAACCCGACGAGTTCTAGATCTTACACGGTGCCCAAATGAAGTACCAACAGATACAGGAATTTGTCCGGATGATCCATGCAGGTTAGATGTGACACAGATCGAGACAACTTGCACGCGAAAAAGTCTGTTTTTCTTCTGATTTTTTCTTCTTTTCTTCTTGTTCTTCAATTCCCCTGACTTTGAACATGTTTCATATTCAGTGCCACCTTTGACATTAAACAGACTCCGATCTTGATGAAACGTAACAATCAAAGACCATATAGTGAAGATGGTCGTAGAGATGGACGTCATGGTGACGTCATCACATATAAGGTGCAACTTACAACTTACGATATCTAGAGAATGACCAGGCCTATCTGGTTGAAACTTTGTAGGTACATGTACATAGTGACGACATGAATATTTGAATGTATTACACAAATTTCCATTTTCTGAACTAATTTGTTGTAGTGACCATTGTCGAATCACTGGCATATATCAATATTAGATCAGAAAAAAAATATGGCCTCTCAAACTTTTAATTTCAGAAGAACATTATGCATCAGTGTTTAATGTACTAGACTTCAAGAGTCATTGAAAATGACTTCGGTTGCAGTTATTTTCTTTTGTTGTAGTTGCTTCTAGTGTTCCAAGCATTAAACTTTTTGTTTTAACTTTCAGATCAGTTTGGAATGCCAGTTTGTAAGGATAAAGATTTAAGTGATGTTCAAACTGACAGGTTCCTGGGTTCCATCCTTTTCCTCCTCGTTAAGGTTTTCCTTCATCACGGGAGAATATGGTACCTGCTCGGTAACCTGTGGAACTGGTCTCCAAGTCAGGAATGTGGATTGCCAAGATCGTTCTCAGGAGATTCCGACCACAGTCAACGATGCCCTGTGCCAAGAAGCCAAACCGTTGACGACACAAGTCTGCATTCTGCCTGCCTGTCCAGTCAACTCGTACAGCTATGCTGTGGGACAGTTCCTGGAGGTAAAACACGGCTTTCTTAGGTTTACAATCAGTTACATCGTTGTCAGTGCAAACAAATCGCAACTGCCAAATTTGTCAAACACTTGGAAGCTTTTTGTGGATTTTTATTCAGATTTACTCGTAGATTATTACTACTATTATTGAACTATTCAATTGAATATTTCATGAAACTAAAAACTGATAATTTCCAACTTGTGAACATACATTGTTCTCCTGATTCTCGGTTCTTGTAGTGCTCGGTGACATGTGGGACTGGTGTTCAGCTACGATCAGTGACTTGCCAAGACAATGTCGGTGAAGCCGTGGCGGAAGTGTTCTGTATTCAACTGGGTCTATTCAGACCATCCACTACTCAGAATTGTGACACTGGTATCAGCTGTGGACTCCGCTACGTCGCTGGCCCTTATGCCACGGTAAGGTTTTGTAACAATAGATTTTGAAATCTCAAATATCCTCTTAAAGTAAATCAATTTTTTATCATTAAGTGGCAGAGTTAACTTTTTTTTCAATGTTCTTCTTTTGTCTGCAGTGCTCGGTCACCTGCGGCTCGGGTACGCGTACCCGCATGATCTACTGTGTGAACGATAACAATTTGGTCGTAGCTCTTGCTCGGTGCGAGGATGCTCAGCTGGAAGAACTGCCTCTTACGACCAGTTGTGACCAGGAAGCGTGCCCTTCTCCTGTCTACACCGCGCTCAGGGGATCGTGGTCTGAGGTATTGGGATCATTTAGTGATTTCTTGTACCAGTCAGTGTAGTAAAGTGTTTCCTGTCAAGGTTCGAACCCCCGTGCCATGGCACGCGAGTGGAAGACCGTAACCATGGGACCACAGCACTCCACTTTCTATAAATTTTTATAGAATTTTATAGAATTTTTATTTAGCAAATGCTCCCCATAAATAATATTTTTGTTCCTTCATTTATTTTGTTCTTTATATTCATAACAGTGCTCGGTTACATGTGGGCTAGGCACGGAGACCAGATTTGTGGCGTGCCGCAATAACGATGTGGACGTTGACGTGCAGAACTGCATTGATGCAGGATTGACTGACTTGGAGACGTTGAGGGTTTGCACACGGCCGACCTGCCAACCGGAGTATCGCTTTGAAGCTGGTGCATTTAGTGATGTAAGTCTAAAATTAAGGAATTTTTACTGTGTCCTTTAGGACTGTTGCTTTTTGACTTATTCACGGTAGTAAAAAGTCTTGTCTAGTGTTAAAGCCATTCCTTATAAAAAAACATTGTACTTTTAGTATGACTTACTGTTCAGTGATGCAGTGGTACAGGCATGGTATGCTTAGTGCTTTTGTACAGCTAGTTCAGAAACCTGCAGAAAATTACTCAGGTGGGACTCGAACCCATAACCTCCTGCTTACTAATTCAGATGTCTCGCCCCTTGACCGTTGAGGTTGTCTGATTTTGGCCCACTGGTTTGAAACTGATATAATTTGCTGGTACTTGCTTTGGTTTCATACCACAGTGTTCAGTGACCTGTGGCACCGGACTACGCATCCGTGATGTCCAGTGTTTGGACCAAGACGACGTGGCAGTAGCCATCGATAACTGTCTGGCCATCGGCTTGACACCGCCACCAAACACCATGGAGTGCACTCTGGAAGACTGCCCAACCTACATCTATCAAGTCGGTGAATTTGGAGCTGTAAGTAACCACCTCCCAATAGTGACGTCAACAGATTAGGCAACTGCTTAAAACAGGGCTACATTTGACGTTCTGGAAGTCCACGGTTCTAATCCTATCAGTGCTTTCTGAGAAGACTGCCAATAACATAGCTTGGTCGCTTAGTCAGTAGAGCACCCGTATATTGTTCTGTAGGTCCACGGTTCAAATTCTCCTTCAGGCTCATTTCAGAAGACTGCCAGGATTGGTTGGTAGAGCACCAGAACTGTGTTCTGTAGGTCCAAGATTCGAATCCAATTCAGTCTTATAACAATTTCCATAGCTTGGTGGAAAGAGCCCAGTGTGGCACCTTTTAAGTCAGAGGTTCAAATCCTGTTGGACTTCTTTAAAAGACTGCAAACACATGTTGGATATCTTTGACCATGGAACACCAGTATTGTGCTGAGTTGGCGTAAGGTTCGAACCTATTTTACTCTCATTTGTTTCCTTCCATGCCAACAGTGTACTGAGGAATGTGGAGATGGTCTGCAGCTTCGTGCCGTGGTCTGTGTTAATAACGACACCAAGGCTGTCGTGGATGATGCAAACTGTCCTGGACAGAAGCCTGCCTCAACACAGCCTTGCAATCTCATGCCTTGTAACACCCTGTAAGTTGGTTGGATGGAGTCTTGTAGCGGAGTCTATCACAAGGCCGTCCCTAGACTGTAGCCAACAATGCCAAGAAATTACAAATGCATACAAATGTTCATAACTATACGTTATATATTAAGCAGTGTTTACATTGGTGAGGCATTGGTACAGCAAAGATTTGATTTGTGATGGAGTGTCTAACCTTTGACCTGTATCTTTGACCTTTGACCTTTCTCCCTCCAGGCTTCAGTTTGTCACCAGTCCTTTCAGTGCCTGTAACTGCAGCGGTCTGCAAACACGTATTGTCATCTGTATCCAGCGTGTGGGTATCGTCTTGGAGCAAGTCTCCACACAGAATTGCTTGGATGCTGGTCTTGAAGCCCTACCGACCACTCAGGATTGCCCCCCACCAGCAGACTGCGTCCAACCCAATCCTGTCTGGCAGACCACTGAATGGAGCCAGGTAATGATAGAACAGCAGTTGATTTCTGATTATGATACTAAGAAATCCTCAAAAAGGCCCTAGGCACTGTAGCTCGCAAGCCTGAAGAAACCTGTAGAGAGAAGACAATGAGAAGAAGCTACAGTTTTAGAGGTGGGAGGAAAACCCCAGAATATTCTGGGGGCTGGGGAGAACCCACGGAATCAGGTAGGGACTGAAACCCAATCCAAATGTGGACCGGGGCGGTATTCGAACCCGGGTCACAGCAGTGGAAGGCGAGGAAAGTACCGCTGTGCCAACCCGACTCCCTAGGCCTGCCGAGTCTGGCTAGACCCTGCAGTTTGAAAGCACTTTCAACAGTTTCGAACATTTCAAGAAATGTAATTTCCCTCAACATGTCAATTTTTTGTTATTGCTGCGTAGTGCCCAGTAACTTGTGGCGTCGGTACCCAGACTCGACTGGTTTACTGCATCGCACAGCCAGGATCGACCGATATCGTTGATGATTCAGAGTGTGTTGCTGGGGACAAGCCACCAACGACACAGGAATGCGACACGGAAGTCGTATGCCCAACTGCGTAAGTCAAACACAAACTCAACTGAACTACGTGTATTAGTTTTAACAAATGAAATCTAGAAATGTACCAAGAGGTGCTTGAAAGAAGAACGTGGTTACTGACGTGTTTCCAGCTCTGTGCTTGAAGTCATTGTTAATGTTTCATTCTCAGCTACCTGTGGTTGACCTACGGCTGGGGAGCATGCAGCGTGACCTGCGGCGAAGGCTTCGAGTCGCGTGATGTCTTCTGCTTCAGTCTGGGAACTAACATCGTCCAGGTTGAAGACTCGCTCTGTAACGCTGGAGAGAAACCCAACACTGTCCGGCCATGTAGTCTGGCGCCGTGCACTGCATCATGGACAACATCAGGCTGGACTGAGGTAACATTCCATCTTAATATCCAGACAGGTTTATTTAAAAACATTATGCGGGATTGGATAAGAACTTGGCCATTCACACATTACGTGAGACTTTGCGACTCTTTGACGTCAGAGCAGAAAAAGTGTCATCATTGGATTCCTTCACAATGGGAATTTAAGATGAAATCTTTCGGAAATTAGGGTAAAGAAGTTCTTGTTCAATGTCTCTAGTCGCTATGATGTTCCTATCAAAAGCTTTCTTGAAGACTAAGAAAACAATGTGTTAAGCTGGTGTTCTACTGAGTTAAATTGGTCTTAGAATGTAAATTTAACTCTTATAGACTAATATGTGAGCCCACTAAACTTTAACGAGATTATCACTACGTGAAATATTGTCCATGATAACATATACTCTGTTTCTTGCAATGTTGTCAGTGTTCTGTGACCTGCGGTCCTGGTACGCAAACCCGCACCGTTGCCTGTCAGCAGACCAAGGATCCCAACAGCAACGTCGTTGACGAATCAGAATGCATCGCTGAAGCCCGTCCCTCGGAAGCCCGCCCCTGTTACCTGGCACTATGCCCCGCCCCCTTCGGCTGTAATACGTCCTACATGCTGGAAGGCACTGTGCAATACACAGAGAGCTCGCCAGGTTTCACAGCTGGACAGAATTACCCGAATGACCTGGAGTGCTCCAAGGCTTTCGTTGCTGATAATAACATCCAGGAAGGTAGACGTAGACGTAGACGGAACGTTCAGGAACCACAGTACTGCATTCAGCTAACTTTCACAGCGTTTGACGTAGAACCATCAACCGACTGCACTGTGGATTATCTAGAGGTAAGAACATTTCAGATCTTAATCTGAACTTGGAGGCAATGATAGTGGAACACCACCACAATGGCTATTGTGAATTGCAAACTACTGTTATTTGGTGCAGTGACCTATTGTACATACATGAATTGTTCCAAATATAAAGGAACATTAACCTGATATAACTGTACCATCCCCTTAGGCAAATTCTTTGTACTTTCAAAATGACATCTTGGCCTTTGTCCCCTGAAAATCATACAAAATCCACGTTTGCTTCTGGTGGATTTGGGATCTATATAATAGTTCTCGTGATCATTAAATTGACGCAAGTAAATATCGAGCCTTCCTCGGTAAAGAAGCCCCGGTAATATTCACAAATATAAGTGGCACTTGCCTGAGACAAACGTTGAAGTTATGGATTCTAATCCCCTGATATTTCTTTCCAGATTTCAGACATCAGGTACAACACATCAGAGCGTCTGTGCGGCAACACCTACGAGCTGCCTCTAGTCTGGGAGTCAGTGGGTCCTCATGTCAACCTGTACTTCCACACTGATGCCACGGTCACACGGCCAGGGTACTCTGTCATCTATAACGCTGTGGAGAAACAGGATCCAGCTGGCTATGAAGTCACTGCATGGTCCGAGGTAAGTCGGTCAGTTGGTTTACATCTGTGAAATTTCCAGTACACGGCAAGTATTTCATCATTTGCTGAGCAGCAGTGCAGTGATCAAGAAATATTCATGTACTCATTTGGTGCACAGCCATGTGCTAAATGCCTCTTAGAATTTGACGTCACAAAATTATATTTAAAGGAGCCTGTTACAAACTCTTCAGCCGATTTCAACAGTGCATAACTTATGCCATCTGTAGGACATACGCAACAAAATTCTTGCACAGCTGCGCAATAAAATTACGATCAATTTCACAAAACTTTGCGTAGCTGCATAACGTTTTAAAGAATCTGAACATCTTGGACGAGGATAACGGCATTTACGACAGTTGTGGCTCTAGCCTTAATTATAACTTGTGTCAATTTTCCAGAAAAAATAGGTTTCTGAGTCTGTTGATATGCGTCAAAGCTGAAGATGAGGTATCTAGATGAACTTTTAAAATTATTTGCCGACTTTACAAAATTAATGGACCCGACATCTTGCTTTGCAGTGCTCTGTGACTTGTGGAGAAGGCGTCGAGACACGTGAAGTACTGTGTGTCCGTGGCAATGAGACCGTTGATGAGAATGAGTGTAGTGGTCTGCAGAAACCTGTCTCCATCCAGCCGTGTGTGGAAGACGAGTGCATCGAACCTAGCGGTGAGTTGGAGTCGTGTGAAATCAAACTTTCTTTTCAAAAAAACGTACAAATCAGATGTCTCTTAATCAAACACTCCTCATTGACCAATAATATCTTGACGTTTAATCACTTGACCAAAGTAGCTCTGTCAAATTCAGTCACAAGCAACAGAGGTGAGCGGGGCTAATGACTGATCTGAAAGGTTCATAAATAGCTTCAGCCATCATAAATTCGGGCAACTCACAATGCAGTGCACCTTGGAGAGTCAATTTTTCGAGTTTACGGTCGACAAAACGCAGTCCATTTGAATGAGTGTCAGTAGAAAACTTAAGCTAATTTTATTATAGATTGGGGCATAGCGTTCTGCTGGCTCTTAAAAAAAACACCATATTGATTAAAAGGAAAAAAAAGGGCGAACATATATTTGAATCATACTGACAATTTCAAATGTTCCGCGCTGTGATTTTGTCGACCATCTCCCACAATGCACTGGGAAAAATGAACTCTCCGTGGCAAACTCTTGGTGGCGCACTGAATTGTGAATCGCCCGAATTAGCTTAAGTCTCTAAAAAATAACAATAAGGCAGAAATTAAACTGGATTGCATAAATTTGTTTGTTGCTTTATTGTTGCCGTCAACAGTTTGCAGCGGGGATCTTCTTCGCACAGAGAACAATGCTATCATCTTGTCTCCCGACTTCCCATCGGCCTACCCAAACAACATTTCCTGTTCTAACGTGATCCGTGCCCCGGAAGGAATGATAATGGAGATCTTTGTCACTTTCTTCAACCTCCGTCCCGAAGAGTGCAGCGACAAGGTTTTGGTAGGTTTGAAAGCTTGGGCACTTCTGTGCGTTTTTCTGCGGATAATTCAGACTTTCTTTCAGAATTCCCTTTGAGATAGATTCATCAAGGATTTGAAGCCTCCTTTACACCGTTTTAAAATTCTCATTTTCAGATCAAAGACGTGAACGTCGATGGCGAACCGCTGGAGCTGTGTGGTAACCAAGCTCCCGGCATTGTCTTTACATCCATCACAAATGAGGTGACGGTGCAGTTTGAGTCGGCTGAAACAGGATCCATCTCTCCAACCGGTTTTGGCTTCAGTCTCCGAGCTGACTTCATGAACCAACCACGTAAGCTGGGGTAGTGGGTTGGGTCCCAGGGTAGTGGGGTTGGGTAGTGGGTTGGGTCCCAGGGTCGTGGGGTTGGGTCCCAGTCAAGGAATCGTATCCACTCTCTTTCAAATAAGCTACAGACTAGACTTACAGCGCCCGATAAATTGAAGTGCTAAACCCAACTTCCGAAAATCGTATTTTCCAAATTCATCGTGTTTATCAGATTTGATGTAGGGCTTTCTTTTCATGCAGTTTCTCAACATGTCCAGAGCAAATGTATTTCGTCGTCTTTGTAAAATCAAACTGTTACTCTATTGACAATTTAAATCCTCCAATGACATACTCTCTCTGTCATTCTGGAAGGGACGTTGTTGAATGAGAATCCATTGACGTAGCTGAGATTGACGTCGTCTGTTTTTCCCCCCATATTTCAGCGGTTTCTTGCGGTAACCAGATCTCAGAATCTGGCCGAGCTGTCTACTCGCCCAACTACCCCGGTGATTACAACCTGAATGAGAACTGTTTGACCGTCATCAGGAATGACGGGGGTTGCATCAAGCTACGATTCTTGGATATAGACCTCCCTCCCCAAAACGGACAATGCTCGGACTTTGTTCAGGTGAATATCTGGTGGTAACAGTTAACTGATGGTTTGTTACAAGGCTAATCCCTTGTTATTGGTTAAGTTTCTAAATTATCCAAGCTAAGCTTGCTGACCTTACCAAGCTACTTACTGTCAGCAAAAATCCCCGCAAAATGTTTAGCAGACTTTTTGTGTGTTACTAAAGATACATCCCATAGCTAAGGATTCTGTGCTGACAGGGTTAGCACAGAAGCCTTTGCAAACCTGACAAGCAAGCACATAATAACCATTCCAAATACTTTGTGTCTTCAGTTGGTCGATCTTAATGAGATTGCCGTCAACACTGGCCCCTTGTGTGGCAGAGAAATCCCTACGGTCTTCTACTCGTTTACTGGTCTCATGACGGTGCGATTCTTCTCGGATGAAAACGGTCCGACTACCGGTGGTTTCAATGCTGTGGTGAACTTTGTTGATTGCTATGATGGTGTGTGGCTCACCGGCCCGTTTGAAGAGGTGAGTTTTATTGTCTTTATCGAATGTTAGCATTCCTTAACATTGGTAGAGTCACACTGCAAATGTACATTTGTGTTTCACATGAAAAAAACTCATTGCCGACATTCTTTTCATGCGTAGCCAGTGGACAATTATTCACAACATTAATATTGTATAAGTAGAACGCACTCTGGTTTTGCAATGTTTTCACTTGGAAACGGGTAGGATTCAAACTTGGGACAAATGTTGAATTCCCTTTGATATTGTGCGGTGTTTTGCGATTACAGTGCTCTGCTACCTGTGGTGAGGCAGTCCGCAGGCGAACCGTCTCATGCCAGAATCCTCAAACGGACGCTTTGGTTGATCCAGCTATGTGCCCACCAGAGAGGCCCGACGAGGAAATTCCATGCGATGTCCCTGAATGCCCAAGTAAGAATCTTTGACCAATTCAGAATGGCCTGCTTTTAGGCACCAAAAATGTTGACGTAGTGTAGTGTTCCAATTTAACATGCAATACTAGGCATTAAAGAATGACACATTTAGGTTGGTCTGTTTTTGCCAAGAAAGCCTCCTGTGCTTGTTAAGTCCTTGCTTTCACATTTCATGATATTGTTCACAAAGTTGCACAGTTTGTGAAGTGCTATTTGTATGAAAATTTAACCAAGTATGGCGTGATTATCACTTGACTAAACTCTGTTGGACTAAACTCTGTAGGCTGTGACGTGACGGTGACCGAGTCTGGCGAGATAGGCTCTCCCAACTCACCAAGCAACTATGACAACAACCAACGATGCGAGACTGAGATTGTCAATCCAGACGGTTGCGTCGCCATCAACTTCTTGGCGTTTGACCTTCAGCCTGGTCTCAGTGATGAATGCGACACCGATTTCCTGGAGGTAAAATAAAAAGAATCTGTTCTGGGATCTTTCCAGAAACTTCCAAATCCAAAACACGCCTTCATCATGCATTATGAGGTTCCTGCAGTCATGAAAAAATCTGGAAATTTAAAAGTATTATGAAGTTATAGAAAAGTCATGGCATTTCATCATAGGATTTCTTTGGAAGTTTCTTGTTAGTCCATTGCAGTAAGCAAACATTGTGAAAAGAATCTCAATTGGGGAGAACGCAAAACTTACAGGTGGTAATTGAGCTTCTACCTTGAGGTATCGCACAACACCCTGAACCTCGTTAAACCTCAACTTACAGCCTGTTGAATTTTGCATTTTTCCCTTAAAGAAATAGTGTCTTGGGCAAATCATCCTGAAAACGTGGAATTGTTTAATTTGGTTACTGGTTACTGGTGCCATCACTATTATCCCCAACTCTCAAAACCATCTGAGAAATTATGATCCAATTTGAGGATTTGGAACTAACATAAGCCATTTCTACATTTCACTCGCGCTTGGAGAACTCTCCTGAACAAAGACAACTTTTGGATTAACAAAACACATCATGTGGTCCTAGTTTAATCACGTGGGCTTATCGAAAATTCTGTCCCTTGCGTCATTGCTTACACGAGATGTCAAACTGGCTTGTCGTTAATTTGTTGCCGTTTTCTCAACAAGAGTAATGAAGAGATTAAAAAAAGAGTTTGAGTGCTTTGAAGACGGTCTCTAAGTAAGCTTATGCATTTTGTCATTGGCTTTTTTTCAATTGCAAGTTTGTTTGTTGGTTGTTTTAGATCACAGATGTGGCAAGGGAAGAACCTATCAAGCTATGTGGCTCAACACTCCCTGATACCTACCAGTCACTGAGCGGTAATGTGCAACTGCTCTTCCAGACTGATGATTCGGTGGTATCCACTGGCTACTACGCTTACGTCTCCTTCATTCCTTGTCCCGTCAACGCTTACATCATGGGCAACTGGAGCGAGGTAACAATTCAAGTCCAACCCTATCAGCAATAGAGCAGCGTGGCATCCAAAATGCTTGGCCAAGCTAATGAAAACATCTTTTCATTAGCATCGGTTGCTGCGTGTTATCAGTCAGCACTCTGGACTCAAGAACCATCGAGTTTTATGAAAATGGGTCTGGGAACGAGATAAGATTTCAGAAGTTTCTGGATGTCTGCATTGAGTTTCAAACAGTGAAAATCAAGATGATATATGCCTTGAGCATAGTGAGATCACTCTTTGTTGAAGTTCACACTTTCTTATGGGGGCATTATGCTCTCATAAGAAAGAAAAAGTCTTTTCAGGCCTATTGATGCGAGCGCAGCCTTTCCAACGCTGTCTTTGTGTTTACTTTCAGTGCTCTGTGACCTGCGGTGCTGGTATGAGAACCAGAGATGTTCAGTGCATGGATCTCATCAACAACGTCCCAGTTGAAGACTCGGTGTGCCAAGGTGAACGTCCTCCATCTGAAGAACCCTGCATGGCCAACGAGGAATGCCCATGTAAGTCGCAGGTCTGGAGTCTTGATACATTAGCACGCCCTCAATGGTCAAAGTTTGTATGCAGCTTTTGACCAGTGAGGAAGGCAACTTCAGCGGGTGTGTGTTACACTTGATGTGCAAGTTTCGAATATTCAAATGTTCAAATAGTTGAATACTAAATTATTCAAAAATGAACAGCCCTAAAAGTATAAGAAGCATAGATTGGCAGGATTTTTAGAATAATACGAATTGTAACTAAAATGTTCTCTGTGGCCTTGAGCCTCATGCTTGCATTGTTACCTACCCTCCATCGCCCTTATCTGCCCCCTGCAGCCTGTGATGTGACCATTACCGAGAGTCTGATGTTCGTCACCAGTCCGGACTTTCCAAATCCCTACGCCCCCAACCTAGAATGCGTCTACACTTTTAACTCACCGGATCCTGACCAGTGTGTACGTCTGACCATCATAGAGGCTTACCTCAATGGAGCTGATGACAACGAACTGTGCAGTCGCGACTATTTGGAGGTCAGTTCTAATTTGTTTTTTATTTGTTGAAAAAAAAGACCAAACGCTCCGTTTAGGTTTGATTATTCACAAATTTGTTTAAAAATGCACCATCGTCCAATGAACTGCTATGCCTTCCCCAACTCTTGGATGCAAAATGGAAAACTCTGGAAATAAAAACACGTAGCACCATGTACTTGCTGTACTCTTAAAAAACATTGTTGCTTATATTAACCCTGCAGTTACCGTAGCGCCTGAAATTGCCCTGCCTATCATATGATTTTATTGATTTTTCAGTGAATAAATACTGAACGGTTAATAACAATAAACTGGCATTAGGCAACTATAAAACCCTTTTAGTAATATCAAACACATCAAGAAAAGTAAACTGTCAATCATAGGATCAGAAGTTCAGGTAATTATGAATATTCAATATAACAAAAACACTCATTGCTGCCGTTGTTTTAAATAACCCATCTGTGTGTTTTTGATTGGTCAGATTACCAGCCAATCAGGACAGCCCCCCTTGCGATTCTGCCCGGAATCGGCCCGTTCCATCCCGTGGTACTCCCGAGACAACACTGCTTCTGTCAGGTTCGTCACCGACGAAGAGGGCGCCAGCTCAGGATTCAACATGTACGTCGTCTTTGGCAGTTGTCCGATGTACGACTTTGTGGTGGGAGACTATACTGAGGTAAGACACTGAATTCTGTAGCTTGAGGGTTAGAATCCAGCATGTGGAGTTGGGTTGGGTTTCAACATTTCCTTAGGTTTCAATTTGGCATTTCAAAGTTTCGCCAAGTCATATCGTAATAAAAATATTATTCTTGCTCAAAAAAATGTGGTGCTTATACATAGCGCTTTAAACCGAAGATCTCAAAACCCTTCACAATTATGTTCATTAGGCATGACACCATTCTTTGCTGCAGCTCGATCAGCGCATTCTGGTCTCTACCATCACAGGTACCCATTTACACTCCTGGGTGGAGAGTCTATTGTTGTAAAGTGTCTTGCCCAAGAACACAAGCACCATGTTCCCCATCAGGGTTTGAACCCATGTGCCATGGTACACGAGCCGTAAACCGTAACCATTGGACCACAGCGTTTGACTCGAACAGACTTTTGTTTCGGACGAGAGAAATTCTGCATTGAGTTGCCTTGACTCTCGCACCTTGTTACTAATTTCGTTGTCCTGGATGTTATCATTTTGACCTTACAGTGCAGCGCCCGTTGTGGGGGTGGCGTCAGGACAAGAGTTGTGAGTTGTATCAGCCTGAGTGACGGTTCAGGGGCTCCCGATGAGCTGTGTCCTAACCAACGTCCTTTGGATAGCATTCCTTGCAACACTGAGCCATGCCCAGGTATGTGACCTAGTAGGAGGGGGTGGGGCTTAGGAATGGGGTTGCAAATGGCTAAAGTTGCAACTACAAGGAAGACAAAAACTTGGCCCGAGGCAAAACTCTAGACGGTAACAATTGGCTGTCTGAAGATTGCAGCTCATGCCGTCCTTTAGTTCAAATCGTGTTCAATTTTGATGTTTGCGTAAAGATAACTTTCAGAAATTGTTTTCTTCCAAGTTTGCATTTTAAGGAAGAAGGTAAATGTTTCTGCTTTCAGTTATAGTAGTACATTTATATTCAGAGAAGCTTGCACCAGGATTCTTTATAAGCAGCAGGTTGTCTGAAATGGACGATTGTCTTTGCAGTAAATGTGGCCCAAGTCTGTTTGACGTGGTTGTGGCTGCCAACAATGCATAAATGCTTTTGGACTTGAAGACAATTTGTATGCTATTTTCAGTTTGCGATGCCGCTTTCTTCCCGGGAGACGAGCTGATCATGAGTCCTGACTTCTCCAGTGCCCCAGGCCAAGGCTACGAGAGGTCCCTGGACTGCACCTACAACATCACCAACCCAGACGGTTGTCTCTTCCTAACATTCCTCAGTTTTGAGCTCCAAGAATGCGCAGATTGCTCATGCGACTACCTCAGTGTGAGTCCTAAACCAAAACCATCTATAGGCTTTGTGCATGATTGCACGAGGGCGCTGTTCCATTGCCTTCACCACACCTAGTCGAGCTTTGCAATGGCACAAGTCAATTTGCATGTCCAACCTAATGCAGTGAGCAAGTATTATTGCAACGTAAGCATTTTTGCTTTATTGTGCGTCCCAAGTCGTACATTCAGTTTCAGTTTGGAGGATTTGTCAGATTTAGAGTAGGGCTGTGCATTTATGTGCATTTTAATGCGTGACAGACGACCCTCGCAAAGGTAGCAGTTTACCTTGTCAAGCTATAAAGCCCTTCGTATAACCGTTGGAATTTCAATTTTGGGATGGTGCCCCTGTTTGACTTCCATAGTTGTCTGGTTCACGTAACTACCACTAAATTGGACCTTTTCCCACCCTTTCCCTGTTGTAGATCACGGAGGATAATGCTGAGGCTTTGCCGCCTCTCTGTGGTACTCAGAATGACCGTACATGGGCCTCCACGACCGGCAACGTCATGTTGAATTTCGTTACCGATAACTCCATATCTGCTGCTGGTTTCAACATCTACGTAGCTTACATTGACTGCCCTGACGTGTACTACTTCACTGAAGATTACTCGGAGGTCAGACTTTTTACTTTGCAAACGTCTCTGAAATATTTTACTGAAGTAATGAATCTTGTCAAATAGCATAGCTATTCTTTCTTTTTTTAAATGGCTTGACACTTCCTCTTGTTTTCAGTGCGACGTGTCTTGCGGTGGCGGATCCCAGACCCGCTTGGTTCAATGCAGGAGTCGAACCACCGGCATGGAAGTTGATGAGTCCATGTGTACTGGAGTCAAACCACCAACAGAGCGCCCATGTGGAGAAGACCCATGTCCATGTAAGTTCTAATTTTCCTTCTGCTAATCTTCACAATAAATGATGGCAGGACCCATAGGATTTGAACCTGTTACCCAGCAGCTTGAGAGTTGAGTGGTTAAGCCTCCACACTAGGAGGTCGTGGGTTCGAGTCCCACAGCAAGCTTTTCACATAACACTAAGAAATGCATATTTGGTTGATCAAAATGAAATTGAGATTATTTACTTTGTTGTTTGCAGTTTGTGATGAGCAGATTACCACTCCCAGCTTCATCGCCAGCCCTGAGTACCCAGAGAACTACCCAGTCAGCATCAACTGCAACTATGCCATCCAGGCACCAGCAGGCCGCTGCGTCAGCATCAATGTACTGGCCTTTGAACTCCAAGAAGCTGAGGGTGACCCTATGATGTGCCAAGATTATATTGAGGTCAGGACCCCCCCCCCCCCCCACACACACACACACACACATCCTAATCATAAGTGACCTACAAACCACGCCCCCACCTCCCCGGACCATACTATTGTATGATTTTTATTTCATGCACATTTCTGTATTTTTTTTTCACCTTTAATCAAACCCTCTCCCCAGAACATTTACTCTCAGTCTGCAAGAGAACTCAACTCCTGAACTATGCCTCACAAGTCCACTTTGTCCAGCCGTTTTTTTGTTTTTAAATGTGAAAAAATACATTGTTTCTGGAATTAAATTTCTTGTCATTTTAATCCGATTGTCGACATTTGATTGGTTAATCTTCGTTTGACCTCGGGCCTAATTCTGGAGGATTTTGTGACCCCAACAGTTTTTCAAATTTCAAACACATCATGAAAGTATAAGGCCTGACGTTGTGATCCTTCATAGGTTTGATTTTTGCCGTTGGAGCAAGTTTCTACCAGAGTCAAAACGTCAGCCTGTCTAATGCCTGATTGTTAGATTTCATGTTGATACATTAAGTTATTGTTGGGCCACACTCCCCCACAGTTATTGTTTGTAGAAGTAGTGTATTATTTTGTTTTAAATTGTTCCCGCAGATCCGAGACCAAGGAGCCCCTACTCTAGACAGACGTTACTGTGGATTGGCTGCTCCCAACGCGATTCAGTGGAGATCACGGTTCGGTTCCGTTAGCTTGGACTTTTCGTCTGATGAGGAAGATACTTCGAGCGGCTTCCGTGCTTACGTCAACTTCGTGGACTGCCCCCAATATGGATACGTCGCTACTGAATTTAGCATGGTAGGTTGTTGCCAACATTGGGTCATGGATCAAGTTCGATTGTGATCGAAAAAAAGTCTAAAATATTGAATTGATCAAGTGTTACCACCTGCTGCCAGGATTAATTCTGGCCGAAAAACATCATTCGTGAAAAAAGGCAACATATAGCCGTCGAACTATCAAATTAAGTCAAACGCCATAAATATTAACTCTTGAGAGTTAATGTTGCAATATTTGTGTGATAATTTTCATCATAAGTTCATAATTGGCAACACTCAGAGGTCCTGCCATGGAGCGATATTCAATACGACAGGGTGTGTACAGCGGCCAAGATTAACTTCAAAAGATGGTGTGTGCAAAACCAAGGGGAACCCTGACATGTATACACGTCCACCGCTTGGGGAAATCTTGACCACCTGTCATCGCCCCCTCGAATATTGAAATCCTGATCGTGTACGTACGTCCTCCTGTGTTAACTGATTAAGGATGCCAACTTTGGCAGCAAATTGAAGCCAAATAATGTCAAATTTAAGCAGAGGATAGTCTTTTACATATTAAACATTTTGATTCAATAGATATAGATTTCTACCGCACTTGTTTGTATAATAGCTGCAATTCTTGATTTGGATTGATTGTGGAGTTTGTTTGCTTTTATGTAGTGCTCTAGACCGTGTGGTGGTGGCACACAGACCCGCGAAGTCTCTTGCCAAAACATAGCCACGCAACAACCCGCTGAAGAGGTCAACTGTGAGGATGAGAGACCTTCAGAGTCCATCCCTTGCAACCTCCAAGACTGCCCAGGTAAAGAAGACATCACAAGACTAGCTTTGCCTAACTTGGCTCAACCTGAAAGTTTTGGTGTTAGGATGTACATACTCAGTAACTCATCAACTCCGTCAGTCAATGACTAGGCAAGTTAGCTAGTCAGTCGGTTGATAAAGTTTCTCAGTTAGCCAGCCACTTGATGAGTTAGTCAGTCGATGACTCAGTCAGAAGACAATATGCTTGCCCTTAGGCCTAGCACAAATTGTGAAGTATTCTGTGAACAAATTTAAAACCGAAACTTGTTGAAAGTTTCAGGTCAGTGGATACTATCCATTAAAAAACAAAAAACAAACATACATTTATCAATTTTCATTTAGATATACCTTGATACACCCTGAAAGGCTACAAACGACTTCGTACTAGAATTCTGTCTGTAATAATGAAACCACAAAATTGCTCTAGTCTACAGAAGTGAGATGTATAATGCTTTCATTTTAGTAGTAGAAGGAAACATTTGAAAGGATGTTCCTCATGTAGGCTTGATAGGCATTGGAACCGTGGCCAGATTTGAGATTGACGGCGAGTGGACAGCAAGCCTCGATCCTGACCACCAAATCTCTTTTCTCCTCTGCAGAATGTGACGAGGAAATCACTGAGAATCGACAGAGCGTCTACAGTCTGAATTTTCCCCAACCTTACTTTGAGTATTCCTGCAATTACATCTACACCAACCCCGGTGGCTGCGTGGAGCTTCTTTTTGTTCAGTTTGAGATGCCGATACCAAATGCCGAGGATGTCTGTGATAAGGACTACCTCCTGGTGAGCATGTCAGACCAGTATTTATATCGTTGGTCTTTTCACAATTTGCTTTAATTTTTTTTTGTTTTAAGTTTTTTTTTAAAACTGAGACTACTCCATCGAATAAATAACAAATTCTTGCGCTGCGAAGCAGTTGCGAGCTGTATTCACTGCATGATATTTGAGCTGGTATCCCATCAGAACATTGCAAGTATTCCCCATGATAAGCAACTTTCTTAAAATTCCGGTTTTCTTGAAAATGACGGCACACCAGGTGCTTTGATTTCACAGGATGCTTGAGACTATTTTTCACTTACAGTCAAGTAAGGAATTTCATAATAAATTGGTAGTTTTGTTTTTTGATGTTTTCAAAGGTTGTATATTACATTTTAAACAGCATCATGAAAAAAGTGCTAAAATTGAGTTTAACCACGTATTTTTCGTAAATAAATAATGGAATGATTGGTAATTTTTTTTGAAAATTGGTTTATTTGACTTGAACATTTTGGAACTGTTTTGATCCAACAGGTTGAAGACATGAGTGAGCGGCCCTTCTCTTACCGTATCTGCGGCCCTGACATACCCAACACCGTTGTGTCACGTGGTGAGAGACTAAATGTGACTCTCGTTACGGACGGTAACCCAGGCACCTTTGGTGAGGGATACCAGCTGTACAATCTCTTTACAAACAACTGTCCGGAGGTCGGCTACGTGGCAAGCGAGTTTGGAGAGGTGAGTACAATTGTTACTGGAGGCGTGGTACTAGACCGTCGGCTAACTAGTTTTCCCATTAATAAAGTGTTTAGGCTTTTACAAATGGCAGACTGGTGCACAGTGCCTATTGGCATGAAATGTTTTAGGATGAAATTAGTTTAAGGAATAAATGTGTACTTCAAGGCCATTAAAAAAGGTATGAATACTAAGAGTATGAAACAATATGAAGCCTGGAAAGATAGTTGCTAATGTTTAATGTGGATATTCAAACTTCCACCTTGAAATTCATTTGATTTATTTCAATGTTTTGAGTGTACCAAATACTTGTGCAGTGAAATCATTGTCTCGATCAATGATTTGTAATGTTGTTTATACTTGCAGTGTGACCGCCAGTGTGGTTTTGGCACTAGGACACGCGAAGTCAACTGTGTTGATCTGCAATCTGGAATCACCGTGGATGAAAGCCTGTGCACTGATGTTGAACCAAGCAGCACTGAGTTCTGTAACACTCAGCCTTGCCCATGTGAGTGCAATGCCTGTGTTTCTCTTGACTATTTTTTTTCTTTTAATAAAAATGAAAAAATGAATATTTACAGTGTATTGAGACTCTCAAGGCACATCACAATTATTACCCCTGTTCATCGAACCATGAGACCAGTTTTTGCAGCAGCTCGAGATCAGCGCATGCTGGTGTCTGCCTTCACAGGTACCCAATCACATTCACAGGTACCCATTCATACTCCTGGGTAGAGAGAAGCAATTGTAGTAAAGTGTCTTGCCCAAGAACACAAGCATAACGTTTCCCGTCAGGGTTTGAACCCACGTACCACAGCACACGAGTCAAACGCCGTAACTATTAAACCACAGCGTTCCATAGTTCATGTGAATTATGTTAACCTTTAACCTTTTGACCTTTGTGGCAGCTTGTGACCAAGTCGTCGACACCTTCCCGATTGCCCTGAATAGTCCCGCTGACTTGGACCCTCTGCGCACCTGTCAGTATGACATCGAGAGCGAACGTTGCATCCGAGCAACCTTCCTTACGTTTGACTTCCCAGGAGAAAACGGCATGTGTGCTGATACATTCGTCCAGGTATGATCGGGAGAATTATACTTAATTAAATAAACTAGAACAAACAATTGATGGCATGAAAGTTGTGGTTCCCAACTAAAGTCTGAAAGGTCTTATTGACGAAAGTGTCTGGACGTGTCATTATGTCTGCTCATTTGTGCCACCAAAGCTGGGTTTTTGTATGGCCTAGTCCCGGAGTATAGTCGTGTTCCCTAACGTGGCGCACTTCGGTAAGCTTACCCAACTTTCCTCGTGTAGTGTTGCCAAACCTCTTTGTTGACAAACCTCAAATTCATGCAGTGGAATACTGGTACTTTTACCTTAATAATACTTGCTGTTTAACCTCTGTGAACAATTTCGGTTTCATAAAATTTAAGCCGAAATTCAAAAACGGTGGCGTCCGGAAATTGGGCACAATTTGGCGGAGTGTTCCCTTACGTGGCGCACTTAAATAAATCTCGGAAAATTCCAAATTAACATTTAAGAATTTCTGTAAACTTGATAAATTCTGATAAATCATTATTTTCTCTACCTACATACCCAGCCAGATGTTTGTCACAGAATTATTTTCTTATTTTTCGGGGCATTTTCAAAGGGTTCACGTTGCACTTGAAAATAAAATCGGAAAATCATGCCAAAATAATTTTTTCTTTTAACTTTGTAGCGGGTAAATAAACTCGCGATTTATGAACGGGAGTGAATTTCTGTGAAATTTCAGTTAAAACTTTTGCTCTAGCTAGGCGCTACAGGCGAAAAATCAAAGTGCGCCACGTTAGGGGCCGCACCACGTTAGGGTACATCAACAATATAAATACTTTCCTTAACTGCTGTCGAATGTTCAGGACCAGCTCAAATAAGCAAGCCTAGTGATCTTAACGAATGCTTTTATTTATTTGTTTTAGTTGCAAGATGAGGGAGCGGAGTTTCTGACGGAGAGATTCTGTGGGGATGGACCGGGGGCAGCGTCTGGTGCAGCCCTGTATGCTTGGGAGTCCAGAACGTCTGACGTAAGAATTTCTCTTCATTCCATCATTCCTATGATTGAGTTTATTTGCCATCCTTGTGAGATATTGTTGACTGGTACGGCAGTGAGCACTTGCCGTGTGGTTTGCTGTTCTTGCATAGACTTGATTTCACTGTACATAGGATCGTTCGCAGTTACGCTGCCAGTAACCTGCCAAATTATCATCAAAAAAACTTACTTGGATTAAAGATCGTACTGGTACTGAACACCCCTGAGATTATTCCGTCTGGCTTGCTGTCATTGAGAAGAAATCAAGAAAGTAGGTGATTTCCAATGATCAGTCAATTGACTGATGTTGAAAAAGTTTTGAAAAGCTGGTGATACTTGGGAAAGTTACGAAATTTTTCAGCATTTTTAAAAGTTACTAACAGCAGGTTTCTTATTTTAGGTACTTATGACTCTGAACAGTGGCACTGACTTGACGGCCAACAACCGCTTCCGAATCTTCCTGACAGAGATGGACTGTCCAGAGTTTGGTTTTGTCGCCGGCGAATTCGACGAGGTAGGTGCCTATAAAAAAGCAATCTGTTGAATTTTATAATTAATTAAAAATTAATAGCTTCCCTATTTGTTAAACTATTTTGCCTCTGTTACCCAAAGGTTCATCAAAAATCTTCTACTGTTTTGCTGGTTGTTTTGGTCATGTGCTTAAAGCCATTACCAAAACATTTGAAGCAGAAGACATACTGACAGACGTTACTACCTTTCTTAGCATTGATGTCCTAAATCCTCTCTTGACCCTTACAGTGCAGCAGATCTTGCGGCGAGGGTGGAGTCCAGACACGTACCGTAGAGTGTCAGCGTTTAGCCGATAATTCACCGGTCGTGGAGGGATCGTGCACGGATCCTAAACCATCAGAAACGCGGCCATGTGCACCTCAGCCGCCATGCCCATGTAAGTCATAACAAGTCTGTTGGACTTTGTGTCTGGGCCAGTTTCATTAACAGCCATTTTGTGCTAACCGAGCCTCCATCTATTTTACAGAGAAAGCAGTAAGCACAGCAAAAGCACGCTTAACCCCAGAGGAAAAATTTGGCTGAAATCAGCGACGTAACAATAGAAATCTCCATGCTCGCAACCATTAGCACGTCCACACCATGAAATGGTGCTTAAGCAGCAGCAGGATTTTCTGCTACAGTAAGCACAAGTTTCTGCTAACTGTTAAGCAGCGCTATGAAATTTGGCCCTTGTCTGAAAACAAATATATTTCGGATAAACGGAGTCACTCTGAACACTATTTTGTTTTTGCTTCTCTGGAACATTTTTGAATGAACCGCCTTGCATCTTGTATTCTCCCCCTCAGCCTGCGACATGTTTGTTTCTGATCCCGAGACATTGGTCCAAGGGCCCCCACGCAACAGTAACTGGACCACCGATGTCCGTTGCCGAATCACGGTTGAATATGACACCTCTTGTGTCGTCATCTCTGGCTTACAAGTGATGCTGTCTGAGCCGGATGAAAACGGCACGTGTGTCGACAGCTCACTGACAGTAAGTAGACCAGTAAAGACATTAGCCTAACCTCACCTAAAGAAAGCTACAAAATACTACTGAGTTTCTGTAGTGTGCAGTTCTGTCCATACAAGTGTGCACAACACATGTAGTATGCCGTGGTATTTGGTACTTGACCCCCAAGATGGGGCCAGGCTTAGAGAAAATAAGACATCGCAGGAAATGTCCGGAAACAAAGAATGCTAATTCTTTAAAAATTTGGTAATAATTTCATAGTGCTGCCAAGCACACAATTTCTGCCAAGTTTTTCTCGTTTCACGTAAAAAAAAAATTGAAAATAGACCTGCAGCATAGAAATCTTCATACTCTTACCCCAATACAGTAACTACCTCACAATCCACATTCAGATTTTAAGGGACCATACAAAAACTGCAAAATGTTCAAGTCATTAACACCTTTTTTGTTTTACCATCGACAGTTCTCTGACGGCACCTATCCAGCCTACACTGAGACTGTCTGTGGCTCATCAAGCGGCGGTGTATACGGAGCTTTAAGCCGTCGTTACGTCGTGGACTTCTATTCAGCAGACTACGAGAACTCTGGCGATTCATTCAATCTATTTGTCCAGGCGGCCGCTTGCCCAGTGATCGAGTACCAGACTAGTGAATTCTCACAGGTAACGATGCTGTGTGTATGTTCTTCTTGGTACCAGACACTGATTAGTCTAGTCACAGACTCCCATGTTGGAATTTGCCCGTCATCGGCGTGATCGATTGAACGGAAGTTGAGGTCTTCAATTTTTAATTTTATGATAGTCATCAATCTGCAATAATTTCAGTATGTTGTAAATTGAAATGCTAATTTTTTTCTTTCAAAATATCCATTTATTGCCCTTGATTGAATGGGCAAGTCAGGACACAAAATCAATGCATTACTTCTTTTCTGATCAGATATTGACTTTTCGGTGTGTACATTTCACAAATTACAAATGTTGAGTTTAATGATGGCGCCCTCTGTTGTCCTTGTAGTGTTCAGCCAGTTGCGGCGGTGGGGTCCGAACCCGGGACGTGACTTGTGTGAGAGCAGATAGAATGGAGGAGGTCCCCGACGATGCCTGCGCAGGACCCCGCCCAATGGCCATCGAAGGCTGTAACATGGAGGCATGCCCTAAAGGTATGGACTGACCAGCAAACCATCATATCCATACCCAATCCTTTCAGATTTTTTCAAGGGTATAACATCCGTTTTTGTCAAAATTGTTGTTTGGCAAACTATGGACAACCATCATTGCAAAACAGTGTAAAAAGAAAACGCTAGTATGATAACAATCACCGAGTCAACAGAAGCTGACCCAACCTAATATTGAAGGCGTGATTTTCAAGCTTGAAGTTTAAAATGGTTGCCCACTATGGTTTAAATTCATATAATTGATAGCAGACTGTGTAAAATGGCATTCACGGGTGGTTTGAACAATTTAAGCGTAAACGTTTGCACTATGATTTGTTTGTATAAGGGGATTGAGTGAAGTGGGCCACTGCAGTCGACAGTATAAAATTAGAAATATTAGTCTTACAGATTTTTTTTTTTTATTTTGGCAATGTTGTTGCTTGATTGACCCATAGTTGAACTAACATGAAATTTTGTTATCTCTCTTTAGAGTGTGATAATGTCATCACTGTCAATACTCCCGTGCAACTTTTGACATCACCGGGACGTCCAACGTACGTCACTGACGCTGACTGTACTAATAACATCATCAACTTGAGCGGTTGCATCGTTCTGGCGTTCCTGTCCGTTGATATCGAGGAGGGAACTATGCCGGGTGTTTGCGATAAGGATTACTTGGAGGTTAGCATTTCCTTTGATTCTCACTCGCATTCCTAGATTACCCCACCCAAATCCCTACAATGCCGCACCCAAATTCCTATAGGGTGACTCACCCAAATTCCTACATTGCCAGACCCAAATTCCTACAATGCCACACCCAAATCCCCACGATTCCTAACCAAAAGTCCAATTCCCCACCCAAGTCCCTACAGTGCCACACCCAAATCCCTACAGTGCCACACTGAAATTCCTACAGTGACACACCCAAATCCCTACAGTGCCACACCCAAATCCCTACAGTGCCACACTGAAATTCCTACAGTGCCACACCCAAATCCCCACGATTCCTAACCAAAAGTTCAATTCCCCACCCAAGTCCCTACAGTGCCACACCCAAATCCCTACAGTGCCACACCCAAATCCCTACAGTGCCACACCCAAATCCCTACAGTGCCACACCCAAATCCCTACAGTGCCACACCCAAATCCCTACAGTGCCACACCCAAATCCCTACAGTGCCCCACCCAAATCCCTACAGTGCCCCACCCAAATTCCTACAAAAGTCAACTAAAGATACAACGGCATCACTTCGAGTATTAAAAGAAAACGTTTCATAGGTAATTTGATTTTGTGCTCCCAGATCATTGACGCTACTTTTGATGAGTTGAGCGTGCGGCTGTGCGGCGACACCCTTCCATCCACCGCCTGGCGCTCCCAGTCCGGTAGCATCAGAACTCGGTTTGTCTCGGACAGCGTGGACACCCAACAGGCGGGATACACTCTAACCTACACCTTGACTCCCACCTGCCCTACCGGATCCTATGTCTTGAGTGGCTTCGATGATGTGAGCATTTTATTTTTAAACAGACTCAAAACAGAATTTGTTCAGATGACAAAACATCTCTGAGCAGATATCAGGTGTTGATGAGTCTGGACTGCGACAAAGACACTCGTCCACTGTGACTTGTGACTAGACCTGTGAAACACTGGTGATTCACTTGCGACTGGACTTGTGTTGGACTTCACACTTGTGAATATCACAACCATCTCTCTCTTAAAAATGGTCTTATTTTGTGAAGAATGTTGCATCCTGACGCCATGCTATCTCAATGAAGGTCAGTCATTGCAAAAATGTTGACAAGACATGAATCTGGGACCGAGAAACATTTCCAGTTTTGTTAGAAAATACTTTGAAAATGCATTCGACTCACCATAGACTTTGTAAACATCCAAAGAAGTGGTGTCTGGATACTGAAGTGGTGTCTGGATACTACAATCTTTCCCTCAATTTAATCAGTTTAACTAGCTATTTCTGAGTGAAAATAGGAAACCGATAATGATCTACATTTACCTCATAATCTTTTTTTTTTGTATCATGAAGTGTTCTGCGACCTGCGGTGAAGGCACGCGAACTGCAGCTGACCTGAACTGTGTGCTTCCAGACTCGAGTATCGGTACCAACAGCGACTGCCCGGGCCTGCCACCATCGCGTGTCCAGTCATGCAACCTGGGAGAATGCCCCGAGTTCTATTTCTTCACTGGGGAATACTCCAATGTAAGTGCCTGTAGCAGATTTCATCTGGATTTCCTTTCAACTAATTTCCAACTATTCCCTGCGTTTGTCCTTCGTCAGTCTTTGTCTTTCAGTCCATACCAAGGCTTACGCTTAAAAGCTGAAGTATTTTACCGATCATGCATTTGTAACGTGTCTTGGGGAGTAATGAGAACGTTTGCCTATCATCTTGATGAATAGCTTTAATTCAGGAGTCAACCATATTCAATTGAAAACGATGTCAACGCTTCAGTCTTGAAGCTTGCAAGTAGAATCAAAGCAATGAAATAGAGGTCGATTACAAATTAACACCACTCTGCTCTGATGAATAATTTAAATTTGTGAATAAACACAACCCGACGTTTGAAGCCACATTACAAAAAATGAAAGTGAAACCATCACTTCAATCATAAAATAGTCTGGCACCATCCCATTCAACATTTTACAATTCATAAAATATATTCAGGGAACCTGATCAAAATGGCTTCCTTGAGAATGTGGTCTTTATTCACGACCGAGTCTTGGATGTTTGCAGGTAAACTATTTTTCTTTTAAACATTGTTGATTTGCAGTGTTCTGTTGAGTGCGGTGACGGTACCCAAACCCGTGTCGTTGAGTGTCGGCGTTTGGACAATGACACCGTTGTGGATGATGGCATGTGTACCGAGGTTAAACCAGACACATCTATGGCATGCAATCTCATGGCTTGTGTGGATAACGCTTTTGGTGAGTGGTCTGTACGGAAGGCTTGTCCAGAGCCGTGCTGGTCACACAGCATTTTAAAGGATTAATATCTTAATTGTTTGCTAAAAACAAAAAGGTGAATATTCCACGGTTGTCCGTAAGTATAAAAACAATAGGCTTCAGTTCTGATTTGGCTAAATCAACAACCAAAGCAATTAATTCATTCAAGTTAGTTGGGTTCAAAGCATTCCAAGTTCAAGGAGCTTATATCAAGTGGCTCATCTTAGTCTAGCCTGGCACCACCAATGTGGGACATTAACCATTGTTATCACATAACAGGCTTGAGGGAATCAGACCAAGATGGCAGCAGTAGAATTCAACATTATTCATAAGATTGTGTTGCATTAGAGGTGCACCCTGCACTGATGTCCTCTAATTCTATTCTTCCACACCAACTTTTTGTTCAGCTTGTACTTAAAACTTCAACAATCCATGATATGCCGTCTTTTCTTTTAATTCCAGTTTTGTCCGAGACTCCCCAAACCGAGACTGTTGAGTTGGGTGACAGTGGCACTATTCAGAGCCCCAACTTCCCAAATGCGTACCCCAACAACCTCAACGCTCAGGTGGTCCTGACCATCCCAGCAAACACTCTCCTGAGGGTGACCATCGATACCTTGGACTTGGTCTTTGAGAGCCCGTGCGCCAACGGGGACTTCCTGAGGGTGAGTCTAAATTTCACACACACAAAATAACTTGTTGCAGTTTTCTCAGTGCCGGATATTAGCGTACATCTTAAAACTAGTGTTGTAATTTCCAAAAGGTCGGTATAATAAGTGAAGTATAATTTTCTCTTGTCTAATGCGCAAAATAAATTTTGACTTCAGTGTTTTCTGTGTGGAAGGATGAGAGATTGAGGGCTGAACATTGATTGCTACATACAAGTTTCACTTGGAGCGCTTTGCCTGCAACATCTAATGGCGGAGTGTAAACGTGACCAACGAGATTTGAATATTCAGTCACACAGTTTCGAACTATCGAGTAGTACATTTACTTATTTTTTTCGTTATGACCAACAGTTTTCATCTGGGTCCAACACGGTGCTTCAAGTTTGCCAGACCACGCAGCTTCCGTTTGATTGGTTCAGCGGTGCTGGCGACACGGAGGTCACAATAGCCATGACAACCAGTGCAACTGTCGCCGGCAATGGATTCATGGGCCGATGGACCGTTATCGTTCCACCTTAAATAAGTAGAGACGACAAGGAGATGAGGAGTAAACGCACTCGCTGCTTTTAGTCATAATAATCTAGTTTTGCTTGAGACCATACTGTCCCATAGGAACACATGTTATCCGTAATAAATTAATCGCTACAATATTTAGCTCACATGTTGCTCAGAAGTCGTGGGGAACATTATCCAAATGTCTCTGAATTCTCGGCACTTTAACATTTTCTTTAACGTTTTTTTTAATGGTAGTCTAGTTAAAAAAAAATCTATCTAGGTATTTTTCTTTTTAGAAAATTTGATCTAACTGCTGTATTAAACTATTATATTTTTTAACAATTTTGATGTATACATATATGTTTTGAATTTTTTAATCGAATGAAAGTTGAAAAACTGTATTCTGCAAACATTTGTGTATATACTTTTGTAGTTTGCTTGTAACAATTAAAACAGGTCTATAGATTTCAATAATGAGTGTTAACAATGTTGTTCAGTTTTTAGCATCTATCATTTGTTCTGGTAATATAAATGTACAACAGTTTTAAAGTAAAAATCCTCAACTTTTCGCTTGCAAGACTGGATAAATAATTGACGTGAATTTTTACTATGGGAAAAGTCAATAACCAAATTTTGCATCTGTATTTGGAGGCAACTCAACCACTTTCTAACAACTGACTTTGGTGTAATGAGGCCATTTTTAAAATTTAAAACGAATCTTAAACAATCCATCGCATCAATTTGTTGCTTTAGTTTCCTTTTTATCCTAATACATATACTTGGTATTGTGAATACTGGAATATTTGTGTACGCATAGTTTGGAATCCGTTTTGTGTAAAGGATTTGTAACCATATTGGTGTTTGAGCCGTTCTTAATAAAACCATCTTATAAAACAAACTCTCATGGTTTCAATAATATTTATTATTAAGCCCTGTTTTCAGTGTTGGGTAAAGAATTATCTAAGCCAACATTAGTGGACCTGGCCAAAAAAGTTTGGCTATAGTAGTGGACTGAAGTAAAAAAACAAAACAATGCCATCAATTTTATTTTCCGGTTGAATGGGATTTTTGATTGTGCAACCTCAAATGTATATAATTTTGGTACATTTTTGAATGTGGAATCAGTGATGGGTTGTTCCTTCCTCCCTGCAAGAAGTGACTGGAGTTTATACATGCATTTTTATTTTAGTCGCTGGTTTTCTTGTGACCGCCAATAGCGGACTCTTGTTGATACAAACTTGGCCGGACATAGCCAAAATGTTCGTTATATCAGAATTTTGCCGCAATTTTGCCGCGACGCGCGGCCGTACCACTGCGTGTACATAGTACAAATCCCCCGGTGTAGGTGCGTCACACACAAGGAACGGTGCACGTCAACCAGCTAAATGTCCCGCCCATGGGACGTTGTTGCTAGGTAACAGGGCGCCCTCTTTCGTTGGAGCACGGAGCTCATAAACCAGAATTTGATTGAACAGAGTTTGTATTAACGAAAGTTGACTAATTATCTCTTGCATTTTGAACAGACTTTCTCAAGCCTTGTAAGGTGGTTTGGGAACAAACATCTTGCTCAAAAAATAACCAGGGTATCAACCCCCTCACAAAAATTATGGGCGGGTCTGCCGGTGGGGAGGGGGGGTGTTAGTATTTTATAAAGGGAAATAAAAAGCAGAGAAAGATGGAAAAACATGGTTTCTTTTGAAAGAGGTGGATATATTGCTTCTGGTACCGAATGGTGCTGTTTATTACGAACATATCCATACTTCATGTCTGTTCCTATTTAAGGAAAGGTTTGTAATGAGAGTCGTTCATTCAAATGAAAATGAACTGTCTGGCTGCAGGCTTAGTAACAAGACATCTTTCGAAGTAATTCTAGTAGGAAGCCGTGGGTTGGAAATCTGTTATCCCTTCTCTGAAGTGACTAGTTGCTCCTTCATCTTCAAAAGTCTCCTAGCTTGCTTGAAATCATGACCGTCTGTTCTCTCCTTATTGTAAATCGGGAGTGGACGACCCAAGATAGTTCCTCAAGTCCGCCACAGTTGAGCGTACAATCTTACATGGAATGGTCTCCATTCCTAGTCTCGTGTAAGCTGCGTAGCGATGACACCCTCCAAATGAGTAATAATAGTCTCCGCCCTTCCGCCCTGTTATCCACAAGATGTCCACTGGGGGAACTTTGTGTCTCTGCTCCGGATCCTGAGAGAAGAAAAAAAGAGTGTTACTCAAAACAGATTTAAGTAACAATATAGACATTCAAAAGACATACGCCACTGAGTAGGCTTTTCTTTTTCAATTATAGCCATGAAAGTAAGCCCCGAGTTAAATTCATTTAATCATCATCCAAAATGTAGCCTTCGGTGAAAAAAAATAACATCCAGTCTCAATTATGGAACTGAATTGTAACTTTAGATATAATCAGGGCTGGATTAAGTTTTGCGTAGGCCCTATGGGCACCAGTGTACTGCGCCCTAGACACCACCACCAATTTCATGTTGATGCTAAGCTGTACTAAGCAAGCCAGTCATACTGGGATATTTTCATAGGCACTCAAATTTTTCATAGGCCCCATATTTTTTGTAGGCCCTAGGCACATGAGTGACTGTGCCTATAATGGATAATACAGGCCTGGATATAATATAAACATTGTACGAAGAGTTTTTGCGGAAGTGACTATGCACCTTAATCGTTTCCATTAGCGACAGAACTTTGTCGTCATCGAGTACCGATGGCAGGGGTCGTATCAGATGGCGAATCGGAACCTCGTGGATCTTGTCAATGTGACCCGCATGAATACTGGTACCCTCATCATGATCTTCACTGGTTCCCATCTCAGCTGGACCATCAGTGGCCATTTCTGGAGTGCACTGTGCTGGTGTATCTCTCTGATCTGTACTCACAAACATCTGTTGAGTAAAAAATAAAAAAATATAATTGTTTTTGTTCAAGTGTGGGGCGGATCCAGAGGGGGGGGGGGGGGTCAACCCCCCCCCCCCAGCTCCGTCTCAAAATCTTTCTTTTCATAGAAATACATAAAAAAATAATTACTTAAAAATAATTGTTAATTCCTGATGACCTTGTTAAGCTGGAGTTACTCAAGCTAATTCAATTTATGTATCATTATCAGAACATATTTTGTCACCCAAAACTGTCCACAAACTAAAGCCAACTTTACGACTGCGGGAACACCATGAAACACTGATATTGTCCTTCTTGCATATCTCAAAATTGACATTGCGCATTTGTCGAAGTCCTCGTCTGAGAAAAAGTAAGTAGCAGACGACAGAATGTGGCCTACTTCCTGTAATAGAGGTGAACAAACTTTTCCTGGCCAAACAAGTGTGGTGACTGTACAAGGACATTACATTTTAAAATTGTTTTGCATGCACATCGAATTACTGCGCACCTGTATTGTGGATCGACTGTCCTTTTGAGGCTTACGTCACAAACATGACTCGCTGATGCTCTGTTCGTGGTGTTGCTCGTTTCTAGTAAATTGTGGCCGAAAATCCCAATTATGGCTCTGCGAATGACACTCAATCGGGCTGTAAAAGTAAGTACAGGATCTAAATAAGTTAACCGACGCTAACGAACTGTAAAATTTGAACAATATCAGCAGTGACTGAGATTTTTAAAGGAAATAATGCAAAAATCCAGACGCCACTTCAGCTGTTGTGTACAAAGTCTATGGGATCTAGAGTCAAGAAAACTTTCAAAGTATTTTCAAGCATTTCCTAACAACATTGGAAATGTTTCTCAGTCCCAGATTCATGTCTTTTCAACATTTTCACCTTGACTAACCTTCATTGACATGATACTTTTTTGATAGATGATGAAAAAATTGGCGTTGGGATGCAACATTCTTCCCAAACAGGCCAAAGTTTGGATGTTGTTGCAGCGCATGGGCGATCGTGTAGGGCCCCTGACTTGTTTTGTTTTGAGCAAATTAGAATCAAGAAGTTTTTTTATTACTCAAAAAATGACATTTTCAACCTAAAGCAGACTTCTCTATAATGCCACCTTGTTTGTAATTCTTGTACAGTTTCTGGGGTAGAAATTCTGATTTTCTTACCCGGTTTACGGTTGGTGCCACGCGATGCAGCGCGCCTTGCGCGCTCAAGGTATATCGCGTGGTGATTGCGATGTTCATTTTCGTGTTGCGTTTTGTAGTTGTCATCGTCATTTTACCCCCAAATTTCCCTCAAAAATTCAAAACCCTGCCCTTTGTCTATGTCTATGACATACCTGTATGTTCTTAATGTCGCCAACTAGTTTGGTAGGTCAAATAATTTAAAAGTGGATTTTGTTCCGGTTATAGGAACCGGGCCCGTAGATACACGATCGCTGTTGCATAGACATGATAGATTATTAGTATACCCGTAAACGTGGCTTTAAAGCCAAGGTTCGTTTATCTCTGGACTTTCGACATGTTTTCGAAATCCCGGTTGGAACCCTTCCACTTTAATACAGTCGAGTACAATAAGCACTTTCACAGTAATATGCACCATCTTGCTTACGGGGCAAATATACGCGCGTTGTTGTGTACGCATTGTCAATCGACAACTTTTGCGCTTACAAGTCATCATGCATTCATTCCAAAATGCGCCTGCGTCTAGCAACACGTGTTCGTTTTGCCCCGTGAACAAGATGGCGAATATTCCCGTGAAACTGTTTATATGTTTTATCCAACATTTGTCCAAGAACTTCCAGATCTGTCTGTTCACTGTGTCTGTTCATGCCATCATGCATGGGTTTCTCTGTTATAGTGTTACAGAAAGAGAATGACGCTGCTGTGAAAATTGGTACAAAATCTAGCAATCGTAGCAAATTTCCAAAAATATTGAAAGAGATTTTCAGTCCCAGAACCATGTTTTTCAACAAAATTTTAAAAATCATCATATCATCACAAGTGCACACATAATAACATCCATACTTAAAGATATAGTCCATCATTTGTAATTTGTGCATTTTGTTCGTTTGAAGCAACAAAGGTGTTCAAAATCTAATGAAGGATACTGAACAACAACTAACCAGATGAAGTTTCAGCTCAGCTTCAGCTGTATATTCCGAGAAAAACAGCATTCTAGGATCTCAATTTCAAATCAAAAGTTGCTGAATCATGTTTTGAATTGTTTTGAATTGCAACTATATGATGTCGCGCACTGATCCGACGAATTATAGCAACCGCGCGCGCGCGTGTGCGTCGTGCCAATCCTTGCGCGCGCTTCGCCGAATAACAAAACGAACTACTAATTTAAATTTCCTACGGTGCGTCTTAAGACGCACCGTTGGAAAGGCCTTCTTTCGTTGATTACTTCAAAATGACAGCTTGCCAGAAAGAATAATTTCACAGGGAGTTTAGTCCACTTACTATCTTTCAACCAAGTATGTTTTTCAACAATAATTACATCAGTTACTTTTCGGATGGCTGCAAATGATGGACTATAGCTTTAAACCCTTAGCACTTGCATTAAATTGTATTACACTGTATTTGTTCCTCAATAAATCAATAAAACCAAAGAGTGTTGGGGTTGTCTGGGGCGGTTTGAGGAGTAACTGGCAGGGCGGTTGTGGGTGCTTTGTGGGCGGTTGTGGGTGCTTTGAGGGCAGTTGTGGGTGCTTTGAGGGCGGTTGTGGGTGTTTTGAGGGCGGTTGTGGGTGCTTTGAGGGCGGTTGTGGGTGCTTTGAGGGCGGTTGTGGGTGCTTTGAGGGCGGTTGTGGGTGCTTTGAGGGCGGTTGTGGGTGCTTTGAGGGCGGTTGTGGGTGCTTTGAGGGCGGTTGTGGGTGCTTTGAGGGCGGTTGTGGGTGCTTTGAGGGCGGTTGTGGGTGCTTTGAGGGCGGTTGCGGGTGCTTTGAGGGCGGTTGCGGGTGCTTTGAGGGTGGTTGTGGGTGCTTTGAGGGTGGTTGTGGGTGCTTTGAGGGCTAACGGGTTAAACTCTCATAAAGTATCCACATTTCCTGCATGCATTCGTTCATTTGGATATTTGTGTTTTTGCTTTTCTTACAGGCCCTCTCCAACCAGCTGCCTCGATCGCAGACTGCGTTAGCCCGGTGCCGGTCGACAGCGTCAGATCCTGAGGCTACTGCGAGACAACCATCAGCCGGACTGGCTTTTGGTACATGACGAACGTCTTTTTATTTTACATTTCAAGATTTGAGAAACTCTCATCATAGATTTTGTACCCCTAATAACACAGACCCCTTGCGCACAGTGCCCTCATTGAGGATATTTCTTAATAGTTTCATTGATAATGAAAGTGCAGAGCGTCTTCTTACATGTATGCGCATCTTGAAGGAACAAAGATAGGTCGTCAGTAAGGAAAAAAATCGGCTTTAGGGTGGCATGGGTTGCTAGTTTGTTAAGTGCTTGCCTGTCGCGCCACTGTGGCCCGGGTTCGATTCCCGGCTTGGACAATATTGCGAGGAAAGTTGTACGTTGATTCTCTTCTGTGCCACGGAGGTTTTTCTCCGGGCTCTCCAGTTTTTTGGAAACTCTGTATATAGCAAGGAATGGTCTTAAAGGCCAGGCATCTTGACATGACTAGATTATTTACAATCTGTTTTCTTCTTGTTTCTTGTCAGAGTTGAGCGATGAGCAGAAGGAGTACCAGGAGTTGGCTCGCAAGTTCACCAGAGAAGAGATTATCCCCAAAGCTCCTGAACACGACAAAACTGGCGAGGTATGCACCTTGTCAGCTAGGCATGAGATTTGTCAGATTTTGGTCTGAAATCAGACATTTTGAATCGAGAGAAAGACTTCAGTATAGACAAAACTGCATCTTTCAGACGTTTCATCCAATAATTAGACCTGTTAAAATGACAATCCCACCCCTATTTGATAAACAAGTATTTTTGCAATCATAGAATTGTGCCCTTTTTGCTAACAGTTTCAAATAATCAAACAACTGATGTATTTTTTGCTTCAATTTGTATATTTGATGAGAGAATTTGTTTTTCACTCTAGTATAATATTAACAGACAGATATGAAGTTGAAATTCACAACTTGTTAATCAATGGTCCGAGATTTTGCTTGCTCAGCGGCAAAACTTTACTGGTTTTCATGCTTGGTTTTATGGTTTACTTGGATTTGTACATTTTTGTGAGACTGCAGACTGCAGACTTGTGGTAGTTTCAGAGTTACGGATAAGAGGATGTCGTGAGACAGTGTCTTCCTTTTATGCTGACACTTGTCATTGGCCTTCCATCACACATGACCGGCGCAATAACTCAAGACTTCTTGCTCATTATGTAATATTTTGGTTTGTTTGTTTACAAATTTGTTTGTTTGCTTGTAGTATCCGTGGGAAATTATCAAGAAGGCGTTTGACCTCGGATTGATGAATGCTCACATTCCAGCCTCAGTTGGTGAGTTCTTTCATTTCATCTAATTTTCTATAAATGCTCCTTGCAACAACAAGAGAAAGGGAAGGTAGTTGTATAATGTGACATATTTTTGGAAATTTCCGTCAATATTTGGTTTGTAATTTGGCGAATCTGTGAATGGGTGCGCGCAAGCATTGACACGATGCACAGGCATGCTGTTGCTATTATTTGTCGGTTCAGTGCATGACATCGCCTAGCTGCAATCAGCTGAATGAGAGCGTGTCCTGGACGCTGATTTCGGGGGCAATTCAAAACATGACTCTGCAACTTGTGAATTGAAAGCAAGATCCTAGAATGTTGTTTTCTCGGCATATACAGGGTGAGCAAAAAAAACCGAAACCCAAATGTTGGGACCATTGTTTGAGGGAAGTTCTGCATGTAGCATCTTCAAAATCTAGGATATGAAAGTCCAATTCATGAGCTTTTTTTAGTACAAGAATCATTCAAGTCACTTATGTACTTTTCAAGTTACGGAATTTTAAACACAACCTTCGTTTTAAGGTTCTGTCCACAGATCGGAAAAAAGGTCAGTGTTCTTTTAGCAAAATGAAAAAAAAACACATAGGGATATGTATGAATTGTTTTTGTTTTGCTGAAAGAGCGCACACCTTTTTGGTGATCCGTGAAAAGAACCTTAAAACGGTGGTTGTGTTTAAAACTCCCTAACTTGAAAAGTACATGAGTGGTTTGAATGATTCCTGTACTAAAAGAAAGCTCATGAATTGGGCTGTCATATACTAGATTTGGAAAGTGCTACATGCAGAACTTCAATAAAACAATAGTCCCGACATTTGGGTTTCGTTTTTTTTACTTACCCTGTACAGCATTCACAGAGCTAAAAGTTCATCAGGTTAAATTTTAAGCACCCTACTTGAGATTTTGAGCACTTTTGTTGCTTCAAACAAAAAATGCCCAATGACAAATGATCGACCCTACCTTCAAGGAGCCACATTTCTCTGTGTTGTTGTCTTCAGGTGGTCTGGGCATGGGCATCTTAGATTCCTGCATCATCGCGGAGGAGTTTGCTTACGGCTGCACAGGAATACAGACGGCCGTCGAAGCCAACTCGTTAGGGGTGAGTTTTCAGTTAATTGGTAGTGTAGCAGGTTGCGGCCATTCCGTCCCAAAACCAAATAATTGTTGAAACATTGCTTGAAGGTAATATACAACATTTAGTTTTGCTGTAATTTTCAGAAGTGGATGGATTTGGAGGTTAGTATTTTACAGGATATATTGTTACATTGACAGGGCCAATTTCAAAGAGCTGCTTAAGATTGAAGTACAAAAAACCCTTGCTTAATATAATCAGGTTACCGACCCAAACTCCATGCGATGTACATTGCTTGTGACTGGTGTTTAGCTGTTGTTTACTCAGCATAACAATCGCATGGAGTTTTGGTGGGTGACCTGATTATATTAAGCAAAGTGTTTTTGTGCTTAAGCAAATTTTGTGCTTAAGCAGCTCTATAAAATTACTGTTTAAAGGTTTGTGTTCACAGATGCTGGAAAAACCAAGAAAAAATGTTGCTCTTGCAATGTGTGATTGCAATATTGAGTGATTGACTTGGAATATTGCTGAGACTGTTTTTTAATCAAAGTCAGTTTTCGATGCTGAATATTCATATTATCTTAGGGTATGGATTTTTGAATGTATTGTTGATTGAGTTGTTATTTGATTTGATTTAAAGTTATTAGGCCAAGTAAAAAAAAATAAACAACTTTCTTGTCCCCGCCCGCTTCACTTTTTTCTGGTTGCCCTTTTTTCCCCTTATCAAACATTTGCAGTATCTTTTGGTTTTTATGTTCTTCTAGCAAATTTGTAGCTGTGTACATGTAAGTTTACAATTTGTTAAAAGCATTACGGCTCCTTTGGACACAAAAGTATCAGCAAAAGTTTCAAGAAAATTGAAGAATCCATCTTTGAAAATCTGCCATCTTAAAAATGAGGGGGCCTCCTCCCTTTTTTTCAAAAAGCCAGGACAAGAAGAAGTTTTTGTTTATTTACTTGACCTTAATAAAATTAGGTTGTTGCGGCAAATTCAAGTGACAAGATACTGAATGATTGATTGATAATTTTATTGATTTTTTTTTTTATTTGATTGCGTTGATTCATTTCATTATCCAGCAAATGCCAGTGATATTGGCCGGAAACCCTGAGCAGCAGAAGAAGTATCTTGGTCGCATGTTAGAGGAACCTTTGATGTGTGTAAGTAAAATCTGGGGACGAATGATAACAAGGGAATGCTATTGTCACAGTTCATTTGAAGAACGTTTTTCTTGACGTGGAACGTGATGACTTGTGATGGACTCGTGAGAATAAGCCATTTGCGAGTTACCTATGGGCTCCGTGCGCCAACGAAAGAGGGCGCCCTTTTAACTAGCAACAACGTCCCATGGGCGGAACATTTAGCTGGTTGACGCGCACCGTTCCTTGTGTGTGACGCACGTACACCAGGGGATTTGTACTATGTACACGCAGTGGTACAGCCGCGCGTCGCGGCAAAATTGCAGTCGGGCAAGATGGCGTCGGTCGGTCACCCCCAACTGTCCCTTCTTTGCCGGTGAGGGGGTACTTGTGAACGGAGCGGATAGCCTTTGGGATTAAAATTTAAAAACATCTGGTACACTGACTTGCTCAGAATGCTTGGCGCATTTTAACTTTGAAATCTGCGGACCAAAGACACTGTTGCTAATCACATGATTTGGGGCAAGCTCTTGCATAGTTACGTAAGAGACGCTCAGCACCAATACATTGTTCACAGTGGGTGACAATGGCACAAAGACACCAGACCATGCCGGAGCTGGGGGTTGCCCCGAATCACGTGATATAGTTACAGTCTCTTTGGTCGGGAGAATGCAAATTTAAAACGTGCAAAGTATTGGATTAAGTCAGCGTTCCAGATTTTATTCAAATTTAACTCGCAAACGGCATATTTCTGATAGATTAGAAAACGCTAGACCATGATGCCTTTAGCGTTTGCAATAGGGCTCTCTGACTGACCCACATGACCCGGCCTGCGTCTGGGTTCTGGAAAGTCAGTGGCGCCATTTTAGTAGGCATGGATGGGATAGCGACATGCAGTAAGTAGTAGGCAAACCTTCAAAGCTGCGATGGATGGCAAAAACTGTGAGGAAACAGGATGAGCCAACACCCAGTGCTGGGTTGGCATGATTATGACAACCGTACACGGCACGGGTAGTGACCATTATGCCATTTGATAAAGAATTAGCAGTTCTTTTACCTGAAAATAAGCCCTACTGTCTAGTTTACAATGACATGGTTGCTAACCGAACGCTTGCCTACTGCAATGTTGGCCGCTCAGAGGGCAAGTGGAAGGTCACATAGTACTTTGATGTTGTATATTCAGAATGTATAGAACTCAAGTGGGACTGTCTCTTGCTTCTTGTTAGGCCTACTGCGTAACTGAACCCGGTGCCGGCTCCGATGTGGCAGGAATCAGGACACGAGCTGAGAAGAAAGGTGACGAATACATCCTGAACGGAGGCAAGATGTGGATAACTAACGGCGGCCATGCTAACTGGTACTTTGTCCTGGCGCGGACCGTTTCCGATCCCAAGGCACCGGCATCCAAGGCCTTCACGGGGTTTGTTGTGGAGAGAGAAACCCCCGGAGTAATTGTTGGCAGGAAGGTTGGTTAAAAGTTTAATCTTAAAGTTGCTTTCTTGTACTATTTTCCAATTTCATTTATAAAATAGATTGATTTTCTAAATTGTTGTTTTTCCAGGAATACAAAGGTTATTCACTCTGAGTGAGACATCAACCAAAAAGATCGGCCCATGTTTAGTTTTTGAATTATTACTTGCCAATTTGGATTTATTTGGCTGTCAGACAGTAATTTGGTTCTTGCGGGGTAGTCTGGTTCTCGCCCCACAATCAGTATGGATAATGTATGGACCAGGAGCCAGTCTGCTTACAAATGTTTTTGCCCAAACCAAAATGTTCCTTTGTCCCAAAAGGTATCCACCATAAACATAGCTAGAGGGGTGTTTCACAAAACATGAAGTAAGATTGATGAACAAAAATTGTTGGAAATTTGTAACTTTTGACTTTTTGACAGAAACGTATTTATGAATAGGAATGAATATGTGCTTGGACGGTGATAACAATTAAGTTTAACATGTGCTCAGGGCCTGGACGCAGATAAACACATATTTATTCCCTTGAAGTACCTTGAATCCGTGATCCTGATTTAAGTTGATGTATGGCAACGACCAAGTTATATTTAACAATTGTTGACTGCTGTAATGTGGGATATGACCTTCTTAACACTCGGGTGTTAAACACAGCATAGCCCACATATTTGTTTTGTATCAAACTGACATTATAAATTTGTTATCTCACCAGCGCTTGTAGAAGGTATGGGACACAGATACAGGATTATAATATTGCGTATTAGAACATTGCTATGTGTTTTGCATTTCTCCATGTGACAGGAGTGGAACATGGGACAGAGAGCGTCTGACACACGAGGCATCACGTTTGAAGATGTCAGAGTTCCTAAGGAAAACGTCTTACTTGGAGAAGGAATGGGCTTCAAGATTGCCATGGGTGCCTTCGACAAGACCAGGCCTCCTGTAAGAAGACATAACAGTTTCATTATTGTTTTTCTAGCTATTTTTGCCTATGAATCAAAAATTGAAATTGTTTTTGTTTTTTTGGGTTGTAATTTGCCCATTCACAGTATAGTGCACCACAAAGTTTTAGTCTTGTAGCTCATAATCGACTTACTTCACGTATTGTCCAATAGTTTATGGAGTCTCATATGTTACCACGAAAACACCTAATTCATTCATAGAAATCTTGTAAATAATAATCACAGCTGTAATCAGGTTGGTGTAGTGGTACTTTCCTCGCCTTCCACCACTGTGACCCGGGTTCGAATCCCGCCTGGGTCAATATGTGGATTGGGTTTTCAGTCCCTACCTGAGTCAGTGCGTTTTTCCTAAAATATGAATCTGGGGTTTCCGCCTACAACTAAACTATGATTTCCTTCCACATCTACCAAGGGACCCCACTAGAAGTAAGTCGAGAGACTGTTGTGAGCTATCCCTGCCAATTGCTGAATTATCGCAGACGAAGTCCGACAAAACAAAAAATGATATCAGCACCTATGCCTCTCAATAAGCAAGTGATGAAACCCCTCTACAAGTGCCGAATAATACCTTGCAATGAATGCATGTGAATTGCGACTTTTCCTTTTGTGGTAGTATTCCAATATTTTAAATTAGCTTTTTATTGGAAATAACTCGTCCATTTTGGGGGTTTTGTATTTGATATTGCTAGGTAGCAGCAGGGGCTACTGGTCTTGCTCAGAGAGCCTTTGATGAAGCCACAAAATACTCCATGGAAAGAAAGACGTTTGGAAGATACATCTGTGAGGTAAGGAAACATTACGACACCATGGAGATATGAACGGAAGGAGTCAGAACTCAAGTACTTCAAAGTAATATATGATCATCGCCGCACTTGAAAGCAACAATAAAAGCACCAGCAGCCAGCTTGCTCAGTGGTTCAGTAAGCTAATCCCTATATAATAGAGATCCATGCTCACTTATGCTAGAAGAAAGAGCTTGCATTGCTTTGTGGATAGCACCATGGTAATACGCAGGCGCAGTTGTCATACATCACCAAAAATGAATGATTTTAAAAGTGTTTGTTTGGAGTTGGCTGATACTGGCTAACAACGTGGTCAACATTACTGAAACAATCATTTCATGACAAACTGAAATCTGTCACATTTCATAAATGATGTATTGCCAATCGACGAACAAATTTCTGAAAAGACATGACAACTTATTGGAAAAAAATATCAATGTATCTTCAAATTACAGGAACAGTTAGCGCTTTCAAGGACCAACAACTGCACATCGATAACTTAATTCATAACTCACATCAAACAACTGCGCATTTGTTAAAACCTGTCTTGTCATAGAGGGATTTGAATGTTAAGAGTTCTGACTCCTTCCCTTCATATCTCCATGATGAAATATTGGCTGTTTTTTGGTCTTTAGGATCCATGTGTATAATTGTAGTCCCTGTATCAGTTTCAGACTTCCAGAGTCGCGCTGACCTGAATTATTCCAAAGACTAAGTTGTTAAAAGTTTAGTGTTTGAAATGATTAGAAAACCAGAAAATGCAACAAATAGCTCATAAAAGTGTACTCTAAAAATGAAGTTTCATGTTGTGGATTCATTTTTAGGCCCATGCGCAAATTGAAAAAAAATCCATCCACATCCATTGGACATCAGGTTTTTGCAGAATTTGTTAAAATGGGAAGATTATGTTCATTCACGAGAAAAGAAAATGACGTCACATCATTGTCATTAATTTGTTGATAATTTAAAGCATTTAAAAGAACAGCAGTCGTCCAGCTGCCACAGTCGCCTAGTGGCTAGCGAGATGAGCTAAAGATTGAAAGATCCCTGGTTCCAATCCTGCTTTATCCATTTTTTCAAATGACTTTTTTTTTGTTCCAACATCATCTATAGTTTTTATTGAAGGGGAAAAAGAAGAACAGAAGCCGAAGTGTCTTGATGTGATTCTGTGAAATTATGTGGTCCTGAATTATTAGATACCAGACATCGAAAAAAAAAAAAAACGTGCAACAAGCCATTCGTAAGATGCCAAATGCGCACCATGCTCCATTTGTGCAAAATAATGACCAAAAAAACCTAATAGTGTGACGCACAGGAGAGTGTAAATGATAAAGAAAATGACTGCTATACTTTTCTTAAAGACGTTTGTTGTGTTGTTATGCACTTCTTTTTTATGATTTTATTCTTGTCATGCAGCACCAAGCCGTAGCCTTTATGCTGGCTGACATGGCCATCGGTATTGAAGCCTCACGTCTCATGACTCATCGCGCAGCCTGGGAGATTGACCAGGGAAGACGTAACACCTACTTTGCTTCCATCGCTAAAGCCTTATCTGCTGACGTGGCTAACAAGAGCGCTACGGATGCCGTGCAGATCTTCGGAGGAAACGGCTTCAACAGCGAGTATCCCGTGGAGAAATTGATGCGAGATGCCAAGATATACCAGGTAAGATGCAGAAGTATCTTTATGTGGACTCACTCTCTCAATTTAAAGGTAGGGTTGATCATTTGCCATTAGTGCATTTTTTTTTTCGTTTGAAGCAACAAAAGTGCTCAAAATGGAAAGACAGGTATTTAACAACTAACTCAATGAAGCATTAGCTCTCTGAATGCTGTATATTTCGAGAAAACACAATATTCTGGATCACGATTTCAATTCAAATGTTACTGATCGAGTCATGTCAAAATTCCGAAATCAGCACTCGGGACATGATTCTCATTGAGTCGATTCTTGCTGCATGATGTCACACAATGAGCCTATGACTCTTGCTAATAATAGCAACTGCTCACGTGTGTCCATAGTGTCAAAGCACTTGCAGCCATTCACGGATATGCCCAATTACAAACTAACTGCAAACGGATATTTGCCAGAAGGAATAATCTCACAGGGAGTTTAGTGTCATTACTATCTTTGAACCAAGTCAGATTTTTTGACAATAATTTGGTAGATTGCTTTTTTTGATAGCTGCAAATGATATACTCTACCGTTAAACTCTAAGTTGCGGATCACTTTCACACTCACCTTGCACGTGTACAAAAGCACAACTTTTTCTGTAGTAATTGTCATAAATTGCACAATTTTGTGCACATTTTCACTACTCTGGGCCAAATAAAGAGTTTGACTGGATTGCTAAGGAATTTCTGTACTGATCAGTCTTTGTTTGAGCAAGATGTGCGCAGTAATTTTTGAGTTAGACAAAAAAGTATAAGGTGGGAACTTTCTTTTTTGGTTGAGTGTACAAGTGATAACGGGACCAATAGAGTGGTACCCCATCTTAGTGGTCACATACAAATGCCACTTTACACAGAGGTCCATCTTTAGTTTGAAGATTATTAAATTTTCATCTTTCTTTTCTCTTTCTCAGATCTACGAGGGGACCGCCCAGATTCAGCGTGTGATTATTTCCCGAGAGATTCTCACCAAGGCTAAACAGATGGCGGGCTAGATATCAGGCCAAAAGTGGGACATGAGGGACTCCGTAGTACTGGAGGCCCAAAGTGAGTGTCGTGGACATATCATGCAAAATTTGGTGGAAGGTAAAAAAAGAGGAAAACAAATCAACTTTCATCACCTCGGGAAGATTAAGTCATTGGCATATCTCCTGTTAAATTTGAGCTCATCAGATTTATCTTTTTCAAGATGTGTGTTAATTGTCTAACTTTTGTGGGGTTTTTGTATGCGTTGCAATGCACTTAGCACCTCCAATTTTAAGTCCAGTTGCCAACATGTTACATACGATCCCTTGGTACTTAGTTTTGTCCTGTTTTAATGTGAAGATGCAACACAAGGGGGCGCTGTTGACATTTTGGCAGTATTTTAGAGAAGCTGAGGGGTTTGATCAGTTGCTGCTCACTTAGGGTGCTCTTGTGTGGTAGTGTTGAAAAAGAGGCTCTTTTTATAAGTTCTTGGCCCACACAGTAAAAATGTCAAAGAGTCTTTCTTATGCAAGTGTCGCCTCGCTTTCAAGATGACAATTTCGCACATGTTGGCAACTGTTTTGATTGGACAAAGCCTAATAATCGTAATGATTCAGACTTGGTTTATATGTGTTTGCAAGTTAATAATCAGAGGTTTACTTTTTGTCTTTGTCTATTTAAGAACAAATCCCAGTATAGAGTACAAAAATGTAGTTACGCTGCAAAAAATATATACAAACATTAGAATTAGAGCACTCTGCACTGATGATTAAGATCTCTGAATCTTTGAATATATGCATTAAATGGGACGTGAAGCTTGTATCCTTATGCAAGACACTTTACTCTAATTTCATTTTCTTCTAAACAGAAGTTAAGGACCTTTGAGGGTAGAAAAAAATGGTATTCAGTCTTGAAGTACTTCATAAACTATAATCATATTACGAACAGGAATAATTGTTCTGTTTAAGCCCTGCATTATGATTGCTTTTATAAATGAAATGACTTCTGTACATACACTGTCACTCTGAAGCACAGTGTACAGCCCTTGATGGCTTGTAAAGTTATAGTCTGTAGCAATGTTGTTTTACTGGACAATTCGTTCATTCACTTTGAACTCTAGTCACCTCACCTAATGAAATATAAAGCCATAGTAACTGTAATATGTCAAGTCTGTGAGTCCTACAAATTAATGTGTTTCTGTTGTGTTGGATGTATTTTTGGTATCCTCACAATAACTCAAGTTACACTTGATGTTTTGCTATGAAAAACGTGGTACGTAACATGCATTGGTTTTACATTTGGTTTACTACAGGGTGAGTAACAAAAAAGCGGAACCCAAACCCCCAAAACTATATTTTATATTTAAAAAAATATGTAGCACCAAAAATTAATAATGGCTGGAAAGCCAATTTCATGAGCTACTTTAGAGATGAAAACAAATTCCTGAAATTGCTCCATCTGTTCAAAGAATATCACCATTTACACGCAATGACCCTAAAACCTGTTTCGTCCACAAAAAAAAAGCAACTGTATTCTTACTGTTTAGAGCAACAAAGAAAATGACACAGAATACTTGTTTCAACAACTGTCAACTACTGTAGTACACAATATCTTTATTAACAACCCTGTTAAGGCAAACAATATGATTTATAATATCCACTTTTATTATAATAGGAGCTTGTAATATGACAAAGCAGATACTTTCACAAAGAATACATGAACTTAGATCGCATGTACCTGTATGTACATTTTGTAGTTAATTTTGATCTTTTTGTTTGTGGTTGATGGATTAAAAAAATTAAACAATCTCAATTTATGCATGATTGTTTGTATTAATGCTGTCCTGGATTATTTGCTGTCAACAGAGGGCGCTAAACACTTTATAGGGTCTGTTATGGAAAATTTAGTGTAAATTTAGTGAGGGCGACCTTTATTGTCGCCACCAGAGGTACATACCGCTGCGGGCGACCGTTATTGTCGCCCCTAGAGGTACATATACCGCTGCGGGCGACGTATGTCGCCCCCAGAGGTACATACCGCTGAGGGCGACCTTTATTGTCGCCCCTAGAGGTACATACCGCTGCGGGCGACCGTATGTCGCCCCCAGAGGTACATACCGCTGAGGGCGACCTTTATTGTCGCCCCTAGAGGTACATACCGCTGCGGGCGACCGTATGTCGCCCCTAGAGGTACATATACCGCTGCGGCCGGCGACCGTATGTCGCCCCTAGAGGTACATACCGCTGAGGGCGCGACCTTTATTGTCGCCCCTAGAGGTACATACCGCTGCGGGCGACCGTTATTGTCGCCCCTAGAGGTACATATACCGCTGCGGGCGACGTATGTCGCCCCCAGAGGTACATACCGCTGAGGGCGACCTTTATTGTCGCCCCTAGAGGTACATACCGCTGCGGGCGACCGTATGTCGCCCCTAGAGGTACATATACCGCTGCGGGCGACCGTATGTCGCCACCAGAGGTACATACCGCTGAGGGCGACCTTTATTGTCGCCCCTAGAGGTACATACCGCTGCGGGCGACCGTTATTGTCGCCCCTAGAGGTACATATACCGCTGCGGGCGACGTATGTCGCCCCCAGAGGTACATACCGCTGAGGGCGACCTTTATTGTCGCCCCTAGAGGTACATACCGCTGCGGGCGACCGTATGTCGCCCCTAGAGGTACATATACCGCTGCGGGCGACCAATAATTGTCGCCCCCAGCGGAACGTACCTCAGGCTGGGGGCGACCATATTGTCGCCCCTAGAGGTATGCGCAGTTCTGTATACCGCTACGGGCGACTGTTGTTGGTCGCCCCCAGAGGATGATACCGCCACGGGCGACTGTTGTTGAGCGCCCTCAGCGGTACGTACCGCTACGGGCGACTGTTGTCGCCCCTAGAGGATAGAACTTCCGCTACGGGCGACCACTAATTGTCGCCCCCAGCGGTACGTACCTCTGGGGGCGACCATATTGTCGCCCCTAGAGGTATGCGCAGTTCTGTATACCGCTACGGGCGACTGTTGTTGGTCGCCCTCAGCGGTACGTACCGCTACGGGCGACTGTTGTCGCCCCTAGAGGATAGAACTTCCGCTACGGGCGACCAATAATTGTCGCCCCCAGAGGTACATACCGCTGAGGGCACCCGTTATTGTCGCCCCCAGAGGTACATACCGCTGCGGGCGACCGTTATTGTCGTCCCTAGAGGTACATTATACCGCTGCAGGCGACCGTATGTCGCCTCAAGAGGTACAAAATGTCAATAGAGGGCGCTCTATTATCCATATTTAGGCAATAAAGCAGGCACTTAATTTTATACAATTTGATTTTACCACGTGCAACACAGATAATCGTTCCTAAATATGCTTAAAGCTTTTTTTTGGGGGGGGGGGAGAGGGGGAGTGAGGGGTAGGAAACGCGATTTAACTGGCAGTTATCTTTTAGTGAAATAATAAGCACATCACACAATAACATCTTGTTGAAGCAGAATTTATCAACATTCACATAGAAAAAGTATAACTGCAAAATTATATATTCATTATATTCCCCTCGTACACTGAGAAAAAAATTATCTGCACTTTCCTACTGTATTAGTCCATGCGGCGTTGAATATTTTATTGACAGATAACACAAGAAAACAATCTTTTAGTGGCATTTTCAAAATAAATCTGTTGAAGGGAATGAAGGGTTTCTTTACCCATAGACGTTCTATAAATCTTTTTCGACCTCCAATTAAATAATAAAATAAAGGAATATCTAGTTTCCATAACAGTATCGGTAGTTCTTAATCATTTAAACATTTGATTTGACAACAATTTTCAGGTCTCAAATAATAAGATAAATTTAACAAAACATCTAAAAAGTGTTACACCTGTTTTATTCCTAATTTAACCCTTTTCCTAATTGCAATTCAATGAAATAAGTTTTAATCACTGTTTAATTTGTTAAATTTAGGTTTTGGTTATGATATTTACTCTTTTCTTTGTTTTAGGAGGGGTTTTGAATACCAAAAAAAATTTAACGGTATTTTTGATTTAAATTGTGTTAAGTCAAAACGGGTTCGAATCCCGCTATGTGGCTTAGACCGCTAGGCCATCTGACTAAGAGGTTCAACTACAGTAAGAAGTAGATTATCTTGATTTCCGAGGCAAGGTGGCTGAAAAAGTGTAGGAGGGTACCTGGAAGATTGAAAATGAGTATTTGAATAGGAAAATGAACATGCAAAAACAAAATCTGCATTTATTTTGTTAAGAAAAATCTTTTTCCCGAACGTCCTTTGTTACTAGCAGCTAAAATTTGGAAATAAAACTGAAAAATTATTTCTGCATTGTTAAGAGAAAAGTCAGTCGACTTTGGGCCAAGTTTGTGTCACACTAATTCCTCGTATTTTGTCATTTAAGTTTCGCTAAATTTAATTAAAACTATCCCCTTTTATTGTTCAATAATTGCTTGAAACTTGTAGGAAATATTGCTTAGGAACCAAGAACACATTCCAAATCAATTTCTCTGGAGAGATATATTAATAAAAACAAAAAATCATGTCAAAAATGCAGGGTACATGTACATTCAGAACACATTCTAATTCGATTTCTGGACACGTGTTCATTTTAAATTGTCAAAAAATTTTGCTTTGCTTAACAAATCGATACTTATTGTCCAAATCGTCACAATTGACATGCAGAAGCTCCTGCCACGGCTTAAAATAAACAAAACAAACTGCCCAAACTCCCAGGAAAGATTCCCAAATGGCCCTACTTTAATAACTAATTAAAACTCGGTATTTACAGCCGTGTGGTTGCGAAGGGCGATTTAAAAAGGTCACAAAACATGATTTTAAATTAAACTACAATGTACATGCATACATGTACACGTTGGCGGGCGAAATCTTTGAAAATTAATTTCTCACGTTTGGAAGACCGTATCTTCAAGAAACCTTCAGGGTTTATTTCCCAAAGTATGTACTAAAAATTCGTTGTGATGTGTTCTTTACTTTTGAAATTGAAAAAAAATAGGCCTGGCTACGTGCATTTTTGAAAGCTGTAACACATGGCGTTTGAAATAACTGGCAATATTTTCAAGCCGCACGAATATCAATAAGGTTCCTATATCCATTATAGTGTGCAGTAAACATTTGGAGAAAAGCCTCCTTCACGAGTTATTAATTGGTAAATACCACCCTTTTTTTGCCGGCTTCCATTGGTCGATACCGAGACCCACGCCAAGTCACAGAGTGACGTAATGAATATGCTAATATGCCCATCGTCATTGTGTTGCCGGGCCGAAATCGGTCAATCGTATACGGCGCTTTGCTAAACAATGCACGCTAAAAAAATCCTCGTCGAATTTTTCCGTGGAGTCAGTTTAATGTGTATTAAACACTAGCGTTTGCAACAACAGATTAAGTTGAAATTCGGAATATACTTATACGATGATAATAATAAGTGTTCAACTACTCGTTCGGAAAAACTTGAAAATTCCTAGAAATTGATAAATACATTTTGATTTTGGGACGTTTTCAAACGATTTCTTCCAGACTGAAGGTCAGCTTTACCAGTAACCAGCATTGACGTTTCGGCATTGCTTACGGCAATTTTTTTCAGTGTCATAGGGCATAAAGCTTAGAATTTCTTCTTCCGTTATAATTTCAATCATACTGAGCATATTTCTGAGAAATACAACGTTCAAATGGCCATGTTTTTTTGGGTGCACGAATTTCACTGCTCTGTTACAGCGTCTAAGTACGTCATCGGATTAGCTTAGTTGCTTGACAACCGGCACGCTTTCGCGTTCGCAACCACACGGCGTTTTTTTTAATAAACAGATATTGCGACAAACAGATGAGGCAACATCAGTTAAAAATGTTAAAGTGTTTTCCCCTCAAACTTTGATTATTTTTTACCCAAATATCCCTCTTTCGGTGTGTAAATATTAACTGATGAATATTGACTCATGCTCATCTTAGCTCTGCAGGAATTTCTGCAATGCTTGGGGAAAAAAGTCACGTTTTGGACGAATTTAAATACAAATGTAAGGCCAACCCCTTACATTTAAAAAAAAAACGTTGGTGATATAAAGATATACAATTTTTTTTTATTTCAGTGTAGGTACAAACAAGTTCAGCACTCCTCAGATGAAAAACTCATAAACTCTCAATTAAATTAAAAAAAAGAAATACAGAGGAAAACAGTCGCAAACCAATGAGCTTGTGTTGGTCATGAGAACACACAAGTAGATAACTATGTGTACATAGGATTATTTCACTGCAATGGGAGACTTTTGACAGATTGGTGGCAGCAAATACACCAGTCTTTTTCAATTGTTTGCGTCATGCTGAAGCTGATGTGCGCATGCTCAATATGAGTAAGCAATAGAAAAGGACCGGTGTGTCTGCTGCCACCAAGGGTCTCAAAAGTCTCCCATTACTAAACAAGCCGAGGCAAGTTGAGTAAATATGGTCCCAGAGTGCACAGAATTCTATTCAATTGATTCAGAATGGTTTTTCACTAGAAGTCTTATGATGCATCTACTAGTCTACACAGTGGGGCGGATTTTGCCCATTCTTGGACATTCTGGGGTAATCCTATACGAGAGCACTGCCAGGCTAACAGTCAACTCATCAGTGATGATTGAAGCTAATACGAGGACACTAAGCTAGCACTCTGGGACCAGCACAAATATAAACAGTAATTTCATGTTCACAAATTCCATGAAATCTATCGAAGTTACACAACACAGTACTGGTACACAGAATATCTGCATGTTTGTAGGAACACCACCTGTGCCAAACGAGTTAAAAGGAAAATCAAACCACATTATATATTTTTTGGCACTTCTACATGTTTATTTAAACTCTGTACATACATCTATGTACCGACAATTTCAACAGTCCAAAGCATGCATCTTTCTTTTGTTGATGTCTTCTAATTTAGAATGTTATTCCTAAACTATAGCTGTCACCAACTTACAAAATACACTCACACACTGCTGGGACTATCCACATCTGTGCCAATTCTTGCTCTCAGTTGACTCACTTGGGAAATATATTTTGGTTCAAAATATTCACAATGCTCTAGTTTTAGTTGAAGTCACTACATTAAGCTTATTTGGCTACAGGAGCTATATATAAGTTGTCTTTTAAAGAATTGTTTAATAACTATTCCATGAAATGAAACAATTTTTATTTTAAAAAAAGCAACAATCTTTGGATATGAATATCAGAAACCAGGGAAGACAAAACCAATGAAAGGAGATTCAAGGAAATCTACAAGGGAAAAGGACTTTTATGTTAAGATATACAACAAAAAGAAAATCCTGAGATTAAAAGCAGGTTTAAAAATAACATTATTAACTGTTATTTGTATTTTTAGTAAACGTGCTTACACCCACTTACAAATTGACACAATTCAGCCCCCCAAAATGGGTCCAAACCATACAGCTATATTACATTACTAGAGCGCTGACTCGATGTACAAAGTGATGCCCTCTGGGCGCTTTCTTAATCTGTCTGTGTATCCTATACAGCATTATCAAAGCCGATACGGCTAAAAGCAAAACACTTGACTAGTAAATGAGCATTTCATTTCATTCTGCACAAACAATGCAAACGCATGCGTGTAATCCAATACAGATGACTTTTCACTACACGTACGAATACAAGAGGTAGCTGCACAATCAAAATTTTTCAAAATTGGCTTCATGGTTTCAAAAACAGCCAGACGGACCCTTTTTGGGGGACATACTGTAGTTATTGACAGCTCTATGTTCTATACAGACAAACCTACCATTTGCATCAGACCTGGCTAGGAACCAGACTACTATAGCTTCCCTGTGCTGGCTTTAGGTTGCATAAATGACAGGTGCTTGGGTACCATACAGTCAGGTGCCAGGGCAGGGTTACGCACCAGGCCCAGGGCAATACCTACCCGCATCGCCAGTGAGGGCGCTCTCACTTTGTCGGATGGTGTCGGCATCACCTGTCAATGTCCAAAAAAGTTGAAAATTAGTATGAGGGGAGCAGCTTCTTGTGTTCAATTTTGAAAGGAGACCAATGGGGGATGCTAAAACAGCTACTTGTACAGACCTGTAGCCGGGACGGGGGGGGGGGGGGGGTTTGAATGACCCCCACAAAAAAATTGTCCACAGGTCAACTTTTTACTCATGATTGTGCATTTCCCTGCATAATCAACTGTGTTTTACACATCAAAAGGTCCACTGTATGGTGAAAAGGTCCATTTCATAGTAAAAAATGTGCATTTCCTTGTATAGTCAACTGTTTATTACTCATTAGAAAGTCCTCTGCATGGTGAAAGCAACCCTCCCCTTCCACCCGGCTGGAATGGGCCTTGCTTGTAGGATTATGTGTAAGTGGAAACAATCACATTTTTGTGACTTCAGAACTTACAGAAGGGCATTTTCATGCTGCAAGTACAATTACATGGCAGCTTCACAGTGAGTGTTAGATAAAGCTTGCATTTGTTTCTCCTAGTAGCAGATTTGCAGTATTGGGTTTGCCCTGTACGGATGTAGTTCTAATGAGTACTGTATGCTCACACATGTTTATGTTATATACATGTGGACATTCTTTTGTTTTCGTGTAGTTAAAAAATACCTGTGAAAAAACTCATTTACGCAGACTGTGAAAACTCTTTCAACCCCATTTTTTTCTATGATTCCCTTGTGAGTTTCTCTTCACTTTGCCATGGATAAACCTAACCCCAAAATGCCTGTAAACCTGTTTTCCAGAGAGGGGGAAACACTGTGTGGACGTCGTCGCTGCTACCTGGTTTATGTGGACATCTTTGTTCGGAGTCCACACAGTGAATGTAATGCTTGTACAGTGTTGTCTGAGAGCACTTGGAAAGGTAGTGTTTATAGAAATGTACTCTCTGACACAAAAATCTCCCTGATGCGAAAATACCATTATCAGTCATTCTTTGTGGTACCCACTGCTATTAAGATTCAAACCAGCCAGCCAACCCCAGGTGGTTAAGAGGACTGCACTAGAAAGCAGGAAGTCAGGGGTTCGAGTCCCATCCAAGCAAGTATGTGATTTGTTCGCATGCTCTCGAACAGCACTGAGCATATAGTGCTTATAAAAATTACATCGTTGAAGGGCAAAACCCAATATTAAAAACATCTCCTGGACGTGAAAATGCCATCAGCATTCACAGCAGAAGTGTCGCACATATTCCAAAATGTTATTGGACTTAAAAGTTCCTACAAATTGGTCCAGGAACTAAAGATAACAGCATAAACTCAAGGACTAAAAAAGTCAAAATTGAAATGGCTGAGGCTTCATTGCTGCACGGCAGAATTTAAAAATAAATTAGGTTGTCCCACCTCAATTTGAAACCAAAAATCATCTAATGGCAACGATCAGTAGGCATTGGGGTCACTGTGTGGTTTTGTTACAATTGTTATGCCTGTCATTAAGGCTACAGTTATGAATGTTACCTTGTCCATTTTGTGTCGATGAATGAGACCATCCATTCCAAGTTCAAACGTGGAGAAAGCATCAAAGTATCTGCAACGTCAAAAACATTTTGATTTACTGAATTGGCTCCAGTGCAATGATGGAAACAATGTGGAACATTATAGCAGAAAGTGTAAAGCAATATCCTTGTACGCAATGATTCTTACATTTTAATTAAGAGAGAACCCTATTCCTATCCTCCAGTGTGGGTGGGGCAAGATGAGTGGGGGGAGCATAATGCTCACATAGCTATGTAGTGGTGCTATTCTCGAATGGGGCGAGTTAAGGGATAGGGCTTAGGGCTCACCTTTGTGTATACGTCTCTAGGGTCTCACGACATAGCTGTGTAGAGATGCTCTTTTAGGGCGTGGCAAGGTAAGGGGCGGGGTTTAATTCTCACCTATCAGGGTGTTTACGCCTCCAAGGTCTGATGACACAGCTATGTAGTGGTGCTGTTCGAGACAGGGCAAGGTAAGGGGCGGGGTTTAAGGCTCACCTATCAGGGTGTTTACGCCTCCATGGTCTGATGACACAGCTGTGTAGTTGCGCTGTTCAAGACAGGGCAAGGTAAGGGGCGGGGTTTAAGGCTCACCTATCAGGGTGTTTACGCCTCCATGGTCTGATGACACAGCTGTGTAGTTGCGCTGTTCAAGACAGGGCAAGGTAAGGGGGCGGGGTTTAAGGCTCACCTATCAGGGTGTTTACGCCTCCATGGTCTGATGACAGAGCTATGTTGTTGTGCTGTTCGAGATGGGGCAAGGTAAGGGGCGGGGTTTAAGGCTCACCTATCAGGGTGTTTACGCCTCCATGGTCTGATGACACAGCTATGTAGTGGTGCTGTTCGAGACAGGGCAAGGTAAGGGGCGGGGTTTAAGGCTCACCTATCAGGATGTTTACGCCTCCAAGGTCTGATGACATAGCTATGTAGTGGTGCTGTTCGAGACAGGGCAAGGTAAGGGGCGGGGTTTAATTCTCACCTATCAGGATGTTTACGCCTCCAAGGTCTGATGACATAGCTATGTAGTGGTGCTGTTCGAGACAGGGCAAGGTAAGGGGCGGGGTTTAAGGCTCACCTATCAGGATGTTTACGCCTCCATGGTCTGATGACACAGCTGTGTAGTTGCGCTGTTCGAGACAGGGCAAGGAAAGGGGGCGGGGTTTAAGGCTCACATATCAGGATGTTTACGCCTCCATGGTCTGATGACATAGTTATGTTGTTGTGCTGTTCGAGACAGGGCAAGGTAAGGGGTGGGGTTTAAGGCTCACCTATCAGGGTGTTTACGCCTCCATGGTCTGATGACACAGCTGTGTAGTTGCACTGTTCGAGACAGGGCAAGGAAAGGGGGCGGGGTTTAAGGCTCACATATCAGGATGTTTACGCCTCCATGGTCTGATGACATAGCTATGTAGTGGTGCTGTTCGAGACAGGGCAAGGAAAGGGGGCGGGGTTTAAGGCTCACCTATCAGGGTGTTAATGCCTCCATGGTCTGATGACATAGCTATGTAGTGGTGCTGTTCGAGACAGGGCAAGGTAAGGGGCGGGGTTTAAGGCTCACCTATCAGGGTGTTTACGCCTCCATGGTCTGATGACATAGCTGTGCAGTGGTACACCCTTCACCCTCCATCTAGCCTGTATTTGTCCTAGTTCTAGCTCAGCTGTGATGCGTAGTACCTCCATGCTTGAACCATTGATGTAAGCAGCACACAGATACCTCATTCCGTGGACACTTGCTTTGTATGCCGGCAGTCCTCTGTGAATCAAACAAGTATCAGGGTTGGGCTTAGGTTGAGCAAACTCAGAAAGTTCTGTTACTCAAAGTTCAGTTCAGATAATCCAGGGGTCGAAATTAGCGGAAAACCCACTAGCCAAATGCTAGTCAAAACAGCAGCAGGCTAATAAAACTTTTCCTTAAGTAGCCCGGCTGGCGAGTTAAAAAAAATATTCGGACACGGCAAAGATGAAAGGACAGGAAGAAATAAATCATGAAATTCAGAAAGCAAACCTGTACTGCTGTATCGATTTGTGTATAATTTTATCAACTGTTTTAAACTTGGGTTAAATTGTTAGATCTGTTTATTAAAAACACTGACAAAATTGCCTCAGTTCGAAATGGGTATAAACGGTTTTACTTACGACCTATTTTCATATTGCGTACTTGCATGAGAACGAAAAATTATAACGACGCGAAGATTTGCCTACGTACATCTGATGGATTCTAGATTTATTCAGGCTCGTTTGGACCACGTTTTAATACAGTTCTTATCAACAGTCATTTTAGATTTGTTTTGTAAATGAAAACTAAATCCTTCAAGTTTATTAAAAAAATTGTCCATCCCAAAAGACATTTGAGTCTCCTGTTTAAGTTTAAGCCTTTTACCCAATGACCGCCACAAAATTATTTCATAAATTTTCATGCTTGAAAATGTTGAAAGAGTGATCGAGTTCCACGAGTCCACACGGAAGTTTTTGATATTTGTCTTGCACGTCATGCGACTTTTCAGTTTCCATAAAAATCCGAGGGTGATTTTCTTGAGAAAATTACTGTACCAAAACTAATTTGAAAAACTCTTGACTTTTACACGTTAACTTTCCTTTTCGAGGGGTCCTGAAGCGCGCCACCAGGGGTCAACTTTCAGGCTCTAAACATGTTTTACATGTATGCGCATTGTTGTTTATGAGACACTCTATAAAAAAAAAACATGCGGGCTAGTGAAAATGCCCGCGGGCTAGTTATGAGTCTGTTTCAGTAGCCCGGCTGGCTAGTGAAAGTAAAAGTTAAGGTCGAACCCTGGATAATCTTAATGTTAACATTCTGAAAATAGTTTGAGCAAACATGTGAATTTCATCGTGACTTTATACGATTCATTCTTAATCTTGAAAAGCTTTTTCTTTCCGTTTTATGTAGCTTTTGTTTGAGTTGTTAATTAGTCAATGGGGACCTCAAAAAAAAATGTGGTGTCACTTTTGTCCTGTTGCTGAAGCTCTCGCCTAAAAGCCATGCTTCCCCTAGCAGAAAAGTTCTTCAAAATGTAAGAGTATATCATGAGTTGGCTTCGCATGTGTGTGCACAGAGTTTTCTAATTTCATCTCACTTTTATCTCAAATGGTCAAAAGAAAATTGAAGCTCTGGTTTTTTTTATATTCTGAGTCACAACTGAAAACTTAGACCCCAGTTTATAGATCTTGAAAAACTAAAGGGGCGACTCTTTATCACAATATAATGAAGAGAGTAAACTTACTTGGTTTTGAATTTCATAATCCTGTTATCAAACTCGACTGAGTTGGCATACATGCTGAAGTCGTGAGAGTCTTCCAGGAAGTTGGGCAACTGAAACCAGAAATGTCAGTGATAATTTTACATTTATTCTGAAAATTTTACAACTATGGCAAAAAGGATGAATTGCTTAAAGCAAATTTCTTTTCTGTAGGCGGGACGCTCCAAAGTCATGAATAATTCAATAGTATCGATCGGGCCAGAATGTTTATTTATGAAACAGAACAATGATATCAAGAGCGTTGTTGTTATTTAGTCAACCAGTTACATTTAAAGCATTTGAAAGTACAGACGTCGTCGAGCTACCACACAGTAGCCCAGTGGATAGCGTGATGAGCTATGGATACAAAGATCCCTGGTTCGAATCCACGTCATCGCTGCTCACTTTCATCGACTGTTTTTCTTCTCTGAATTTATCGTTGAGAATTTTATTTACAGGGAAAAAAGATAACGATAACCTAACTGTCTTCCAACGAATCAAAGGTAAACTGAATTATGCATGACTTTGGAGCATCACGCCTACGGAAAATAAATTTGCTTGCCTTAAGCCGCCTCAGGTCGCCCTTGTGTCAAATGACTTTTCAGGATCAAGCTGCCTCTCAAGACCGCCAGGAACATATCAGTCGCTGATTTTTTGTGACCTTGGTAAACTACGATGATATTAAGACAATCGGCATCAGTCAGCACTCAATAAAATCAACATCTTCTGCGACATGTGCCCGACAGACGGCAATCAATTGCAGTTGACCGATGTGAAATGACGTCATGTGCGCACCGAAGTCATCTTATTTCATTGTCAACCCAATCAGCATGCAGCATAAAGAGCTGATTGGACAGATGTGGCCGTGGACGATTGTTGATTGTTATCAACATGCTTTAACGCTACTGTAAAAGAAGTCACACGATAGCCTATGCCATGGAATTGTTGTTGCGTCGTGGGTGACATGGGCGTGGTTGCGATTATTTTGTGTCGAGAGGCCGCTTGTTCCATGAGAATTACACAATTTGAGAATTACACAATTTTGTGACCTGAGCACTATTTGTCTGCTTGTTCCGTTCCTACGCAATTCGCAGGTCCAACTGAGGCCGGCTTAATATGCTGTTAAAAAAAAAAAGGCCTTCCATTTGGGATATGTACTATTTACCATGTGTATACATGTGCATACAGAGCAAAAAATCTCAATTAACTCTCTTTGTTCAAGGGAAATTGTGCATGGGGCCCGTAAAGATAAACGCAGTCTTTCAAGTAAAGATAACTTGTATTAAATTAGCTCTGACTAGGGCTGTCCATTTTGAAATATTTTAGTGTTCGATCACCGAAACTGCATTTGACAAAAATATTCGGATATTCAAAACGGCCAACTGCAACTGCGTGCTTTACCGTTAACTCCGCGATTGTGTACAAAGTCTATGGAGAGTCAAGAAAAGTTTCTAAATATTTCCTAGCAAAACTGGAAATGTGTCTCAGTCCCAGATTCATGTCTTATCATTTTTGCAATGAATGACCTTCATTGAGATGATATATGAAGAAAAACATTTTTTCTGAACAATGAACCGCCGTCGACAAAAAAATGTGTTACTGTAGACAAAAAGTGGCACTGTACAATAAAGCATAGCAACTTTACAACACAAAAAATATCACATGCTCACCTCCTGCACAAGCCGTTCATACATGATTAGTATCTGTTCTTTGCTCGGTTTCTGACTGTCGTTGTCTTGTGGGGACACACTACTGTCTTGCTCTGTCAAGCCGGTGTCTGCTTTGGTAGTCGCTGGCTGACGATCGTCTGCTGAGGACTGAAGACAATTAGGCTCTGGGACGGCCGCTACCATCGGGACATGATAAACTTTACTGGAAAGAAATTGCAAAAGTGTAATGTACATTCGTAATCAGTAAAGGAATTGAGGACTCTCCATTCAGTGTACACAGACTTATAATAAATTACAGGAGCACTAACTGGCTGCGCAAATGAAGCCTGCTGGGCGCATATTTGGGCACAAACCTATGGAAAATTGGGAATTTAGTACAGCTTTAGTACGGCATTTGTTTTGGACAGTGCAACATTGTCACGCCGCAATTTCCACTCGCTAAATCTTTTAAAATTTAAAACTTTTCAAACTGCATCATTTTACATAAACTGTTATCAATCTTGGACAATTGTCAGTCTTTGGTGGCAAACGGGGTATCAAAATGTACCTAACAACATTCCCCAAAGGTCTATATAAATGATGATATCATAAGACGATCAGATTCAAAATTATGACCCCTCCAACGAGTGCGGACTTTCCTTCTTTTTTGTGTGCAGTGTTTAGCTCCATGATATTAATAGTCAACAACAGAGCAGGACCAAATATGAAATTCTTTGTGGGAGTGGTTAGGGATGACAAAATCTGCTATGTGATGCATGTTATTTGGGGACTACAATGTTCCTCATACATGTATGTCAGTAGAATAGACCGATGAGTTAAGTCCTGCCGTGACTCATAACGCTCTGACCTACATGTATGACAGCATAATTAATGTCCGAAATGCATGCACAAATGTCCAACATGTGTGCACTTGCATATGATGCATGTTGCTGGACCTTGAAGTGCTGTATAAGAGAATGAGGCGCAGTTGATGCTGCCCATGCGTGCAATAGGTGAGGCCAAGGGACTGACCTATTGACTAAACATCGACCACATAGAACGTTGCATAAACTTACTTGAAATACAGATGTGTCCTGCACACATGTCGATGCAGACCAAAGGTTGGTTGATTATTGAGAGAATCAGTCAATTGAGTGATGCCCAAACAATGGGAAGATAGGTTTGCGAAGCCATAGTCTTGTTTATTGATTGGTTGCTTGGCTATGATGTCATCAGTTCCATGACGCTTGATTGGCTGGTTATTGCGAATGATGATGTCATCGCTGCACGCGGCATCCCAGGGTATGGCTGCAGTCTCGTAGACGCTCTGGATGTGCATGGTAGCTGACAGCCTGCATAGGGTCGCAGTGATGTCCTTAATGCCATCCTGGACAGGCAGTGAAGACGTCAACAAGGATAAGACGTGAGTGATGGTGCCTCTCTCAATGGAAAACAGCACAGGAGGCTCTCGGTTCTCTGTGTCTTTGCTTTCACCAATGTTTGCTGCAGAACTTTCCTCTTGATGAGACGAGAAGTCTGACGGGCGGGGCCCTGCGGAGCAACAACGGGCGGAGTCTTTCAAGCACATCAGAGATGTCTCCCTTCGATCCCAGTGCAAAGATTGTGATCTACCTCCACTAGAAGCTGACCTTGAAGCCCATCTGTAGGTGTGGCTCTCTGAATGGGTCCCCACATTGGTGCAGATTGCTGTCAGTCTGGGTTTGCTACGATAGATGTGTCGCAGGTACATATGACGTCCTTGGCCGATGGAGATGGCAGGGTTGATTAGGGCATTGCAGGAGAAGTGTGATGAGCATGTGGACCCTCTAGGTGTGAGTTTTGAGACCTGGTGTTGGCCAAGATCCTTATAAACAAAATTGTAAAAAGAGAGAAAAATAAGCTATGCCCATGACTGAGTGATATTCTGGTGATAGTTGTGAATATACTACTTTTTATGACTCACCGCAGAACAATGGAATCACACAAAACAAAATCTTTGAATGAAAAAAATGAACCTATTTTCAATTAACACCTAAATTCTCACAGTTTATGTTCAGGAAATAAAAAGTTGCATTAAATATTAGTGTCCATTGACTATAAAAAAAAATGAAATGACATGAACAATGAACATTTGTTCGAAAATACTGTAACTTATTTTTTTACGCTAACGGCATAATAACTGGACTTCTAGGATTGCTGCTTTTTAACCTGGTATGTACCAGTAGCTTCCATAGTGAAAAACAAGTAGAAATTCCATGTCAAATTTGGGAAAACCAACTGCTCAATTTGAGTACGCATTGTTGGGTGGCTAACAATATGGGACAAGTCCACACATTGAGGTTCAACATCAGCAGATCCAGGACCCCCCCCCCCCCCCAGAAGTGACTCAAATATTTTCAAATAATGTTATTTTTCACTTGAGTGTGCCGTTTATCTCCCCAGATTCTAACCAGCCAGCCAACCCCGGGTGGTTAAGACGACTGCACTAAAAAGCAGGAAGTCATGGGTCCGAGTCCCACCCGACCAAGTTTGTGATGGTTTTCTTGCATGCTCGTGGACAGTGCTGAGGATACAGTGTTTATTAATACTACATCGGTGAAGGGCAAAACTCAATATTAAAAACCATCTCCCGGGCATGAAAATACCATCAGCATTCACAGGAGAAGTGTCATAGGAGCAAAGTTTATAGAATGCAGGGCCACGTCGGAAAAGTTTTTTTTGGTTTTTGGATGCGATATGAGAAGTGGGGTTGTTGAGTAGAATGGCACTCCTTTGAGAACGATGCGACGTTAGGAATTGATTGATCAAAGGTATGAGACAGTGGATGGGCATGAAGTGGATGTACACAAAATAGAGGGCAGTATAGAGAGTGAAGGGTATTAATGAAGTAAATTGTGATCAATAGAGGGCGCTATAGAGAAGGAATTATTGACAAGTACGTAGTATCGAGTGAGATGGCTTGGGATGTATTGGATGCGGGGTGGTTGGACATGAAGATTGTCATCACTACTTTATTTAACCTAGGACTCACTACTTTATTTCCCCATCTTAATCTGACCTCAATCTACCCACTCACTCCGTCTTGGATTCGCCGATGCAGGGTGGGAAGGAAGTAAACTGTAGTCAATAGAGGGCGCTATAGAGAGCCAAGTACGCAGTACGTATGTACACTGAGTGAGACGTATACAGCTTGGGATGGGTGCAACTATAGAATACAGGGCCCATCCATTCTACAGGGTGTCCCAAAAAAATGTTCCACTCTCCTTTTTTTACAAATTCAAGCAAACCTGAGCTGAATGCATAAATTTTCTTATTAGGCCTATGCATGGTATAAGAATGCTATGTGACTTGGTTGTTATCTACCAAAAAAATTGGATCATACTATCAATCCACTAGGGACAGAAATGCTTAAATATGAACTCACCTCCATTTGCCAACTGCGCTGGGGACTCAAATCACCAATTTTAAAATGTCGATTTTTGTCAAGTGTGATTTTCAAAAACTCTACTTGGTGTCTATTATGAAAGACCAGTCATAAGTCGTTATCAAGCATACCAGAGAAAACCAACCAACCTAGCTGGAGTTACCCAGCCCTAAATTTTATCATTGGGTTGTCATTTAGGGCTGGAGCTAGTTTTTCACGTAACCCAGCAGCGTAGGCAGGTCCCAAAAAAAAATGCGAAAAAAATTGGAAAATGTTCAATTTTGTCCCCGTTACACACTAATTGCAACTGCAACTGCAACTCACCCCAAACTTGCCCGGAATAACCATTACACAGGTCCTTGAAGTAAAAAACGATCCATGATGAAGATTCAGCCTACAATTGCAGTGAAAAAAGGAGGAATAACGGCTAACCTGACAACCTTGCAGGCATGGCCAGGACCGCAATTGGTTTGTGCACAAAAAAAATTGTGTACAATGAATGGCGTTCGATTACCAGGCACAGCGCTAGTCGTTTTTGCCGGCTGCGCTGGCTGTTGGCGCATGACGTCACGCGGAAGCGTAACACCCAAAGACTGTTTCATGCACTAATATGAGGTTTACCACTCGCATTACAGCTGCGGTACAGGAACCGCAACCGACAGCCAGCGCAGCCGGCAAAAACGACTATTTGACAGCGCTGTGCCTGGTAATCGACCGCCATTCATTGTACACAATTTTTTTTGTGCACAAACCAATTGCGGTCCTGGCCATGCCTGCAAGGTTGTCAGGTTAGCCGTTATTCCTCCTTTTTTTCACTGCAATTGTAGGCTGAATCTTCATCATGGATCGTTTTTTACTTCAAGGACCTGTGTAATGGTTATTCCGGGCAAGTTTGGGGTGAGTTGCAGTTGCAAATAGTGTGTAACGGGGACAAAATTGAACATTTTCCAATTTTTTTCGCAATTTTATTTGGGACCTGCCTACGCTGCTGGTTTACGTGAAAAACTAGCTCCAGCCCTAACTGACAACCCAATGATAAAATTTAGGACTGGGTAACTCCAGCTACAACCAACCATGGCATTGTCCATTTATTGGACTTTGACTAAAAATACCTATTTGTAAATCAACCACACGTAACAATTGTTCACCTATGGCTGATTGTTCAGTAGGCTTAATCGGTATGAACAAGTGCTTGTATTATCATGCCTGCAGAAACCAGAAAGCAAACAAATATGAAATAACGACTTAAAAAGGGATATTTCTACTATATTAATTAATCACCATGTTGCACACCCCTCTTCTCAGGGCTCCCTCTCCCCCCCCCCCCCCCCCCCCCCCGACCTGTATAGCCGACCTGAACCATTTTTTTTGTGCACAAACCAATTGCGGTCCTGGCAATGCCTGAAAGGTTGTCAGGTTAGCGGTTATTCCTCCTGTTTTCATAGCTGGAGTTACCCAGCCCTGAGTTTTATCATTGGGTTGTCTATTAGGGCTGGAGCGCATTTTTCTCAAAACTTGTAGTATTTGCAAAAAAAATTTGGAAAATGTTCAATTTTGTCCCCGTTACACACTAATTGCAACTGCAACTCACCCCAAACTTGCCTGGAATAACCATTACACAGGTCCTTGAAGTAAAAAACGATCCACGATGAAGATTCAGCCTACAATTGCAGTGAAAACAGGAGGAATAACCGCTAACCTGACAACCTTTCAGGCATGGCCAGGACTGCTATTGGTTTGTGCACAAAAAAAATTGTGTACAATGAATGGCGGTCGATTAACAGGCACAGAGAGCGATCGCTGTCAACTACTCGTTTTTGCCGGCTGCGCTGGCGTTGGCGCGTGACGTCACGCGGAAGCGTAACACCCGATGACTGTTTCATGCACTATTGGTTGCGGTTCCAGTACCAAAGCTGTGATGCGAGTGGTAAACCTTATATACTAGTGCATGAAACAGTCATCGGGTGTTACGCTTCCGCGTGACGTCACGCGCCAACGCCAGCGCAGCCGGCAAAAACGAGTAGTTGACAGCGATCGCTCTCTGTGCCTGTTAATCGACCGCCATTCATTGTACACAATTTTTTTTGTGCACAAACCAATTGCGGTCCTGGCCAATCCAGCAAGGTTGTCAAGTTAGCGGTTATTCCTCCTGTTTTCACTGCAATTGTAGGCTGAATCTTCATCGTGGATCGTTTTTTACTTCAAGGACCTGTGTAATGGTTATTCCAGGCAAGTTTGGGGTGAGTTGCAGTTGCAATTAGTGTGTAAAGGGGACAAAATTTAACATTTTCCAAAAATTTTTGCCTATACTACAAGTTACGAGAAAAACTCGCTCCAGCCCTAGATGACAACCCAATGATAAAACTCAGGGCTGGGTAACTCCAGGCTGGGTAACTCCAGCTACTTTCTTACCGATGTACAAAAACGTCGGACGAATGCCATAGTCGCCACAAACTGGCAGTGTCGTGCAGAAATAATACACATGAACATCCTCCGGATTGGAAGGTACAATTCTCAGCATGAATTACATGTCAAGCTCGCTCGTGCGTGTGAGCTCAAATTCTGCTCACCGTTTGTTCAATTCTGGAAAAGTTCAGCTTCTACAAATTTCCACCCCAGGCGCCCTCAAGAGGCGACAATCCTACAATATTTTAATGGACTGATAACCTGTCCTGTCAAATGGGGGCGTGACTGTTCTGCGAAAAAAATAGGCTGCGAAGTTCAGAGCACTTGGCTGTTGCTTGCCACGGTAAATAAAACAATCCATAAAAATTGATTTTGATACATTCACCTCATTCAAAGCGTAGCGGGAACATCTGTAAGTTGTATGCCGATCTTGCGCGCAGCTTTTTGAACAGCGCCACCAGATGTGTCAAGGTGTCGATCAGGCCCCACCCCTTTTTCGTATTTGCAACTGAACGTGTGGGAAGTTTTAGGATTTTTTTGTTGGGGGGGGGGGGGTCATCCCCAGTCGTCAATCTACACACGGCATTACTAATTGTAACATGATGATTAGAAAAATAAAGTTGCCGCCAAGCCTGATCTCTATATTGTATTGTATGCACTACTACTGATGATAGATCGCTACTTGCCGAGGCCTAAGTTAATTCTAGATATAGTTCAACTTCGACTGTATTTGTAGCCTTGGCAGTATATCCTGGAATTACACATACGTTTAAGCTAGTTATAAAATGAAACTAAAGAAATCGCAAACAGATAAGACGTACGTGGTCCATGAGTAACTCTTTTATTGGCCTGATTCCTCTAAAAGCAACAACTCTTAGCATTTTGAAATTTGAACCAAGTGCAAACAATGAACTGGTTTGCATAACTAAATTCGCAAAAGACTTTTAATCACTTTCTTGAGCAAGGTTTCACGGAATTATAATCTTTACAATTTAGTGAGAATTTTGTGAAAATGGTGTAATTCGCACAAATCGAATTATGTTTTTAAAAACATGTCAAATTTTCCTGAGGAAAAAAGCGATGAATTTAGAAGCACCAATAAAAGCGTCATTATCTAAACGGGATCTACAATTCAGTACCTTGTGCATATTGCTATGGAGTACCGAAGTGAATGCGTCACGCGCACAAAATGTGTGTGAAAGACATTAGCGCGTGATTCAGCCCGTGAACCATAGACTATATCTATGCCGTGACCAACACACGCGCGTACTCCATTCGTTTGCACTACACTTTCTGGTTCTAAATGACGTCATACTTCGGTACTCTATAGCGGGGCAAGTTCTTTTTTTCTGTAATCTCAAAACAACGAATATGAGATACCATAAAACCAGAAAGAGTTTTTCTATGTCGGGGATTCTATGTCAGGGATCCACAGATCCGTCTTAAAAGTGGTCCATTGCAGTTTATTTTAGACCTTAAAGTAGGAACTCAGTATATTAAAAAGAAGTGTTGGAGTTGAATTTGGGATTTGTTAGAGATAAGTGGAATAAGTGTCGCACTGTTCTAGTGAAACTAATTGTTATTGTATAACTTATAACTTATTTACTATAATTTTTTAAAGGTAGACGGGCTTGACAGAGTCATTAGTCTGTTCCTGCCCAGTCTAGCTCCCTGTCCTCAGCGTCTAGCAAAGCTCATACACTTCCTCGTAGTAACATCCCTCGTGGCAGCACTCCTCCGACAGACTCCTCTTTTCCACGCCCCTCTTAAGGAAATTGTTGGCCTCATCTGATGGTGATACAACAAAACAACAACCATAATATACATGAAAGTCTTCATAGTGCATTGTTGGGATGCGGGTTACGGAGGATGCGAAATTGTGTACAAAGAGGAAAATAGCGGATATAATCGTTTGTTTTATTCAAAATAATTATGCAACATTGCCCACTTACCGCTTTTAAGGAATGTGTGATGGTTGCAGCTACAGAGGGTGCTCTTTCGGTTATTCAGAGCGGTTCCGCACCAATAGTTTCTGGGAGATCTCTTTTCCAGGCCAGGGTTGTCCAACCTGCGAAGAAACCAAGACCAGCCATTAGGAAATCGAACTGCACAACAGCAAAATTACTAATACCAACGGTGACTACGCAAATAATACATCGTCACGGCAACTTTGAACGGTGGAAGTCAAAGGGATCGGAGACTTGCAAGGCTTTGCTGCAAGAACGAATTGACGTTGTACTATACAGCCCTCTTATGTATTTTTGTTTTAACTGTAGCCTAAGTTTATATTTTCTATTGTTGCGTTTTCATTCACAGACTGATACCTTAACACATTCATTCAGACACAAACAGTCTGTTTCAGTAACCAACCTCCGCCAATACTAAAGCACGAGGGCGGTATTGGTACGGCAAACTATGCAAAATAATGGCAGATATACGGACTTGATCGGATCGGAAGTGTAGGCTCAATTCTACAAAAGCGCTCGCAAATTGGACACCAGTAGGTTGGGGAAGGAGGATGAAAATGAAGTCAGACGCACCATTCCAAATTTTTTTTTTTTTTTATTTTTTTTTTTTTAAATGGTTTATTTTACTCTCCCGTCGCAGCCCGAAGGCTGAATTGTGGGCAGGTTTACATTGGAAAACATTTTAAAAATAGACAGAGGTAAAAACTGTATGTATTACAATAAAAATAATTAGAAGACCGGAAAAGAGTTATAATGAGAGTTAAAACATATTGCATGTAACAACAAGAATGGTGAGTACACAATAAAAACAAATTTAAAAAAAAAATGACTAAAAACAGTTGATTAAAAACAGTTGGGAAAACAAACATGGAGAAAAATAAATTGCTCAGATTACGAAAAAACAGTAAATAAATGAAGATAAATATCACACTAGGGTGTGAGACGTAGAGCTTAGTTGTTCATTAAGAAGATTGGTTAAAAATGGGATTGCACTATTCTTGTATCGGTTGGTTCGACATCGAGGGATTGACAGGGTGTTGGTATTGCGGAGGTTGTTTGATCTTTTGGGTGGGAGCCAGTCACGGTATTTATGAGATGAGAGAAGGTTTTTACCAAACTTTAAACAAAGATGATCACGTCTTTCCTGGAGAGAGGGGATTTGTATCCTATTAGACATAAGGTCATAGGGAACGTGCTCGCAAACATTAATGGAAAGGATTGTGCGAAATGCTCTTTTTTGTAATTTTTCGAGTGATTCCCTTTGTTCCTTTGTCAATCCAGAATGCCAAACAGGACATGCATACTCAGCAGTGGGTCTTACGTACTGCATGTAAACAGTGACCAAGTCATCAATGGGTAGACCACAGCGTTTAAGTAGGCGTAAGAAGTACAGTCTGCGGTTAAAGGAATTGCACATTTCATATCGAAGGTATCAAAGTAAGTACCCGGGTTAGTTTAAATATTTTGCTAATCTCTGAGCCAGATCAAGAAAGCGGCATATGTATTGGTCTGTGTGGAACTCAGGATAGGTAAAATGTATCTGCGCCGTTAGATCGGGGGAGAAGTATAATGGAAAAATTGACTTACATGACTTGTCTCAGTTCCACAAGCATACCGCAGTGTGCGCTGATTGGCTCGCCTGGCTTACGTGGCACACCAGATACTGAATCAAAAACAAACGAGTATACAGATGTCAACATTAAATTTCAAACGTAGAAAAACCCAATCCACTTTGCATTGAAACAACCGGACCCAGAAGCCCTACTACGCATCGGACAAAATATATGCTGATTAGCAAGAAAGTTATGCAAGAATTAGGCCTACAACGCGAAAACCTTAACATAAAGTTATTCATTACATATCCTGGTGCTTATAGGAGGACCTTTTATACGTGAAGAGAATAAGACCTAGCTTATGCAACGACTCCGATTGAACACCATAGAAGGTCGGGTTGCGCAGACACTTCGGAAATCCCATTTGTCAAAGGAGCTAGGGCTGCGCGCGCGTACTGCGGCGAGTGCAGCAGCACCTCAGGTTAGGAATCATTTCTGAACCTCTACGTAAGTATGTGCAAGGACTTTGGATGAGTGATTTTGGTATTAGTGTCTTATTAATTGCGACCTGAGCGGGTTGAGACACAGAAGAAAATTCCCGGTTGGAGTACATGTAGTATGAGGGAAGTTTCCAACCTCAAAGATCTTCAACGGCAAACGGTTTAGCTCCAGTGGCTCAGTGGTGACGTTTAATGGTTCATTTCGGATAATCGGAAATAGCAATCTCTGCCCCGCCCCCCGGCCTCCTAAAAAAAAACATGTAAAACTGGAAACAAAACAGCAAACAAAAAGTATAGTTGGGCAAGTTTTTTCTCATCGAGAAAAAAAACTTTCAACTTTCCCCGGGACAAATTTTGTGTTGCATGTTTTCGCCAATTTGTAATACTAAAAACAGTGGACCCTAAACCTAAACATGATGATACCGTCAGTGGACTTGTTGCATCGGTACTTACCCTGGTAGACCACAGTAAGGGCGAGTACGGTGAATATCAGTAGACGATTCATGCTTGCAGTTTCAGATCAATGCACGCAGTGTGTCCAGTCCGCTCAACCCAACTCTTTATATACGCGACAAGGCAGATGAGGCGGCTGTACTGCGCAGTTAGTTTGCGTTGGCTTGTGATGTATGTCAGTGATGCATGCCATCATGTTTACTTTGCTATTAAATTATGCAAATTTTGCCCGTGCATTCAAGGTTTCTATTAATTATCTATTAGAAATCTGTACACGCATGGCGAATTGGGTGATTGGTAGGGCTGATTTGCTCTGTCTGCTGATGGTATAAGAAATACAAGAAATTTCATAAATTTGACGATATTGTCTTTTGAAATTTACTTTAAAACAAACTGTCAAGACTCGTTGATTTGACTAAATTTGATAAAATGGAGAGGCTGCGCTGGTTTTCGTTTGGGGTTAATGCTATTTTGTCGTTGTTCAGTTCATGGTCAGGTACCTATGGCATCTTCGTCATTTTTCATTATTATTGATCGAAACACGTTCTTACAGATCAGTGTTCATCGTGATCAAAATTATTTTGCATTTTTTTTTTACCTGTGGAATGATATTTCTAGGCCACACCCACTAAGAATGGATATAAGAATTACTGTGGATTCCTTTAGACTCTCAGTGGAAAGTACGGTTCTATGGAAAGTGCTATAGCCGCTTCCCGGGATATAGGCGAGTGTGTCATTTCCAGCCATATCCGGTTCGTTAGTGTGACGTCACCTCCAGCACTTTCTGCACGATTGGAACCGGAAGTTAACGCAGCTCGAGCGGTTGTAGCCAATGAGCGATAGTAATCAATGGTGGGTGCGCGTGAATGTCGTTTTTACTAACGAACCGGATAGCCAGTAATTCGAACATGGCCTTAGAAGCCATTACTGACGTGGAGCCACGCTCGAGCGCAGGTTCTAGGCGCGCGGACTCAGTGCGCCTTTGACCAATAGGTTTACTGGAATGCGCGCGTGTATAAATTAATAACGCGCGTGGCATGCGCGGCGCGCGTGATCGTCACGGTGACGCCAACTCGGTATAACAACCACTACAGGGGGACCCAAAATAATGTAACCCTGAAACATTTGCCTTTAAAAAAAACGTGGTCGGTGAAGTTTTATGATTATGGATATCAGATTAAAGCTGAGAGTTTTTTCTTTCAAATACTGAAAAAAAATCATGAAAACAGCACGTTGGGTTGGTGAGAAAATGCCAATTTATGTAAAAGAGGTGATTTTTCATCCTTTCCAATGGTGCTTTAACCACTGTGCAACTATCTTTCATTCAGTGGCGCACCCAAGGGGGGGGGGGGGCCTCGGGGCCCCCCAAGAGGTTGTCAATTTTTATTTATTTGTTTATTTTGGTATTTTTTTTTAGTCCTACGATTTGACCTTTGTGATACGCATGTGGCCTATTTTTGAGTATTATAATAGGGGTGCCCACCAACGTAAAAATAGTCCCCCCCCCCAAAGAATGAAAGAAAAAAAATTAACTTCTAACAAATTTGAAAAAAAAAATTGTGAGCCCCCCCAGCCAAATCCTGGTTGCGCCACTGCTTTCAATTGTGCAATTTATTTAATATTTTGACATACTTATAATGCCGAAAAGGTTTAAAAATAGGACTAAAAAGGATAAAATACCTGTTCAGATCAAAATTAAAAGGCATTTCCATCAAATTAATTTGTACTCTAACATACTGTATAAAATAATGTGCCGTGTTGTTTGTAAGGCCTAGGATTATGACACAATGCGCCACTGCATTTCATGTACAAATATGTACAGTGTCAATCCCTTAACTGTGGTAATGCCATTGGAATGGACCAAAAAGGAATTGTGTTGCATAATTGGCATTTTCTAAGCAACCCAAATGTGCTGTTTTTATTATTTTTCAGTACATTGTTTTTGAGAGAAACAAAACCTCAGCTTTAAACTGATATCCAAAACATAACAATTCACAGATCATGTTTTTGTAAAAAAAAAAAAAAAAGCAAACGTTTCAGGGTTGCATTTTGTTTTGGGGTCACCCTGTAGATAAGATTTTTGAAAATGCAGCAACGCTCCAGTGGTCGAAGAAGTCTTCTACAGTTTCTTTTACAAGAAGTAGGATATGGAAACTTTCCCCGAATCAATAACTGACTTGTTCTTTATTTCTTAATTCGAGTTTAACCTACCCGAAGTTACACTTTGGTTCCAACTATATGCTGGTAAAGAAATATACATGAAAGTTAAAGTTATCTTTGACCCGTTAAACACCTGTGCGGCAGGAAATTAATTTTGTTTCTGAAGTACATAAGTGGACATTTCCGCGGGCATTTTTTCTCTGCTATTTTTGTTGAAGGTAACGTTTAATAAGAACTACTTCAACGGTCACAACCTTCCAAATCTGCTGGTATTAATTATTATCATCGTTCTTCGCAATTTGAGCTAAATTAACTTTTAAGAGATCGATTCACTTTTACGAGCTGAATTGGATCTGTATCGGATTACAAGAGTGACTTCAGGACATCGCTTTCTCTGTTTCTATTTAACATCCAGCATCGATCTAAAAATAATCCAAATGTGATGCTTATTGCTTTGTATACATTGTACATGAACAATGCATCAAATAAGGCTGTACATCTTATTCATGGATGATTCCAGAAGATTGAGTATTGCTTACATATTATCGAACCGAGAAAATTAACAAAAAAAGTAGATAAGAAACTCTGTCAGCCGACTATCCTCACAAACTAATTACATTTTTTATTTAAAATAAACTTCATATCTGACCAAGGTTAATCATACCAGCAATTGTTATCCTATTTTTCTATTTTGTGACGATTGCCGTGGATTATTATCAAGTATGATTGCAAATCTTACAAGGCCAAGTATTAATTGTGGCCAACTATTAATTGCGACCTAGAATAGAAATGACCTTCCAACTTTATGATTATTTTTCCAGCCACGGATATCGTTAAGTTTCAAATACAATTAAATGTTTTACTTTAAGTATATATACTTTCTGTCGAATTTTGTAGCTTGTGAACTACAACCCATTTCAGTTTTGTTCCTTCATAATATTTTCATTCCTCGCAAGAAATTTGTTGACTTCATGGTTTCTATGGCAATTTTTTTTGTTTATGACCATATGCGCACCCATGTTTGCGAGGGTATCGTGATCCTCGTTTATGTATAGTAACTAAAAGAAACTAAATTTATTTCGGGGAAATAGGGGAAAAAAATTCATTTTGAATCTTACGACAGCCTTCGCATATTTTGAGGACTCATCTATCTTCCAACTGCCTATACGTTCTGTTATGGAAGATATAGTGTGCCATGAAAAGGGGACTGACAAATCAGAGAAATTTAAAAAAAATCCCTGTGCACATGTCTCGTCAGAAAAAACAAGGGTCTTTGCCGATTGTTTTATAGGTGAACACACTTTGGATATCCTATTCCGTTTTATAGCAAAGTTAAAATACGACCCGTTTAGGGCCATACGAAATATAAATACATGTATGAATATCTTGAAAAACAAAAACGAACTGGTGAATCTTTTTCCCTCTAAAACAATTGCTGGGGTTCACTATAAGAGTAACGAAAGCAACGAAACTTTACAGATGTAATTATTTTTCAGATCAGTAATGATGAAGGTAGTTATGTACTTGTCGGCACAAGGTTAGTATTTATTGCTGCCTATTAATTGCCATATCAGAATGATCAATGACATCTAATTGATATTTAGTTTACTAAAGTCTTCCACTCAGGGTTAGGATTAACCTGCATATTTGCCGTCAATTTAGAGAAGCAAGTTATAAGTGCTTTCTGCTAGCATTTTGTGCGCATCTCCGGAAATACTTGCTGTAATTACAACCCTGTCAATTAAGAGGGAAACTAGGACCTTGACTTTTTAAAATCGATTTTCATTTTTAATTGCCGAAACTCATCTTTGAATGAAACGAGATGAAGGTTAATCAATTAAAAAAACTATTTATTTTCGGAATTGCACAGCTCTCGACAGTAATTGACTAAAAGAAAAAAAATAAGCCGGATAGATAGGTTAGAATAATAATTGGCCATATTCTTGCTGGTATCCTCGAGCGTGCTGGGTTTAATTAGCTTCTTATTTGGCCGTTTTGAGGAAACAGTTACTGGACAATATTAAGTTGTTTGATAAGACAAAATTAAAGAAAAAGTCCTAAATATTAATACGAGAGTTTTTAACGCAATGTCAATGTTCACACGTGATCAATGTTAAGTTTTGGAAAGAGTATTCGTAAGTTCTTCAACAAGTGATTTATATTTCTAGAAAACTACACAGTTTGAAAAATTGCCTCAGGTATGGTGAAGCACAATGTACATCTACACCAAGCTTAATTTCCAATTAAGGTTTGCAAACCTAACATTCTGATACCTTCGCTCGTACAAGGGCTGATGAGCTTCACAGAATCTTGTAAAGAAAGTGAGGATGGCAATCATGGCATTTTGGGTAACTTCAATATCAGGACCTATATACAAAGACATCTGGATGCAGCTGTTTAAGACCGCAGTTATATAGCTGATGCGCGCAAATGCTACCCGAAAACTTTCTGAAATGCATACATTCCATACCGGATGTCATTTCTTTTTCATTGCGGGCCATGTGGACAAATTTGAGCGTCGCGTAATATGCAAGTTAAGCCTTACGTGAATTCGAATCGAAACGGAGCCTGCGCAAGTGACGGGAATTGAAAATTTACAAAACAGATAAGTTTCACAGATTTTCATACACTTTAACGCTTTCCAACGAAAAATAAAAGCATTTATGAATGGGAATAAAAGAGTACACATGGTGACTTAACGGCCGTCTAAAATCCTGCAGGGTCGTGGCCCGTGATGGCTTGTCTCGCATCAGAGCTCCCTTCCCGGCGTCCCGTTTGCGGGGGGGGGGGGGGGGGGGGGGGGGGGGGTAAGAGCGAATCTCATGCTATGGTCACGTTTAAGTTGCTAAGTAATGCCTGATATTGCATACTGTATCAATGGAACAAACCGATCGCTGCTCAAAGAGGTTCATTCTCATTGGTCGTAGCACTGAATAGAATTAGCATAAGTTTACACGTCATGACTGTATTCGACCAATGGGGTTGATTAATATTCAATCCACGCGTTTCGTCAAGTACCCGCACTGCTTATAAAAGCGCCGTGTGTGCAGGTTTGGATCACTCTGCCTGTTGGGACCCCGTTGATCACTGATCCCACACACGCGCCCTCTGCCGTCAACTTTCGCCATGACTCGTTGGATCGTGGCTCTGCTTCTCTGCGCCTGCGTGGCGGTTGCCTTGGCAGGTAAGATAACGTATTGAAAGTGGGCAAAACTGTAGTGGGCATTCGACATAGCAGGTATTGATTTTGAACTTAATGTCTAATATAGCTACACCAGGTTCACATTCGTTTCATGTTTCATTTCTCAGCGCGTAAGAGTGTTTGTAGTCGAGTCAATCACCAGTCCATCTCATGTCATCCGATTCTCAAGTCAAGTAACAAGCTATTGAAATGAAACGTGGCAAAAACATTCTCTCTGCCTCTTTACATCCACTTTTACTTGAGAACGGACTTGTACCGAACTTGTGTGGTGGACTCGACTGGATCAAACTCTCAGGCCGACGAACATCATCATATGGTGCGCGTCTTTGAATTTGTTTCTGTACATTGTATGCTGTTTTTGTTTGTTTGCTGGTTGGGTTGTTTGTTTTTTTTATCTAAAATGTATATTGCCTACGCGGGTTCCACACATTTTTACGAATTTGAAAGTGCAGCACATTTCTCCGGTAGACCTTCAAATATAAGCGGATCGATATGTGAAACAGCTAGGCTAATTTGGTACGAAGTAAACAGCACAAGACTAGTGTTCAAACCTTTTTTTTTGCTACAGGCAAGGGAAGAATGTACTGCATCCGGCTCAATGCATCCAAAGAAAAGCAGAATTAATTCCTCGCTCCGCAGTTCACTTGAATGCTCTGCATATTAGTCCATGTCTTAAACCTAAACAGCGTTTACCCGAAATGTATGCATAGCTTAAAATATGCAATCTTCTCAAAAGTAAATCACGGAACATGTACTCGGGTAAAAGAATGAACTGGGTAAAAGGTCCCGACTTTATAAAGACAAATAAGTCGGTCTGCTCAAGGCAATATACTTGTACCAATTGCTTTTATTTTTTTGTTTTTGACGATTTCAGATAAAGCTCCATCGGCAGCTACCTGTGAGGCTCTCGCTGCTACAGTCAAAGCCGAAGGGTAAGTCCACTAGAATTAGTAGATGGACCTTATTACAATTATGATTACATATTGACCTCTGATTAAATTTTGATTTTGATTTATTTGAATTTGTGTTCAGCAAGAAACGTTGGGATGGACCGGCTCACACATTTTGCGGAGAAACTCTGACCGAGAAGGCGAACGCTTACTGCCACTGTCAGGTCGTGCCGAGGAAGAGGGAACTGGAGCTATCGGGTAAGCAAGTCTTATTCACTTAAATGAAACACAAAAGCATCGTTGTTATGTAACAGTCTGTCCTTTCTAAGAGCCTTATTACTGAGGTGTGAGCACATCTGATTGCGTTCGATTTTGCCTATAGCCTTGGCAGATTTTATATTAAAATTGGGTATATCCGAAAAAGTGAGATTTTCGTCCAATACAGGGTGAGTCAAAAAAGCGAAACCCACATGTTGGGACCATTGTTTTAGTGAAGTTATAAATGTAGCCCTTTCAAAGTCTATGATACAAAAGCCCAATTCATAGGCTTTCTTTTAGTACCGTACAAGAATCATTCAAATCACTTACATGTATATACTTTTCAAGTTACGATAGTTTAAACACAACCACCTTTTTAAAGTTCTGTCCACAGATCACAAGAAGGTATTAAAGTGTTCTTTCAGAAAAACGAAAACAAATCACATATAGGAATGTGTGTGAATTGTTTTCGTTTTGCTGAAAGAACGCACACCTTTTTTGTGATCCGTGGACAGCGGTGGTTGTGTGTAAACTTCCATAACTTCAAAAGTACACCAGTGATTTGAATGACTCTTGTACTAAAAGAAAGCTTATGAATTGGGCCTTCATATCCTAGATTCTTGAAGTGGTACATGCAGAACTTCACTTAGAAATAGTCCCAACATTTGGGTTTCGTTTTTTTTTACTCACCCTGTATAGCAAAGTGTGTAGAAATTATCTTACTTATTCAAGCTTTATCCTTTAAATGGGAAGTGTACTTGGTCAAGTTTCGTTTAATCACGTGATCGACCTTCCGAAGGCAAGGCTCATAGACGCCCGCTGATTGGTCAAAACTTGTACGACGAGGATTCAATACAGATATCACATTCGCAGCGTATCTGTGTGCAAAAACTCAACATTAATAAAATGTCAGTCATTTACTATTTATCACATTTCTGGTTTGGGGGCTCTGGTGGCAATTAAGGGCAATTTTGTTTTTATAAATTGCACATGACTAATAACAGGTAACCAAGAGATGTTTGTTTTGCTTGACAGAATTCTTGACTCCAGTCAAGGCCAACTCCTTCCTTTCTGGTCGTAACATTGCCAAGCGAAGCCTGACCGAGGAGTGCTGTCATGAAGGTTGTTACTGGGAGGAGATTGAGGAGGTCTGCTAAGAGGCGATTATCCACGGATGTTGCGCTCGATAAGCCTGCTATTAATCCCTCTTTCATAATCCAATTAACAAGGAAACGGTCTCGACAAACGAATCCATTTTGAATTGCTAAATTATATCTTTCAAGCCTCGACTGATTTTTTCCCCAAGTTTTAGTTTATCTTCCTTAAAATCTTATGAAAGTCATATTAATTGGATTATTGCTTATACTCATTGGTGTTTGGTTAAATAGGGAAAGTAACTGCAAGTTTATTGAAATGGAAAGGTGTTGCATGTTTTGAAGGTGAAATAGTAAAATATTTATCTAGTTAATAATTTGGCTATGAGATATCCACGGAAATTAACAAACAAAACAAATGCATTGATTTAAGGTTATTTTATTGAGGATTTGGGTGATATGGCTTGTATCCTTTCTGTTAAAGTTGAGTGAAGTCGAAGAGGCGTCAATATCAACCCGCGACCCAAAAAAGTACGGATAATTTGCATGACAGATGACAAAATGAAAATGAAAATTTATTTTATTCTATTTTGATCAAATAACAAATATTTTAATCATTATTTTATCTTCTTTTAATTTGCTTTTAAGTCTATCTTTTAAAAATTTAAATTGTACAAATATGACAGTTATTGCCCATTGTATAAAGGTGTAAATAAATATTTGACAGTGACCTACAATAATGGCGTCTTTTATAAAATTATCTCGACTAGGGTTGGTCAAGCTTGAAGAGGCATCTAACTTACTTATTCTTCAGTGATTGATTTTGGAGGATTTACGGAGATTCAAGGCAAAAATGCGTAAGCCGGGCCCTTGTTGTTTTCCCATAATGATTTTCATGGGCGTCACTAGAGGGGGCACCGGTATGGAGTGTTATTTTCCTATGCATGTTTTTTTTGTTAGCACAGTCACCGTCCTGTATGAAAAATCGTTTTACGTTAACAGGCCCAATGATATGATTCTCACTTGGGAACACATTTTGTGAAACTTTCTACCCCTCTCAAATTTATGAAATCTAATTAACAACCCTTTTTGGTTAATTTTATCGAAAAACGCACTTTTTAAAACATTAAACATTTTCCACGCTTTTCCTGACAAATGAGGGCGCAGTTGCTGTGATGTCATTTCAGGAAGACACTGTTCAATTTAGGGGTTTTCTATTCAAATTGTGAACACAAAAATGTCTTCATTGAAAACATTTTGAGAAAATTAATATTTAAAATAAGATGGACACAAACGTACATTCTCAATGATTGCATTACAAACATTGCATGGCATGGACCCTTTAATTGTTATTCACGGTTTGTTCACCGCTTGTTACAATACTTTCGTGGAAAGTTACATGTGTTTCGCTGGTATTTTGTGAAGACCGGGCTTAATGACGCAGCTTTTCAATTGTCAAAACTTCAAGAATTTGCTGGTACAACAACTCATCATCATGTCTCAACTTTTGCAATAAGTCTAAACGAAATACATATTTTTTTAAGAGATAATGAACTTTTTACAGCTTAATTGGATCCTTGTTGAGGAAGGGAATGCATGGTTGCACAAGAGGACAATTTCGCGGTTAGAAAAAGCAGATCTAGGATTTAGATGATATCAAAGCGCGGCGCCGTGAGTCGTACGTAGTTGGTTTGGGTCACTTTCTGATCCGCCACAACGCGCCCTCTGCCGTCAACTTTCGACATGACTCGCGGATCGAGGCTCTGTTTCTCTGCGCCTGCGTGGCGGTTGCTTTGACAGGTAAAATTTCACGTATTGTCTATTGAAAGTCATAAATCTGTACGGCTTTGTGTACACTACAAAACTGTACTGAGCTTTGGTTATTCTTAAGGGGCAGATAAGGGATATTTGGGGGAATTACGTATTGGTTTTGATGATACAAGCATGGTATTTGGCACACAGACAGATTATGTCATATTGAGAAAGATGTTTTGATATAGGCCTAATGGCCTTAGCACATTAAAAGTCTTTTGAAAAAATATAGGTAGAATAAGAAGCAATTTTCAAAAAAATCTAAATGGCTGCCACTGCCTGTTATTCTGGCGATCGTGTATGTAGGGCCCCTGTTTAGATCAAATTAGAGTCAAGGTGTTTTTAATTACTCAAAAATTACCTTTTCAACTTAAAGAAGACTTCTCTCAGTATAATGACACATTTTTGTAATTTTTGAACACTTTCTTGGGGTAGAAACGATTTTCCTGCACGGTTTACGGTTGGTGCCGTCGGCGATTCAGCGCGCATTGCGCGCTCACAGTACATCACGCGGTGTTGCCATCTCTATTTTCGTGTTGCGTTTTGTCGTATTCATCGTCGTTTTACCCCAAAAAAATCAAAACCCTGCCTTTTATCTATGACATACCTACATGTTCTAAATGTCGCCAACTAGTTTGGTAGGTCAAATAATTGAAAAGTGGATGTTCCCTTATATAGGAACCGGGCCCGTAGATACATGATTATTCTACCTATACTATTTCAAAGAGCAAGTTTGCGATAGCCCTATGGCCAAGTATCTTTCTCAATGGCACCCAATGTCGTAATGGTGTTCGAATTGGGAACAACAAATCATATTCGGAGTCAGTAATGTTCAAACTAGCACAATTGTATCGCGAAACTCATTTCCTGACACCTTTTTGAGGTGTGCTCAATGCAATGTAGTGCCGGGGATGCGAATTTCAACGTTGTGTTGAACCAGAACAGTTACTTCAAATTAATGCATCAGCAGTCTAGGTTTCAGCCCCAGATTCCTCATGTAAAACGATCATCTAATTAACCATACACAAAAAGCTTGTGTCGAGCAAGTTCCTGGACACAAACCTTCACATTCAGCAAAATATAAAGAACCTCCAACTCACCGAAATCCAGAGGCCACAGTTCCGCATATCTACCATTATGTTGTCTGCATGTCTCGCCACCGGCAAAATTAAAAGCGGTATAGGCGTATTGCGGCTCTCCCCCGATGTTTCAAGACGCGCGCTTTGGCATCATTTGTCAACGTGTCCACACACCGTGCATGCTCACAAACCACCATGTGCTTCGGTTCCATGGGTTCCCAGACCAAAAAGATTCGGACTATATTTCTGAGTTTGGTCAGTGGTGGTGGTCAAATTATAAGTCAGGTGAAAAGTAATCGTGCTGTCTACACATGGAGGTAGACGGCAACTTGTCATTTGTAGATAACCAGCCGGTCTCACCGGTCTCACCAATATGGCGTCAAATTCATTCATTGTGCGGCTCTTTATCCGCTATCCGGTCTTCATAGAGAGATCAGTGGGCCGAACGCACATGTTTTACATGTACGTTATACGCGTCTCGTTTGTTCACCAAACGTTACGTACGTAGTATTGATGTCACACAACTATACAGGGTGTTTCAATAAAAAGGAAACCCACATTTGAAGAACCAGTATGGACAGACTAAATGTTTACTGGCTATAAAACTGGTACCATCTGAAAGCGCAATCTCTATGCTTTTCAATGATACCTTGTTTACTTTTCCAGGGTCATGCATCACTGAGCGCCACTGTCATGAGATTATATGATGCAAAATTGCAGTTGGTTCACTTCCATGTGAAACACAATAGGCATGGTGTGCATGATAATAAGTATTCAAGAAGAAGACACGAGTGCATAAAAAGAAACACAAAAAAACAAGTCGGGTTGGTTTCAAAACTGGATTTTATTGTTTGCCATGAATTTCTCGTTTTGACCAAGCCACGTTCGAAAAAATGTGCCATTTTCCCGAGGATTAACATTCAAGCCATTTCACAGACATTTCCGTAACAATAGGCACACCGTGCCCAGTGGGTTTTTTTTTTGAAAGTGAACCAACTGCATTTTTGCATCCAGTTTTCAAGACAATGATGCTCAGTGATGCATGACTCAGAAAACCTAAACACGGTATCATTGAAAAGCATAGAGATTACGCTTTCAGATGATACCAGTTTTATAGCCAGTAAACATATCGTCTGTCCGTACTCATTCTTTGAAGTTGGGTTTCCTTCTTCTTTTTTAAACACCCTGTATAAGTGGCGCCATACGCACTTGCGTACACAGGCCAAAATGTTTTATCTTTTATGAGGAAAAATAGTGCCAATTTTTAGGGGTTTTTTGCAGCTTTTTTACGAACTGTTCGTTCAAACAACTTTTAACTTGGCACTGCACATTCTTGAAAAATTCGCCCATGCCAATTTCATCCAAATTGCACAGATCTACAAGCTCACAGTCCTGTGCACGGCTTCTACCCTTTTTTTTTTACAAGCCCTCAAGTTCATGACCCACTGGTAAAAACCTGCCTACTAGTACTACAAACACAATACACTCGTTTCCAGACGACAACTCAAGAAACAACCGTTCTATTGAATATTATCCAATTATTGGTGTTAATTATATTAAGACTTTTTCTTGAATATGAAGGGAATCACCAAACAATAAAAAGTGATTTCGCGCTGAAGACACTATTCTTTGAAATGTATTTTTTAAGTTTCTTGGTACACTGATTTTCTTGATATTTAAATATAAGGCGTCTTTGATTACAGGCAATTAACAGAAGTAATTTCAATGTGATCAACAAATTATTGACTTATCTCGGCAAGGCAACCTGCAACCAAAATATTGGGGTTTTTTGGTTGTTTGGTTTTTTTTTTGGGGGGGTGGGCATGGCCCCCGTTGCCCCCCTTGATCCGCCCTTGCCCGCAACGAGTGGTTTTATACAAAGTTTGTCGTAGTCCATGTTGCCCTTCATGGGCGTCGCGGGGGGGGGGGGGCCAAGGGGGTGCTTCCCCCTAGACTGGCCACAAAAAAAAAGGGCAAAAAAAAGAAAAGAGAAAAAAAGAACAAAAAGAGGCGCAAAGTCATATTGTCATATTGTTGTTAATTTAATTGGTTGGGGGTGGCAAATGTCCCTGAAAAAATTAATCAATCGGGAAAAAGCTGGAAAATATCTGGATTTAGGGGAAACAATGTGCCCCCCCCCCCCCCCCCCCCCCGCCTAGAAGAAATCCTGGCGACGCCCATGGCGCCCTCGATCCGCGTTAAAATTTTCTGTGGATGCTTATGCTGTTGAGGGAAACGCAGATATGGCATGTTTTCTACACCCCTTGGTTCGTATGCGCTAATGCTACTGAGGGAAACGCAGTTATGGCATGTTTTCTACACCCCTTGGCTCGCAAACGCTAGTGCTAGTGAGGGAAACGCAGATGTATGGCATGTTTTCTACACCCCCCCCCCCCCCCCCCCTTGGTTCGTATGCGCTAATGCTATTGAGGGAAACGCAGATATGGCATGTTTTCTACACCCCTTGGTTCGTATGCGCTAATGCTATTGAGGGAAACGCAGATATGGCATGTTTTCTACACCCCTTGGTTCTTAAGCGCTAATGCTATGGAGGGAAACGCAGAAATGGCATGTTTGCTTCACCCCTTGGCTCGTATGCGCTAATACTATGGAGGGAAACGCAGATATGGCATGTTTTCTACGCCCCTTGGTTCGTATGCGCTAATACTATGGAGGGAAACGCAGAAATGGCATGTTTTCTACACCCGTTGGTTCGTATGCGCTAGTGCTATGGAGGGAAACGCAGATATGGCATGTTTTCTACGCCCCTTGGTTCGTATGCGCTAATGCTATGGAGGGAAACGCAGATATGGCATGTTTTTTACACCCCTTGGTTCATATGCGCTAATGCTATGGAGGGAAACGCAGATATGGCGTGTTTTCTACGCCCCTTAGTTCGTATGCGCTAAATGCTAGTGAGGGAAACGCAGATATGGCATGTTTTCTGCACCCCTTGGTTCGTATGCGCTAATGCTATGGAGGGAAACGCAGATATGGCATGTTTTCTACGCCCCTTGGTTCGTATGCGCTAATGCTATGGAGGGAAACGCAGATATGGCGTGTTTTCTACGCCCCTTTGTTCATATGCGCTAATGCTATGGAGGGAAACGCAGATATGGCATGTTTTTTACACCCCTTGGTTTGTATGCGCTAGTGCTATGGAGGGAAACACAGATATAGCGTGTTTTTCTTGCCCCTTGGTTTGTTTGTATGCGCTAGTGCTAGTGAGGGGGGGAAACGCAGATATGGCATGATGGCATGTTTTCTACACCCGTTGTCTCGTATGTGCTTATGCTATCGAAGGAAACGCAGACATGGCATGTTTTCTACACCCCTTGGTTCGTATTACGCTAGTGCTGTGAGGGAAACGCAGATATGGCATGTTTTCTACACAGTTTGTGCAGTGAGCTACAATCTATGCAATGAAACGTGTTTGGCGCCCTCAATATTGAGGGCGCCAAACACAGTACGGTTTAATTGCCAAACACGCCTTCTTGTGTGTAGTTTGTGGTTTACTTTAGTAGGGGCGACAATAACGGGCGCCCCCAGCGGTACGAGCGTTAATATATACCGCTAGGGGCGACAATTATTGTTGCCTCAAGCGGAAGTTCCTCTAGGGGCGACAATAACGGTCGTCACAAGCGGTAAGCGCGTTAATACATACCGCTAGGGGCGACAATAATGGTCGCCCCTAGCGGAAGTTCCTCTAGGGGCGACAATAATGGTCGCCCCCAGCGGTACGAGCGTTAATATATACCGCTAGGGGCGACAATAATTGTCGCCCCTAGCGGAAGTTCCTCCAGGGGCGACAATAACGGGCGCCCCCAGCGGTACGAGCGTTAATATATACCGCTAGGGGCGACAATTATTGTTGCCTCAAGCGGAAGTTCCTCTAGGGGCGACAATAACGGTCGTCCCCAGCGGTAAGCGCGTTAATACATACCGCTAGGGGCGACAATAATGGTCGCCCCTAGCGGAAGTTCCTCTAGGGGCGACAATAACGGTCGCCCCCAGCGGTAAGCGCGTTAATACATACCGCTAGGGGCGACAATAATGGTCGCCCCTAGAGGAAGTTCCTCTACGGGCGACAATAACGGTCGCCCCCTGCGGTACGAGCGTTAATATATATATTGTCGCCCCTAGCGGTTTATATTAACGCTCGTACCGCTGGGGGCGCCCGTTATTAATCGCCTCTAGAGGAACTTCCGCTAGGGGCGACCAATAACTTTAAAATAAAATTAAAACATCTTGTATTTCTGGAGTTGTTGCCCCCCAAACGAGTTTTGTGGTGGATAACTATCGAGACCACTATTTATGTGGCGCGCCCTCTATTGAAATAATATTGAATATCATGAGAAACTGTCAAAAAATAATATATCGTAACAATGTAGTGTTTTACAAGCGCACATTTATTGAAATTGTTCCAAACTTGCAGGACAAATGTCCAACGGTCCCTTAAACACATTCCTACACGTTTTCTGGACAGATGGGGCAACATCAGTGAACATTGAAAATTTTCTCCAAAAATTTATTATTTTGGCCAAAAATTCAAAAGCTGGTACCCGCCTTTCCAATGGGGGCGCTCTTCAAAACTTATATCCATCCATACTGCAAATTATATACCCTACCCATTTTCACGGCGCATTGTGATGGTTTTTGAGCAGGTTTTCTTTTTTAAGATTGATGTCAGAAAATCCGCGGGGTGGGGGGGGGGGGGGGATGGCAAAGTTTGCAGAAAAGTCGTCTTTTGACCAAATTTAGTGACAAAAAAATTAAGGTTAGGCCCAAGACCATGCTATTTATAATCAAAGATTAATAGCGCCTGGGAGTAAGGTTGATAGCCCTGGGAACGCCTAAAACACAAAAATAAACAAACTCATGGTCCAAAACTCGTTTTCCTTCAATCAATTATTTATACTGGAAAGCTCTTATAAAACCAGATAAAATTTAAAAACATCTCTTGTATCAATAAGCATTTCTAACTTGTTTGCAGAAATGTTGATTTCTGGCCAAATTTAATCAAAAATGTAAGGCGACCCCCTTGCAATTCTTTTCAATTTTGGTCAAAAAATAAAGTTGCTCAAAACTTGCAGGAAAGATGCCTTAGGGTCACTTAGACACATTTCCACACATTTCCTGGGCAGATGTGCCATTCCAAAGAAATAATGAATAACAATTTGGAGCAAAACAAGTAAAAAAATATGAATACTAAAAATTGTTCGACTTGCATCAACTGATATTTCTGAGGCGTTTGCAGGAAAGAAAATATTTGGCCAAATTCAATTTAAAATGTAAGGCTAACCCATTGCAATTTTTTCCTTTGTAATTTGGTTGAAAAGTTTTGAAAATTGCAGGAAAAACATCTTGCGGACCTTCATACACATTCCCAAAATATAAACAGCTACTACATGATAACATTGTATAATAATTAAAGGTATATAGTATACAAAGAACTTAGGTTGTCATTAACTGAGGCTTAAAAGAAGTGCTCATAAAATAAGCACTTTTGAAGGGGAAATTATCAACATATTACATATTACTGAACAGTTAAGTCATATTCAGAGTTGATATGCTGAAGAGAAATTTCCATCAGAAACATCTATGACTTTCAAAATGTAATTTGAAAACTACAGATAAACAAGCCCACATTTTAATCAGAAGCAATTAATACGAAGCATTTAAGATACTCTGCATTTAAAATGGCAATATATGAGGATAATACACCATCCATTAAAAGCATTAAGCAAGTAATCTGGACCTTGTTGTCAATGCAATTATATAAAAAGTGTTAATATGTAAATAATTGTAGAATTAGGAAAAGTGAATACATTTCTTAAACAAACTTTCCATCTTTATGTGATGAATAATATAGTCAGTATATATGTCCTTATCTTATTCCTAATATCGTCAGTATATAATAGTTTCATGGTCCAAAGTTCTGCTTCTTTCATTCACTTTGTGTTATATACATGATAATTGTGGAATAACAATGCACCATTTCCTATCATTTTGATGTGTTATTGGACTAATGAATATAAACTCAGCTATTTAGATGAAGATATATACATTCTCACATCAGCTGATGCTATGGTTAGCTTGACCTCAGTCTAGTGGTAGATCATTGGATTGTAAGCAACACGACCCACCATCCCATCATCATCCTGTGTAAATCAAAACAAGTTAAAGGTATATTAAGAAATATATCGCTTCAATTCAGATTGGAAGGTTTGCACAGTGAATCCGTGTGAGTTTACGGTTGCACCATTAGAGTTTATGTGGCTGTGGTTCTGAGAAGAACTGTTGGAAACTCAATGTTTAAATGTTTGGAGCACATCAGAAATGAGAATAAACGTGGAGGTGTGACAGCTGTGACTCAAGAGACCTAGCTGGGGGGGGGGGGGGGGGGGGGGGGGGTGATCAGTGGGGCGTGTCAGTGTAGTGGATAGCGGCAGACAAGAACCACACTGATATGATTTCTCCTATCTGTCTCCAGCATACTGACTGAAGCCTTGAGTTGCCCCCACTCCTTGTCAGAAGCTCACATATAAGAGAGATTTGTTACATTTGTTTAACTTAATCTGATTGCCCTCTTCAATCTTTAGATCTTATCTGATATGATTTATATCGGTGTATTTCTCCCTTGATAATATCTTCATATCAACTCACCCTCGGATCATCAAAATGTTGGTTATCCTGGTAAAATTCCTCCGTTCCGGTCACGATGTACGGTCTGATGAAATCATGCCTGCTTGACAAACCCTGCCAACAACAAAAGAGAACAAAATTCATGCATACATTTTCCTGAGAGTAGATGAGTGGCCGGACTGTATCTCATGAGTTGGACCTATCACAAGTCAGTCACAAGTCACAGGGGAGACAAATAACAAAGAAATGTGACCTAACTTGGGGCTGGAGGACTTCTGATTGACTTGTGATCGAAAGAAAGCACACATTTAAAGGAAGCGTGATCTTGTTACGTCTTACGGATAATCAAGGAAAACTTTCACCTCCAATTTGCCACTCATGAACAAAAAAAACCCAAACACGCCCTGGATGGCACATGCACAACGTACACGTCGAAGTAAGAAATCCACAATAGGTTTTGAAATAGCACAATTCCTTGAAGAACTTTCTCAGTACTCTGTGCTGTACTTGATTCATTCAAGGTCTTCACAAGTCCATCAAAAGTCAATTACAAGCCATGAGTCTCCAGTCAATTCAAAAACTTTTTGGGATGGAGATGTGATGGCCTTGTTATTGACTGTGATGGCCTTGTGATGGCCTTGTGATGGACTTGCTATTGACTGTGATGGACTTGTGATGGACTTGTGATGGACTTGTGATGGACTTGCTATTGACTGTGATGGACTTGTGAAGGACTTGTGATGGACTTGTGATGGACTTGTGATGGACTTGTGATGGGCTTGTGATGGGCTTATCATGGGCTTATGATGGTCTCAACCACAACTGTGTGAGTACTGTAATCTTACCTGCTGTAAGTATGGTGAACGACTCATAACATTCATCAGACGATCCATTCTAACCTCTTCATCTCGCATTGCTGATGTATCATAGCCGTTATCTTGGTAATAACTCTGATCGGTGTATTCAGACAGACCATAATTGATCCTCGGACCGTCAGGTTTCTGCCAGCCACGAGTAGACGCGATAATATAACGACGTCGTATCAGAAGACAGAGGCACAGAAGTAACACTACTACTGCCAGGAAGAGAACAACGCATGCAACAATGATGATGACGATTACTTCAGTTGATATGCCACCTGGTGACTCTGTTGTTGTCGCTGTTGGAACTTCAGTGGGGACTGGAATGACTGTTTCGCAGCGTTCACCGGCGAATGAAGTCCCACAACTAAATTATGAAAACAACACATATCAGTGGTTAAGATGAGCAGATAAACTTTACAACAGATGGGACAGAAGTAGATTTGTTTTTTCACTCTAAATATCAGAAGATCAAATACATCCAACATTTAAAGACTTTTCACGGCTGTTGCTGGTTAAACTTACAATGAATTTAATGACCACATTCGATCATGTTTCAAACTGGCTGATCAGGGTAGTAGGGCTGAATGACTTATGCCACAGGTTGATTAAGCACCTGTATTGCGAGATTAGTCATGATCATTGTAGATTACCTGCAGGTATAGGTGAACGTAGACACGTAGTACCCTGACTTCACGCACATTGCACCATTCTGACAATAGTCTGGCGGACAATCTGTTACTGCTGAAAGATCAATATTGAGAAAATATTTCGTCTGAAAAAGTTAATCATCAGCTGCTTGCTAAAAGGCTTATGTAATGAAGCATCCTTCCCTTGTACTTCTTCTGATGGCTTTAGGTTTGTCAAAAAATCGCCAAAACAAACAAACAAACAAACAAACAAAACCCCCGACTCAGTGGTACTTTGCTAGGCATGAATGAGTAGTGAATTAATTTAATGTTATGGTATTGTCATCAAATATTCTTTAATTTATTGGTGCTCAAGACTCTCTTATATTAAACCAATAGAAATAAAACCTTACCATTAACTCGAAGTGCTGGTGGGTCAGTGGTTATTGCTACGTCAACATCGGTTAACGGTCTGTTTTCTGACAAGACTCTTTGTACATCAGTTCTTGGTGGCGCAGCTGGGAACAGTAATACCATGGTAGCCACGACACTTCCGCTTTGGATGGAAACACAGTCTGCTGATATCAAATCACTGGTTGCTGTGTCGTTTCTCAACCGCAACTCAACCTGATAGAAATGGCATGAATGGCAGGAAATCAACAAATTCATTAATTCATTTTGTGAACTTTGTCCAGAGTTTTTCAGTCACAAGTCAAATTTCTGTGTAGGGATGAACAATGACAAAGGAATGTCTTTCCTATAGCTGAATTGAATTGTCTGTGACGTCACTTGAGACAGGATGACTAGTCATTGATTCAATACAACTCTCTGTGAATGACTCCGTTGCAATTCTGTTTTATAGTATGGTTCTTTGTTGTATACTTGACTGTCTTTCTTATTGAAGTAAGCAACTTACCAGTCGTTTATAAAGGGCTGCTTTGGCTCTGAATGCAGAAGACCACGGATTGATGTACACTGACCGGTATGTCTCAGTCAACAATGTGATCACGACAGTAAGAGAAAAACTACGTCGGTCTGAAAAAGAAAGTACAACAGGGTTAGATAAAGGAGACTCAGGCTGTGTTGTAGTCGAGGAACTTGCGACAGGTCACAAGTATCTTCACATCAGGAAATGAACAATAACAAAGGAATGTCTTCGTCACCGTTCATTTGAATAGCTTGTGACTTGACTGGATGAATTGTGTTCTCACTTGTGATAGACTTGTGATGACTTCACTAAAACAATAGCAACGATCCAACAGTTGACTTTAAAAAACCTTCATTCATCAATGAGATTTTTCAAAATTTAGTTTAAAACTTGATTTTTTTAAACACAGCCAGAAGTTAAGTTGAGTGTGTTTCATTTCACAAGCTTGCACTTACTTTCGCATGCGGCTCCTTCCATGAAAAATGCATCGTATGTACGACACTGGCATGTGAACGCATTATTTGATGGGACACAGTAACGCCCTGTTGTAGCATCCGAGCACTGGTCACCGGTCAAACACACATTCGAATCTAAGAAAAAAGGATTTGAACATACATTATCTAAGTTACCATCAACTTCTCATCTGTGTTCTTGCTTCTGAATTTATTCATATTTGTGCAGTCCTGAAACCACAGCAGGTTTTCCTCTCGACAATAATCCAGGGATGTTGGATTATATTTACACATACAGTTATATCTGCTCCTTTTTCTTTGACTTATTTATTACTGACTTTTGATTACCAATGTCTATCATTAAAATAGTGGATATGGTATCCCTCTCAGTCAAACAAACAAACAAACAAACAAACTAACTAACCAACAAATCAAACCGACAAGAAAAAGGACTTAAAAGTAATATACAACAGTTGCTTTTGCTGCAATTTTCAGAAATGGACAAATTGGGGGTAAGTATTTTAGCAAATATTGTTCCACTGACTGTTTAAAATGTTGTGTTCATGGACTTTGGGAAAGAAAAAAAAAAAACCTTCTTGTAGTGTGGTTCCCTGGTTCCCTGACCTAATGCCGCAGATGAAATGGAACAATTTACAGACGTCAGAGAATTTTCAGGTCAGGGAACGAGACTAACTGGCAATGTGCCCATTCAAGTATGCCGATTGCAAACAAAATGGGGACTAACTGAATTCAGTCAACTGGGGCCAGTATTTGAATTAATATTTTTCCAATGATGGTACGGCCGAACCATTGCTGGAATATGATACAAAATTCCACGTTTCTTGAAAACAACAGGCACATTAATTTCACAGGATGCTAGCTGGAGACTATTATTCCCTTACAGTCAAGTCAGGTATTTCATAATAATTTGGCAGTTTTGATTTTAATTTATGATTGCAAATGTTGTACATTGTCTTTAAACATGCAAAATACGACATCCCAACTAAGTCTTTTACTGATATTTGTATCAACTAAATAAATGTAAAATAGCACCAGTTGTAATAAATTCAAATAATCCATCCATACTAATTTCATTTGACAGTTGTACAAAGCCTATAATTACCTTGACAGAGATCCCCGCTGTGAGTCAGAGGACAAACACACTCACAATACTCTTCGTCTAAAGTGCCTCCGTTCATACAGCTAGCTGTTGTCAGTGGACATTCTAACAAATATACAAATCAATGATCTTACTTAAAGAAATAAGTCACTCGGAATGGAGTATTTATAGAGTGGAGTATTTATAGAGAGGAGTATTTATATTGAAGGAGTGTTTCCAATTGAACAAATATTCCTTTCACTTTTTGACTTTCAAATTGGAGCACACATACAGTGTTCTCAAGGTACTCTCAGCTTCAACAGTGTGTATGTTACAGACTTAGAATAGAATGACTCTTGTACAGCGCATTGGGACCTTGTGTGAAATGCGCTTTGTAAGCAGGGTATATTATTATTATGATTATAATTATAATTTTCTTCTGACTGGGCTTCACCTCGTGTGCTTTGCATCCCTCCGGTGTTACAAAACCATATCCCACATCACAGCAGTCAGCAATTCTTAAATGAACACATTTGACTGAGGAGAATGCAAAATCAATCAGGTGGCAACTCAAGGTTTACCTGGAGGCTTTCCTTGTCATTGACACAACTCGTTTTCTTACTGCCTACCTGTGCAATTGTCTCCAGTGAATGATGAGCTGCACATGCACTGACACGAATCTGGATCTCTGGTTGCACCATTCCCACAAGTTATCAAGCACTCTGCAAAACAACAAATTGAGCTGAATAATTTCAGATATGTTCGCCACGATGATTTGTCTGGAAGAGATCAAATTCAGCATTAGATAAAAACTGCCTAATAAACTTAGTGAAATACTGAACACGATGACAGGTGGTCAATATCGAACCCCCACCATCAGGGCTACGATATGGGGTAAATTTAAGAAAGAAATCCACAAGAAAATATTTGGCAGGGGGTTTAGAGGCCACCGGAGCCCCACGTCAACTCAGGGTCTACGGTCCTAAAAAGGCACTCCTAAACAATGTCCTTTTATATTTTTTGACATAAAAAAACACTTTGGGGAAAGAAAAAGGAATAAGAATTCTCACTTAGGCTTTACTTAATCCAGAAATTATTTTCATTTAGGTTTTTGAATTCAGAAATCCTGAAATCCAGAGAATCTGGATAAATCTCACTCCTGCTCATTCAGCAATCCCTGATGACCTGTAACTGCTATCAAATGATTACTTACTGATTGTAGTCTTCGGGATTTCTAGAACATCAAAGTATTGATATAACTCTGGTGTTTGGCATACCTGTACAAGTATCTCCAGTCCATGGTGGGCTGCACACACACTGACAAGTAGCTGGATCTCTAGTTCCTCCATTCATACAAGTTAACGAACACTCTAGACAACACAATCAAAATGAACGTTGTTGAGATATGCATGGCACAACAATCATTCTCTCTGAAGAAGTTGACAATCAACTCTTTGAAGACTCTGCGTACTCAACAGTCTGTGTGTTACAGACTTATGCATGTGGACTCAGCTTTGCAGCAGGTGCTATGCGACCCTCGTGTGCCATATCCTACTGTCAGGCTGTCAGCAATTGTTTATTATTGACTATCATTAGTGGAGAAGGCAAAATCAATCAAGCGGCAACTCAAGGTTTATCTGGAGGTTTTACAGGTCTTCCTTGTCATCACAGCATTGACACAACTTGTTTCTTAATGCCTACCTGTGCAAGTTTCTCCAGTCCATGGTGGGATGCACATGCACCGACAAGAATCTGAATCTCTGGCTGCACCGTTCATACAAGTTAAAGAACACTCTGATGAAAAAAAAACAAATTGCGATAAATATTTTAAGATATGTGTGGCCCTGCGATGATCTGTTTGGAAGAGGTTTGAATTAAATTATGGCTGTGTTTGAGTAGCTCACCCGGATCAACACGGGTAGAGGCAGACGGATTAGCCACGAGAGCTGTGCCAATCAGATGTTGGACATCATGATTCCCACGTAACGTCTGTAGCCAAGTCATAGCGATTGACAAGTGCCCTATTGGGGCCGAGTCTAACCATTCCCTCCCCATGGCCTTACTGTGAGATTTACTACTTCTCTGTCAATCGCAACAAGTTGCAAAAAGCCACAACTCGTTTTCTTACTGCCTACCTGTGCAATTGTCTCCAGTGAATGATGAGCTGCACATGCACTGACACGAATCTGGATCTCTGGTTGCACCATTCCCACAAGTTATCAAGCACTCTGCAAAACAACAAATTGAGCTGAATAATCTCAGATATGTTCGCCACGATGATTTGTCTGGAAGACATCAAATTCAGCATTAGATAAAAACTGCCTAATAAACTTAGTGAAATACTGAACACGATGACAGGTGGTCAATATCGAACCCCCACCATCAGGGCTACGATTTGGGGTAAATTTAAGAAAGAAATCCACAAGAAAATATTTGGCAGGGGGTTTAGAGGCCACCGGAGCCCCAGATCAACTCAGGGTCTACAGTCCTAAAAAGGCACTCCTAAACAATGTCCTTTTATATTTTATGACATAAAAAAACACTTTGGGAAAGAAAAAGGAATAAGAAATCTCACTTAGGCTTTACTTAATCCAGAAATTATTTTCATTTAGGTTTTTTGAATTCAGAAATCCTGAAATCCAGAGAATCTGGATAAATCTCACTCCAGCTCATTCAGCAATCCCTGATGACCTGTAACTGCTATCAAATGATTACTTACTGATTGTAGTCTTCGGGATTTCTAGAACATCAAAGTATTGATATAACTCTGGTGTTTGGCATACCTGTACAAGTATCTCCAGTCCATGGTGGGCTGCACACACACTGACAAGTAGCTGGATCTGTAGTTCCTCCATTCATACAAGTTAACGAACACTCTAGACAACACAATCAAAATGAACGTTGTTGAGATATGCAATGCACAACAATCATTCTCTCTGAAGAAGTTGAAAATCAACTCTTTGAAGACGCTTGGTGCTCAACAGTCTGTGTGTTACAGACTCATGCATGTGGACTCAGCTTTGCAGCAGGTGCTATGCGACCCTCGTGTGTCAAAAAGCCATATCCTACTGTCAGCAATTGTTTATTATTGACTATCATTAGTGGAGAAGGCAAAATCAATCAAGCGGCAACTCAGGGTTTATCTGGAGGTTTTACAGGTCTTCCTTGTCATCACAGCATTGACACAACTTGTTTCTTAATGCCTACCTGTGCAAGTATCTCCAGTCCATGGTGGGATGCACATGCACCGACAAGAATCTGAATCTCTGGCTGCACCGTTCATACAAGTTAAAGAACACTCTGATGAAAAAAAAAATTGAGATGAATATTTTAAGATATGTGTGGCACTGCGATGATCTGTTTGGAAGAGGTTTGAATTAAATTATGGCTGTGTTCGAGTAGCTCACCCGGATCAACACGGGTAAAGGCAGACGGATTAGCCAATAGAGCTTTGCCAATCAGATGTGGGACATCATGATTCCCACGTGACGTCTGTAGCCAAGTCATAGCGATTGACAAGTGCCCTATTGGGGCCGAGTCTAACCATTCCCTCCCCCATGGCCTTATTGTGAGATTTACTACTTCGCTGTCAATCGCAACAAGTCACAAAGTCGGGCTGGAATTAGCCTACCTGTACAAGTATCTCCAGTCCATGGTGAGCTGCACACACACAGGCAAGTAGCTGGATCTCTAGTTCCTCCATTCATACAAGTTAACGAACACTCTAGACAACACAATCAAAATGAACGTTGTTGAGATATGCAATGCACAACAATCATTCTCTCTGAAGAAGTTGACAATCAACTCTTTGAAGACGCTTGGTGCTCAACAGTCTGTGTGTTACAGACTTATGCATGTGGACTCAGCTTTGCAGCAGGTGCTATGCGACCCTCGTGTGTCAAAAAGCCATATCCTACTGTCAGCAATTGTTTATTATTGACTATCATTAGTGGAGAAGGCAAAATCAATCAAGCGGCAACTCAAGGTTTATCTGGAGGTTTTACAGGTCTTCCTTGTCATCACAGCATTGACACAACTTGTTTCTTAATGCCTACCTGTGCAAGTATCTCCAGTCCATGGTGGGATGCACATGCACCGACAAGAATCTGAATCTCTGGCTGCACCGTTCATACAAGTTAAAGAACACTCTGATGAAAAAAAAAATTGAGATGAATATTTTAAGATATGTGTGGCACTGCGATGATCTGTTTGGAAGAGGTTTGAATTTAATTATGGCTGTGTTCGAGTAGCTCACCCGGATCAACACGGGTAAAGGCAGACGGATTAGCCAATAGAGCTGTGCCAATCAGATGTGGGACAACATGATTCCCACGTGACGTCTGTAGCCAAGTCATAGCGATTGACAAGTGCCCTATTGGGGCCGAGTCTAACCATTCCCTCCCCCATGGCCTTATTGTGAGATTTACTACTTCGCTGTCAATCGCAACAAGTCACAAAGTCGGGCTGGAATTAGCCTACCTGTACAAGTATCTCCAGTCCATGGTGAGCTGCACACACACAGGCAAGTAGCTGGATCTCTAGTTCCTCCATTCATACAAGTTAACGAACACTCTAGACAACACAATCAAAATGAACGTTGTTGAGATATGCATGGCACAACAATCATTCTCTCTGAAGAAGTTTGAAGTATATATCAAATATTGACTTTTGCTTGTGTTAGTGGAATGTAAACATAATGATAGGATTTTCAATTTAATTGCACCAACCACTCACGCTGGCTTTTGGGCATTCCGGTCAAATTTAAGGTAACGCTTTGTTAACAAACTTAAGACTGTTACTTCATAGATTGAATAATAAAGTTATTGCAATACTAACCGTCATACAGAAATTAATCACAACCTGCACCTCAGACTCCTTTCTTATTACTCCTTGGGAATTATCATAGTTATAGTATGTAAACCACATTTGCGCCACATTCACAGAAAATTTGAAAAGCAATTCTCTAAAACTATCTCCCATTCATTTCAACTGTAAAGTTCTAGCCTCCACCCTAATTTTAGACAAAACTTTCTGCATGATAACATCCTTTTTAAACAATGTTAAACTCAAAATGCAAGGACCAACAAAATTCTTAAACATTAAATAACAGATGAAGATGAATCTCAACTTGTTGAAAATGAGACAAATATTCTCACCATTTTCACAGTTTTCGCCCATGAATCCGTCAGCACACATGCATGTATATCCTCTTGCGTTTACAAACTCATTGACACATGTTGCTGCATTCATGCAGTCATTGCTAAGCTCACAGGGAACTACAAGGAAGACAAATTAGACAAAAATATGCAAGACATACTTCTCACAAGCCTGATTTGAAGCTAGTTTTGTTCATAAAGATATATGATAAATGCATCTTCATCGTGCGACTGCATGCCTTTTTAACTTTTTGATTATCACTTAAAAATCAAAATCTGTTTAGAATAGTATCAAAGAATGCCCCTTGACCACAGACATGTTATAACATTCAGAGTGCTACCAAATGTTAGACATCCACAAAATTGCAGGTCTGTAGTCAGCCTGGTGGAAGGGGAGGGTCAATTTGACTATTAAGTGGACTTTTCATGTCCAAGAAACAGTTGATTATGCATGGAAATACACATTGAGGTAAATTAAACACGAATGTCAATCGCAAGGATCTGCAGTTGATTTGGGAGGAGGTCGTCCAGCCCCCTGACCATCCCCTGTCTAATGATCCGAGTCAATATAAATACTACGGGGACACAGACAATATCTCGCTGGTCCAAATGTCCACTTGTAAAGTTTACACTGACCTTCAATGATCTGTACCATATTAAAATGTCTTGAACTAAAAACTAGCTACAAGTTTTGATCAACTGGCCTTGCTCAGCCAGTGAAGGTTTTGCACAGCTGTCTACATTATACTGATGATTTGAGGTACGTTACCTATTGTTTGACACTGAGGTCCAGAGTAACCCAGAGCACATTCACACATATAGCCCGTCACTGTAGTTGAATTCACACGACATGTTCCGTCATTCATACAGGGGTTGTTGTCACACGGCGCTGTAGGAAAAACAGAACGATACGGAAATGGGTTGAACTAGTTTGAATGATTTTAAATGATAAATGAAAACCCTTGAAGGATATTCCCAAGGAAAGCCTTGGAATCAGGTTAACATCCAATCAATCACCCAGTCATTCCACATGCAGCCTGGACGGGATGTGAACCCAGACCATAAGGGTAAAAAGCAATGTATCTCTGCCCCAACCCAACTGTGGAGCGCGGTGGTCCAATGGTTACGGTGTTTGACTCACGTGCCGTGGTACGTGGGTTCGAACCCTGATGGGGAACATGGTGCTTGTGTTCTTGGGCAAGACACTTTACCAATTGCCTCTCTCCAACCAGGAGTATAAATGGGTACCTATGAAAGTACAGACCAGTGCGCTGATCTCGAGCTGCTGTAAAAACTAGTTGCATTGCGTGATAACAGGGTAATAATTATCAAGCCTTATTAACATGAATGATCTGAAAAAGAAATATTCAGACTATTGAGTCTTGAAGTACAGTCTATAAATATGGGTCTAGAGGTTTTGATGGCTTTATGAAATATGTGTCTATTTTCAGTTTCTGTACTGTACACCACTTCTGCCTGTTTTAGAAATGGCCCCTAAAGGCCTGTTAATACTACACGCAGAAGCAAAAAGGGGAAGCGAATTTCAAGATGTCAACAATTGAATTTTCATTGTGGGTTTGTCGTTACCTTAATGAATTGGCTTTGCACTGAAAATCATGCTAAGTATGAACCAGCCTTCAGGAGCAATGCTTTTGGCTTTAACAGCCATTTTATTACTGACTATGTATAATTCTTACCAATTTCACAGTTGTGTCCACTATAGCCTGGCAGACAGGTGCACGTATATCCCTCGGGTAATACCGAGTTGTCATCAGCACATGTCCCACTGTTGGTGCACGGTGAGCTGTTACACTCTGAAAACAGCACACATTCAATCAATTAATTAATAATCAAAGAGAGTACATTACATATACACAGTGTCTACCGGTGTAACGTACAATTGGATTCAACAAAACCTGCCTACCTAATAATCCATTCAGTGATGTGGACTTCATTATCAGTAATCATTCAATCTGGACATAATTTGAATGTAGTTTAAACATGTATACTTCATGCATATACTTCAAGTGTAGGAATTGCATTCGGCATACAGGACAGCGTGCCCTTACTTTAGCTCTCAACAGTATACAACACAGTACAATCTACATTTTCTGCAGGATTTTATTCTTCAATTCTAAGTTTTTCATATAGGTCTCTCTCCAATGACTTCATTTCCTACAGACCAGCCACTTGTATCGGCATTTTGAGCGTCGACTTCGGCTGCTCATCGGCTGCGTCGTATTTCGAACACATTTCAAGCAACAAGCACGCAAGTTTGGAACATTTTTAACACTGCGCAATGCGGGCTTGATTGCGTAAAATACGCAGTTGCAGTTTTCCTACAGTGATGGCCGTCTTTGAGAGAGACCTATTAGGAAACACGGTCCTTTCCTACTTACTTGGATCCCCGATGATGAATGTTGAGCTGACCAGCCTATGGTTTGGAGCCAACTGACCTCCACTGCCCCCTGTCAACTGACTCAGGAAGGCATCGATGATGAACTGCTCTGGCTGAGACATGTTGAGATTGATAACCAATCTCAACAAGGCCATGGAGTCAGTGAGGAGTGATATCTCCGAGATGACCACATCGCCAAAGTAACCAGACAAAACAGAAGACCTGAAAGCTGCTTCAATCTAAACACGGAAATCAAATTAGCAAAATGACGATTTGTAAAAAAAAAATGTGTGAATGAAATAGAGCTCTCTTGCTGTCAGTGAAATTCTTGTGAGATAACCTTTCATGCCAATTAATACCTTGTGAAAATAAGGCTTAATTGGGCAAGTCTCTGCATCGGCTGGGCAAGTTGGAGGGTGCATCAGTTCAATGCTAGAGTGTTCATCGCTTGTCTGAGGATTGCTGTGGTTATCCTGAAGAATCATAACAACTAACTTAAGATGAAAACAATGACTATCCTACAATCCAACTATAGTCGTGTGAACTGTTAAACAGATTAATTTTATTTTTGACATGTTACAGCATAGAATTGACCAACGCTTATCATCTGAAAAAATCCATAAAATCTTTCTTATCTAAGTTATGATTTCATAAAGGATAAAAGTTTGTCCCCCGCCAAAGTTCAAAAATACCAAACAAAACTAACAAATAAAACATGATGATTACAAGCAGATACACACAGGAGCATCTCTGAGAAGGAAGGGACAATTTCAAGTGGACAGAAATGTTTGTCTCACAAATGAAATGTTCCATCAACCAGGCATACATACCGCGTCTTTTAACTCTGCCCTGTATGTCAAGTAGTTGGCGACAAGATTAAAGCCGTTCCCACCAACCAATTCCCCACTGATGATATCAAACACAGCCGATGCATTGTATGAGACACCACCTGCCAAAATGATAATAACATTTCAACATTATTCACTTTGATGGACACAAAGATGCTCTGTAAGGACACGAAAACATATGAACCAAAATTGATGATGTTATGTTTCATGTTTATTAACATATCAATGTTATACTTGAGATGGCAGTGAGACTTACTAAGACATTCTGAGTTTTGCCGATAGAATCCCATTCTGCATTGACACTCATAGCTCCGGTGTAGATTGACACACTCCGAATTGGCCATTGCCCCACAAGTATTAGGATAGTGACATTCATTTATATCTACAAAAACACCACAAAAATATCAAGGAAGACATTAGACACAAAAACAATATTTCAATTAAGAAAACTAAGATGAAGACTTTCTTTTTGACTTCTCGGACTGTTAAATGTACATTATAGGAAAAGAGTATTTTTTGGTCAAATCCCAAAACTACAAGATAGTGGTCGGCAGTAAAATTTAACTGATTCTGGGGTATGGCCAAATAATTGTAAGGTTCCTGTCCCCGGCTCTCCCAAGCTCAGAAAATATGGTTGGAATAATTCATCGGGAAAGTAATACAGTGTTATACAATGTGAAACAATGTAATGCAGTGTCATACAATATAATACACTGTAATACAATGTAATACAATGTAATACACTGTAATACACTGTAATACAATGTAATACAGTGTAATACACTGTAATACAATGTAATACACTGTAATACACTGTAATACAATGTAATACACTGTAATACAATGTAATACACTGTAATACACTGTAATACACTGTAATACAATGTAATACACTGTAATACACTGTAATACAATATAATACACTGTAATACAATGTAATACAATGTAATACACTGTAATACACTGTAATACAATGTAATGCAATGTAATACAATGTAATACAATGTAATACAAAAATATAATGTAATACGGTTTAATTCAATGTAATACAATGTAATCCCAAGTAATACAATGTAATACAATGTACAATGTAGTACATATCAATTCCTTTTCGCTCCTTTTCAATGCACCACACGACCGCTCCAACATCCCCAATTGGAACAACACATGGAATCAATGTTAACCCCGTCCAAAATGAGACAAAGAATATCCATCCAATAAAGTAAGCTCTTTTATCCGTGGACAACTATGCACAATGCAATGGGCCACTTCCGCGCTCTAAGCGTTTTTACTATGGAAGGAATTGATATGCAAATGTTAATGGTTGATTAACATCAGTGTAACTGAATCTGTGGTTGTCTTACCAATACACTGATCCAGCATTACAAGTCCAGACAGACAGTCGCATACGTAACTGCCTTCATTGTTGTTACATCGACTCACTAATACATCACATGAATCCAGATTCAGTGCACACTCATCGATATCTGGAAATGAAAGGAACACACAGAATTAATGACCAATGCAAAAGTAGGAATATATTCAAGTAGAAGAAAAATTTGCTCCATGGTCTCTGACTGTTCAGTCAGCATTCACTTGCTAGTAGTCTTCTTGGTATATGAATAGCCTGCCCATTCCATGATTAGCCTGTCCATATCAGAGTGTTATTTTAACTTTACAGCTCCAGAGTGTTTTTGTAAAGGCCCAGTCAGAGGTCATTGCATCCTGCCAACTATACCCAGTCATTGGGAGGGCATTACATGTGGCACCTCACCCGTCACTTTGTGTTGGCATGACTGTGAGCTGAATGGGAACTTCCGTTGAAATCGGTTAACCAGTATCCGGTTTGAAAAAAAAAAGGATAAACGGATTTTAAAATCTCCGATTTCTCCCACCGCTAGTCGACTCCGTCAATTAACTGGCTTGGTGCGACTCTGGAATGCCAATTTGAAAAGTGTGATATATGATCACCATGAAGTAACCTATTCAAAGTGACAATGAATACACATACTCATGCCTATCCATGCACTACAGAACCACTGGCCTCGGCCCCCGCACTTGTCTTGTAAATGTACATGCACTCAATTTTACAAAGTCAAGAATGAAGGACATAATCAACAGACAAAAATACAGTTGAAAACTACACAAGATGAGAAATAGTGTTGTGATTTACCGTCACATTGACGTCCTGGTAGCATTCCTGGAGCAGACAAGTATCCATTCATGCAGGTACAAGTATGACTACCAACGTTGTTGACACAATCAGCTCTGCCTGAAGCACAGTCATGGCTATTAGCCATGCATTCGTCATCATCTAAAAATGTGAACAAAAATGAATTAAAACAGAAGTATAACTTATGGTTGTGAAGGCATATATATATAATTACTACTGAAGATAGGCCCGTACAAATTTGTTTTTTTTTATCGAAAATTTTCAGGATGAGATAAAACACTTGAACTTTAAAATCCACTTTTTAAGAATTCCTACATTATGGTACCTTAAGTTTTTGAATACTTGTAATACTTTGCATAGAACTGTTTTGTAATGAATGAACATGGTAATATTAGTGAAGAAAGAGTTACAGAAAGCCACTAAATTTGCTATGATACGATCTGCTAAGGCCAGTTCATACAAATGTGACACAAATTTGTGTGGTCACTGCAAGTATTCACGCTGCGACATCGCAAAAGTTGAGCACATTTCAACTCCAGTGAAGTTTGCAAAGAATGGTTTATGACATCAACATTTTTTTTTGGCATTCGCATTTGAGTGAAGTGGGAACTGGCCGTTAAAGATGTGTTTGTTTGTCTGTTGGTCGGTCTGTCAGGCTGTTTATTCAACTGTTCCCATATATATTGGCAATTCTCTCTTCAATCTTTTCAGTGCTTCCAATGTGTTGTCATTGTTTCAATGCATTGTGATTTATGTAAGGCATACATTACGATCATTCTTTCATCTAATATGATGACTTCAATGTAGAGTAGACCATATTTTCTCATTGGTGCATTGGTCAAAATTTAAAGACGAATGTCAATGAAACAACTGATGAAGCGTTAGCGATTTCAATTCAAAAGTTGCTGAGTCATGACACAATCCCGAAATCAACATTCAGGACATGATTCTCATTCAGTTGATTGCCGATGTTGCACACTGAATTTTTGGATAGATGCAAATGGTTTACTCTACCTTCTTATAATGGGGGCATATATTATTGTAGTTGCAAACTTGAAAACTTATGATAGAGGCAGGCAACTAACCTTCACAGTATGTTCCGTTGCCTTGGTAACCAGAGTCACAATTACATCGGTAACTTCCCTCAGTGTCGCTACACGTTGCTAAGGCGTGACAGATATCTGGGTCCTCCAAACATTCATCGATGTTCATACACGAGACGAGTCCATCGCCACGGAAACCAGTATTACACTGACAGGTGTAACTGCCATCATTGTCCAGACAAGTACTGTCGGCTACACACGAGTGGCCATTCTGACACTCGTCAACATCTGTAATGATAACAAATAAACCAAACATTGAAATACATGTCATTTCAGTATCTGAAATTGTTCAAAAGCAACATGTGACTGCTCTCAAGAGATAATTATAAACTCATTTGTGGTGAAACACGTCTTGCAAGTGAGGATTCAAAATCACCAAAGGACTGTAAGATTGATCCTTTTTAAAGCTAGACTACTGCCTTAATGGGGAGATGGATCCAAAAATGATGAGTCTGTTTTTTTTACGAGGTGATGTAAGTATTGAACAGAAGTTCAACTCTCTCTGAAAGTACAACATGAAATGTCCGTGTTGCCATTCAAATAGTTACTTGTTTTGATTTATTCAGATCTTTTTTTTATTCTAAGCCTTTTCAGTGTTTTACTGGACTTCGAGAAGAAAAGCAGATGTGCACTGATAATACAAGATCAGAAAGGAATCCCTGGTTCAGGGCTACGTGCCATCAGAATTGGTCCCTATTGACCTGTAAGTGTACTATGTATACCTACTTTGACAGTGTGTCCCATTGCCTCCGTATCCTGATTTGCAACGACAGTCATATGAGCCATGGTCATTGTAGCAGTTTGCAGTAGGAATACAAACAGGGTACAAAGGATCATCCACAGGAAGGGTACACTCATCAATATCTGAGGACAAATGTCAAACCAAATCAAGAAAGTTAAAAATGATGCATTGAGTGTCTTCTCTATTGTGCTAGGATTGCAACGTTTATGGGCTTACCCAATCTTGAATAAAAATTCTCAACTTTGAATTGGTATAATAGGAGTAGAAAGGGAGTTTGTTGTTTAATAAAAAGTAACGAATGACAGTTTAATTTAACTGTTGATTTTGGTTGCAAAAATTAAAATCCATGAATTACCAAACAAACTCACTCAGATAAAAAATCCAGCATCAGTTTTGATTCAAAACTGAAAAGACTTAACCAAATGGATGACTGATTACCTAGACAATCCCGCTGGTTATTGCCTTGCCTAAAGCCAGCTGAACACAAACACTCAAAACCACCGGCTGTGTTGTTACAGGTTGAGGAGGGGCCACAGTAACTCTCAGTAGCATTACACTCGTTAATATCTGAAATAACAAAAACAAAAAAAACTATTTCAAACGCAAATTTGAGAAATGAAATATTCTAAAAATACAAATACTTTGCAAATGATAAAGGTTTCACTCTGTGGTGATGAGAATCTCAAATGGTAACGTAAAGAACTCTTTGAAGCATAAGACAAGGTGACACTATACAAGTAACCTAGCTGTAATGTACCCCAGGCCCTGTGATGTATTCATTCCTACCTTCACACACCATTGGATCAGACGAGTTTTGGTAACCACGGTAACAAAGGCACGTCTCTATATCTGCACCATTCACGTAACAGTCTCCATTCACACATATAGAATTCTCAGAACAGTTTGTAGTAGCTGCGAGGGAAAAGCAACGAAACAAAAATGAGAGAAAATCACGCCTATAAAGCGCAGAGGATGTATGGGTGTGTGTGTGTGGATGTACTTTACATACACCCCCAAGTCAGACGGACAAACGGAGAACAGATTCTTTGTTGTCTTCAGGAGTTCATCTTTTGTTGAAAACGGGAAGAAGGGAAAGACAATGCCCTGTCTTCAAGAGTTAAAGTACAATTGTGTGTGCGTGTTGATGGTGTAAATCTAGGACACACATGTAAAACATCATTGTGTAAGTGAGGACAGGAGTCAAATTGAGGACGTCCTCGATTAGAAAACGTCTACAAAACCAATGGGAGCTGTTGCTAAAAGTATGAACAAGAGATGAACGATGAGGAATAGTAGCACATCCTGGATTTACACCATAAACAAACGTGACTATGTCTGTATGTTCACAAGTTGATCATTCACAAGATGATAAGCCAGGAAGCGAATCATCTCCATAAAGCAGGCGCTCATTTCAAAAGCAATGTGCGTAAAGTGATTTCCTTACTGTGACTCTATGCAACAGACTTACCAACACAACTGCCATCACGCAGCGTAAATGCTTCATGGCACACACACTCATAGGAGCCTATAGTGTTTCTGCAGTTTTGAAGGCAGTTGTCAATCTCCAAATCACACTCGTCAATGTCTGCCATCAAAAAGAAAAAGTAAAAACAATACACTTGACCTGTGTTTCTTCCACTCTACATCTACTGTCCAAGGTTTAAACCCAACTAGGTGTGTCAAAGGTTCACCTTGCAATCCACTATAACATTCCTAATATAAAGCCAGCATCGTATCAACATGTGATGTTGCCGGTGCAAACCAGATCAGACTAGTTCAGACTAGACCAAACCAAGCCTTGACTCACCTTGGCAATCGGTACCATTCCTATTAAAGCCAGCATTGCATCAGCATGTGATGCTGCCGGTGCAAACCAGATCAGACTAGTTCAGACTAGACCAAACCAAGACTTGACTCACCTTGGCAATCGGTACCATTCCCATTAAAGCCAGCACTGCATTGGCAAGTGAAGCTGCCGGGGATATCGGTGCAAGTAGCGTTCACATGACAGACTGGTGTCGACCCCTCACATTCATTTACATTGGTACAGTTACGGCCGTCACCAGACAATCCCTCATTACAGGTGCAGGTATAGGAACCCTGGGTGTTATCACACATTGCTTGGATGTTGCATTCATCAGTGTCCCTGCTACACTCATTCACATCTAACAAAGTACGAACAATCATTTGAAAATAGCACAAAGAAATTGATAGGAATGGTGCTTGAACCTGCGACCTTCGGATTGCTGTTCCGGTGCTCTACCAATGGAACTATTTATCAGTGTTATTTTGGCAGTTGAGGATTTTTTATTCAAGGGATGTTGAAAAAAAATGAACAAGTATGATAGCTAAGCACATAGGAACATTACTATCAGTGTAGGGCAAAACATTAATTAAAACCAGGATATCAACACTACATCAATTTGAAATTCCATCCAAACACAAGCTAATACCTGTACATGTGAAGCCACTGCCTTCATAGCCTTGACGACACTGACATCTATATGAACCAATCGTGTTTGAACAGTCAGCACCACTGTCGCAGTCATTTGTTCCACTGCATTCATTGATATCTGCAATTGTGAAAAAGATCCTCAAAATGAAGCTAATGTGCACAGATTTAAATTAGCACACATACGTACTTTCTACCAATAAACTTTGGAGAATTAAATTTGTTAACGTGCAGGAAACGATGAAGAATACCTAAACTCCAGACAAAAACAAGCATTTTTACTGAGGTATTAAAGTGACAGTGCCAATGAATTTTGAAACACTTCAGACCATCAAATTTATTTCTAAAGCTTGATTCTTGAATGACACAAACAAAAATGTTTGTTGATGTTGATTCAGTCAACTCTCATTAATTATTAACTTGTGGCATGAAAGCTTAAAGATGAAAACAAAAATAAATCATTTTGCGCACAAATGACCCATCCTGCGAGAACCAGGCAGCCAATGATTCGAGTTTTGTAAAGAAACAATTCAACGACTAAAATATATTTGCATTTTTTTGTACAATGTCTCATTCGAAAGTGCATAACTTTTTTTATATGAAAAAAAAAAATCATCTAGCGCACAAATAATTGGCTGACAGCCAATAATTTGATTTTTGCTGACAAAAATTCAATAACTAAACATCTGTGCATTTTTTTGTTCAACACCTTGTTCTAAAGTGAAATTTTTTTTTCTCTGGAAAAAAGCAAGTGAAAAATCAAAACTATTTTCTTTTGGTGAAACTTGAAAAAATTGCACAGGAAAAGCATCTTTTAATGAAAGAGGTGGAAATCAATATGTATTAATTTTTGACCAACCTTGACAAGATGTGCCATCTCCGCTGAAGCCTGCATTACAGCTGCATTCATAACCACCTTGGGTGTTGTTACAGGTCGCTTCGACTGCACAGTCGTCAGTCTGTTGGTCACATTCATTGATTTCTAAAGGAAAGCAAACCCAACCCAAGTATTACCGAATGACTACATCCTACCGATACAATTACAGTTTGTGAGTTAACTACAGTCAAGTGACTTGAATGTTATCTTGCTGTGGTCTGCTTCATAGTTTATTCCAGTGATTACATTAGTCTAACCAATGTTTCATTCTGTTTTATTGGATACAAGAGATTTTGATGAGCTTGAGGTATGAATTTGGATGTTTTGGCGAATGCCAAGCCAAGATGACTCAAGACGTTGTATTTTATACACCGGTACTTTGGCATCATGCATAATGGTTCCTGCTCGTTATTCATTCATTCAAGTCAGTATATACTTGCCTACAATCCTTTGTGTGTCTGATGTACAAACTGGCATCCTGTCTCATTTGCGTATAAGCACAAGTCAATCATGCAATAAGACATAAAGACATGTGCTTGGAATACTACTGAATTGAACCTATCAACAGCAAGTCTCAACGATCGACCGACTCAAGTTTCACCTACCGATGCAGCGTTTGCCGTCAACAAACAAGGAGTAGCCAGAGTTGCAGCTGCAGTTAAAGCTATGGAGGGTATTGACACAATTTTGATCACATCCACGTCCGCCATTACTGGCTGGCTCATCTCTGTACACGACACACTCATCAATATCTGTATAGAAAGGAAACACATTGATTAACATTTGAAGCAATTTCCAAACCACTAACAAAATCACGTGTTATAAAGACAGCCCCAAAATATCAACCTTATATTTTTCTTAGTGTGGTCATATCAGAATGATAAGGCTCTGGCTTGCAATTACACATGCGCCTATGGACAAGTAGCTGCAGCCACAGTCCACAGACATGTGTGCTACAACAATCTGTAGCCAAGTTATTGTGCCACAAGGCTGCAACACGCAGTGAGACAGTGTGGGGAGGTAAACATGCAGTTACGTATCCGCATTCGTGGGGGGGGGGGTGTTTTCGATGAGTTTATGAAAGGCCATATAAGCATGCTCAGATGAAGTTCTTGCAGAGTAAGATCAATAAATCCTGAGCCTACCAATGCAGGACTTGCCGTCTCCCTCCGTTCCTTCAGGACAAGATCCACAGGTGAAATTTAAAGACGGTGGGTCATCATCAAAACACGCCACTCCAAGGAAGCAGGGGTTGTCTTGACAGGCGTCGTAGTTCATCTCACAGAAGTCACCTGACCAGCCAGGTGTGCAGTTACATAACACTACCTGGAAATTAAGACCAACAAATTAACTAACATTCAGCACATGCAGGTATCTTGTGTGGGTGCTAGGATTTACAGGAAGTAGTATGGGAACAGGGTACCCGATTGAAAAACCAATTCAAAAATTCAAATCCCAGAAGTTGCTGTTGAGATTGTTCATAAACGTCCACATGATAATACTACCACATCGGTGCATCAATACAACAAGATACAAGTGTGTATAGTAGCTTTACGGTGTAAACTGCAACTTTCGTGAGCATCATAAACGTAAAATATGCTTTGTTTTTCATGTAGCCTGGCTATGTCTGAGAAGTTACTAAGTTAAATTTGTAAAGTTGCTTTCGGGTACCGGATCCCATAATCTGGACCGATTCCTGACATCAATAGTCAGGTTCTGGTGCTTAGGTACCCGGTTCCGATGCACAGCCCTGGTGGGTGCATGCTTTCCAAATGTAGATTTTTTAAACCCAACAAAGGTAAAGAAATCAACAATGTCCTTATTATTTTCATGTAAAAGGGAACAATTTACACACATATGAAATGCTCTGTTTAAATTAATCAAAGATTTAAAAATTGTCAAGCTCTAAAATCTGGAAGCAGATTGTGTGTGCAAACGTAACCCTCAAAGACTTCGTGTAGCTTTTAAACACTGCTGCATTAAACATTAATGTGCACATTACTGCGTTTATACCACAGTGACAAATCCTTACCCCAAAACGGCCATCTGTGATGACGTTAGTACCCTCCACATACTCATCGTACAGACATGTACCAGCATTCTTACAGTCACAGAGCTTGACAATCGGCTCCAATGTTGCATTCGCTTTCCCATCAGTCACTAGGAAGCCAAGGGTGACCTTTGACCTATCGGCTGGTGTCCATGTGAATTGGCCTCCTGTAGTTAACAGCAAACAGTGTTGGTGTCAAAAAGACGTCACAATGTAGGGTAGGCAACAGAATTTTTAGTCACTTTTGTTTTGCAAGGATCCTGAAAATAGCAAGGACCATGCACTGACTCCAACCTTCTTTCAGGACAGTTCCGCTGTTGCAGAGCCGGACAGCAGTATTTAAGGTTACACTAACCTGGCGATGTAACAGTCCCCCCTGGAATCACCTCCAGTAACTCATATGATATGTCATCTCCATCAGGATCAACGGCTTCTATCTGCAGTGTGAAGGGTTGTCCAACAACTACCTCAACTGTCTCGACCAGTGTGACATTGGGCGGGAAATTGGCTGGAAAACATACAATCATCTTTAAATGTTGGAAAGGTAGATATTTGGGGAATTATTAATTAAAATAAATTGGGGGCAGTGTTTGAATTATTACGCGAACATCGGGTGGGGGGTTTTCAAAGAATCTTTACCCCCCTCCGGCATGACTCCCCCCCCCCCCCCCCCCGGAGAAAAAGAAAAGAAAAGAGAAAACTGCCAGAGAAACTGCATGTAAAAACCTGCTAAAACTTAGGCTTGTATCATTCACTGGATATCCAGTACCAACCTCCCTATCTGCTCTTGCAATTTTTCTATGGCCTGCTGGATATTTTCAAGTTTTTTTTCGGCTTGGAACTGCCCACCCCCCACCCCCCCCCCAAAAAAATATTGAAATAGCTCTGAAAAAAAGAGAGAATAAAGATTGGATTAACATGTAATTTGCTTGCAGCTTACGTCATTGAGTTTCTTTCAGTTTTCTTCAAAATGGATTAAAAAAAAAACGGCTACAATTTAAGTAGATTACAACATGAAAACCAAAATCAGAACATGACTTACTTGCTGCCATATTGTCAATAGAATTCTGCTCACTGAGTTGCATAGATGCCACACCGACATCCGTACTACCCGTTGCCAAGGCATCATACAAACACACTTTGTTACTTCCGCAGGCATCTCGAGCAGCTTGGAGCTTTGCCGGATCAGCTTCACTCATGAGATCGTCCAGGAACTTTGGTGTGAAACTGGGATCGTTCATGTTAGAAAAGCTCTCGCCCGGTGAAACGTAGTAGAAGAGGGAATCACTCTCTGAGATGGCCCCTGCACGAGGTCAAAGGTCGTACATCCAACACAATTACATGGCTGTGGCTAGGAATCACGCACATGCCTGTGGAAGGGGCTGCAGCCACTTCCCTTAGACCCATGTGTTATATCCAGCCGTAGCCAAGTACTTCAGACATGCCTTTATAGGCTGCGGCTGAATCATTTGTCTGGAACTACGACTACGTCTTTGTCCATTACAACTACTTAGGAACCATGTTTTGCTCCAGTAGCCCTTTTCACACATACTCTTTTTAATTTGGGGTTTTGCATTTCACTGTATGCTAAGTGCCTTCAGAGAGCCCAAGAACAAAATGTTTACGAGTTTACTAAGGTGGGGTTGTTACGCAGGGAAACGCATCACAACTCTACCACCAATCTCGCCAAAGTCTGCTGGCTACAGTTCAAATCTGCAAACTTCATGACACATCACCATTGATCATATTCAACAACTGATGTTGGCTCCCTGCGCGAACAAGAGAGGGCCTTTATGACCACTTTTGAAAGCCGTGTGGACGGGACACACTGTGTGTATGTACTGACTCGCGTGTGCCGGCGCAAAATTATGCACAAAGCAACAGTGTCTTCTGTGAACATCAGGCGTTGTCAGCAATGCGTTTGAATGTCTCTCCTGATGAGCACACCCAACTCTCTCTTTCTTACCAATGAGGGGGTACTTGTGCACGGATACCATCATAGCAAATGTGCATGATGGTTTATAGAATCTTTCCTCTGCAACCATCGTTGAGGTGTGTGTGTGTTTGTTCAAAAGATATGTAAGAGTAGACTTTTTGCTCATCCACTGTTATGGAATTAAAATTGCTCCCAAAACCTCAAAACTCATTGGTGAGTAAGGGTGTATTGACTTACATGTTTGACCAAATTGAAAGAAGTCTTGTTCCGACAGTTCTCCATCTGTACCAGTTGCTGTTTGTTGGGTGTTATCCCGTCTCAGAGCATCGTTACTTGTGTCCCCATCCCATACACCTGCACATAATGCATGCAAGTACTCCATGACAATTCTATTTTTATAAACTGGTTCAAGTGGTTAACAAGAGATATTGATGAAACCATGTGATTAGTTTCAGCAGCTGCTGGCACTGTGGTAAATACAGCACTGTAGTTTGTCTACCATGAGTGGTCAGGTCTCCTTGCCCCACTGTGCCACGTTATGTTGCACCTTGAGGTCATTTAACAACATCAAGTGGTTTTTTTTTTATTGTCTAACGATATTTCTTTCTTGTATGTGAGGCGTTCTGGCAAGACGAGACAAAACTTGGCAGAGATCGAAATGAGGGTTTGTGGATATTAGGAAAGAGAATAAAATTCTCCTTACAATACCCTTTGTTGCACTTCAGTTGCACACTTCGTCGAAAAGTTTTAAGTTTCCATTTATCGATGTCAAAAAGTAAAATGCTGAGAAAAAGCCCTTTAAAGTTGAAAGTTTTGTAGTCATGAAAATGAAAAGATACTATTTCCTTAAAATAAGTGTAGTAGATCATATCAAGAATGCAAGTATCACTAAATCTGAAATCACAAACATTTAAAAAATTTTCTCTACTACAGCCTGTGCCCAGTTCCGTCTCATTTTGCCAGAATGCCTACCAAATTATAATGTTACAATCACAAAGAAATACATTAATTTTAAGATTCATTACTACGCTACAACGCACATTAATGATCTCAAATGATATAAAGTTTACACAGGACATAAAATGAAATGCTTTGCTTACCCAGTAATCCCTTGGTTTTGTTCATGTAGTCTTCACTCAGTTGTGTGGTGATGTCAGCAAAGCTGTTACTGACTCCAACAGAGAACTGAATATCTGCCTGGTAGACTGCGATGATTTTGATTGGATTCTCCTCTCTTAGTACGGTGAAATTGCCAATAAGTAATCCTGAAATCATCAGATTGAAATACTCATCAAACAATAAGCCTCTGTACTGATGGCATCACGTCACTGCCACAGTACAGTATGTTTTTATGGATTTGTCAAGTGTAATAGTGTAATACAATGTAACACACTTGCTGATGGGTAATTTAAGGGGTCTAAAAATGAGCAGCATGCATAAATAAGGCTTTAGTTTAGGCTGCAAAAACTTTTGAACCTCTTTCAAACAACATAAAAAAAAAATTCAATACATATTGGGCAGCTTTTCATTGCCATGTAATGATGTAATTAATTCCCTTAAGCATTCCCTAGGATGAAATGTGCATGTTTCAATTGTTCTTTGTGTCCATGTACAGCATATAGGTACCGCCAATAATTACTCCACAATGAAAATACCAATTTTGCTTTTTCTATTCATAGAAAACTTGTACGCGAGTATTGTTGATGTCCCCTAGCGTGGCCCAGCCCCACTTTGCTTTTTCGCCTCTGGCCCCTTGCCAGAGCAAGCAAAAGATTTACCTGAAATTTCACAGTGAGTGAAATTTCATCAATCTCTATAATCATTCCCATTCATCAATCTTGAGCTTACCTACCCGTTACAAAGTTAGTGGAAAATGTATTTTGGCCTGATTTTCCAATTTTATTTCGAAGTGCACAATAAACCCTCTAGAAATGCGCCCAAAAATATAAAAAAATACTTTTCTGACAAAGTTCTAGCTAGCTGGGTATGCGAGTAGAGAGTGCCTTAAAGAAATTCTTAAATGTCAACTTGGGATTTTCTGAGACTTGTTCAAGTGCGCCATGTTAGGGAATACTTAGCTGATTTTGTGCCATATTTCCAGACACCACCGTTTTGGAATTGCGGACTAAATTTCATAACACTGAAATTGTTCATAAAGATTCAATGGCAAGCATTATTAAGGTAAAAGAACTAATATTTCACTGAATGAATGTGAAGTTTGCCAACAAAGAAGTTTGGAAACACTGCATGAGGAAAGTTGGGGGAACTGTTGAAGTGCGCCACGTTAGGGAACACCACTATTTAGGTGAAGGAATTCTTAAACCACTGTCCATGGTACGTAACCAGTTCTCACCATCAGCTGTGGGTGTGACACTCGCACCGTTAACTTTGGTTTCCAAATCGGTACCATCGCTGTTCAGTTTGATCTCAATCTGAAACAAACACAAAATACATCTTAGTGCCAGAGTCAATAGCAAGTCCATCACAGGTTAGGTCACAAGCTATTCAAATGAAATTCTAATGACAAAGCCATTCCTTTGTTGTTGTTTTGTCCCTTTACTTGTGACAGGGCGACCATGATTTACTTGTGAAATGACTTGTGATGAACTTGTGATTGACAAATATAAAAGGAAATTATAAAAACAATCTGCCTTAATGAACTCATCATACACAATAACACCAGATCATACATGGGATCATACACAAGAAACATCAAGATCGAAAACTGATTTGCCAATAGTAAGTCCTTTCTACAACATCTTGAAGAAAAAAAGGAGCTAACCCTTGCATCACCAACGTATTCAGCAGCGAATCCAGTGAAGAATGTAGCTTCAGAGAGTTGCTGGGTTTCAGAGTTCAACACTCGCTGTGTTCTGCCTTGTAGTTCAAACTGTCTCTGTCCACTGTCATCATTAATGAGAGTAATAGTGTATTCACCCAGACCATTGAAGGTGTACTCCAAACCGTCCAGTGTTCTCATGTGTGGGTCGCCAAAGGTCCAACCTACAATTTGGTGAAGAATTATCAATTACTGCATTTCTGCGGAAAATTGCATGTTTTACATGGCACAACTCAAGGTACCGGGGGGTGGGGGGGGGTGTTAAAATAACCACAAATTATGTTTGTCAACTTGGATAACACGCTCAGTTGCTTCTTTAGTTTAACTTTTAGCCGAGGTCATAATGATCACATAACACTGCTATTACCCATGCCACGTTTCATGAAACTACTTATACATGTATAGCTAAGAAATTTTTCTCACCTAATTATAACAAGCATTCATTTGGAAAAAAAAAACAGGTTACTAGCTTGCCGCTGGTTCAGTTTGAATATAGAGTAGCAACAACCAAATAGATAAGGAGCGACTTAAGGTTGACCCCAAAGAATGTTTGGTTTCAGACAGGCGAACTTAATACACTGGAGTATTGTGTACAAACAAACGAACACACGATTTTAGCAACAAACCGCCTTTGCATAACACCTATCTCCTGCTGCTTTCACACCACGTTATAAATAGCACCCGCTAAAAAAAACCCCACAAATATTTTGCTAGTATGGGTGGATTGTGATGAGATGTCGTATGGTCACTGCTTATTTTCATGCATTTGCATTGAGTTTACTGCTTCATGACTACAAAGGGACATATGAAATCCAGTCGCTCTTAAGTTGTTCTGAACGACTCCGACAGTCAATCTTTAGTCATCTAGCGCATCTATTTGCTCCTAATTGTTTCAGACGTTGGACTTTTCGAGCACTTAATTCAAATCTTGTTTTTAATCTGGTTTGGCGCTACTCAGGAATGTCTGTCTGAACCGGGTGTCAATTTCAATCATTGTTTTGTGACTAACTCTCCTCTGATTTTACTTAGCAAATATAGTTTCTTTAATACAAATACTTTTTTCTTAGTAACTCCATGAAATTAGGCCACTAAATTATTCTACAAAGTCAGTCATCTTTGGATCTGCCTTTGGGCTCCGTGCACAAGTACCCCCTCACCGGCAAGAAAGAGAAAGTTCGGGGAGACATGTACACCTTGTGCACATTTAGAATAAAATAAGTCATGCGTACTTTGCAAGACAGTAGGCACATGCAGTGTGTCCCGTTCATGGGGCTCACAATAGTAAAAAAGCACCCCTGTTGGCTCACGGAGCCCATTGTCACTGACTTGTAGGTAAGCCATTTACGGGGGAATGATAGATGTATTTCAAATAAAAGTCACACTAAGGCTTTTAAAACCTCCTCAGTGATGTCTGATTTGGCTACTGTTCACATTTGCACATTTGCACCCAGACAAATAGAAGACTCACTCCATCTAGGCGGGCGATATCTCCGACAGCTCTGAATTGGTCTCCATCTTCTGTACAGACGACACAATGAAGACTGCTCACAGCAGTAATAGCGCACTAAGAATCCTTGATCTGTCAAGGTTCAATCATACAACTGTTTGTGATCACGGTATTATTTGCAATAAGAGTTGTAATTTTAATTAAATTTTGCATTGCATTTCTTTGGTTCAATGATCAGCCTGTGAAGGGTTGTGAGAACCAAATGTAGTAACAATGCTGAGGTTGAGGTACTGCTCACCACGGGTCCAATCCATAATTCGATTGCAAGTCCAGATGCAAGTAACAGGGAATCAACAGTTACAAAGAAATGCCTTTGTCACAGCTATTTTGAATGACTTACTGGTATGTGGTTCTAATCAGAAGAACAAATTATGCTGACATTTGGAGCATTTGAAACCATTTTCTTTAGGGGATTGTTGACTTCTCAAAGTGTCCGTCTAAATATTTTTGAAACAACAAAAAAACTAGGAAGTAAATTTTGAAAAACATTTATTTTGTAGATTGTGTGAGGGAAAGTAATTAAAACTCATATGGCTTTAGACCAAGATTAGGAGTATCTGCACAATGAACAAATTTTCAAAATTTACTTTTGTGGTTTTGCTGTTATTTCAAAAATATTTAGGCGGACACATTTATGGGACACAGTGCAGAGTTTATTGATAATAGTCCGAGATGTACTACAAATTGGCTCATCATTGATGAGTTCTTTGAATCAATTAAACATTACCTACCAAACCAACTGTTAAATCGACTGTTTGAGAAGAACAAAGGACTTAATTGAAATGGCTCCATGACTGAAGCAACTCCGGCACTCAGTACACCCCTGAGAAAATCACATCTGGGTATGTTATAGCAACATTGTGGGCCAGGTAACCATGGAAACTGCAAACGCCGGACGTAGCAAATAGTATCTGAAGTAAAACAAGTACAGAAAAATAGATATCAAGCATCCAATATAAAATTAACACACGGATACCGTAAGTATAAGAATGAAATAATAGCACTATAGCAATTGAAATGCTTGCTTAGCAATGCAGCCATAGTATTTCATGTCTTTAATGAGGGAATAAATATGTGCTTGGTCAGTTTTAAACAAATATGTTTAAAAACCAGCTTGGGGCCTGGACACAGATTATGGCCAAAGCCAAACGCGAAGGAAATTATCGGCGACCAGGCCGCAAGCCAGTTTTGAAACCTTCCTGTTTAGAACCGACCAAGCACAAATTTATTCCCATTCATAAATACCTTTTGGTAAAAAAGTCCAAACAAATCAAAATTATAAATTTCTACCGACTTTGTTAAACACTTTTACTTCATGTTTTTGTAAACACCCCTCAGCTATGTTTATGGTATGCACCCGTCATGAGTTGTACTAAATATCTACATATACGGAGATTGGCGAGAACTGTACGATGTGACGCAGAATGCAGCAGTGCTAGTGTAGTCTAAATTTAGGACTCTATTAAATACGGACTCACTGGTAGTATTGGGCATGCGTAAGTGAGGACTGTGAAGGTTCAACCAATAAAAGGGTAGAAGGGACCTGATTTTATAGGAGTTCAAATTCCATGTGACACTGGGAAAAGTGTTTAAAACCAGCCAGTCAGCGTTTTATCAATTGTTCAAAACCACCCACCTGACAGGTTATCGACCAAAAGGAATAGTAAACAATCGCACGTTTTTACGAATAAGTTCAATACTATGAAGAAATTTGATAATTGGATATTTTTCATATAAAGACGTCACATTTTGCTCACCGAATCCTAGCGAAAACTGTGTGGGCAGGACGTATGGAATAGGTACCCATCTCCTGTCCCGACGAGCACTCTGCAGACTGCACGGACAGGTGTTAGCAACACTTGCAGCATACAAATCCAGGAAGAAGTTACTTCGCTGTTGATCATACCAATTATAGCAGAAGAGACGCGGATTGATAAAGTTGTCTTGTAGTGTATCCAGCTGGTAAACCCAACGTCCCATCATTCCAGAATTGCCTACGACGCTACCAGGGCGGAACACGGAGGTCCCCGGCGGTAAGTCCACATAGACTTTTTGTTCAAACCGCCCAGGGTTGAAACCCTGGATGACGTTTGGGTTAGCTAAGTAGGCTGGGTCCCAATTCATTCCACATGGATCATAGTTGAAGACAACATAACTATGTGCTCCGTTTGTCAATAGTATAGCTTGGAAGGTGTTGGTCTCCTGAAAAAAAGACACAATATTGAAAATATCAGTAAGCCGAGTTTTGTCAAATACGTATTGTTTAACAAGAACCATGCGTGCTACAAATTGTGTACTGAACAACCCGGTACAATCTCACATTGAACCACAGTTGACTGTCAAAGTATAGATTTACATGAAATCTACACTTGATTCAACAATCTTTATCATTGCACACACTCACCATTCTTCAGTGAGTGGAAAAAATTTCATGAAAAAAAATCCCAAGATTTTTAAAAAGTATTTATGAATGATTCAATGAAAATAAAACAGAAATGGGATGTATACAAATGTTTCTCATTTTAATGAAACATGCCTTGACGAGTCTATAGACTTATTCGGTGACAGCTATTTTCTGAGATGGCACTGCGGTGGCACCATGCAGGCTCGCGTGAGTCGTGCTCAGGTAGTACGCATGCACTATGGGGCTCCTTCAACCGAAAGTGTTACCAAAATGCGTGCCTCATCTCTAAGAAACAGTGCGGCGTGCGCAAGAGTGTGGCACCACCTCAAAAATGGTTTTTAATTTTGTTCGCTAGATTACACTATAGTCAAAACTGTCTCTCTAGTTATCTTTGCCAAGTGCTATAATGATTGACATCACATTTGGTGAAATACTTCTTCGTAAGGTGTATAAAATCAGGATAATCATGATCATAGAGATACTTACAGGAGACAGCGAGACAGCCTGGACATTACTCCATGTGATGACGAGGACCCAATTAGCCAAGAAGCTGTCATATTGTGCTGACACGATATTACTCAAAGTACCCAACATGGTACTATCCGTCGAAGGGTTGTCATAAAGCTAGCATAAAAACAACAGAAATAATATAGACATATCAAGTACGTCATACCAATAGGCAACTGACAGACAGAGTTGTAATGGCTTGAGTCAATGACTGGACTCGAGTCTGACTTCAGTCCCAATTTATGGCAACTTGACGCAACTCGGCTCACGTCACAGCGAGCAAATGACTCGACTCGACCAGGTTTTTTGGGGGGTAATTATTTTTTTGGTCACACAATTTGACCTAGGTGATATGTATGTGACCTATTTTCGAGTAGAATAATAGGGGTGTATGTGGTGCTACCAACTTCAAAATAGTCCTCCCCCCCCCCGGCCCCCCCCAAAAACCCAATTTTTTTGTGAGCCCCCCCCCCCCCCCCCCAAATCCTGGGTGCTCCACTGGACTTGACTGGAGTCCCTCATCAGAAGACTCGACTCGACTCCAGTCACAAAATAGAGTGACTCACTACAACTCTGTGGACAGGCAACCCAAACATTCAAGCATATTTGCATTTGGCCACAGAATACAGTTAAAACGACCGCGCTGAGTTTGCCAACAGTTATTGCCATCATGTGACTGCACCATCCAATTTTGTAAACAGATATGACATGGTCGACAAGATGTGATGCTGTGATTGCAAGGTACTACTGACAAAAATCAACAGAGGGAGGTGTCATCACACACCATAGCAGGCAACATATACAACGCAAGAAGGGCTGGTATAATATCAAGCTAATGATAGCACAACTCGGAGAAGAACTGTACATTGAGGAATTACTAAATTTGAACCTGATAGGAATGATGTGCGTGATCAGTCGATTGCGCTGTGCTATCGGTTGATCATGATGTTATCGGTCGATCGTGCTACCACCAGTCGAACACCTTTTCTTTCTAATTAATGTCTCTGGAGGATTTTTATTTTAACAGGCAACTAAAAGCTGAGATGTCCTACAGAATCGACACATCACGCACCGCAACTGATCCCGCCCAACATATATGGTCCATTTCAGGAGGGAAATCCAAATCTCTCTGACAGCGTTTGGGTTCGTGGTGAGCAGGAGACAATTCCCTGTTGCAGCTGGCCATGCTGCCTACTCCTAGATTATGCGAAACTGACTCCACCAGCACTCTGTCAGACACGACGTGAATTCCATCTACATAATAATAGGCTAGATGCGTGCCCCCAGTTGCCTTGCCCTATATCCCTTACCCCAATTCCTAGGCTGATTCAGCTTACATACCTGCCAAAACACATTGTTTGTGGAGTCAAATGCTTCGGCTTGGACGTCTGCCCAGAATGGAGCTATCATTTTTTCGTTGCCGGTGAAAGAGGAACTGAAAGTACTCGGGAATGCTTGTTTGAAGTTGGTAAATCTGACTCGTCGATTATTGGACAGGATAATCACACCGTTGTCAGTGAACTGATAACAAGATTAATACACAAATGTAAACAAATTGTTGCTAATTGCAAAAATAAAAGTGCTGTTTATTTATTATTCATAATGCATATTGGGGTATATGTATTGTACTGTTATTTCTTGCAAGCTCTTGGACAGTGCCGAGTATACAGAGCTTATTAATACTACGTCGGTGCACGGCAAAACCAAATATGAAATTGTAAGTCTCTCCAACGCAGAAAATACTTATCATCTGATCAAAGATTACATTGCAATGTCATAACAAACATGTGGGTGCAAAGCAACTATTAATCAACCACAATAATCATCTCTGCCCTCACAGGTACCCAAATTATATTCTCGGTGGGGAGAAGCAATGAGTGACAAAGTGCCTTGCCCAAGGACACACACACACACACCCAGGCTGGACTGGAACCCAAAACCTGCAGGATTACCTGCAGACCACGAATTCAATGCACCAGACCAAGAGATCACGGCACTCCACAAGTCATGCTGCTACTTACATATAGAAACTCATAGAGCTCATTGCCAAAGGGAAAGAACTGCCGTGAAGTGAAGGTTGGGGAGATCCGATCCTTGGAAGGCAGATAGAACTGTTGAAGAAAAATATAAACACCGTCAACATATACTAGTAAAGAGAAATTATGAAAAGAGTTTTACAAATGTCAGTCTTTGAAATCACCGCCACATCTATCCTGCATGGGTTGAGTATAAACTCATCCGACAGATTGAATGTAAAGATTGTATTGTCTCTAGCATGAAAGTCAAGTTACTTTTTTATTGAAATAATAATTATATTAAACTCACTGATTGATAGACGGTGGAGAGTGCACTGTCTCCAGCCCCAAGGCCAAATGGAACAAGGTTAGACGCTGTTCAAATAAAGGAAACAAAAGTTAACTTTTTATATTAATGTGAGGAGAGCTTGGCAGCTTGGCTTATTTTGTAGTTTTAATTATTCGTTTTTCAATTTACGAGATCATTAAAATGATTCCTTAGTTTGGCCAAAAAAAAATAGTTCTGCTTCCGGTTTCCCTACCTACCCTATTCTGACAGCCCCTACCCTAATTTTTTTATGGGAAAAATGAGAAAAGAATACCCAAAACAATCAATTTCTACCTTTTACCCTTGACTGCATTCAGATGCCTCCATATGATCACAAACAAAAAAATTGGCCAAAAACAAAAACTCACTTCCTACCTGCCCTATTTTCGAATGCCACGTAATCGGAAGCAGAACTATTTTTTTTGGCCTTATTACAATCAGTTGGTTTGTCCAAATATTCATTAAATAATAAATTCATTTTATTTACAATGCCTTAACATTCTTTTAAATCTTCAAAGCTCATTTTTTAATTATGCAGTTCAACCAATGATTAATCCGGCTACAAGATTGATATTTGTAACTCACGTTACAAAAAAACTGACATGGCAAACATTTAAATACAGCTGCGTTTGAAAATGTCCTCATACTTTGCACCACTGTAAGAATCTTTTCAGAGGCCGTACATCATTAGGGTGTATTAGCAATTTCTAGATCCCACACCCATTTTTTGAAACTATACTGGTACATGAGTCTGGAGAGCTGAACATTGATAACACATACCAACTACCAGTAGTGGAAAGCGGTGAGCAAAAACATATATGTTTTCACAGGCAGCCATGTTGCCCTACAGAAGAAACCTTTATAAATGCAAGACTTTATTCTAAACAAATTAACTTTTGTTCAAAAAAGTGAGGGGAAAGTGGCCAAGAATCTCCTCAAATTGTACTATAGAAATTCTATAATCCTGGGATATGTTATGCATTAAAACAAAATTGTAAATGAATGAAATGGTTTGTTTCAGTGAAAAAAAAATACAGCAGCTAGTTGCAAAACCCAATTATAAAAAAAAAAATATATACATGTATCCAAGGCACAAAATCAATCAAAGTAACTTTTCCTTGTATGCATAAGGCAAAATAAAAAACAAAACATGTTTAGCGTCCCTGCCTGCTTCCTTTTTGGAGGCCACCTCTTCTTTTTTTTTAAACCCCCCAAAAATGATAAATTTTCAAAAGTGATATTTCCTTTGTTATTGCGTATCCCGCGTTACTTGCAGCCCAGCTAGTAAACTGACTTGTGATTTAATTGTGAATGGCCATGTGGCGAACTTGTCACCAACTCAACTAAAACACTGCCTGCTGTCGCTAGTACTGCTCTCAATTTGTTATAACAGTAGGACAGAAGTAGACCAGAAACCAGACTATTCCCCTGGTACTTATATTACCAAGTGTCAGGGAAATACGGCAAATGCAGAAATTCTGTACAGCACGACTAACTTCTGGCAACATGAAAATTTGCAGCCAGTGTCCTCAAATAATAATTTGTATATGGCGGGAGCTGTGTGTGATTCCCACACCCTGGTTCTAATGCTGTTTTTCTTGTATAATCATATATGTCAACTTCCATTCTTTGAAACATGTAACATCCATCAACAAAGTCATGTTCTGGGAGGCAAAGTGGAAAATGGTTTCTTATGGTAACATTTAATATTACATGTACATCAATAAAGGGTCATTTTGCACACTTTTAAGAGAGCCTCCAAAAACTTAATTGGACTTAAAAACAAATAATGAAGTGAAATCTATCTATGAAATATTGACGACTGGTTCCTTTATTGAAATAATCGGAAGTGTATATTTACATCCAAATTCAGCACAGTCTGGGCCTGTGGTTGGTGTGCCTGTGGTTGGTGGGCCGGTGGTTGGTGAGCCTGTGGTTGGTGGGTCGGTGGTTGGTGGGTCGGTGGTTGGTGGGCCTGTGGTTGGTGGGTCGGTGGTTGGTGGGTCGGTGGTTGGTGGGCCTGTGGTTGGTGGGTCGGTGGTTGGTGGGCCTGTGGTTGGTGGGCCTGTGGTTGGTGGGTCGGTGGTTGGTAGGTCGGTGGTTGGTGGGCCGGTGGTTGGTGGGCCTGTGGTTGGTGGGTCGGTGGTTGGTGGGTCGGTGGTTGGTGGGCCGGTGGTTGGTGGGCTTGTGGTTGGTGGGTCGGTGGTTGGTGGGTCGGTGGTTGGTGGGTCGGTGGTTGGTGGGGGGGTGGTTGGTGGGTCGGTGGTTGGTGGGTCGGTGGTTGGTGGGGGGGTGGTTGGTGGGTCGGTGGTTGGTGGGCCTGTGGTTGGTGGGCCTGTGGTTGGTGGGTCGGTGGTTGGTGGGCCTGTGGTTGGTGGGTCGGTGGTTGGTGGGTCGGTGGTTGGTGGGTCGGTGGTTGGTGGGGGGGTGGTTGGTGGGGGGGTGGTTGGTGGGTCGGTGGTTGGTGGGCCGGTGGTTGGTGGGCCGGTGGTTGGTGGGCCTGTGGTTGGTGGGCCTGTGGTTGGTGGGTCGGTGGTTGGTGGGTCGGTAGTTGGTGGGGGGGTGGTTGGTGGGCCTGTGGTTGGTGGGCCGGTGGTTGGTGGGTCGGTGGTTAGTGGGTCGGTGGTTGGTGGGCCGGTGGTTGGTGGGTCGGTGCTTGGTGGGTCGGTGGTTGGTGGAGGGGTGGTTGGTGGGTCGGTGGTTGGTGGGGGGGTGGTTGGTGGGCGGGTGGTTGGTGGGCCTGTGGTTGGTGGGCTTGTGGTTGGTGGGCCTGTGGTTGGTGGGCCGGTGGTTGGTGGGCCGGTGGTTGGTGGGCCTGTGGTTTGTGGGCCTGTGGTTGGTGGGCCAGTGGTTGGTGGGCCTGTGGTTGATTGGCCTGTGGTTGATTGGCCTGTGGTTGATGGGCCTGTGGTTGATGTGCCTGGGCCTGTGGTTGATGGGCCTGTGGTTGATGTGACTGGGCCTGTGGTTGATGTACATGTAAGCATTGTTCAAAGACAGAAATGGCAGACAATGTTCTTGAACTTTTAGTAAACCAGTAATCTTTATGTGGTCCAAACCAATATGCAAAACTATCCACTGCGTATTTGAATGTATCCAAAGTTATTGGATGCGAGTATTAGTCTCGGAGACGAATTATCGCAAGTTGAATTCCAACGTATATTTGCGCGCCGACCACGCCTGACACTCATGCGAAGACGCGGTGGCTATAACTTTGCATATTTTGGAAGTCGTGCATACTTCACACGCGAACCAATACAATACAGTACGCGCACACTGTGTCCCGACCACGGAGCTCTCAAAAGAGGTAAAAACGCGCCCTCTTTTGTTGGCGCACAGAGCCCATTGCTCCCCTGTCAGATATGATACACATTTGAACTAGCATAAAGGGGCATGGCAGGCAATCACCAAGGAGAAATAATGGAACGTCTAAAAAGTTGGAATGCTTAATGGAACGTTCCACTGGAGAACATCGCCTGTTCCAATTGGGAATATGCATTGTTCCCACTGCCCAGAGATGCCCAGTGACATTGGTCCATGCGTGTGCACGCTTACTCAGAAACGGCCCTCCAGTCGGCAACACGCTGGAAACACAGCACTTTCCAAAAAGGAACGTTCCCTACAAGCATGGAACTGGGAAGTTATTACAAAGAGGCCAACCAAATGAAATTTTGTTGATTTGGTAATAAGCTTATTATTCCCACCGGGAAGATGTGAATTCAATATTGGGTTTTACCCTTCACCGACATATTTTATAAACACTGTACACCAAGTGCTCCCCCGAGTGATTGTGGGGAAAAAATGTTTCATTGCAGTACCTGCTGCTATATCTGATTCTAAAAGCCAGCCGACCCCGGCAAGCTCGGTGATCGAGTGGTAAGACATCAGCGCTAGTGAGCAGAAGGTTGTGGGTTCAAGTCCCACCAGAGTGGTTTTGTCTCGCAATCACTCAGGGGCATTATAGAGTGTTTATAAAATTATATAAGGGAAGGGCTATACTCAATATTGTAACTCATGTTACAATGCATTTGAATTCCCTCATACTGTGCACTGTTGGAAGAACCTTTTCAGAGCCCTTACATCACAGGTTATCATGGTTATATGTATGCTACTATAGCAATTATTACTGTACCTGACCAAGATCGTCTCTCTGTGTCTGGCCCAAACTTTATAAAATGCAAGACTATATTTAAAACAAATGAACTAACTTTGCGTATAATTTTCAAAACCTTTGCTCAAAACAGTCAGGGGAAAGTGGCCAGCAATTGCCTCAGAATCCAAAATTTTTCAAGGGGCTCTTGTGCCGGCCCCGGACTGTAACAGCTTCAAGTTCATCACTCACATTAATAAGTCCTTCCGCAGCAAATACCACTACACTAACATTTCACCATGGCTAGAGCAGCATGTGTCACACTGATATATTGAATAACAACAACACGTTTGCATTTGTCACATGGGTTACATCTCAACATCTGTTTGTGTGAATACATCCATCTTACCTGTGACGTTGAATGTGAAGTTTGCAGAGGCCGTGCAACCACCATCATTGGTAACTGTGCAAGTCACAGTGTGAAGTCCAACTGGAAAGTCTCCTCCTGTGGTAGTCACAGCAGTTCCCCCTGCATCATCTGTACATGTTATTGGTTGACCATCAGTGTTGGTTGCATTGACTTCATCCCAAGTCACTGCAAGACTGGCTTGGCCAGCTTCAATGTACTGATCTTCAACAAACGGCACCATGAACCAGGGATATACTGTTGGTTTAAAACAAAAAAATAATATCAATATAAAAATAAAGGTACATTTGTAATTTGAAGTAACTCAAGTGTAAATGCAGCCGGCCCAATTGGGATTAGAATGCCAGGATACCAATATTCAGACTAAGTAGGATATAATAATTTCGTCGGTCGCACCACGAACCGGCGTATCTCGATTTTTTGCCAAATTGAGTTTTTGTCATTAACGTTATTATTTCATCACAGTACTCATTCTCAGAAAGTTTTATTCCAAACGGAGCTCTAATTAACTAAGAACGCTAATTAGACTGTGTGGCATATCTCTAAAAAAAGAAAAATGCTGCACCACAAAGTGGCGTTTCCCGATACGGCACTTTACACGCTAATTCCCATAGTGCTATGACGTCACAAAGGAGCGTCGACATGAACAATTAGAATTTAGCATTTCACGAACCGACGTATCTCCGTATTTGGCACACGGCCACTATTACGCGCGTTGTATAACATATGATAAACATGATAAAAATCTGTTTCACGAAGTGACGAATAACTGTGGAGCTGAATTTCAGATGCACACGGATTGCATACAATAAAGTTCAATCTATAATTTACTAGCAAAAACGAAACAGCTTGAGTTCTTAAACAGGGAGTATATGGAATGCGCCTACAAAATATTGACCGACTTAAAATCAGTTTTTCTCGAAACACAAAAAAATGCGATACGTCGGTTCGTGGTGTATTGCAATGGCATGATAAAGACTAAAAAGATAATCACCAGATCTAAAGAAAGTTTATAAACTTTATATTTACAAAAGCAATAAGAGTGTACAATGAACTTGTCATTATCCAGATTTTGTTCTTTCATCAAACAAATGACGGAAAAAAAGAAACTATGGGTCCAGACTGCATTAACTGGTTTAGACCCTCACTCGCCATAAGATATTACATTTTTGCTATATAGTTATATTTTCTCAAATTGGCAATCATAAGACAAAAAAAATATCAGTGCCTTATAGCAATATATACTAGAGATTCACGTTTGTTCAGTTACAAACGCAGAATGATTGGGCTTGCAAATATTTCACGGGACATTTTCCAGCTATTCAAGTTGATTTGTTTTGGTCAGAACACCAAAAGAATCACAAATTCTGCTTTTCCAGTGGAACAATTGTTTTTAATTTGAGTTAAAATGCATCACTTGGGGTTCAAAACAAGTTCAGATCACATTTTATTTACACGTACACGAAAAAAAAAACCACCTTAATTACTGTTTGATGACGTCATCGGTTACAATGTGCAAAATAAATATTGATTAAGATCAGAAATGATAGTTGTTCATAAAGAAGTGAAAGGAACTCAAAAAAATATTGAAATTATAATGGATCTCAGTTATATTGATAACACCTCAGTTCCAGATGGATGATGTCACAACATTTGAAAGCCCAAGTCATAAGACACATAAGATCAAATGATGATCTTGAATTTAAAAAAAGGAAAACTGATCATTTCTAAATTCTCCCTACATTAACTTTCGGTCCGATGACGTAAGGAAACCTTGCAAAGTCATTCAGCGCTTGTCATATTAATATCTAGGGGCAATCTTGCAGCATTTTGAAGGATGTTTTTTAAATTACAAAAGGTCAATAACTTTTATGTGCCGCTAGAGGACGCTCTTTTAGGTGATGACTTCATCATGATGTTTTTTTGTGTTTTGCATGCCACATTACTAAAATGCCTCCGTTTTCATATTATATTTTCATTGCACTTCCAGGAACTGACTTTGTGCCTGGATATTCAAAATATTGTCTGAGGCAATGTCTAACTGATCACAAATCATGATACGTACGTACTCCATTCATTTGAATAGTTACATTTAAAAGTAATTTTTCAAATTTTGACCTTAAATCCAGTACTCAGATACCTGGTGACATCATGATGACGTCATAAAATTGTTCACATCTTCAGACAAGGGTTCAGGATCATTCCAGAATAAAAGACAATTTACTTGAAGAATTCTAAAACAGTGATAGGGTTTGTCTGATAACTCAAATAGTTCTTACCTATCACATGGAAGGAGAAGTATGCTACAAGTTTGCCACCAGATGGGCAAATAGCACTGCAACAGACGTTGTAATGTCCTACTCCAAATAGGCCTCCTGTCAGACCCACTTGCACGATGACTCCATTTATAGTTACCGTACAATTGATATCCTCATTGGGAATGTTGGTTGCATTGACTTTATCCCATGCTACCCAAACATCTCCTTGAGATTCATCAATGCAACGATCTTCAACAACTGGCACTGTTGAGAGTTAATTAAAAGCAAAACATTTAATTTGATGGCCTCAGCTGAAGACAAATGGAAAGCACTGAGTAAAGGGTCCATACAATGTAATTTTTTTCATTCCATCCTTGTGTCCCATTTAACCTTATTTTTAATTCTTATTTTGCCATTTTCAACAATATCTTGGTGCCTTTTTGGTTTTCAAGCTAATGCAAGTTTACATATTCCTAAGCAAAAGTGTGATGTCATTTTAGGCGGATGCCTAAATGCTACAGTTATTTTAGCACCAAAAGTTGCCACAATTTGGAATATTTTGGTGTCATAAATTGTGAGGCATTCTGACAAAATCAGACAGAACTTGCAGAAGTCGAAATGAGGGTTTGCAAGTAACATTTTAATTTTTTGACCAATAGTATTTGTTGCACTTTAATTGGCCATTCTGTTGACAAGTTATGGCTGTATAAAGTTCGCCATTATCGACATATCAAAAAAGCAAAACATGTTCGTGAAAATGGAAGATGCCAATTGTTTTTCCTGAAAAACGATTATATTCCAAGATTTTTTTTTATAATTTCTTTTAAAACAAGTGTAGTAGACATATCAAGGATAACATATAGTAAATCTGAAAATCGAAATAAGTCACCTCATTCAGCTCTTTTAATTTTCACCACTACGGACTGTGCCCTGTTCCGTCTCATTTTGCCAGAATGCCTCAAAAGTTTCTTGTCTTTGGTGATTTTTTGAGTCAGTATATGGCAGTAGGCCAAGGAGCAAATGTTTCTCACAAATGTTTTCGGTGAAAACTGTTTTGGGTTCACAATTTGAACAGAAAATCCCCAAACTTAACAATGTCTTCCTGAAATAACATCACAGCAACAGCACCCTCAGCTTTCCAGAAAAAAAATGGAATATTTTGAATGTCTAATAAACTGCACTTTTCAATAAAATTCACAAGTGATCGGATGAGTATATATATATATTTACCTTCAAGAGAACATGGATCCAAAGTGGTTATGCCAGTGCTTGAGGTTGAAGTGAGAACTGTTCAAAGACAAAAATGGTAGAAACTTTTCCTGAACTTTAAACACACCGTGTACATCTAATCTCTATGATACCGTCCAAACAAATCTGAATATAATTGGTTTGTTTGGAGAGATAAAAAATTATGTCAGCAAATTGAAAAATCATATCAATAAAAGAGAGACATCTCCCCCCAAAAAAATCATATTCAAACTAAATGTGCACTGCATATACAATTTTAACAACTTTGCAAACAACATTATAAATTTGGAAAGGAAGAAGTGAGTATTATACCTATGTCTAATGTTGTCATGGAAGTTTCGCTTGGGCCTTCGGGGGTTGACTGTGGGCCTTCGGTGGTTGACTGTGGGCCTTCAGTGGTTGACTGTGGGCCTTCAGTGGTTGACTGTGGGCCTTCGGTGGTTGACTGTGGGCCTTCGGTGGTTGACTGTGGGCCTTCAGTGGTTGACTGTGGGCCTTCGGTGGTTGACTGTGGGCCTTCGGTGGTTGACTGTGGGCCTTCGGTGGTTGACTGTGGGCCTTCGGGGGTTGACTGTGGGCCTTCGGTGGTTGACTGTGGGCCTTCAGTGGTTGACTGTGGGCCTTCGGTGGTTGACTGTGGGCCTTCAGTGGTTGACTGTGGGCCTTCGGTGGTTGACTGTGGGCCTTCAGTGGTTGACTGTGGGCCTTCGGGGGTTGACTGTGGGCCTTCAGTGGTTGACTGTGGGCCTTCGGTGGTTGACTCTGTGCCATTGGTGGTTGACTCTGTGACTCCAGTGGTTGACTGTGGGCCATCGGTGGTTGACTCTGTGCCATTGGTGGTTGATTCTGGGACTCCAGTGGTTGACTGTGGGCCTTCGGTGGTTGACTCTGTGCCATTGGTGGTTGATTCTGGGACTCCAGGGGTTGACTGTGGGCCTTCGGTGGTTGACTCTGTGCCATTGGTGGTTGATTCTGGGACTCCAGTGGTTGACTGTGGGCCTTCGGTGGTTGACTCTGTGCCATTGGTGGTTGACTCTGTGACTCCAGTGGTTGACTGTGGGCCATCGGTGGTTGACTCTGTGCCATTGGTGGTTGACTCTGTGACTCCAGTGGTTGACTGTGGGCCTTCTGTGGTTGACTCTGTGCCATTGGTGGTTGATTCTGGGACTCCAGTGGTTGACTGTGGGCCTTCGGTGGTTGACTCTGTGCCATTGGTGGTTGATTCTGTGACACCAGTGGTTGACTGTGGGCCTTCGGGGGTTGACTGTGGGCCTTCAGTGGTTGACTGTGGGCCTTCGGTGGTTGACTCTGTGCCATTGGTGGTTGACTCTGTGACTCCAGTGGTTGACTGTGGGCCATCGGTGGTTGACTCTGTGCCATTGGTGGTTGATTCTGGGACTCCAGTGGTTGACTGTGGGCCTTCGGTGGTTGACTCTGTGCCATTGGTGGTTGATTCTGTGACTCCAGGGGTTGACTGTGGGCCTTCGGTGGTTGACTCTGTGCCATTGGTGGTTGATTCTGGGACTCCAGTGGTTGACTGTGGGCCTTCGGTGGTTGACTCTGTGCCATTGGTGGTTGACTCTGTGACTCCAGTGGTTGACTGTGGGCCATCGGTGGTTGACTCTGTGCCATTGGTGGTTGATTCTGGGACTCCAGTGGTTGACTGTGGGCCTTCGGTGGTTGACTCTGTGCCATTGGCGGTTGATTCTGTGACTCCAGGGGTTGACTGTGGGCCTTCGGTGGTTGACTCTGTGCCATTGGTGGTTGATTCTGTGACTCCAGTGGTTGACTGTGGGCCTTCGGTGGTTGACTCTGTGCCATTGGTGGTTGACTCTGTGACTCCAGTGGTTGACTGTGGGCCTTCGGTGGTTGACTCTGTGCCATTGGTGGTTGACTCTGTGACTCCAGTGGTTGACTGTGGGCCTTCTGTGGTTGACTCTGTGCCATTGGTGGTTGATTCTGGGACTCCAGTGGTTGACTGTGGGCCTTCGGTGGTTGACTCTGTGCCATTGGCGGTTGATTCTGTGACACCAGTGGTTGACTGTGGGCCTTCGGTGGTTGACTCTGTGCCATTGGTGGTTGATTCTGGGACTCCAGTGCTTGACTGTGGGCCTTCGGTGGTTGACCCTGTGACAAATTTAAATATGCATGTACATGTATATGGAAATTGAGTTAGGATAGATTCAGGACTTCAATGAAAAACAAAGCTCTAATTTGATGGCCTTATATGAAGCTACACAGAAAGCACTGTTTGCAATATGTACATACAAAAATGAATGTGCTACGACACCACAAAAAAATGTTAATCAATTCGACAGCTGCCAATTCGTTTTTTATTTTACAGTATTATTACCAAAGTGTAATGATGTAAATATGACCGAACACGTATGTTGCCTAACTGGAAACCAGTTTGTTTTTAAAGCAAGTTGAAAAAAACATTTCACACCAGGCTAATGTCAATGTTTGATTATACAAAAAGCATCCAGATTACTGCAAGTCTGTTGACAGACAGAATTGGGCTTCCAAATTCTGACATAAAGGGTATACTTTGTACAAAACACGGGAAAGTATTCCTGATGTTACCACCTGATGTTAGTTACAGGCAACATAAAGCCTTGTCATGCTTGTTCAAGACTGTGCATTAATTGATGTGCATAATGAATGGGACCGACGTTCCTCTTAATACAACATTCTGATGTAATAAACATTTTTGCTAGGTCCTACTGAGTTAATACCGTACTAGGTATTATCAAGAAACGAGAGTCAGCTGTATATTGACAAATGTTTAGATTGCTGTGGCGGTGGAGGTCTCTATCAGCAAGATGAATCAAATCCAGTCTGGTGCTCATCAAACAAAAGAGGGCGCGCTTTTACCACTTCTGAGAATCCCTTGGATGGGACACTGTGTGTGCACACTGTAATTCGCGCACAATTTTTTTATCCTGAATGTGCACAAAGAAGCCAAGCCACTGAATCTATTGCGCGTGAGCATCAGGCTATGTTGGTGCGCGAAAACGTTCGAATATGTTCAAATTAAACTTGCGATAGTCTCGCAGACTAATCCCCAACTCCAATAACTTTGGATTATTGGAAATACGCAGTGAATGGATCAGAAACCAGTCTAGGTCTCCCCCAACTCTCCTTTTCTGGCCGTTGATGGGGTACTTGTGCACAGAGACCACTGGCAAAGCTACCAAGGAAATTCCGAGCGTACTGGTACCTTACGCGTGCTGTATGCAAGCTAATGCATGCATGTGAGGTATGCTCTGATTTCCCGGGGTAGCACTGCCAATATTGCCAAGACTGGATTGGATTAATCTTGTTGGTAGCAACCTCGCTTGCCATGGACCAGAAGAGTAATAAAATCCAAATCCAGTTTTGGATCAAGACTACACTTTAATACACTATATCAGAGGTGACAGAGAGAGCTAGGTATCATCTCATTTTGGTAAGATCTTGAATTAAAAGCCAGATTTATCAAAACAACCAAGCCAATATCAGCAACACACTTCATTTTTAAGTGTCTGCATTTAAATTTGCAGCCCCACGGTAATGGGGAAACAAACAAACAAGTAAACTTAACTGAGAATGCATAAAAAAAAACAGAAAACAGCACTGTTCCTACAACCTTTCTCTTTCTCAATGATGAGTAAAAAAAAAAAAAATTGAACAATGACTGAAAACAAAAGACACTTGCCAGAGTTCTTAGCAAGTCCTCAACATCAAGTCTCAAGTCAAGTCCCAAGTATTCAACAGCAAGTATCTGTATCTGTATAACTATTATTATGGTTGGCAAAGCATCCCAGGGGATACATCACACCGACTTAGAGAGAAGACAATGAGAAGAAATTACAGTTTTATAGGTGCTAGGATCAGCCTAGAAGATATTCAGGGGAAAACCCACGGAATCAGATAGGGCCTGAAAACCCAATCCACATATTGGCCCAGGCGGGATTCGAACCCGGGTCACAGCAGTGGAAGGCGAGGAAAGTACAGCTACACCAACCTGACTCCCAAAGTATCAAGTCAAGTCCCAAGTCTTCAATTGCAAGTGTCAAGTCAGATCCCAAGACCTAAATCAACACCTGATGAGTCATCAATAGTATCATGTATGTACGTTTTATACATTCACATGAACTGTTTATTGACATTTCTTCATGCTAAGTCACTCATGCTCAGATATAATCCAACTGGCTGTTAGTGGGCGTGGCTTAAGTCACTACCTACCAATGCTACATGTTGATTGGTTAATGCATCCCCCATTCTTTGGTAAATGCTGTGCATTTATTGTATGGGGATCATATTGGCCTACATAAGGCAAAGTGGTAAAGTGGTAACACCATTTCTTCGCTTGTATTGGGTGGAACCAAAGATGATCATGTGTTTGCTGTATATGTCTATGATTAAATTGTTGCTAATTAAAGGTGTAGTCTCCACCAAAGCCACCGGTCAGCCATCTGAATCCTGAGTGAAAAGTTTGCACTGTGATTTTCAGCTTCAATGTCGTTAATATAAGTACCACGTACACGACAACACGCTCAACACCTCAATCATACTGGCGTCAATGCACAAAACTTCGAAGAAGAAATCAATCACTGCTATTTGGTCACGTGAACGTGGAAATTTAAATTTCCACGTGGTTATTGGCCCTAGACCCCGAGAGAGCGGTCAAGCTACATCGGCGGTAGAGGGCGCTATAGATAAGATGGTGCGGGCGCACTAAATAATAATATCGAAAGTATTCGGAACAGGCTACACCGGAAGAGAAAACTTTTTGTTTCTAAATCAAAAAAGAGGGCCTCCTCTTTTATCGAGAAATCGCAACGCCTACTTACTTATGTTCATATTCATCTCACAAAAGTTGATTCGAAAACTATGAGCAAAATGCCCAAAAAGGAAAAAAAAAGGAAAGAAAAATGTCCAAACGGGGTAAGGGACAAAGAAAGTGCAAACACATCAGTCTCGGTCTCTGCCGCGGTGGTAAGCATTGAAATTGATATGCATGGATGATTGCTGCGCTTGCGTTTTGCATTTTATTTGTTGTTTTTTCAAGCACATTGTTGGTATGTGAGGGGGTGAAACTTTTAGAAACGAGTTCAATGGATAACCCAGATACGCCCAGAGAGAACTTTTCGCCGTGTTTCTGAGCCGATCTCACGCTTTATTTGGAATATCATTGTGTAGATTACACAATTTACAGGCTTGGGCAAGCGAGGCATTTCGGTAGATGGGAATCGTTGAGCATGCGCACCGATAGCAGGGGCGGGGTTTAGAAGAATTAGGGGGCATAGGAATTATTAGCAGCATCGTATAAGAGTTTACAAGACGGAAATGGTTAATGCCAATTGTTGATTTAAAATGCCATGGTCCAGTGGTTACGGTGTTTGACTCATGTACGACGGTGCGTGGTTTCGAACCCTGCCCTTGGGCAAGACATTCAACTTTGCCTCTATCTCTCCACATAGGAGTATTGTTGATACGATGGAAAGCGCTATATAACCTAGGCTAAGCATTACAATTTAATTTGTAATTTTACTTATTCTCGAAAGTGCAAATCAGGCCTGGTGCAAATGAAGTTGAACGTAAGGTGGGGGGGGGGGGTCTTGTGAAAAGAAAATATTCATGATGCCTTAGACTGGTCAATATCGGGCCTTTTACAATCACTGAGGGAGGATCGGAGGATATCAGGAGGATACATTTCACATGAATATTCAGTGTACATGTAATAATCTAAAATGAATATTCATATCATAAACACGGGGTACATTATGATATTCTATATTGCTTAGAAATAGCTTTTTTGATGACTATTAATACTAGCATACGTGGAGCGGCCGCGTGACGCGTATAACTCCAAAGTTTCGGCATCGCGTGAGGGGAAATTATGCGTATAATGTCAAATGCATGAACGAAGCACAAAGGCCTCGTGTGCCCACACTGTCTCATGAAGTTCGATCACCTACACTTTTGGCGTCGTAAATACTGTAAAATGGTTTGTGCTGATGTGACGGATGAATGAATGCGATCTTTTGTGGTACATAACCGAAGCTATTCCCGCCGGAGGACGGAACCTCACTAAAACTCGCTGGTTATTTGTTCAAATTTCAATCGAGTTCAAAGTTTATTCCGGTAACACCCAAAAAAGCATTATGCTCGCATAATGCATTCTCCGATGGGAAAAAAATGTGGGAAGTCAACTAGTATAAGCGGGGCTTGCAAAAATAATTGACTTCAGAACCAACAAATTTATCTGAACAGTTTACGCCCCGTGTATTCGACATGGAAATTATAGTACCGAAAACGCCTCAAACTAGTTGATTGAATTATGAACTGAAAACGAATGCGAAGAACACAAGAGCAATTAAAAAATTGAGTTAAAACTGTCCATCTAACGCAAGCAGCTAGCTATATCGCACCATCGATTACTTTAGGTTTGGCATAGACTTTTGAGCATTTTGTGAGCTATTTAAATTATTTTCTGATACTGTACATGCACAGAATGACGTTGATAATCGAAGCAGTAAAAAACGCATACGGATCCAACCAAATTGACGGGGTGGGAATGGAGGGCTTGCCCTATTTCCACGTTGCACTTAAATCAGATTGGCTTCACCTTCCTTACTTGTAACACTATTCAACGTGTGATTGTTGTAAAGACATTTATGTCATTATCAATGATTATTCTATTTAACTTTTAAGCATTGCAATGTCAAAAATGAAATTGGGCAGATTCAGATTATTGGTTCAATGTTCTGAAGTAGCAAGCAGCCAGGGGGGGCACTTGCCCCCCCCCCCCCCTGGAAAAGCAAAAAAAAAAAAAAGAAGAAGAAGAAGAAAAAGAAAAGAGAAAAAAGAAAAGAAAAAGAGGCGCGAAGACAAAGTGGTGTAAATTTAATGAGTTGGGTGGGGGGGGGGCAAAATGTCCCTTCCCCCCTCTAAAACTGATAAATCGAGAATATGTTGAGAAATGCAAGCATTTTTGGCCAATTTTTTTTTTGCCCCCCTCTAGAAAAAATCCTAGCGACGCCCATGATCTCAACACCCCAACACCCCCTCCCCCAATTCAGCGGCTGACTAATGGTATGAAGCTATAGTAAAATCGGGCCGAAATAATAAATGGAATGTTAAGTTCCTTAAATTATTCTCAAATTGCAGATGAAAGCATCATAGGTTCCAAGTTTTCGGGAGGGTGGGGGATCTCCGGACTCCCTACCAAGGCGTCCTTTCGACACCATTCACTCACCCCCTTCCTGTTTCATGATAGATCCGCCCCTAAAAACGCTAAACTGCATGACTGACTATAAGCAGGAAGGTAATGTACCAGACCATCTGTCAAACTGTCCCGCTTGATACAGAGTCAGTCTCCTGACAAACCGAGAGATAAAACCTCCAACTCTCAAATTTCCCCCTTTTTAATCTCCAACAACAACATTCAATGGAACACAGTTGGAAATCCAATAGCATCTAATACAGCTCACGGTGTAACCCAGAAACGCCCAAATATTAATAGTCTGTCACTACACCGTGACCGGTTTCTAAAACTTGGATCCGGGATTATATTCAGATTGACACAACAAAGTATGAATGCCATAAGACTGCCCTGGAAACGAAATATTTCAGTTGGTTTATACAAATGTATAATTGGAAATTTGTCCAGGGGTCAGGTTGTGCACGCTGTCTCGCTCTAGAAATTGTCCTGCGAGCAATAATTAGCTTAGTCTGAGTATCACCCGTTATCCACGGAGCCAAGGCCGTGTCCGAAACGGGCTTCCAGAGCTACAGCTACGTCTATTGTCAGCGCGTCCCCGCGTATTTTCAATGGGCGCGGACCTAGACCTAGCTCTAGACAGTAAGGATGCAGCCTAAACTTAGTCCTGTACAACGTATGATTTGTCTTGACATACAGAATACAATGTATGTACGCCGCGCGCCAGCCAATCGGATTCGACTTTACTACATCGTGACGTCATTTCATTTTTAAATCTGGACTAAAATTTGGTTAGATTGGTCAATTCGAATGCAGTGTTTTGTAATACAACAGCCGGGCGCGATATCGCGTAACATAATTAATACAGAGCGCGTGACACATTGTGTGACGCGCAACTGGTGAATGACCGAAGACCCGATATAGAAAGCACCCGCGATTGGTCAAACTCTAGGCGGTCAAGAGGCGGGGTCTTGCCTAATTAATCAGCGAATCTGTTCATGCATAATAGACTTATGGCTTTCGCCATTACATAGACTATAATTAGCTCTACTCCGTAATAACATAATTTGAATGTTAAGTTCCTTAAATTATTCTCAAATTGCCTCAGAATGCAGAAGCAAGCATCTTAGGTTTTAACGTTTCATCCCCGGACTCCCTAGCAAGGCGTACCTTCGGCACGCATTCACTCACCCCCCCCCCCAACCCCCCGTTCCATGACAGCTAGATCCGCTCCTGAAACGCTTTATTAATTTATTTATCATACGAAACTGACCGACTATAAGCACAACGGTAATGTACCAGCACCGTTTGATACGGAGTCAGGCTAAGACAAGAGTCAGTCACAAACCGAGAGATACATTCTCCTCTCAGAGAAAAATTGCGTTCAATATTCCAATGAAAATACAGTCTTCAATTGCAGGTGCAAACACATTAGTTTATTGATTTTTAATTTGTTTTAATTTCTTTTGGTAATGAAACGGAAGGAACTAGTAAAAGACAATGAAAAAATAAGGAACTTCCATTTGAAGAGGTGGGAGGGGCAAAATTATAAGGTAAATCCGCGGGATCAGGTAGGAGCAGACAACCCACGCGCGGCTTGGTGGGGAATCTAACTCGAGTCACACACTGGGCTGGAAGGGTACCATGAAAAGTACCATGCACGGGGCTAAGCTATCAGACTTCCTTTCCAGAATCGGGCTTAAACAATGTCGGGCAACAAAATACATGTACAAGCGTTCTTAGAGAGGTTCCCCTTTTTTCAAAAAAAAAATATTTAGTTGAGAAAATGAAAACTCAGTCCACGGCAGCCAGAGAGTTTAGGGGCCGCTCAGGCTCCCATCAGAGCAATGTAGGGTCTATGGTTTAGGTTACTTTGTTCTTGCCAAAATGTACCCCTTAAAATATCAACTCGTTTCGTTTTATAGCAACATCTATAGGTAAAAAGATCTTCACATCAATAAGTTCTGATTTCAAACGGGATTCCTTAAATCCTGAAATCAGGAAAATTCTTGACAAGTCTCACCTCTGCTTGCACGTCGAATGTTTACAATCTTACTGCATTGTATTTTTTGTTGAGCCCCTTCCATTGGACTTAAATGGAACATCAAATTTGATTTAAGTCCAATACGAATTAGCAAAGACCCGCTTTTATTTCGACATTCAAAAGTTGAGCTGCAAACATAGATGAAGTAGATTCAAAATTATCATTTGATTGGGGAAATGGAACTCTTCACAGAAAGTGGTGAGATTTGGCTCTGAAATTTCGCATTTTTAGCTGTTGATATTCTTCATTAAAATATGGGAAGAGTTACAGGGAGAATAGTTACAAAAATTGAGAATATAGAGTGACAAGTAAACCAACCGCGAAACAATCAAAACAGTTTGGAATTTATTTTCAGACTTGGACTATTTCTGGTGGATGTGTTCGAGCGGGAGAGTACGTCCGAGCGATTGAGCGAGTCCGAACGAGATCATGTGCTGCACTGGTCGAGTGATCGGGCCGGCAACTCGCCCTGTAGGACGCACCCTAACTCGCAAATGTTCGCACGAGTAGTATTTTTCTTGGAGGGTGGGGGGGGGGTTGACACTTCAAGTAAAAGCTGCTTGTTGACTTATTTTGTCTCTGAAACATAACTGATCTAATCTAAAAGAGGTCCCTAAAGGTCTCGGGGAAACGTCTTGGTTAAATCAGTGCATTCTACCATGGTGCACGCTGAAGTGAAAAGTGTTTTATCAAAAACTGTATCGTACAAGTTTTTTTCTCGACACGCTCTTAATATTTTACCAGCCAAATGCTGCATTTGGATTAAGACGGAGCCAGTGTATTACCCTATGATTAAGTCTAAATGCGGCCGGGTTATGAGAGCACGTTTTTACATGAGGAAGATCTATTCATAGCAAAAACACATACTGTATAATTATTTTATAAACAGAATCAGTTTGGAAATTGATTAGTATACGACACTCATTTAAGCTGCCGCTCTTATATACTACATGTAGGGCCTATTTCGTATTCGGATAATAAATCCACCCAGTTGTGCAGAACTGTCAAAACTTAATTTTCCTCCGACAAGATACTGCAATTGCGTTTGAAATCCATTAACTTGGACACGTTTGGTACTCAACGGAGCAGTTAAGTTTAGCGAATTTAAAACGATACTTTGTAACTAATAGTCGGAAATGGTTTTGAATATCACAACAAATGCACAACTTCATATTAAGTTTAAACTAAAAAAGCCAATTGATATAAAGGTAATAAACTTACAGTGTAATCCTTAACACATGGATTATCAAGTTACATAAATTATGGCAAGATGGATTTTTGTGATCGTGAGCAGTGGAACTTTTTTGTACGAAAACAAACGCATGTTGATATGACCACTATTCGCAAGTTTTGAACGAATTGTTTCATTCATTTGAATTTTTCTTAAATGTTAGCAATTTTCTTTGCATCTTGAACAATCGGTAAGACGAAAAACGATAAAGACGCGATTTTTCGAGTTTCACCTCGACAAATGGATTTTTTTTCAATGGCTAATTTGTTAGAATTATAAAAGTAATTCACGTTTGAAATAGACATCGAACGAAAAAAATCCAAATTTTAGTAATATTTCTTTACAATAATTCGGCTCTCGCTATATAATGCCCAAAATGAAAGCCCTTTTTCAGAGGGTGGCAGACGCCTAAAATCAGAATAATTTCTTTCTGTCGTTAAAACAAAACATACAAATTGAAAATTCGTTCGGAGGAATACAAATCCATTTTTAAGAGCATGGGGTGTAACTTTAAAGTCTCATACCTTGCACCGCAAAGACGTATTGGACAGCACACAGAACCACGACGGCCGCACAGACCACCTGCAGTGTGTTCCGGCTCAGATACATTGTACCAGCTCGCTTGATCAGCAAGTGCTGGTCTTCACGGTGAGATTCGAAAACCCCACTTCTCACGAGTTGAAATTTTGATCAAGAACTTCAAATTTTAGTTGTGGCCTTCGGAATCGACGGTTTCCAAATGCCTCGCACTCCCGAATCTGTGTTCTTATTAGGGCGAGAGTTCTCGACATTCATGGACGTGTTGATTGGTCCTTTGCCAAACACGTACTTTGTTAAACACTGCCGTTGTTATCACGCACTGACGCGTTCATTTTTTCCTGGTATCGTCGCACCTCTGAATTCAAGTTATGTATTTTAAGTCTTGTATTTCAGAGCTGAAAGGTCTCTTGAAAAAAATCTGATTTGTTTGGTTGCGAGTTAGCCCACGTCACGTACGTATATATATCCATGTACGTGCAAACGCGGAATGCATACGTACCATATCAATTGACGATTGTCTTTTAATACACTTTGGAACTTATTCAATAAATTCCCCGAATTCGCCCGTTTCATACTTGGTATTTATTAGTTTTTTTCTTTTTAATTTGTTCCGTGGAAATTTAAAAAAAAAATTCTCTCCCTTTCTTTATTTTCTTATTTTGGCACTCTCTTTTCCCTCCATATTTTTACACGGCAAAGGGGGGTGTTTAACAGTTTATAAAAACAGAGCTGTCGAAATTTCACAATAACATGTCTAATCTCGTGGCCGATTTGTGACGAAGCCCTGAAGATAAAGGTCGGGATTTGACCTCAGCAACAAGTGCGCTGCGGGCTGACTGTGTATGTGTGTATGTACAACGTACATGTACGTACATTGTGGACGTTCTGTGCATGTTTTAAAGCAGAGGCATTGTCAACCTGAAATTTTAAGCGTGCGCAAGGCGTGTCCAATTTCGCTTATTGCCACGAAAATTTGAAATGTTTTAGACCTACCCTTAAACCGACAATTAAAGTAAAAATTAATAATACAAACTGTCATGCTTGATTTTTCAGGAATTTGCAAAGGAAAAAAGGTCTTTTCATTATAACTTCCGGTCCGATGACGTCATCATTTTTTTTCGCGCACAGGTGTTGTCTGCATTGAGGTCATCATATACACCAATTTTGAAGTGATTACCGCAAACTTCGTCACAGACATCGACTGAAAATTCATTTTACACTTTTTCAACCTGCCCGTAGAGGGCGCTCTAACATGTTATGACGTCACCGGTGTTTTTTCGTAAAGTACAACCTAGACACAGACTATAACGTCGTTGCAAGCAAGTTCGCATCTTTTTTCAATTTTAAATTATAAGGCAATTCGAGTTACTTCCGGTTTAGACCGGAAGAAAGGGTCATGTGATTTTGCTCACACAAGATAAAATAACAGCGTTGCTGTTAAAACCCCTCAGCCAGAGTCAAGTTATCATCCGGAAACCATTAACTCAACATGGTGACCTTGACCTTTGACCCCAGAACCAGTCCCAACATGCCTGTACCGATGGGAAACCCCCTACTGAAGATAGACCCAAAATTTCATGTCTAACTCAAGTTATCATTCGGAACCATTTACATTTAACTCACCAAGGTGACCTTGACCTTTGACCTTTTGACCCCCAAACCAATCCCAACTTGCCTGTACCCAAGGGCAACCCCCTACCTAAGTGAAACACCAAAATCTCATTTCTAACTCAAGTTATCATCCGGAAACCATTTACATTTAACTCACCACGGTGGCCTTGACCTTTGACCTTTTGACCCCAAAACTAATCCCACCTTGCATACTACCAAGGGCAACCCTCTTCCAAAATTAGACACCAAAATCTCATTTCTAACTCAAGTTATCATCCGGAAACCATTTACATTTAACTCACCAAAGTGACCTTGACCTTTGACCTTTTGACCCCAAAACCACTCCCAACTTGCCTACTCCCAAGGGCAACCCCCTACCAAAATTAGACATCAAAATCTCATTTCTAACTCAAGTTATCATCCGGAAACCATTCACCTTTAACTCACCATGGTGACCTTGGCCTTTGACCTTTTGACCCCAAAACCAATCCCAACTTGCCTACTCCCAAGGGCAACCCTCTACCAAAGTTAGACACCAAAATCTCATTTCTAACTCAAGTTATCTTCCGGAAACCATTTACATTTAACTCACCACGGTGACCTTGACCTTTGACCTTTTGACCCCAAAACTAATCCCAACTTGCCTATTCCCAAGGGCAACCCCCTTCCAAAGTTAGACATCAAAATCTCATTTATAACTCAAGTTATCATCTGGAAACCATTTACCTTTAACTCACCACGGTGACCTTGACCTTTGACCTTTTGACCTCAAAACCAATCCCAACTTGCCTACTCCTAAAGTTACAACCCCAAAGAACATTTCTAACTCAAATTATCATCCGGAAACCATTTACCTTTAACTCACCATGGTGACCTTGACCTTTGACCCCAAAACCAATCCCAACTTGCCTACTCCCAAGGGCAACCCCCTACTGAAGTTACAATCCCAAAGAACCTTTCTAACTCAAGTTATCATCCGGAAACTAAGCTGCCCGGACGGACACACTGACATACATACGGACGGACGCCCTAGGCGATGACAATACCCCTCAAGCCTCTCGGCTGAGGGGTAAAAATGAAGATCCTGGATTATTCTATCAATTCCTGCAAACATCAAGTTCGGGTCTCTCACGGCTGATTTATACTGATTTCCAAAGATTTAATCTATTAACCTTTAACGTGACGTCACGTGACCTACGATAACGTCACGATGACGTCACTCTTCGGGACACAACTATGCTAAAAGGATTATGCCTATGCTGACTTTGAATGATGTACGACAAAGATTAATGCCAAAAGTGGCGTTGAGAAAAAACGTGTACAAAGTCTATGGGGTTTAGGCGACAAAAAGAAGAAGAGGAAGAAGAAGAAAGAAAAATCTTAACAAAAAGAAACGCTTTTCCGCTTCTATACGGAAAAGCCAAAAATCAGAACAAAAAGAAAGGCTTTTTTGCAAATTTGCAAAAAAGCCAAAAATGAGACCAAAAAGAAAGGCTTTTCCGCCACTATGCGGAAAAACCAAAAAAAATAGTAATCTTAACGAAAACAAGAGCTGTTTCGAAACAGCTTATTATCACTTACCTGTGGTGGCTGAATTTGGAGTGGTGGTTGGGCATAAGGCATTCGCTATGATGAGGGTATCTGTACAATAATTACACAATTAAAATTAACTCTCCATCACTGGATTGTTATTTAACATTTTATCTCAATCATCCACCGCCATATTAAGATGTTTTCACATCATTTTAAATGTAATGTGCACTTTAATGTGAGAACGGAAAATTGTTCTTTTCAACAAAATAAGTAGCTACTTTTCAGACTGATGGCGATTTGTTTTACCGCACTTTAGCAATGTGAAGACAAAAGATAAGGAAATCATGCCGAATCTTTTTTAAAGTATTTGTTTTTAATTATTTAAAACTATTTAAAACAAAAAACTCTGAAATATATATTGATGTATTTTTAGGAAAGAATTGTATCTTATTCTGTACCTGGCTCATAAAAAAACGTTTTTGACTGAAAACGTCATTTTAACTAAGCTTGATACAAAGGGGAAAAAAACAAAGACCTGCACAAGCTGCCAAGGTGATTTACTCAAATGTTTGTCGGAAGCCTGGAATCACTGTTAAGGACAAGTAGTGAGAGCAGATTTTGGATATGAATGAGGTGAATGATTTCTGGGACTACAACATCCAGACTGATCATGTTATAGAACATAGATGACCCGACGTTGTTGTCCTGGATACAAATGATGTGTCACATTTAGGGGATGGGGAGGATTCCCCCTTTGAGACATTTGAGCTTTATATAAGCCGGCCAGGTGACTACCACGTAAGGGTTAATTATGCGAAGTGTAAAAGGTCGCCGGCATGCAAATTAAAAGCTATTGGCAAACAATAGCCTCGCAAGTTGCCTGAGGCTACATGGATTTTACCTTTGAATGTCTCATGGTAACTCTACTTGTCGGGTCTCATATTGCCCATTGTTATTTTGACCGTTGCATTCTAAGTTTAACCTTAATGCAACTGGTATGTTCGTCAATGCTATCCAGAGTAAAATATTTATCTAAGGCTTAACGATGTCTCTGACGTCGTATAGTTTGAGTCCAGTATAACAGCTATTTTCTTGTTGTGAGAAATTGAAACCATATAAAGTGCTTTATTATACAGAAGTACAGGTACATGTACATTCAACTTCCATTGGGGCATAAATAATTAAGATGGGAGAAGACCAAAAGGCCTGTTTTCACACGCAAATGTCTACACTTACCATTTATATAAACATCATAGAGTTTGATCCTGACTTCCAGGAACACACAGGCCAGTGAATCTGCCAGGTCAATTTTGTTACAAACTGAACTTCTGACTTCAAAAGAAACTGTAATCGCGCTTCCATTACTGAACTCAACTGTGTTTGGGAGTGCCTCGTCGGTGGGACAAATTTCCATCATGTTTTCACCACTGAACTACAAATGAGGAAACAAATCGGAAATTAGAGATGATATCGAATTATTGTTATAGTGTAGGCAAAGTCGCAAAAATGGTGCGAAATATATATATATAAAAACCTATGCTTTGAGAAAGTAAATGTTCACAGTAAATTTGGTCAATACTTCTAAACACACCAAATTTTTTTAGGAATATGTTTTGTAACTTCACAGTACAGTAGATCATTTGTTTCATTTGTGCATTTGTTTTGTTGAAGCAAAGGGGCTCAAAATCTAAAGGTGGGTGCTTAACAACTAACCCGACAAAGTTTTAGCTCAATACTCTGAGAAAACAATATTTTAGGATCTCGATTCGATTCAAAAGTCGCCTAGTTATTTTGAATTGCACCCAGAATCAGCATCCGGACCACGGTCTCATTCAGCCGATTGCAGCTTCGCGATGTTGTCACGCATATGAACCGACGAATAATAGTGAAGCGAAATCATAGATATAGAATTGACCTATCGCCGTTTGCGAGTTAGCCACACCCCTTCGACAACCCTATAGAATTGTGTACGTTAAGTTTTGTATGTCTCAGAGTTTGAGCGTTCCGCGTCCCTTGGAGTATATTATGTAATTGGACAATTATACTTCACAAGCTGCGTTGACGCGATTCTACCGCGATAGGTTAAAGCTATAGTCCATCATTTGCAGCCATCCGAAAAAGTAACTGGCGTATTATTGTTGAAAAACATACTTGGTTGAAAGATAGTAAGTTGACTAAACTCCCTATGAAATTAATCTTTCTGGCAATCTATCATTTTGAAGTAATCAACGAAAGAAGGCCTTTCCAACGGTGCGTCTAAGACGCACCTTAGGAAAATTTAAATTAATAGTTCGTTTTTTTATTCAGCGCAGTGCGCACAAGCATTGGCACGACGCACAGGCGCGCGCAGTTGCTATACATGTAATTTGTCGGATCAGTGCACGACATCGCCTAAAGCTGCAATTCAAAACAATTCAAAACATGATTCAGCAACTTATGATTTGAAATTGAGATCCTAGAATGCTATTTTTCTCGGAATATACAGCTGAAGCTGAGCTGAAACTTCATCAGGTTAGTTGTTCAGTATCCTTTATTAGATTTTTAACACTTTTGTTGCTTCAAACGAACAAAATGCACAAATTACAAATGATGGACTATATCTTTAATAACTAGTTCAGCAGCGTGGCCATATGCGCCCATTACTGTGATGTATATTTTGTTTTGTTATTCCTCTGTCTTGAATACTGTAATTTCATTGGCCTAGAATGATCACGTGTTTAGTTTTTAAAAAGTATAGTAATAGCACACTCCCCGTGTGTGACGTACGTACGCGTTTCACATGTAAAACGCAGCGAACTTGCAGAAGTTGCAGACAATCAGCTGTTTCGAGCATGCGACATGCAATGTGAGCGTCCGTTAGATTGTCATGATTGTTGTGTTTATGGACATATAGGGGCGCATAGCACCCGAGGCAAAGCCGAGGGTGCAATGCGACCCTAGGGTGTTCAAAACGTCACATACCAAATCACACCAGTCAAGAATTGCCAAATGTCGCTCGTGTACGCGCAATAAATGTCTGTCTGTCTGTCGTTCTGTCTGTCTGTCTGTCTGTATTTTGATTATCTCCAGAACTGGGCGCCGTATGAAATTATAAATCGGCGGGTGTATTGTTCGGGACAACAGAATGTGCAGTGCCAAGTTTGAAGTGGTTTGGATGAGCGGTTCTCGAAAAAGCTGCAAAAAAGCAGCATTTTCTGAGGCAAACGTGGCAGCTTAGAACATAACACCACGCACTGCCGTTCTTTTCAATTGTTTACGTCATGTTTAAGCTAAAGCGCGCGTGCTCAATATGACGCAAACAATGCAAAAAGGACGGGCACGCCCACGTGCATTGTAGGGCGATACCATTGTCCAGTATGGGTGAATAGCACTGCATACCATGTTTTCGTATGTACACGTACGTGGTGGCTGCATGGGCACACTTTTTTTTGCAGTCGAACTTCAAACATGGCACAAACTTTGACGTGAGTGTGCGTTCAACCTGTGAAAACAACACCATTTGAATCGCTTACGTCATGTAAAGCTAAAGCACGCGTGCTCAATATGACGCAACAATGGAAAAAATGACGAGCACACGCACGCACGTGCAATGTAGGGCGATACCATTGTCCAGTATGGGTGAAAGGCACTGCATACCATGTTTCTGTATGTACCCGTACGTGCTGGCTGCACAGGCACATTATTTTTGCAGACAACTGAGCGACCATTGTGCAACTTCACTAGTTTTGTTCGTTTACAATACAATATTCTCTAGTTCGGCAACATTGAGCTCGGGAAAATAACGCGCCATGCAACCATCTCTTCGTGTGTAGCTTTGTTCGATGTTGGCGCGTGCGTACTACACCCGTGCGACAGTTCCACGATTGCTTTGTAAAGCGCATGCGTAGTAGACTGTCGCATGGGTAACCTGTGCGACAGTCTACTACGCATGTGTATTTACCCTGTCCGTGAATCCACGCGCGCGTGCTTGGTGAACAGCAAAAATAACATCTGGCATGTGATGGTGAGTTGACCAGTGACAGTTCGGCTCTCGATCGTGAATATGTATGAGGTATAGTAATATAGCTAAATGTACCAGTCCTCCAGCACATGACCTAGCACACAAAGCTTCAAATGTGCACTGAGTATTTGTGCGCTGCTCACAGACGTTTGCGTGCCACTTTCAATTGCAGTTACGATAATTATTTTTTCTACAAACTTATAAACCTCTGTTGTTCCAAATCCGTAGAATTAGAGGCCTGCTATTTTGCTCAAGTAAAACAATAAATTCCCGTCCAGAGTTTGCAGCTTTAATAGTAACTGGTAATAAATTGAGCTTTACTCATAATTGACAAGTACTTGAAATAAATTAGACAAAAAAGAGTTCTTGGAATAATAGTTTCGTGGTATTATATTATAAAAACACAAATAGCACGTCTAAAACACTGTTCCTCAATCATCAGTTGTATGGGGGAGATAAGGCTAATTGTAAATTGTGTATGTTTAACTTGACCCATTATCGTACTCTAAACAAAAACAAACCGTCTTGATACTCACCGCATTAACGACCCTGGAACTTAAATTCTTGTACTCATCCGAAGTGTTATCCATGTAGGCATCAACAAAAGTAGCACTCATGCCATCAATGTGAGTTATGCAAAACCGTACTGTATAGGTTGTCTCGTCTAAAATGCAAAACCAAGAAATACGTATTTACAATGTGCAACTACGTTCATGTTAGTTTTGGGGGATAAGTATTCGAGTACAATCATGCTTTTAGAAAGAATGAGAAAAAATGTCAAGATATATACTAAAATTTAGAAGCACATCTACACTTAAGAGAAAGTGGAAACCCCCCCTCCCCCCTCACCCCCCAATTGAAAAAAAAAATAGGTTACTCTTGATCAATACATTCTCGATTTCCATACGGACACTGCGTACGTTGAGTACCAGAGAATATTAATTTTTTGATGACTCATGTACATTTCGAAAATTCCTTCCGTAGGAATGATCGCCAATCTGGACTCATGAACCTAATAATTTAATTGAGCAGTCTGTCCGCTGTTTTGACTATTGCCTTTAACCACGAGAAAATATGGCTGTAAAAAGAAAAAGAAAAACAAGTGTCCCGATATAAAAAGGAATATTGACTCCTATTATCCATGGAATTAATAATCAGAAACTTGCATTCATTTGCATGAAAAAAGAACTCACAACTCGCGCTTTCTGTAGACAATGTTACCGTTGTGACTTAAACCACACGTAAAACTATAATCACTTTGATAGAAAGTAACTTTTAGAAGATTTTTTTTATATAGGTTATATTTTATACAGACTAGTAGGATACACACTTATCCACGAATTGCAGAATTAACACAGTGGTATAAAAAAGAAATGATGACAAGCCTGGCGTACCTTGTCGCAAAATCTTTTTAAAGGTTGGGTACAGAGGCGAAACGGGAAAATGTTGTATGACGCCCATGCGCGAATGGTCCATTGCCAGAATAGTTTGGCACGCGGTAACAGCGATTTTGCGTACGCCTGCCTACGCATGTCCCGTGTTGCCGCGTTGTGCGAAGCGGGATTAGAGCTGTATTTTGCCCGTGTCACACGGCGGACCATCAAGCATTGCCTGGTCACATCGGGTTGTGGGTCCAAAAAAAAAAGTGCAGGTCAAAAACAGTATTAAATCTACTGAAGGCTTGAATCATATATTCCGGCAAATATTTAAACTAATTTACTCTGAATTCATTCCTATTTTATTTTATTACACTTAATTTTAGCATACTTTTGATATCATTATCTGTATGCCACTGGTACATTCGTATTAACATGTATACAGCGAGGGGATTTGGGGGTTCTCAACTAGACCCTCACTGCTTCAAATCTGCTGTTTATTAGGGTTACTATTCGTGCCTTTTCTCTTTTGTAAACTTACTACCCTGTTGTTTATTTCTAGTAATGAATCCATAGATTACTGATAAGTGTCCTATAGGCACTGTAGCTCGATTTATCGTTTTCACATGTCTTCTGAATATTATACAGAAATTAATTGTGGTGTGCCAGTGGGACACCTATGGTATTTTTTAATTTTCCAAATGATAGAAGTTGTTATGATGGAAGTAAATACAAGATCTCATAAAATGAAAAGCCAGATTGACCATAATTAAATAACTACAAGTTTTCGGGCCCTTTTAATACAATGTCCCACTTTGGACCCCTAATCAATAGAATTACCCCAATATTACTTTTGCCTTGCTTAAACAATACATTGCATTTTTTAGAATCTTGAGTTTTGTATAATAGTGTCCTTTGTCTTTAATTATCCAATAAATACAACATGCCATTTCAGCTAGTACTTGAAACAGTACAATTCTGGAGATTAATATTATTGAGCTTTGCATTTACAGAATGACCCCCAAACAATGCAACCCTAAAACGTTTGCATTTAAAAAAAAAGAAAAAAAAAAAAGGGGGAACATTGGATTTTTATGTTTTGGGTATCAGATAAAAGCTGAGAGCTTTTTCTTTCAAGTACTGCAAAAGTTATGAAAATAGCACTTTGGGTTGCCGAGAATAGTCATGTTTCATCCTGTACACAAGAAATTATCAGAGTAAGTGATTTCACTGTACCTTTTTGTGCAAGTCCTAATCCTTTCAAACAACATGTCCCATAATATGACAAGAGTACAAAGAAATTTGATGGAAATACCTATTAATTTTCCACATCAACAGGTATCTCATCGCTTTTAGTCTTAGTTTAAACCTTCTCAGTACCATAAGTATGCAAAAATATTAAAGAAATTGCACAAATGAAGGATAATTGCACAGTAGGCTTACAGTAAAATGTTTCACTGTTAGAAGTACTTGTGTACAGCATAGAAAAATGACTACTTGTACATAATTGGCATTTTCTCAGCAAACCAAAGTGCTATTTTCATGATTTTTTTTTGGTATTTGAAAGAAAAATATCTCAGCGTTAATCTCATACCCAAGACATAAGAATCCAGCCTTCTCTTGTTTTTTTTTAAAGGCAAATGATTTAGGCTTGCATTTTTGGGGTCACCATGTATAGTTCATATAATCCGACTTATCATCAATGCAATCATTATAATGTCTGCACAGCTACAACAAAGCTGTGTGAGTTGTTGAAATTAACTGATCAATGCTGGTCTAACCTGGAGAAAATTAGATTCGTTTTTTTATAATACGGTAGGTTTCTTGGTAATAATGCATCAAGGACAGTTCAGGGAAAAAAGGAGCAATTAACAATGTTGACTTCTATTTGGGAAGCTAGCATTTCATTCCTTACAAGTGAGAAACCTGTTGCCGAGCAACCATATTCAAATATTACAAGTATACCGTCCTTTTCCGCATGTTTGACTATCCTGAGTCTCATATCTTGTAACTTTATTTTTTTTTAAAATGTGAATTCATCTCTCAATAATATATGAATTGTATCTCTCACCAATATGTGAGTTCGCAGGTATCTGTCATCAATATGTGAATACTATCTCTCACCATCTTAATTGACTTTTTTTATTTAATCAATTTGTATTCATATCTTACCAATGATGAAATTTTATCTCTCACAAACACGATAATTTACATGTATCTGTCATCAATATCTGACTTTTATCTCTTACCATATTAATCTACTTTTGTTTATTTAAAAAGTATGTTAATTTATATCTCACCACAATTGCAGATTACTGAAGCACTGGTTGATCCTGAAGTATCGGTCGTTCCTGTCAAAAGGTTGATAATAAAAATGGTAAGTACACGGACAAACATGGCAGTATAAACGCCATATTTACGGGTCTAGTAAACACATTCTTTTCATCCAAATATATACTCATGAACATCTACATTGTTCGAATAAATTGGCCAATACAAAATCTATGTTTGTTGAAATCAAGAATTATTGAAATTATTATCAAGACTCATTTTTATCTGCCGCGGGTGGCACAGACATGAAAAACAGATGTGGTAGGCTTATACAGGGTGAGTCAAAAAAAGCGAAACCCAAATGTCGGGACCATTGTTTTAGCAAAGTTCTGCATGTAACACTTTCAAATTCTAGGATATAAAAGCCCAATTCATAAGCTTTCTTTTAAAACAAGAATCATGCAAATCACTCATGTATACTTTTTAAGTTACGGAATTTTAAACACAACCACCGTTTTAAAGTTCTGTCCAAGGATCACAAAAAAGGTGTCCGTTCTTTCAGCAAATCGAAACAATTCACACACATCCCTATGTGATTTGTTTTCGTTTTGCTGAAAGAACACTGAACTTCTTGTGATCCGTGGACAGAACTTTAAAACTGGTTTTGTAAAATTCCGTAACTTGAAAAGCACATGAGTGATATGAATGATTCTTGTACTAAAACAAAACTTTGAATTGGGCTTTCATATCCTAGATTTTATGCTATATGCTGAACTTCCCTTAAACAATGGTCCCGACATTTTGGTTTTGTTTTTTTCTTTTTGTTACTCACCCTGTAGTTTGGCATAAAATTATGTGTAGCTGCCGCAGCAATACATTTGTGCGGCCTCTTGCCGTTTTTGCCGTGGCACGCTTGCAGTGGAGCTTTAACTTATAGTCAGGGATGTTAGCTCGTTATAGGGGCTGTTTGGTTCAGATTCTTCCAAAAGTACCAAATTCGGCACAGATGTTGTCCACACCATACTTTTTCGATTTTTGACGGGCGCCAAGACGGGCGCCCCACGGGGCTGCCATACTGGCAAATCTAATATGGCTGCCAACCGGGTCAGAGGTCAATCAAACTAAACGAGCTAGAATCATAAATAATACCAATAATATTTTCGGGGTTGAGCAATCTGAATCTGATGTTATTTTAACGATTTGAGCAAGACAGATGCCCCAAGGGACAGCCATATTGGCAAAATCCAAAATGGCCGCCACTAGCTAGAATCATGAGTAATACAACTTTGTACTGTACTGAACTGTACTGGTCATCACCACCATCCAATTATGCACATTTCTCCATAATTTGTATGAAGCATCATTGAGAGTGTGGTCCATAGTGGTTGCCATGTACTGGTACCATCTTTGTGCCAGCCCCACTCCATGATTAGTCAGGAATTTCTTGCTGGACCGAGGTGGCCTGCAGTAGCGGTTGCTTTATATGTTCAAACAGCACGGCAGGAAGCTGGGATGCTTCCGACAAGCTGCTTCCAGTAGAGAAGAAGCGATGTCTGGCCCATTTGGCACCTGCAGCTGCACCACACCCCTTGCTCTGCATGACATGGTGAAGCAAGTCGTGTCGCACCATGTTAGGCTTTGGAAGAGGGGTGGTGCCAAGGACTTTGTCGGACCAAGATCGGAGTAGATGCTACGGACTAGTGTCCCTGTACTTTTCACCACTTCTGAAGCCCACCCAGAGCTCCAATAGGCCGAGGATCTCCAAAACAAGCTTGAAATGATCTCAGAAGTGATCGCAGTGACTCTCAATCCTTCAGGCTCAGTGGGTCGCATATCAAATTACTCCGGTGTGCCCATTACATTCTTACAATGCTCTGAGTAGGCGGTCTGCTTGACCAGGTAAAGTGACGTGAGAGAGACTTAATGGGCGTACCTCATGCGGCTGATGTGATGCTCATTAAGTTTAGACTGTGAGCGAATGTCAGGACCTCAGCCTTAGAAAGGACAGTGGCCCTCCCATGCATCCTCCATGCCCAGAGTGAGGCAGGTGCTTCCCTATCACATTGATGAATGTCTTCAATATGCAGCACGCTGCACGCCCATCATAGGTACAAACTTGTCTTCTCCTAAAAAAAATCGGTGGTATTGACTTTTGAGAGCAGCTTGATGATATCATACAGTGACTGATCCAAACACGCCGGTCTCGCCTGGATTGAGGAATTCAGTGCCCCGCATCGTCAGTTCCATCACGTGCTTGAACATTGAAGATGAGGATGTGTCCTTGTGTAGGCATAGGGCGTAGATGCCGATTTCGGCAAGGGGCTTCGCTGACTCGTTTGCTAGCACTGAGTTAATTGTATCCCAATCAGGTGTTGATGTCACCATCTGCAGGCCTGCGTTGCGCAGCAAGCTGGTACATGTGCCATCCAAGCCTCATCCTTTCTTGACCTTGTCAACTCGCACATCAAGGGATGGCCTAACTTCGCTTGTCAAGTCTGGGTGCAAAGACATGAGTTCAATTTGGGGGAAGCTGGATCATGTAAGAGTCAGGTAGCTTTGGAGTCAGTGATGTGTCGGAGAGGTCAAACTTGATGAGCCTGCTTCACTGCAGAGTTTCATGCGAGAAATGGATATTTACGGTTTGGGCATATCACTGGAATTCACCAAGTGAGAGGTTGCCCTGAGCCTCGGTTATCTGTGATCAACATCTTGGGTGGTGAAGACAATGAAACGACTGTTGGTTGATAGCGTCACCCATCCTCAGCATGGCGGGCACACACCACACGCGCCGGTTCATCCTTCATCCTTACAATAACTTAGGACAATTTTCTCGCTCCAATTTAAGATTGTTTCTGTGGTATGTGTAGAGATGTCGAACTTTCCGACATGTACAGCTAATAGGAAAGAGGTTTTTTTTATGGAATGACGCACCAGAAAGACCAGGTTTAACCAAAATGATCTCGAGTGGTAAACTTGACCTCAAATCATTACAATAACATCAGAATCAGATATTTCGACCCGCCAAAACCCATGTAGTTGTATTGTTTTAACTACGAGTACCTCCAACCTGGGTGGCGGCCATATTGTTTTTTTTCCCAATATGGAGGCCCCTAGGGCATCTGTCTTGCCTCGAATCATTAAAATGACATCAGATTCAGATTCTGTGACCCCGAAAACCCATTAAAGGTGGTATTTTTTAAGATTTTAGCTCGTTATTTGTTTAACTGTGATATGTGGCGGCCATTTTGGATTTTGCCAAAATGGCGGTCCTTTGGGCATCTGTCTTGCCTTAAATCGTTAAAATAACATCAGATTTAGATTGCTCGACCCCGAAAATACCTCACCAATACTACATTTTGATTGATAATGCAGCCTCGATACTTTGGTATTGGGGATGCATTAACCAATCAAAATGTAGTATCGACACCTTCATATTAATAGTCTGTTCCTAAAGAAGTCTATAAAAAGGTCTTAGACCTAATCAGTGCATACTGCCAGATTGACAGATGTCTTTATCATCTCTCCTTTTACATTTCCACATTGAAATTGGCATTACCTTCAGTAGTTGATGCTGATGGCTCAGACGTACTTCCACAGTGACACCAAATGGGTGTTGCTGACTCGAGGACTCCAGTGGTTGACTGTGGGACTCCAGTGGTTGACTCTGTGCCATCAGTAGCTGAAGTTGTGGCTTCAGCAGCTGATGCTGTGACTTCAGTGGTTGACTCTGTGCCTTCAGCGGCTGAAGTTGTGGCTTCAGCGACTGTGGTTGTTGCTGTGACTTCAGTGGTTGACTCTGTGCTTTCAGCGGCTGAAGCCCCAGCGGCTGAAGGCCCAGTGGCTGAACTTGTGGCTTCAGCGGCTGAAGTTGTGGCTTCAGCGGCTGAAGTTGTGGCTTCAGTGGTTGACTCTGTGCTTGCAGCTGCTGAAGTTGTGGCTTCAGCGACTGTGGTTGTCGCTGTGACTTCAGTGGTTGACTCTGTGCTTTCAGCGGCTGAAGCCCCAGCGGCTGAAGCCCCAGTGGCTGAAGTTGTGGCTTCAGTGCTTGCAGCTGCTGAAGTTGTGGCTTCAGCGGCTGAAGTTGTGTTACACAAGCACCAAGTAGTAGATGGCTCTGTGGTACCTGCATAACAAGATTGGGAATACAGTCGACTCTCGTTAGAACAAACACTGTTAATACAAATTTTAGTTACAGCAAACATAAAGCCTTGTTCAAGACTGTGCATTTATGTGTATAATGAATGGGACCGACATTCCTCTTAATACAACATTCTGATATATATGTAATAAACATTTTGGCTAGGTCCTACGGAGTTATTACCATACTAGGTATTATCAAGAGACTCGGGAGTCAGCTGTATATTGACAAATGTTTAGATTGCTGTGGCGGTGGAGGTCTCTATCAGCGAGATGAATCAAATCCAGTCTGGTGCTCATCAAACAAAAGAGGGCGCGCTTTTACCACTTCTGAGAAACTCTTGGATGGGACACTGTGTGTGCGCACTGTAATTCGCGCACAATTTTTTTATCCTGAATGTGCACAAAGAAGCCAAGCCACAGAATATATTGCGCGTGAGCGTCAGGCCTTGTTGGTGCGCGAAAACGTTCGAATATGTTCGCTTTTCTGGCCGTTGATGGGGTACTTGTGCACAGAGACCACTGGCAAAGCTACCAAGGAAATTCTGAGTGTATTGGTACCTCACGCGTGCTGTATGCAAGCTAATGCATGCATGTGAGGTATGCTCTGATTTCCCAGGGCAGCACTGCCAATATTGCCAAGACTGGATTGGATTAATCTTGTTGGTAGCAACCTCGCTTGCCATGGACCAGAATAGTAATAAAAAACAAATCCAGTTTTGGATCAAGACTACACTTTAATACACTATATCAGAGGCGACAGAGAGCTAGGTATCATCTCATTTTGGTAAGACCTTGAATTAAAAGCCACAACAGATTTATCAAAACAACCAAGCCAATATTAGCAACACACTTCATTTTTAAGTGTCTGCATTTAAATTTGCAGCCCCACGGTAATGGGGAAACAAACAAACAAGTAAACTTAACTGAGAATGCATAAAAAAACCCAGAAAACAGCACTGTTCCTACAACCTTTCTCTTTCTCAATGATGAGTTGAACAATGACTGAAAACAAAAGACACTTTCCAGAGTTCTTAGCAAGTCTTCAACATCAAGTCTCAAGTCAAGTCCCAAGTATGCAACAGCAAGTATCTGTATCTGTATAACTATTATTATGGTTGGCAAAGCATCCCAGGGGAAACATCACACCAACTTAGAGAGAAGACAATGAGAAGAAATTACAGTTTTAGAGGTGCTAGGATCAGCCTAGAAGATATTCAGGGGAAAACCCACGGAATCAGATAGGGCCTGAAAACCCAATCCACATATTGGCCCAGGCGGGATTCGAACCTGGGTAACAGCGCTGGAAGGTGAGGAAAGTACCACTACACCAACCTGACTCCCCAAGTATCAAGTCAAGTACAAAGTCTTCAACATCAAGTCTCAAGTCAAGTCCCAAGTCTTCAATTGCAAGTGTCAAGTCAAATCCCAAGACTTCAATCAACACCTGATGAGTCATCAATTAGTATCATGTATACGTTTTATACATTCACGTCACATGAACTGTATATTACGAAAGCCCTGTAGTGCCATCACGTATATATTTCGCCAAGTTCGTTTTTATGAGTTATATATTTCGCCAAGTTCGTTTTTATGAGTTATATATTTCGCCAAGTTCGTTTTTATGAGATACATTTTGTCGAAGCTCGTTTTTATGAGATACATTTTGTCGAAGTTCGTTTTTATGAGTTACATTACATGAGTTACACGACATGCGCAAGCTCCGTTAATGCTTATAATTATCTCGTGCGCACGAGATATATGTCGTGCGCACGAGATATATGTCGTGCGCACGAGATATTATGTCGTGCGCACGTGATATATGTCGTGCGCCAGTGATAATTATCTCGTGCGCACGAGATAAAAAAATAATTTTGGATGTCCCTTTAGGGGCTCCGTTACTTCATAAAACTCCGTAATTCCGTAAAATATATCTCATAAAAACGAACTTGGACAAATATATAACTCATAAAAACGAACTTTGGGAAATATATAACTCATAAAAACGAACCTTGCGAAATATATAACTCATAAAAACGAACTTGGCCAAATATATAACTCATAAAAACGAACTTGGCGAAATATATAACTCATAAAAACGAACCTTGCGAAATATATAACTCATAAAAACGAACTTGGCGAAATATATAACTCATAAAAACGAACCTTGCGAAATATATAACTCATAAAAACGAACTTGGCCAAATATATAACTCATAAAAACGAACTTGGCGAAATACATAACTCATAAAAACGAACCTTGCGAAATATATAACTCATAAAAACGAACTTGGCCAAATAAATAACTCATAAAAACGAACTTGGCCAAATATATAACTCATAAAAACGAACTTGGCGAAATATATAACTCATAAAAACGAACTTGGCCAAATATATAACTCATAAAAACGAACTTGGCCAAATATATAACTCATAAAAACGAACTTGGCCAAATATATACTTGATGGCACTACAGGGCTTTCTTAGTATATTGACATTTCTTCGTGCCAAGTCACTCATCTCAGCGAATCCAACTGGCTGTTAGTGGGCGTGGCTTAAGTCACTACCTACCAATGCTTCATGTTGATTGGTTAATGCATCCCCCATTCTTTCAATGCTGTGCATTTATTGTATGGGGATCTTATTGGCCTACAAAAGGCAAAGTGGTAGCACCATTTCTTCGCTTGTATTGGGTGGAACCAAAGATGCTCATGTGTTCGCTGTATTTGTCCATGATTAAATTGTTGCTAATTAGAGGTGTAGTCTCCACCAAAGCCACCGGTCAGCCATCCGAATCCCGAGTGAAAAGATTGCACTGTGATTTTCAGCTTCAATGTCGTTCCACGCACACGGCAACACGCTCAACACCTTCATCAATAATACTGGCGTCATTACAAAAAACTTCGAAGAAGAAATCAATCACTGCTTTTTTTGTTATTGGTGTTTGACTTTTTTTCTCATTTTCTTGCTGGAATAATGAGGACATGATATGTAAGGACCAATTAGGTACGTAACCGTGGACATGTCCACATGGATATTGGCTCTGAGACCCCGAGAGATCGGTCAAGCTACATCGACGGTAGAGGCTATAGATAAGATGGTGCGGGCGCACTAAATAATAATATCGAAAGTATTCGGAACAGGCTACACCGGAAGAGAAAACTTTTTGTTTCTAAATAAAAAAGAGGGCCTCCTCTATTAACGAGAAATCACAACGCCTACCGGTACTTACTTATTTTCATATTCATCTCATAAAAGTTGATTCGAAAACTATGAGCAAAACGCCCAAAAAGGAAAAAAAGGAAAGAAAAATGTCCAAACGAGGTAAGGGACAAAGAAAGTGCAAACACATCAGTCTCGGTCTCTGCCGCGGTGGTAAGCAATGCAATTGATATGCATGGATGATTGCTATGCTTGCGTTTTGCATTTTATTTGTTGGGTTGTTTTTTTTTTTCAAACACATTGTTGGTATGTGAGGGGGTGAAACTTTTAGAAACGAATTCAATGGATAACCCAGATACGCCCAGAGAGAACTTTTCGCCGTGTTTCTGAGCCGATCTCACGTTTTATTTGGAGTATCATTGTTATGTATAGAATACAGAATTTACAGGCTTGGACAAGCGACTGAAGCGAGCCATTACGGTAGATCTGGAATCGTTGAGCATGCGCATCGGATGGAGGGGTGAGTTTGGAAGAAGAGGGCATAGGAATTATTAGCAGCATCGTATAAGAGTTCACAAGCAAAACGGAAATGTGCAATGCCAACTGTTGATTTAAAATGCCATAGTCAAGTGGTTAGCGTGTTTGACTCATGTACGATGGTTCGAACCCTGCCCTTGGGCAAGACATTCAACTTTGCCTCTATCTCTCCACACAGGAGTATTGTTGATACGATGCAGTGGCGTATCAAGCGGGGGAGCAGGGGGCACTTTGCCCCCCTCCCCCTTCTGACGGATTTTTTTGACAATTTTTGTTGTCACCAAAGATTTAAATAAATTTTTCTAGAGTTTTTCTGACATTAATTCCACAAAAGAAAACCCACTCAACAACCATCACAATGAAAAGTATGCATATTAATGGTCAGTTTCGAAGAGCGCCCCCATTTGGAATATGGGAACCAGCCCCCCCCCCCCCCCTGCTTTTTGATTTAAAGGAGGCCAAGTGTCCGGAGAAAAACATGTGTACATTTCGGCGCGGATGTGCGGTTGCCCCCCCCCCCCCCCCGACAACAAAAGCTGTACCCCATATACGCTGCTGATATGGAAATCGCTATAGCCTAGGCTAAGCATTACAATTTATTTTATAATTATTGTACTTGTTCTCGGAAGTGCAAATCAGGCCAGGTGCAAATGCAGTTGAACGTAAAGTGGGGGGGGGGGGGGGGGGGGTTGTGAGAAGAAAATATTCATGATGCCTTATACTGGTCAATATCGGGCATTTTACAATCACTGAGGGAGGATCGGAGGATATCAGGATGATACATTTCACATGAATATTCAGTGTTCATGTAATAATCCTAAATGAATATTCATATCATAAACATGGGGTACAATTATGATCTATATTGTTTAGAAATAGCTTTTTTGATGACTATTAATACTAGCATACGTTGAGCGGCCGCGTGACGCGTATAACTCCGAAGTTTCGGCATCGCGTGAGGGGCACTATGCATAAACGGAACACAAAGGCCTCGCACACTGTCTCATGGAGTTCAATCGCCTACACTCTTGGCGTCGTAAATCCTGTAAAATGGTTTGTGCTGATAATGAAAGGTTTGCGGAAACACCATGTGCGAATAATTTCTCAACTAAGAGAATGGTTCTGAAAAGAACCAGAGGTATAAACTCGACGTTCCGGTCAGTATGCTCTGACCGTCTTCAGGAGAGTGCCTAAACAGTTTAGGCACTCTCCTGAAGACGGTCAGAGCATACTGACCGGAACGTCGAGTTTATACCTCTGGTTCTTTTCAGAACCATTCTCTTAGTT